ACCAGGTTGTGAGCAAATAACAGTTTTTCTTTTCTTACGTTCGAACCGGCCGCCAGCTGCAGTGCCTATCATTATTCAACATAATATATACGTGTACACTATGCATACACATTTGTGTGTGTATTACGTGTATATGCAAGAGTATTATTAGACTGGTATATAGATAGGATTGTCCACGTCAGTCATAATAATAAGTGCAGGGTGCATAAAAAATAATTATGAAAAACTAACAACAAACCGAAAAAACTAAACAATCGCAACACTACGTGTAATGTGCAAGAATAATATATACATTATTCTATGTGATCATTATCCCCACGATGCAATATCTGTATTTATCTAATATATAAATATCAATAACTATTCTCAAACATGTATTTACTCTAACATAAACTAGTACTCATTGGAGTGATATGGTATTTGTACGGGACCACCGTGGGAGGTAAACATTTAGTATCGACAATACAAAGAATGCATGACAATTTTTGCTAAGAAATCGAATCAAAAACTGTATGGTTTTCTTGGCCGTGTTATACCTGCCTATTATAATACATTATATATGTAACAATTTAATATTGTATATATATATTCTACATAAGTTACAATAATCTCTACAATAATATTATCTTTTTACTTCCAAGACTAAACTTAAATAATTCATTTTTTTAAAACTAAAACTAAAATAGCTTAATAATCACAGTTGTAATAAAAACATTTAGTTTTTCTTAGTAGTATTAATAGTATTATGTACAATCAATAGGTAACGGATAACAAGCACGAGGCCCATGCGCAGGAATCATCCTAGGAGAAGAGGTTAAAAATGATATATGTTACGTTAGGTAAGAAGTCAGTAAAAAAATACAGGTTGGAATATCCACGATCAAAAATATTAGGATCGAAAATCAATAAATATCAACAAATGTTTGAACAGCTTGAACAGCGACTTGTCAGTGAAAATGCGTTCTTCGATGGCAGTATTTACAACAATAGTCGACAATAGATGGAAAATGCGCAAAAATTCAATAAAAAGAGGCGTCAAATCGAAAAAATTGGCACTGTTGAAACAAAAATAGACAACTATGTATACATTTAAAATCAGTTTAACTTTTATATAATGATTCTATAATATATTCTTAGTAAAAATATACGTAAAAATTATGAAGATTTTGTAAAAAAGTTCTTACATTTTAATATTGTTTTATTTACTATTAAATATTGACTGGTTCTTATATTTAATAATTACTATTTAAATTATAATTCAAAAAAATAGACCAACTTTTTCTTTTTGTCCCGGGCCTAAAAAATTCTAAACCAGGCTCTGGCTTCGAGTGTACAAATTTTTAATAAAAGAATCATACAAATATAAAAATCCTATAAATAACTTGTCCAGAACTCCGTACTCACAACTTCATATATTTTTATAACAGTAATCATATATAACCTTAGGCTTCAACGTCTATGAACATGTTTTGACAAATACCGTTTATCGTAATTGAATCGTAAATTTCGAAAAGAGCTCATATATAAAAATTAAAATTATTCACGAATCTAAAAAAAAACTGATTTTCTTTTGAATGTAATTCTTTATTTTCTTTATTTTAGAAATTAACAATAATTAATCTACTTATTTAAGAGAAAAAATATATGAGCCCTTCTTGCTCATAAAATATCGGTTTATATGCGTAGATGAAAAAAATATAGCAAAGTATATTTTGATAGAAACTTGAGATGAGCTTTTTTCGAAATTCATGATTCAATTCTTTAAATGTGCTCAATTATAACATTCGCATATTATCACAACACAATGCTTCATATAGATCATTTCCAATTCACTAATATTGATTCATTACATATATCATCCTTCAGAAGATGATGACATATATCATAAGCCGGTTCCATTTTTGTTTATCGTACAGTCATGTAGGGGTGCTGTTTTCATGTTTAACAGTTACATGTTTTAAGGGTGGTCCCCATTGTTAGTCATATATTTTCGATGGAAATACCACAGAATAGACTTAATGGTCTACTCTATGGTTCTACTACAGGTTTTCGAAAAAAGGTGTACGTGCGGATAAGATATTATTTTATTTTTTATTTTTTATTCGGCCCGTTAACTTACAAATTAATTAGGTTCCACAATCACTCCGTACGTTATTCGTAGAACAATCAACAGTCAGCATCCTCGAGTCTAGACACGTGACTAGTTGTACCGGTGCATATCTCTGAAAGTGATTTTCTGGCTCCGGATAGACCACGTTATAATAGTGTCATAGGTAGTACTATACCCTCATGGCAAGGGGGCAGGAAATACTCTAAGTAAAATATTAATACTATTTTGTCCAAATCTTTAAACTAGCAATACTATAAAAAAAGGGTTTTATTAATAACTATTTTAACTTATTTTAAATAAGATTATTTTGTAAAATGAATAATAGAATTACAAATTACTGCATATATAATATTTTATCTTATACATTTTTTAAATAATAACTTACCACAGTTCACCTGCGATGGTTCTTGTATGAAAAAGTTACATACAGTTTTTATTTTTTTAATTAGGTTAGTGTTAAGAATACTAAATAAAATACACACTTCACAAATCATACAAAACGTTTTTGATACAGATAATAATAAAGTAATATTATTGGATCATGATTTGTCAATTGATAAAAATAAATACGATAATATTGAAAATGTTGGCACAAATAATCTTATCAGCTCCCGCGGTTATAGATAATAATATTAATATATACAACCGTGCAAACTCCAAATAAGCATATAATATGAGGAGTTACCAACCAATATTTGAAATGTATAGGAGAAGGAAGAATTCGCAGCTCCCCCCCCCCCCCCCCGTAGTACCACCTATGAATAGTGTTGATAGGGGAGTGCTTGGAATTTTCGGAAGATTTCAAAATTTTTACTACCACGTATTTCAAATGTATTAATTTCACAACAGAGACGACTTGGACGTAATTACAAGAGTTGCATTGCACTCCCAGAAACATTAGTTGGGTGTATTTTTGTACATTTTTGGGAAACTGCTATCGTTAATAATTAATACTTCTACCATGTTTATGGACTATGATGATATTAATATATTATACTTATAGAATTAGATTGCTATAGTCCATTGCTATAACTGATTATATTATTACAGTCTATAGATTGCATTATTAAAATATATTAAGAAGATGTGTCAATCGTCACGGAAAAAAAATTACTCGAAAATATTAACGACATGAGACGTGTAACTTTTATAAATAAAATGTCATCATTGTAAACATACAGCGTGATCACGATCACAGGTACTACTAAATATCTCAGTCATTCTTATAATTTGTCGTATTTTTAATTCATTATTTTATTACTATAGGTAGGTAACAAGCCCGGATTATAATAATTTGGGGCCCGAAGCCAAACAATTTTATGGGCCCATAACCATAATCAAAATATTGATGATCCCCACATAAACATACCTATTTCCGAGAAAAATTATATTTTAATTTATAAATTTATTTCTTGTTTTTTTTAATACAAAAAATAAAAATGTTATTTATACAAATATTTCTTTTTTTTCTTTTTGGGAAGCAAACCCTATCATATATAACTATATTATCGGTATTAATTACCTCTAAAACATTACCCTCTGAACACAAAACCATAAAACTATATACTATTTTATACTTGTTTTCTATACAAGATAAAAAAGAATTAAAAAAATGAAAAAACCTACTATCCACCAGGGACCTACTATTGTTTAATATCCGTTGTGGGGCCGGGGCCATGGTCCTCTCTGCCCTTCTTAATCCGGGCTTGTATATAACATAATTAGAGTCTAACATAGTTGGAACATGACATTAATATTTTATTTTTTACTATCCATTTTTAATTTTATGGATTGATACTGGTAACTGCGGGCTACATTTTTGACATGCCTACAATAGGATATTTCAAATTTCAACCGAAAAAATCATTAAGTTTTCAAAATCTAACTTGGATTTATGGATGCAAAATATATGAGCTTCCGCCCCTAAAAAATTGCTATCAGGAGCAACTCCTCCTTTGTCCCTACCCTTTAACCCGTCTCTGAATGCAGAATACACATGTCACTTATTTATATCATTAGATCAAAATATTGAAAACCAATTTATGGTTTTGGCAACAATTAAAGAAATTCTAGTGGTTCAATTTAAAATATGTAAAGATTTTTGAATTTATAAACAAGCTTACTTTGCATCAGTCTTAGCACTTTTTCAATTTTAGTAAATTCTTGACGAGAATGAATATTTTACGTTTCATAAATTTGTCAGTTTATAATATTGAATATATGCTCCCATCGATGCCAAGTAAACTTTAATTCAAACATCTTTACATTTTTTAAATTGAATCACTAAAAATACCTTTATTTTTATCAATCGCTTAAGTTGTTATGATGAAAATTAAAAATGTTTGCCTTAACAAATGAAACACTATTAATGATTATAAATTTAAATTTAAACATTACTTGATTTGTTTTAATCTTTATTAAAACATAACATATGATACTATTTAGATTTATTTAAAGTCGTTAAATGTTCCCACGAAAACACATTTGTAATTGTCTTGAATACAAAATTGGCTATTTTATTAATGATCCATTAACAATTTTAAAAACTAATATCTAATTTTCTTTTTCACAAATTAATAATATTTTGGAAAAGAAAGTAACTGAAAACATTCATCAATTTAAATTTCAAAAATTAACTAGAAATTATTAAAAAGTATTTAATATTTAGTACAAAGAAAAAACAATTTGGCATATTTGAATATAAAAAAAAAAATTAATTAAAACTTAGGTTTACCACCCAATCTATTAAAATAGAAAAATGTATCCGATTAAAAATGGTAAAATGTACAAATTGAAAAGTAATTAAATTATATGAGTAATTACAGGTCAAAAAACTATCAACCTGTCAAGAAATTATTAAATTATCTGACAAATAACTCAGTAACACTGTTTAAACTGTCGAACATTAGTTTACTTAAAAATATAATAAAAGTCAAAAACATAAATATGAAATCAATTATTGTTGCTTTTGATAAAGCTATCAAGTTGTGCATCTAATTCATCTTTGTTTGGCATTTTTTTTTCGCGTTTCCTGCCACCTCGACGACCACGTCCTCTGGAGTTACCACGAATATTATCACGTTTGTCCCAGTTACATCTTACTCCTATAAAGAGAAAAATTTGAATTATAACTATTATAATTAAATTTAAAATATATAAATAAGTATATTCCATAATACAAAATTGGAACATATTACCACGAATATATCGTACAGACAATAAAGCTGGTCTACTAAGACGAGTAGTAAGGTTGGCAACAGTCGATAAATCAATTGCAAGTTCAATTTTCATATGGCGACCTTAAAGTAATCAATAAAATGAATTAATAATAAAATTATAAAATTATAAAATATTTAAAATACATACCATCAAGCAGTATATTGTTATATTGACGTACTGCTTTTAATGCGGCATTTTTACTGTGAAATACAACATCAGCTGTTCCCAAAGATCTACTAAATCTATCATAATAAACTGTTGCAGTTTTCAATGGACCAAAATCATTGAATAGCTCCTGTAAGAAAAAAAAAAGTATTAAAACTAATATTAATACACAAATTAATCAAATTATAACATCCAAGCCAAAACAAAACATTCATTCACAAGACAAAAGTTAAAATATTCTTAAATCCAGAAACTTACCAAGGAATATGTAAGTATAGATAACTTTTTTAAAGTCACACGTTACTTATAAAATAATTTTATTTTTAATTTTTAATATTTCATGCTTAAAAACATTTTTTCTAAATAGTAAGTTTCATATTTAATTAAAAGTGAATATGGAGACTTATAAAATTTAAATAATTTACAAAAAAAAACACTATTAATATTCATATTTATAATGTATTCGATTAAAATAAACTTTGGTTGAAATATTGGCTTTTTATAGTGATATTTATTGCCTTATAAATTTATAGAACTAAGATATATTGTAATTGACTATACCTTAACATAAATATTAATATAAGTAAATACTTGCATTAGATTTAAAATTATCAACACATAAATAAAGCAGACATAGATAAGTGTTAATAGTATAAAAATACATAAATTTAAAAATTATTATATTTCTTTTCAAACCTGTATATCTGTAGATGTAACTCCAAAATCCAAGTTTGATATAATAATTTTATGAATATTAGTAACAGAAAGACCATCTCTAATTTGCTGTCTTTTAGGTCCTTCATACATATCATGGGTCCATAATGCATTTACATCGCCCTAAATAAAATAAAAATTAAACATTATATTTTTTTATTATATAAAATTCATATATATGGTATCTATATAAAATGAAGTACTACTGAATCTATTCATTCATTTAAATTAACATAATGTATTAATAACAACGTTTAAATAGTAATATAACAAAAAATTATATATAATACATGTTGTTCACATTCATGAACATACTTATAGTATATAACATACATATAGTAAATACATTAGGCTTGATCAATTTAATGATAAAAAATTAATAGTCATAAGTATAAATTTACCTTTGTTTTAGAGACAATTTTTTTTTAATTCATTGATTTTACAAAAAATATAAAAATTTAGAACAAGCACCATGTTCTGAACTGTATAACTTATAAATTAGTAACCCAATTTTATTATGGTTCAATACTAAATAAAAAAACAATATATTAAAAAAAAAAAAAAAAACAATTTACAAATAATCAACTAATTACAAGGGTGGTAATATATAATAGTAATCAACCTAACAGAATAGACATTCATGACTATATCAATAATATTTTTAATTACTTTATAAGTTATAAATGTAGAACCTATTTTTTATAAAAACTCTTCCAAAAATTCAACATTAAGTTGAAATTTCACCAACATTATAAACCTTGGTGAAATGATAATCACCAATTTTAACAAATTATTTGTAATTATACTTATATAAGTATAAATAAATAATTGAATAATAGTTTGTATATTTACATGGGGATTGTGTAAAAGTAAATTTTCCAAGCTACGACTGACTGCAACAATCGTAAAATTGACTGTTATTAAATAAGTACACTAGCATAGTTTCCAATGTGATTGACGTGTGGGTGTAAACAGTTGTTATCATAACTGTCAATTACACTGATCTAGGACTAGTCGCATTGTGCTCAAATTTTTAATTTTTTTTTAGTTTTACAATGTCAATGTATATACATGAAAATTGGTCATAATTTAAATGGAAAAACTAACTAAACTAAAACTAAATTTTTTGTTTATTGTGATTTAAATATCTATAAATTAAGACTTCAAAAAAACTTCTTTTTTATAGTTTTATTAATTAATAGTTATAATAATAATAATAATAATAATAATAATAATAATAATAATAATAATAATAATAATAATAATAATATAAAATAATTTTATTAACTGAATTTCTATTAAAAGATTATTTTGTAATTCATCTTCTTGCTATTTTTCCAATAACATTGTTATTATTAGGCTTAGGGACTTCAAGCATTTGCATGCTTTTTTTTAATTATTGTTAAATGTAGCAATTCGTTACTCGGTGCCATGATATCGAATCTAAAATTTGAATGTGCATATTTTTGCATATTTGGTAGATTTTGCAAGAGAGTGCATATTTTAAAAATGTTATGCTTATTTTGCATATTTTGACAAATTTTTCAAATTTAAAATTAAAAATTATAAATACATTTAACTATGTATATATACATATTTCAAACGATCAAGAAAAAAAATGTACTAATAGGACTTAATACTTCCCGTAATGTGCTATCTACAAACTACTTCTCATATCTCGTTATAATTTTTGTGTAAGTATAAGTAATACTATAAACTAGGGTGAACATATTAAGAAAATAAAAAAATGGGACAGCTGCTATTTTCCCCCCTCCAAGTAAAAAAACTCATCCATATACATTCACATGTATGCACACAAATCTCGAGAGTTAAAGTTCAAATCTCTGTCATATCATAAACAATTATTTTCTTTTTATTTTACCCTTTTTTAATAAAATAATCTAAATAATAAAATATTTTCTTTTAATTATTATTAAATTATTAAATCGGTAATTTTATAGTTCGTTGGCATCGGGACTTGACGCTCGAAAACTTTTATCTGTTATTTTTAACTTTAGTTTCACATTTTAAATACACGAGTAAAAAGTTTTATATTTTTTCATACATAGATATTTTATTTGCAAGCATTAATAACTTATATTATAAATACTATGGCGATAACGTGATTAAAACGGGACAATCTTCTAAAAACGAAATAAAAAGCGTCCCATTCGAAGTTTGTCGGGACAACGGGACGTGATAATCAAAAAAGGGACAATCCCGTTTTAAACGGGACGTCTGATCACCCTACTAAAAACCCGTATCGATCGTATAACCCGCTGGATATCGACCGAATGTTGATAAAGATAACAGTCGATATAGAATAATAGATTATTTATTTAGTTCAGTCGATTATTATCCGTCGTTGTTCTTGCGTCTCGCAACCACGCAACGTCGAATTATACGTAGAATGTTGTACGAGTATATTTTGTAACATTGTATAATGCCGTAAGTACAACAGTCTACGAGTAGCTGACTACAAAGTTTTGATTCGGAGTTTAAAAATACATTTACATCCGATGGACACGTTTTATTTTATGTACTATGTAGCCTTTTTTTTTTTTTTAATGGATATAAATGCATATTATAATGCATATTTGTGTATTTTTTAGAGCAATAAGTCCCTAAGCTTAGTTGTTATTAATTATAATTTGTTCTACCTTAGTAGTCTTAGTATAGTTCTAGTTAGTAGTATTAAGTATGTAATAATTAATTTCAATTATTTATGTTTATACAAGTATAGTTAAATAAATTATTAAATACGTCTGAACATTGCACTATTGGGAACCCACTGAATTTTCCGCTGCAATGCTGTGTTTTGCGTAACACGTTGAAAACCAGACAATATGCAGTGGCCAGTTGTTGCAACCAACCACAGCTTATAAACCGTACCTTAATGTGATTACTGCCTTCTAAGGGTCATGAGTATATAATCTATAAAAAAGTATTAGTCTAAAAATAGATATCCTATATTAGGAGGGCCTGATCAAAGTTAGCAAGATTTTTGCTAAAGATTCAAATAGCAAACAAGTAATCATTAAGGATGGGGTTCAAACACTAGTTCCTGCAATATAAATAGTTTTTTACAACTTATAACGGATAATCCGTAATACTGAAGAATCAAGTTCGACAAAATCAAATTTAAATTACAAGAATTCTACAAAATGGTCATCGGTTCATTTATGTGTTTTTCACCTTCGAGTAAGGAGTAAATCCATTGAAATGCCTTGCCATGAATCTTCCTTTGCGCATAGGACCGCCACCACTTCCACCTGCGTCATTTGATCGGAAATACGATGTTCCGCCACCGCGTTTACCGCCACTGAAACCTCTGGAGCCGCCTTGTCTTTCGCCCCCACAACGTCCTCCACGGGATGACGACCTTTTGTTTTTGATCAAGTCGTCCAAACTCACATCCATTTTGAACAGATATAAAATTCCAAATCATAAATTTACAAACAGATCGTACAACGTTTGAATACGTAGGATATGGATAATACGAGCAGATTCAGAAACAGAAATGTACGAGACTACGTTAGGAGAGCGTTAATCAAAAAAATGGCCGGCACACACAAAAAACAAACGAAATGTATTATGATTGTATTACACTGCGTTTTCTATAGATACACTGAACGATGAGTGAGTGTGAAATAAACAAACATCCGAAACGTGATGATCCATTAGTAAAAAAACATGCTTGTAGCAAATCATTAGACAAAAAGAAGATTTCCAAAGATAAAAAGACTTAAGAGTGTGCATTATTGGATTTATATGTGTATTATATTATAGTTTATATCCAGTGAAATTCATCAACTGTCATTATATTTTAGCCCATTGAATACAACTAACTATTAAGTAGATTTTCAAATTATGTTTTTTTTTTCGGTTTTTGTGTTAATAAATTTAAGATTTAATAATTTTGCGCCACTTAAAATGTTAAACCTGTTAATAGCTTTAACTAGTAAATATAAATAAAATAAGAATATTTATTTATTAAAATATAAAAATAATATTCTCAAATTAATATATTTCATTTTTGTTATTTAATGCTTCATAAAATATATAAGTATTCCTATCTTAATTGAATAGGCAATTGTATTTATTGTGAAATTAAATGGATAAATAAAATAATTTAATTTGTAAACCTTATGACTACGTATATAATTGTTGAAAAAAAATTAAATATATTGTTTGTTATTTATGTGAATTAAATGATAGACTTTTCTTATCAATACGTCAATGACTTCAATCACTCTTCATATAAAATTTCGATACATTCAAACAATTTTTCAAGTAAAATTATGAAAATAAATTTACAATGTCAATTGCAAAAACCTATTTCTATAGTACTTCAATCCCCATCTTTAAAAATTTCTATTATTTATTTTTACTATCTACTAAGCAATTTGTAGGACCATTCTCACAATGTTTTTACCAATAGCTATGTCTACATGAATGTCAATTTGCTTTTAATGTGAAAGCAAATTATTTCCATACCTTAAGAAACATAAATAGAATTGAAAAAATTATATATATCAAGTTATTTAAAACTAGCTGACCCTTATCCACTTTGTTGGGCGTCCAAAATTTTTTTACATGCGATGGAATTATTTTTTTGGGTTCTTATACTCGTAAGTACTGAACGTTAACAATTTATTTTATTTCTTGTTGGCTGCTATTATGTATTGGGTTAGTTAATTGTTTAAGGCTTATCGGTATACAGAGAAATCTCTAAATAACGGACACCCTTGGTCGCTGAAATTTTGTCCGGTATTTAGAGGGAGAAATAAAATATTAACAAAATAAAAAATGTATTTAAAATTATTTATAGATAAACATAGATACATAATAAATTTAATTTATTTTTATTTTAATTATTTTAATGTATTTTTAAAAATACGTAGGTAAAAAGATAAAAAAATGATAGCATAAAAATTAAAACTAACATATATTAAAAAAAATAAATTACTTTAGATTGTTTCGTATTTTGATGCGGTCATTTCGTAGATTAGTGCATTTTTTAATTCCTTTGTGCAGGAAAATAATGAATTACATTTCTGTATTTCGATAGAAGAAATGTATTTACATATTTCCTTTACTGCTGCCAATGCCTCCTGTAAACTTCCAACATCAACGTCATAAAATGTCCAGGACTAGACGGATAAGATAGGGTATAACAGTTTAATAATGTATAATGGCCCATTATTAATGGGCAATATCAATAAAATACAATATACGAGTGTAGACTTTTATTTAAACATTCCACAATTATTTTTGTAAAATTTACGATAGAAATTATTAAAATCAAAATTTAAAATTTCATAAAAGTGTCCGTTATTTAGAGTGTCCGATATTTAGAGATTTTCCTATAGAACAGTGAAAATTTCCCCGTTTCCCAAAAAAATGTCCACTATTTAGAGATGTCCGTTACGAGAGATTTCACTATACTATTTTTGATGTTGTGCTATTGTCTGGTAGCAAAATGTAATGGTACTCGAGATAAACCAACTGCCCATGGGAAAAATACTCTTCTCTCAAGTCAATGTCCATCAGAGATAATTATCATTGATTATTCTATAATCAATGGAATTATATTAAATAATAGAAATAATTTTATATAAATTTAATACATGTTGTAGTAAAGAATTAACTTAAAAACTTTAGGAAATAATAAAAATTACATAGAAAAACCATTAACCATAAGCTAAATCTAAAAATGTAATGTTTCTTAAATATAAATAAATTACTAAAATTATTCATATTAATATTAAAAGTTAAACATATTTTAGACCTATATTAAATACACTATTTTCAAAATATAATTTTGTCCATAAACTTTTACACAATTTGGTAAACGTATATTAATATTATGTTTATATCTAGTTTAGTGTTTATGATAAAAAATAGGAATTAAGTGTTTATATTTATTTAGCTGGACAGTGGCGTATTTTCAATTTTTTCTGGGGGAGGGGGGGTCCACAGTTTATACATAATTAATATAAACTATATATTATATTGTAATAGTTACGTCCTTATACAGTTTTTGGAGGAAGTTGAACTAAATATATAATGTAATAATCAAATAGTCTTATGTAATATTATATATATGTACCTATATATTGTATTTAGCATTATATATTATAAAGTATTGTTAAAAAATTAATTCCAGTTGTCTCGATTTTTTGGCCAACTCCTCTATCAATTCATCAACAATAAATTCAACTTCCTTGTGAATGTTTAACATATCCAATTCTGCAAATATGTAAGAATTGTTGTTAATTTTTTTATTTTTTGGAGAGGTTCTAGGGGGTCCAGTACCCCTGGACCCCCCCCCATAAATACGCCACTGTAGCTGGATTAAAACAGAGAAATTATGAATAAATTTCAAATTTTTCACATTTAATTCTTTAAATATTATTTATGTACTAGTTAAAATAGGAAGATTTTTTTTTTTAGTATTTTTATCATGTATTTATAAATCGGATAACATCAATATTGTTACAAAATGATATGTTAAACCATATCCCAAAATATGAGAATTAATATTATTTGATTCAATATTATTAGTAGAAATATGGCCATGCATGTTTTAGAATGATTTGTCTGTCTAGTAAAATTATTAATGCTTGGTAAAAAACCATTTTTAGCCATTGTATTTAAATAGTTATTGCAATTAATAGAATTTTTCATTGAGTCAATATTTAATATCACCGCAAAAAATACCAATAATTTTTTTATTTATTTAAGGTAAATATAAATCTAAACTTTGTAAAAAATGTTCAATATCATCATTAGGTGATCTATATATGCGAATTAGGACGCCAACTTTAAGTATAATATATATAAATATAATTAAGAATAAATTCATTTGCCTTAATACATTATTATTTATTTTAATTTTCCCCATCTATTTTTAGTTGCGTATTTACCTATATTGTATTATTTACATCAGCCCCAATCTTAACTTATGTTATGGGGCAAATGTAAAAATACACATAATAACCATTCGAAAATATAACTAATATAATATACTGATTATTTGTTTTTTTCGCTCCTCCCCCCCCCCACGATTGTTTTCTTCTAAAGTGGCCAAAAAATAGGGAGGCACATAGTCCCTTTCCTCCCTATGGATGCCCTTAGTGGTAGTGGTAGTGTTTAAAATGTAGGTGGGTGGTCTGAATTAATATGTGCACTCCTTATATCAATTGTTTAAATTCGCCACTGTTTCACAAGATAATAATTATGGTCATAATTAATTTTACAGTATTAGATAGGGCTACAACTAATTTGCGCACAATTTAAAATTGTTCAGTTAAAATCTGGAACTCGTTTGCGCACAAATTATTGTAAAACAAATGGGTAATCGCTTCCAAGGTATGCCATTGAAGTAACTAAATAATACTAAGTAAATAAATAGGTATAAAAAAATGACAAAATCAAATTATCGCTTTCTTCTTTTTACCGTAATAAATTATATAACTTTGCAACACATTTATAACCGTACTAATGAAGTTAAAATATTCACTGGCAGTCCTAAGTCTGTGTAAGTGGCAAGGGAAATGTGTACGCAAACGAGTGATTGAATTAGAAATAATCTGTGTGCAAACGAGTGGTTGCACTAGAAATAGTCTGTGCGCAAACGAGTTATAATTGTAAGCAAGTAAATGTACGTCCACTAGATAGATCGACTTCAGATCATAAAATTAACCCTGCCACATGTTCATGATATTAAACATAAATCATTAATTTTTTCTAAATTTGTTAAAATTTCGGGGTGGTGGTGAGGGTCATACACCCCCCTCACCCGAATAGGTAAGCTCCTGAGTGTTGTGATCTATCACGGCCGGTGGGTATCGGGACGGTGCGCCATCATGCAAATGCGGTTGCTGGTGACACTGCTGCCGACCCGTTATCTCGGTCTGGTGTCGATGAGAATGAATAGATACCGGAGGTAACGGCAACGTGGTTGCAGGTAGATACGGTTCTTACCTCGGTGCTGTTGTTGTCCACGATGATAGTACATTTTACCAGCTGATTGGGATAACAATAACGAAAACGTAAATAATAATATTATAATTATTCGTTTACAATCCATACAGTTATACTCTAATACTCACTATCAATACGTTCTCTGTGTTTAAAAATATAAATAAAATAATATAATGTGATAAAGGTGACTTGCAAGCGATCGATACCTACCTTTTGGGTTATTTCGTGTCGAAACCGTAGGGACGACGACCGCGAGCGACAAAAAAACAACGGCTCTCGACCGTGACTTCATCGGATCTTGCGCGGCTGTTGTTGTGTTTACGGATATCAAAGGCCGACGACGAACGTCTTCCGCGTCGGAACGTTTCCCGTTTTTCCTTAGTCATCGTCGCACGTAAAAGGTATTGGTTTCACGACTCTCCGAGTCCTTGACGGCCAGTGCTTTGTCCGTGCGTAAAAGTCCCCACAAAATCGGTTGTCGTTTGTCCGTCCGCCCCAGTGTTATTTCTCATATCTTACCGTGCGCAGTTTGTTTAATGAACGTTTAGCGCTCGAATTCTCCCGGAAATATCGCTTTTCTTTGTTACCATAATTGTTTTCCCCGCGAGGTGTGCAATTGTGTTCGATATACATTTCTAACGTAAACATCAATGTTTATTAATACTATATTGCAAAGTTTTTTTTTTCAATTCGCATTTTGGTCAAACGATTAATTATTCCTCCATTTTTCGTTATTGAGAGAGCGACTTCCTTTAACCCTCTGACACTTTTCCTATATGTAATTTGTTTTATATATGACTATCTAGGTCTCTTCCTCTTCCTGACTTCCTCCCTCTTGGTTTAATAATCCTAAAGCCATTATGTTTCAATGACTCATTGTAATTCAGATAATTATTGATTGGTTAACTTGTCATTATATTAATGATTTTCAATCTGTTTAAACTAACATCAACTATTCAAATAACTTCATCAATCACAAATATTTGACAAACATGATAATTTTTCTTCCTATTTAGTGTAGAATATTTAAAATATTGCTACTTTAACAAATAATCAGGTTAATGTTGAACAATTTACTTTCTATTTGAATTTTTTAATTAATTGTTATCGTTTTATTTCTTAAAGTACTTTACCAATGAAAACTATTAATACACAGTTATTAATAGTTCTGTTCCTGGATTCTAAATCTATTAACCTACATACCATTATACTATCTATTACAAAATACTTTTACAATACCAATTTATGTATTTATTTGTCTGATCATTTCATATTTCAATAGGCATTGAGACTTATCAATCTCATTTAAAATGAGTTCAGAAAATGTATCAAATAATGATCAAGACAACAATACATTATCAAACCAACCTATTCCTGGAGTTCGTCAAGACACGTAATGTCTAGACCTTTGATATAAAAATGCTTATCTTATTCATATTTATTCTATCATTAACTTCAGGTTGAATAATATAAATAATATTGCTGCGTCACCTCCAAAGTTTTTATCATTACCGGAAATCATGGGAGCTGCTGAAAAATTAGAAAATATTGCTCTTGTACATGAGATAGCCGTCGATGAAAATTTCAAGTTGGAACAGCAAGAACCACCAAATAACAGGTAAAGTTGGTTATCAAATGAAATTTAACTGAATTTTATTAATTATAAACTTTTGTATATGTTTCATTCTCTCAGTATCATGAAACAAGTTAAAGACACAATGCACAAAGTATTTTGGGGTATATTACGCGAACAATTAAATAATGATCCTCCTGAATATTCTCAAGCTATGGTTCTTTTAACAGAGATTCGAAATGTATGTACAATAACCTTCATATAAAATTTAAATTATCCTTTTGTACTAATCAAGTAACTTTATTAATTTTAAGATTATAAAATTATTATAGACTTTATCAAGCCTATTGTTAGATCAACATACTAAATTAAAGGAAGAAATCAATCAAGTTTTAGATTTAGAGTTAATTCAGAAACAAATAGAAAATAACTCTTTGGATTTCGAGGTAATGAAAAAATTAAACCATAAATGTAATTTAATATCTTTTAACTCATAGTAGTTGTTTATTTTTTTGCAGTATTACACTCATTTTATACTGAACTTAATGTCAAAAATATGTGCTCCAGTTAGAGATGATTCGATAAAAGCTCTTACCCTTTTAAAAGATCCAGTTGATATATTTAAAGGAATAATAGAGGTAAACTTGGTTTTAATTGTTTAAAACTGAAAGTATTAATTACTTTTTATATTTTACAATCTCAAGTTATTTTATAATCTCTAACTGCATTAAATAATGTGTATATTATTTATTTTATTTAGGTTTATGAAATTGATTTATGTTAAATAAATATACCACAGAGAAAATAAATGCTTTTCCCCTTTTTTATTATATATTAACTTGTTTTAGTATAAAAAATTTAATACAAAGATTATTTTGGCAGTACTAAATAATTGTAATTATTAGTTATAAATACAATCAATAGAATAAAAATTAAAATAATTAGTAGTACATTATCCAAACAATATAGTATTAAATATTTTTCAAATTATTATTAAAGAAGGAAAATATATTGAAATAATAAACTTTTGCCTATTTATCATCATAGAAATTTTATATATTTTTTTTCAGTTTAAATTTATATAGATGTTGAATATTCTAATTCAATATTGTTCTTACAGATTATTTAGAAATCATATAAGCAACATTATAGTCTGATTAATAAATGTATACTATTGTTATATTCAATTTAAATTATATAAAATATGATACATGGCTTATATCATAAATTTATAATTTAATTCATATAGTTAAACATACAATTAAACTTGAAATACGCCCATGCTTAATAATATTACAAAGTACCTAATAAATAGTAAATAATTATATTTTAATACTATAATATTTTAAAAAGTCTAAATATTGTTGTAAATAGATTTTATTAAATTTTTAATAATTTTGAAATAAATAAATATAGTAGAAATGTAATGAATAATTAGTGATTTTTGTACATAAATTACAATATTATTTTTTATAAAAATAATTAAATAATTATTCTTATTGTGCTTAAATCTTGAAACATTTAATTATAGTTTTTATAATTCTGTTTTGATAATAAATCATATATTGTAGTCATAATAGTAAATTAATGTAATGCCATGTGATTATAATTCATTAAAGTATTTAATATAGCAGTAAGTATTTAATAAAGTAATTAATATAGCTTAAACAATTATAATTGTTTCAGATATATTTTAAGAAATTGGGTTTTGTGATTTACTGTCCGTTAGCATTGTAAGTAATTGAGATTGATCTCTTTTGTTTGACATAATTACAATGTAGTTATAAAATAAGGATTATGAAAATAAATCTTCTTAAATCTCCGCTTAAGATTGATGTTTTCATATTTATTGTTTTGGAAACCTCACAAAATTAACTAAAAAATATATGAATCTGTTTTTTTATAGAGCTTGAGGCTAAAAATTAAGAGAATAAGTAGTCAAAATAGTTTTCATAAATTTAGTTTAATTTTTAAATGTTCTTTATATTAATTTATTGATTGTTGGACAAAGAATATATAGATGTTCAGAAAATCATGATACCCAATCCTCTTGAGACTGACATTATTTTATATTCAATACATTAAATATTTATTTACATAGTTAAAAATAAATTATAATTTATAGACTTTGAGTTTGATGAGACTTGATATGGCTAATTTTACCATAACTGCACAACGGCGAGCACTGAATGCTTGTAGTGCTGATTATGAACGTGACAAATTTGCAGAGTATTTAAAAATTCAACCAGGTAAAATGTATTTATTATAATAAGAAAATATATATAACCTATTTATTAAAACTTATAATTATTAATTATTAAAAATAGATGCTCTAGATTTAACTGTTGAGTGGTTAAAACGACATGTAGATTTTGAAAAGACTACAGAACCATACCATGACATTATTGCAAGAGCTTATCTGGAAATATTTGATTGGGATGAAAATTTTATATTCCCAGAGGTAATTATTAATTATATTAAAGGTTGCATTCATATTATAATATTTACAAATGGCTTTGTTATTATTTTCAGACTTTGTCTTTAGACAAAAAAAGATACTTGGAAACAAATAAAATGTTAAATGTCTTGATACTCTCTGCATCTGCATTTATTGTAACAATATCATCAATTAGTAATACTATTCCTAATGACTTGGAATTCAAAAAAGTTTTAAAAAATCATATAATATTGATCCTCAAAGATAATGATTCAATCAAGTCTGTATCATTAACCATTTTATTTGAATTTTAAAAGCATTTGCTGTAAACTAAACTTTTTTTTCTTTTTCTATAGCTCAAACTTGGCTTTGTTACCAAATGTTGTAGAACAAGCTGTTAAAGATTCTAATGAATACTTGACATCAAAAGACAGGTCTCCACTTTCACAAGATGTAGTGAAACAAATTGAGACTCAAATTTTGTCAATTAAAGAACCTAATCATAAAATAAGATCCTTAGTTGGTAATGTCATTATTATTTGCTAAGCTAAAATAATAGTGATCTTATTTTTATTGTTTATTATTTTAGATAGGCGAATTAAAGAGTTTATTGCTGCTGTTATTAGTTCTAACAATGCACGTCCTCAACAGTGTCCACTTGGCTTGTCAGCATTTAAAGATGAGCTAGCTGCTGTTACAGGCAACTTTTTACGCCTCATAACCTACAACAGAAAAGTATTTTCTACATTTTATGATGATATTTTAAAAAATATTTTTAACCAGTGCAACTAGGTTTGATTGTTTCATAAAATTACAGTGCTGAATTTAGTATTTTTATTGTATTCTTATTAACTTTATAAATTATAATTAATGTAATATTAAAATCTTTGATGTTGTATACTAATAAGTCTTATTGAATCATATTTTACTATTGGTAATATATTATTTTGTATTTTTATAATATGCCATAACATGTACACAACTTTTAACAAACAATTAATCAAATTCTATTAAAATTTAAAAAAAATTTTGACTAGAATAGTACTTAACTGCTCATAATTATACGTAATATTTCATACCATTGACTAAGTACACAATAATGATTTTAGTGAGCCATAATTTTCAGTTATTCAACACATAGTAATTTTTGATTTCTATAATTACATAAATTATACATTTACATTCAAACTTTTTTAAAAAAAATGACAAACTCTTATGTACTATTATTATGATTATTAAAGACTTGAAATGTTTTATATATATATATTTTATTAAAAATCAAAAATGATCTTTTTAATACATAATACTTAATGTTTCTAAAAAGGTTTAAAATATTTTATTTTATAACTCATATTTTATTTATTTTTTTTTTTTTTTTGTATAACAATCAAATAATTAACTTGAAAAATTATTCTCTTTTTAACTTAAAAAATAATATAAGAATTTTCTTTTTTTTTGCATCTAAGTATATCATACTTTTAAATAGATTTAAAAATTTGAATATAATCTTAAAAACTTGAATACCTATAGCACCCAATGACTAAATAATATTCTATAAAATTGTTTATTAATTGCATATTTTAGTATTGTTAATGTAAAAAATATATTATATTTAATATTCACAATTGATATATTAATATATTCAATATTACTTTAACACATTCACAGTCATGTGTCAACTATAGTAGACATGTGATTGTCTCCAAGTAAACCCACGTTAAACATAGTTGACACATGGTTTATGATTTTTAATTATTTATTATTGGGTTCGGTTTATTCAAACAAATATTATAACATACTGGTTTTTGTAAGCGCTATCTGTGTTATCTTTAGTGTAATTGGTTTTTTGATAGAACCACTGGATACCGAGATAATTGAAATTATTTTTGTTCTTTGGTGTTCATAATGAAATTAAAAAAAATGTAGAATTTGTCACGCAAAAAATATTAAAAAAAACCATATTATTTATTGATACATGCAGGGATAGCAAAGGAAAATCAATAGGTCTGTACAAAGATCCTTGTTTTAAAATTGTCCACGCAAAATTTTATTTACTTTATTTTATTTTTATGTATTATTCTGATCCCAAAGTTATTTCTTTTGATGTTTATTCAGATATTTAATATTTTGTATTTTATTATAAGTTGATTTTTTAATTTTTGTCCATGGTTTTAATTCCGATGTTGATTCTTTTGAATTTATAACACTTTGTTGTTTTATTTGATTGTCATTTATTCGTTTTGTAAATCTTTACCCCCTCTCTTCAAATTCAACTTAAGCAGACAATATACGACGAACAGAATATTGTCGTCAATTTTTAAGACTTATCAACCGTAACATTGCAGAGAATTTTAAAAAAGAACGGTAATCATAATCAATGCTGATAACTGAACTTCTCTATTGTCCATAATACGAATCGAACCGTTTGACAAACATCTCTTTTTTTTTGTTTTCCAATCAGCGCATAACAAGTATATACCTTAGTATTAATTTTTTTACGGGGATAAATCAAAATTCCGTGACTAGTTAAATAGGACCCTCCCCCAGGCACGCGCATATGAAATCAAAAACGCGGATGAAGGAAGCGAATTTAGCGAGTCGTAACGATCCATCGAATCACATTTTACTGAACCCTCTCGGCACAGGGGCGGCATCAAATACCCGGATTACCGCGGGCAGCCCCACCAACACACGTTATCTTCATGTGCGCCGCAGCTGATAATAGCACCGTACCCTATCACGAATTTATCACGTTGCATTATCAGTTGACAGTGAAATGTCGCGGCCGCGCCGGTTACGTTCCTTGTCGGTTTCGACTTGTCCAAACGGCGCAAAATCGTAGCCGTTGTGGTCGAAGTACCCAGGTTCCTTTCATCGATACTACTTAGGTACTTTTTCCTCGTCCCGTCGACCGTCGTTGAACTGCTGTTTGCCAACCGTCGTGTCCCGGATGCACTCGTCCCGACCGGAAAATGACCAATTCTCTGTACGTCATGATCACATGCGTCAAGCTGCTCCTGCTGCCGTCCTAGTGAGTGCGACGCTGTGTGGATCGTGTGTCTGTGGCCCACAGTTGATTCTCGCTGCCGTGGCCACGGTCGGCGGTTTTTTTTTGAAATACGGAAAGCGTAGCGTTCCTCGGACCCCGCGCAACCTCGCCGAGACACCGATCGTGCTCGGTGAAATCGACCATCGAAGCGCCACGCTATACCGTTGTTTGCCGTACGCTTAAACATCGTCTCTATGTGTATCGTTAGTATCGTTGAGCATACGATGGTATCAGTAGTGTGCGGCAACGTTGTTTGGCGAGGGACGCGCACGGCCCCTAGGCCCTGCGATTCACCTTTGTCCACCGTGACCCGAGCCACAGATGTGTTATAATGCGGTCATATGATTCAAGTCCACAGTATAGTCTGGCCGATGCCCCTACCCTTCGATATTGTTGCCACTGTGTTCACTGTTTGTTTTTTGTTTTAGTTTTTCAACCGATTTCGAGGTTCATCGTAATTGGCTAGCGACCACATACAGTCTTCCCTTAAACCAGTGGTACACGGCCAAACACTCGCAATGGACAATCGATTATCCGCCGTTGTTCGCATGGTTCGAATACTTCTTGGCTCAAATTGCAGCTTTTGTCGACATTGACATGTTATCGATACACAATAGTAACTATTCCTCCAATGCCACTGTATTCTTTCAGCGGCTTAGCGTTATCATAACCGATTTTGTGTTCTACTATGGATCTCGAAAGTTAGTATTAACTTTGTTAAATAACTGCATAAATTTAAATTCATATTGAATGGTCCAAATAAATACATAATACTTTAACTAATAGTAAACTGATGTAGAGCTGTCAAATTCACTTCTTAACTAATACTAAATCTTGAAAAATACTTGTTTGGAATTTTAGCCAACCTATCCCTTTTTTTTTCAATGTCTATTCAACTAAACTGATTAGGGAAAACAATTAGTGTCTTAGAATCTTATTCAATTTTACCTAGCAATTTTAAATGTTAACTGTTTAATATATAAAAATGAAACTATTTTATTTTTTATTTTTAATATACAGAAGTTATTTTTATTTATTAATAAATATTCAGAAAAGTATTAGATTGTTCTGATTTCATATATATTATTTAGTATAATGAATAAAGCATTATTTGAGATTTGAAAATAAGTATTAGCCATAGAATTATTACTATATAAAATGTAGAAGTTTGTACTAATGGATAAAATTGTGTTATTAGGTGCGCACAGTCTATTGCATCATTAGTAAAATCACCCAAGATTAATAAGAAAAAATATATGGATGAAAAGGAAATCTCAATTTTTGTCATTGAACTCTTATTAATAGCAAATATAACATTATTGCTTATTGATCAAATACATTTTCAGTACAATGGTTTTCTTTTTGGAATTTTACTTATATCCATATCACATATTTTAAAGGTATAAGTTTTTAATTTTAAATAAAATGTATTTTTACTAATTATATTTTATTTCTTAGGGTGAAAACTATAGGGGTGCATTCTGGTTTACAGTCTTGTTAAATTTCAAGCACATTTATTTGTACTTGGCTCCAGCCTATTTTATTTTTCTACTTAGACATTTCTGTCTTAAACATGGTTTAAGATTAGCATTAAAACGATTTATAAATTTAGGAATAATTGTTCTTAGTGTATTTAGTATCTCTTTTGGACCTTTTGTACTCAATGGTCAAATTACACAGGTAAAGTTAATAATAAGTTAATAAATACACACTAAAATTCTACTAAAAACCAGTATAAGAAAACATTGTTATACTTATACTATTTATTTATTTTTAAGGTTTTCAAACAACTATTTCCATTCAAACGTGGTTTATCCCACGCGTATTGGGCACCAAACTTTTGGGCTTTGTATAATACAGCTGATGTTGGTGCAAAAATTACATGTAAATTTAAACATAATTTTATTCATTTTAAATAAGCATTACTTATGTATTATAAATATATTATAATAAATAACTTCATCTTGACAAAATTAAGCATATCAGTGAATAAGTATATTTTATGTATAGTATGTTAAATAGATATTATTCTGTATTATATATATATATATATTTTATAACATATGTAAGTAATTTATAATGATATATTTAATTTTACAATTTAGCTTTGGTATTTATTGGTTTTGATATATAACCATTACTACATTTTTAATGATTTTAATACTTTTATTTATTATTTTTGTTTCTTTTAGATAAAGACTTAAATAAAATCAACAATAATTCAGTATCAATGACTAGAGGTTTGGTTCAAGAATTTGAACATTCTGTTTTACCATCAATTACTCCCCATATTACTTTTATTTTAACAATACTTTTTATGTTGGTAAGTCTTTTATTATTTTATTTTATGTATATTTATATAACATGTTTATACTCCAAAGAATTTATCGGGTTTCAATTAGTTTTCATTATTTAATTGTATGAAAAAAAAACAACTAAAAATTATGTTTTTCTATAATTTTTGTATAGGTACTATTGTCTATAATATTCTATTCTATTTTGAATCTAGTAGATATTCCATTTGTTTAAATTTTTATAAATTACATATCGTACTATCAGTGCAAGAGGGACATATATCAAAAAAATTAAATTAAATTTACGTTTTTGGTATCTCTGAATTTGTAATTTTTTTTTTTTTTTTTTTTGAAGTAGTGAGATCTATGTAATTATATTTTTAAATTATCAGTTATATAAATAAACTTATTGCACTAAGACAGATCGAGAGGTAGCTGAAAACAATAAAGCCGTAATATGAAATGTAGCCTTTAAATTATACTTGTTAATAACAATATTATAAGAAAATGTCTGGTCTAGTTAGTCATATTGATTTTTAGCAGAAGAAAGTTACAAACTATTAGAAATTCTCTCCTGAACAATTTAATATTTTTGATATATGTCCCTCTTACACTGATAGTGTGATATGTCAAGCATTATGTTACATTTGAATGTAACCATACCTACAATAAATGTGTGTAATGTATCTATTTACAATTTGTAAATTTGTATACTTAAAATTATTGTTTTGAGAACCAATTTTTAATGTTTTCAGCCATGTTTATATAAACTTTGGAAATCTACTAGAAACCCAATCAGTTTCGTAAGATGTCTTGTATTATGTGGCTTAACTTCATTTATGTTTGGTTGGCATGTTCACGAAAAAGCGCTACTGCTAGCAGTCATACCTTTGACGTAAGCAATATTCTCTTTTTATTATAAATTAGCATTATTGTATTTTTTCTATATTTTTCTTACAGGTTATTGGTATTCACTTCTTCAAATGATTGCTCTATGTTTACAATTCTATCAACGCTATGTACATACTCGGTTTTCCCTTTGTTATTTAAGCCATTTGAGTTCATTACGAAATCATTGTTACTTTTAATTAATGTTTCTTTTTTATATAATTCTGGTAAATTCAAGTCATTAAATCATATAGAAAAATTATATTTAATAAGCCTTGGGCCATTGATGTTGTTGACTGAAGTTGGATGGATGGTTTTAAAGTTTGAACAGAGGTATCCATTCCTTCCATTGATGCTTACATCATTCCATAATAGCTTAGGTGTATTTTATTGTTGGGTAAAATATTATTTATTTTATATTTACAACTAGATTAAACCAAGTTAAGTTTTTAATTATTACTCATATATTGTATAGAGAAGGAAATTTTTTTTTAATAAAGATTTATTTATATTTATTTATAAGAAATGTAATTAGTAAAAATTAAATTGTGTATTAATTTGTATTTAATTTTTGTATTTGTTTTACTAATTGACTAGATAATTATATCGATGTTGTATATTTATATATTATTATTTTCTACAATCAATTATTCCATTTGCCATCTTATTATAATTATTTCTTTTAATAATAATATTAACATTACTAGAAGGAGTTTTGAATTGTTTATAATCTGGGATTAAATTTAATTGATACATTGTATATGTGATTTAATTGTAAGCTAAAAAAACTCACTTGAAAATTTATTTATTAGTCTGATTAATATTACTATCTTATTAAGTAAAAAAAAAATAATAGTTTGTAAAATCAAATCGGACAATTTACGTTGTTCAGTATCCTTGTTGCAAAAATTGTTCCTTTTTTTTTTTTGTAAATCGGAGATGCTTGCACTAAGCTTAGTATTGTTAAAAGCTATCACATTTGTATTGAGCTTGAGCTCTGTTATATATAACTATGTAACGATTATGTAACAATTGAAACAAAACATTGATCTACAAAATATATATTTAATATATGATATATTTGATTAATTATATTATCGATCAGTTTGCAGACATAATGCTTTAATATAATAGCTAAAGAAACATATCTATTAATAACGATAGTAAATATACTAATCCAAAGGTGTGAAAATTATGCGGGCGACTATGTATTGGTCAGTGGTGGAAATTAGTGATTCAAAAATGTTTTATGGTTCTCGGGGAGCAGCGAGTGGCTGCAAATGAATATTCTAAAATAAAACGCGACCGTATATCTTGCGTATGTATGTAATGATACTGTAGCAGCGAGTTCATTAATATTTTGACACACTTTTCGAGTCAAAAGGATCATGTGGTTGGTTTTTTTTTCCTACGTTTTCCATCCAAACAATGTTTATATGACAACTGGAATGCCAAAAATATCCCGGATAGATTTCCGTCCGCGAGAAGCCCGTTTTGGTGGGGACGAGCTTAATTAGCAATCTCGAACCCGAGCAGTCGGTCACAGACGTTAGTGGGACCTCCGTCGGTATACATATTATTTTTTTGTAAGTACACCATCAGCATCATAATCTTTAATTTGAACCTAATATTATTTTACTTATATCTTATAACCTATAGGCATTATCCGTTCGTATCAATGTACCATAGTTATCGATTTACTTATTTTATTACTAAACAGTTTAACAAATTTTTTTTTTTGCTCGAATACACGCCGTCGTGGCGCGAATCGATAGCATGCAGTGAATACGATGAACGTATTTAATGTTATAATAAAATAAAATACATGTTCTCGGCACGAACGTATAATAATTTATTTGCCGCGTTCGAAACAATTTTCCAATACCTAAAATTCGTTTGACGTATGTGTTTTGCCCGCCGAGAGTACGATCCAGTGACGCGATATGATCATTCCGATTGACTGACATTATCGATAACTCTCTGGTTTCTTTTTTTTAAGTTTTCCTAAGTATTTTTATTTGTTTGTGAACTCCGACGTTCAATAGAAGTATTCCTTTTTGAATATTCATATCGATATGCACTTGTGTACATGGAAATTCAGTCTTCGTGTGGTTTGCATGTTTTATAAAAACCAAACTTCTTTGTTTTTATGTGTCTTAATAGTAGTTACACATACTTTCCAAAAATGCAATGACGTAATTTATATTTTGGTTTTAAATGAAGTAATTGAAAACCACTAATAACACATACGTAGTGCTAAAAAAAAATATACAAATATATGAATTGTGCAATCAAATAATATGATCAAAATTACTTCGGAGGGCATAGGAAATCCTCCGTATATAAGTAATATATACTTAAATTCGATTGAATTTTGATATATAATAGATATATAAAATATATCGTGTGCATTTTTTCGTTATTCTTTTCACTATGGTTTTACACCCGTCCTTCTGTATATCTAAAACATTTTTCTATTTGGTAATTAAATGATGCCCATGATATGCATTACAACAATAATTCAGATAAACGATTCGTTAATAGCGGTCATAGTGCTCTCGGAAACCGAACGATTTTCTATCTGCATAACATTATACGCCGGAGTGTATATATAAATAGACGTATTAGGATTTTGTGGGTCGTAAAAAGGCAATGTTGGCAGGCCGAACGGGCAGCGGCTAAAAATATCAATAGGATCCGATCCCTCCCACATATTTTCAGAATCAACGTCCATTCGTTCCTTTGAGAAATCCATTTTCAAATAAAATTTCACGGGATATATTATATTGGTTTTTATGTTCAAATTTTGAACGATTTTTGGTTTTCCAGAGACTAGGCCCGAACAACACACTTAACCATGTCTGATGAAGAAGAAGTGTACACGTAAGTTATTTTAAAATAAATAATTTTTACCTAATGCAACTGCACCCTATACCTATACCTATACGATGTTGAATTTCCAAAGTGAAATTAATTTTATTTTTGACCACTTTTTGAATCGAAATTAATGATTTACTGTAAACATTTTAACTTCTAAAATATACCAACTCAGTTAAAATTTAAATACAACATATACTTACATTAGTGTAGTTATTTCGGAAGTATTTTAATGATTTTTCATACTACTGTTGTAGTTTAGTTTCATTTAATAGTTGATTATTAATTACTTATTGCATTTTCGATAATAGACATTTTACTAAAATTATATAGATTCAGTACATTGCATATTTTTTGCCACGAGATTTAATGTTTTAAATAATAATATCAAACGTAATTATTTTATAGTATTGCGTGTATTAGTTAAATTCTATGAAATATGTTGCATGAATGCATGGTATGTAATAATATATCCATATGTAATAATATAATTATAGACCCAAAATGTATGTAACTTATGTATACAGTCGATAATTCGAATATCGAATTACATATTAAATCTTTCGTCAGTTGTGTCTTAATGTTAATTTTTTTCAAAAACTCTATAACTACTTCATTCCCTTTCAGGAATACCATGACTCGACTGTATATATTAAAATATTTATGACATTGATATCCTCTCACTGTATATCATCTCTATAGTAGATGTTTAAATTATATACTCAAAAACCAGATTAAATGTTTTTTTTTTTTTTTAACTAAAAGAAGGCGATTTTTTCCAATACAAAAATTACGTTATGTCCGTGTATAATTTTGGGGATATAATTGACTTGAAAAAATCCACAATCAATTGATGATAGTGCGAATGCACAAGAACATTTTGCGTAGGTCTGAACTGTCAAGTTAGGTATACACGCTTCATAGGTTGCAAAGATTAGGTTATTGTGATTAATAAATATTACACCAAAGTTATATCAGAAATATTGTGTTTCAGTGATTCCGAAGAGGAAACGTAAGTTTCAACATATTTAGTTATTATTTTGCGCTTATAAATTGCTTCTGCAAAAACATTTGAAATGCATGTCAGTGAATACGTGCAAGACATTAAGACAAGAAACGATAAATACATCGAGAGTGGAGAGTTTGGAAGAAAAATTTCAAATGCATTGTACATATACATATATATATATATATATATATATATATATACAATTCAAGCTAAAAATGAACTCTCTGACAAGAAATATAAATGTTTTCACATTTGAAGATAATAATAAACTTTTGCCAAGAAATTCACTTGCAATTTTAATTTCAATTTTTAGTCACATGATTTGATTTTTTGGCTTGAATTTGCTTATTTCCGCACGCTTTTCTAAATTGTATACATATTATATATATACACACGTTATAAGCCAAATTATTTTTTGTATTGAACATCCAAATAATTTATTTGGCTTGTTTATTTTTAATAGAGTGTACAATAAGTATCCATTATTATTGTAATACTGTGTAAATAATACTTCGAAAATGGTTTTCTTTTTAACTAGATTTGCTAAAAATACAAATATTTTCGAGTGAAAATTTTATACAAGTTAAATTTAAAATTATATTTCTAGGTTAATTATAAATTTAAGTCTAAAATACTAAAAATCTGTGTATTTTTATTCATCCATATACACACACACACAAACACATACACACTTATATTTATATATAAATTAATATAATTTTGGATGGATATTTGTTTGTACACTCTATATTTGTGATATTTTTGGAATTTGTCTAAATCGTCATTTTTGACGCAGGCAACCGGAGCCTGAAAAAAGCAAAGAGTAAGTTTACTACAATGGGAGTTAAAGTAAAACATGTGTATTGAAACTAAGTTGATTCTGAAGTAGAAAGTAGAAAGGCTTAGTGCAGAAAATCCATGTATAAGCCTTTAGTTTAAGCAGTATTGTTTTAGTAGAAAAATTAGTTAAACATTTATGGAAACGTATTTTTTTTTTTTTTTAGTTTATTGGAAATTATTAGAAAGTTTAATTGTTGGATATATTTAGTCTAAAATATTAGAGTAATATTTAGATGTTTTGTATATTTAGAATGATTTTTAAAGAAGTTTTTTCAATAGTTTTGAACATTTTTGAAGTATAAACAATACATAGAACTGATTTTGTGTGCAAATTTTTTAACAATAAATTTTGTGTGTTTTTACCATTCATTTGCCTGGCGATAGGCCACATGGCATCGTTACTAAAAATTATTTTTATTCTGACAATATATCCTGTTACAGTTAACTGGTGCCAAAATTCAAATGACCCATTTATTAATCACATATTATAAATAACACACCCCCCGCAAGGGAAAATAACACGGTATCATTAGCTCATAAAAAAAAGTATTGATATCACAATTAATATATAATATTTGTTTACTTTATTTTCTTTTTCAAACTCAAGTGGAGACGGAGATCCCGAATTCGTAAAGGTAATTAAAATGAATTGTATTATTTAATCCGATATTTGCAGTGTATAAGATTGTTTACATTATTTATATGGGCAATATTTTGGTTTTAATTAGAGGCAAGAAGCTAAATCCTCAGCCTTAGACGAGCAGCTTAAAGAGTACATTCAAGAATGGCGCAAACAAAGATCAAAGGAGGAAGACGACTTGAAAAAGTTGAAGGAAAAACAAGCCAAGCGCAAAGTTATGCGTGCAGAAGAAGAAAAGAGGATGGCCGAGAGAAAGAAGCAAGAAGAAGAACGCAGACAGAGGGAAGTCGAGGAAAAGAAACAAAAAGATATTGAGGAAAAACGTAAGCGCCTAGAAGAGGCCGAAAAGAAACGCCAAGCCATGATGGCCGCTCTTAAAGAACAGACCAATAAATCAAAAGGACCCAACTTCACCATCAGCAAAAAAGAAGGTGTAAGTGTTTAACTTTATCTAAAGCTCTCGATTTATTATAACTACATACAAATATTATTGCGATGTAATGGTTCGCTTATGGTATGATTTCTCAATTAACATTTTATTTCTTTATGAATTAAGGCATTAAGTATGACTTCTGCTCAACTTGAACGTAACAAGACCAGAGAACAAATTGAAGAAGAAAAGAAAATATCGTTGAGCTTCAGAATTAAGCCCTTGAATATCGAAGGATTCTCTGTACAGAAACTTCAATTTAAAGCCACTGAACTTTGGGACCAGATTATAAAACTGGAAACCGAAAAGTACGATTTGGAGGAAAGACAGAAGAGACAAGAATATGACGTAAGAACTACACTTAGATATTAATTACGATCGGTAGATTTTTTCGTAAATATTAAAATTAAAATTGTATACGTTTCAGTTGAAAGAGTTGAAAGAACGTCAGAAGCAACAGCTCCGTCACAAAGCCCTGAAGAAGGGTCTTGACCCTGAAGCCTTGACCGGCAAATACCCAGTAAGCACGTCCCACGATCATTATTTTATTACTGTTTTAAAATTGAATTATAATTTACTACAGTATCATTAGAATAAAGATTTTGTTTTCACCGATTTTTTTGTTTTGTGTGTTTGTGTAGCCCAAAATTCAAGTTGCTTCCAAATACGAGAGGCGAGTGGATACAAGGTCCTATGACGACAAAAAGAAGCTGTTCGAAGGAGTAAGTGTACACGTATTATATAAACGAATATTGATCTATACAGAGATGTTAACAAAATAATAGGGTTTGGAAGAACTGATAGGTGAAAAGAACGAATTTAACTGGAATCGTAAATACGAACAATTCATGAAAAGAAGTAGAAGTACGTAAATGTAGAGCATTTTGCCTTGTTTTTACGGCCAGAAAACCTAATTGCCCGTCAATGTATACAATATATCCGCCTTTACTTATACTTACCAATTCACCTACACTTATCCAGACCTAGATCTAGAATTCATATTTAGTCTCTACTGAACCCATGTTTTAAGTTTTCATACCTGCATGCACGTTACCTAGCCCTATTTTTGTTTGAATTTATAGGGTTACATGGAGTACACTAAAGAATCAATGGAAAAAAAATGGACAGAAAAGAGTGGCCAATTTGGTGGTCGCGCTAAGGGTAAGTAAAGCCCATCATCGTCCGTTTTTTATCACGACCGTGATTCTTAAATTATTTTGTTGATAATTCTCATTCGTAATACTTAAAACCGGTCAAACTTACGTCAAATTTAAGATGATTTATTCCAATTATTAAAATCTCATAAAAAATTGTATCCAAATTTACAATATATAATCTTTGAGATGTTTATAATACAATGTTGGGAATTTATACTATTTTAAACTTTAATGTTACAAGAGAAATTTGATATCTTCAAAAATTCAAACTAAAATATATTTTAATAAAATTTAGTTAATAAAAGTTAAAAATTAATTGTTTTTTTAATAGAAAAAATTTAATTTTTATTAAGTTGAACTTAAACTAACTTTCATTGTTTAAAATTTGTTGAACATGTATGCTTCTGTTGTATCATACTCTCGTGTAATACGAGTAGCTGTCTCAATAGATGTAACTTATCATAATACTTTTTAAGTTTAGATTGAATAAGTGGAATGGGTTATCTAAATATAGATAAGAAATATATTCTTAAAAAAAAATATTCTCTACGTCTCAGATTTTAGTCGTGTGAACTTAAATTTTTATCTATAGTGATACTACTTTATTCTACAATAATTTTAAATTTCTTTTTAAAAATCGATGATTGATATATAACCATGAAGAGATTTGGAGTTCTACCTATGTGGTCAATTTAATATATTATTTGAATTCTATGTGGATTTTTACAGAATAATTTAAAAAAATAAAAATATATGAATATTTTTCTATTTCTATTTTTCTAATTGACTCACATTTCGTTTACGTAAAAACAATTATCCACTCAGATAAATTCTATGCTTTCGACAACAAGGTAAAGTCATAAAAAATATAATAATAATAATAACAATAATAATACTGTACATTCTTGATAACTATAACGTCTATAATTAAATTCTTAAAATAATATATACTTTACTGTACACAAATTTACAATAAATTATTATTTTCTCATCTTGCTCAATTTTTGAACCATCAAGAATTTACTTGTATTATTACTTATAAGTTTTCGGTTTTTTTTTTTATCACTGCACTATTATTTTATTTAATGGAAGTAATAAAAAGATATTTTGTTTGTTTGAAACATGTATAAAACCGTTGGTCAGTTTATTTAACTGCATGCAACCAACGTAATACACGTTCTCAATCGTTTTCATATATAATATGCACATATGATTTATTACAGGACGGCTACCGAAGTGGTTCGGCGAACGTCCAGGCAAGAAGAAGGACGATCCCGACACTCCTGAAGAGGAAGAACTCAAAAAGAACGAAGAAGACGAAGAACCCTTCGGTCTTGACGATGAGGAAGCCGAAGAAGAAGTAAATTGAGAAAATTATTTACTTTTTTTTTTTGCTTGGAGTGCATGCATGTAACATTGCAATTTGCTTATTCTTACAGGTCGAAGAAGAAGAAGAGGAAGAGGAAGAGGAGGAAGAAGAAGAGGAGGAAGAGGAGGAGGAAGAGGAAGAAGAAGAAGAAGAAGAGGAAGAGGAGGAATAATAATAATAAAAAATAATTCCACCGATGAAATATGTTTGAAAGACCAATTTCAAAAACAAATAAAAACCATTTATAAATGAAATGAATTAAAATTATATACTTCTGCCTCAATGTAAAAAAAAAAAAATTAAATGAATAATTGTACTATTTAAATACTGTTTGTTTGTACAGGACAAAATATTAATAAACACTCGAGGAAGTTTATAGATTATTAAGTATTTAAGTATTTATACGGACAATTGCGGATAAATTGATCACAAGTGGTCGTGTTATCCCATAATTATTGTTCTTATTAATTTATTAAAAAAAAAATAATAATAATAATAAATTGTGAATTTAAACGAGTCGTATTTAATTTAATTTGAAAAGTTTTATATACATTTATTCACTTCCATAGAAGTTTGTTTGATATTTTTAAATTTGTAACTTATAACTGATATATTAAAAACGTCTTGTTTAGTTATAATTATTTTCTTGTACTTTTATGTAGACCCAGGCCCGTCGCTAGAACATAATCAAGTCATGAGCTGGTTTAGAGCGGCATACAATTTAAAGAAATTTAAGTGGTAAAATTACATAAATACCGACAACGGACGACAATAATTACTGTTACGCATCTTTACTATAAACTGTATTAGCTCCACTAGATTGCTGCGACTGTGAATGATTACAGAATATTATAATTCCGATTAGTTATACATTTAATTAAGAGCGGGAATATAATTTTCGCTTTAGGGCGGAAAATATCTAACGACGGGCCAGTGTAGACCACGCAGTCCGGATATCTAAAGAAGTGTATTAGGCTACGTTCAGACGACGATATTTTTCTCGTATACCGTATACGGGATTTTATCGAAAAGAGCAGTGGCAGCGAATGTTATATTTATACGTTCATTCTAAGCCTACGCGGGAAAATTTCGTATTCGCGAAATATTTTTTTCCGTATACCGTACGAACTTGTCACTACGATTCGATAAATCTCGAATGTAGCTGTTTTATTATCATAATAAGTTTTAGCACGAACATTTAGAAAATTTACTTTTACTTTTCTATTACGAAATATAATTTATTTTTTACCAAATATTTTAGAATAAATTACATTTAATTCAATCATTATCAGTTAAAATACGTACCCCTAATAAGGGGCCCTGTGAACATGTCTATGATTATATCATATTCTATAATATTCTATGAAATAATAGTATATTTTTATTGTCTGTCTGTAAGTTAGATATTTGAAAAAAAAATAAATAAATTAAAAGAAAATTTAATGTAAGATAGTAAACTTGTGGCCCCATTTCTAAGTTTTTGTTTTTGAAAGTTATGCAGTTGAAATTAATTTTTCCAAAAAGGTGCATATTCCTTTAAATTAATATTTTAAAACGATTTAATAAAAATATCTCACTGTCTATTATATTAATGTACCTATTCACAATAATTTGCATATGATTTTTACTGATAAAAATATGTATTACGTATAATATAATTGTATGCCATATAGCAGCGGTTCGCAAACTGTGCTACCCGAATCTTTAGAGCTTCGCGAGAGAAGTCTAGAGGCTCCATTGTACATCTAAATTAATTAAATGTAAATATCATTATAATTCTTTGTCATCAAAGAGAAATACTGGTACTTGAATTGAACATTTTAGTTACACCCGTTAAATTTACGAATCGAACTTACTGATAAAATTTGGTTATTTCGACTTCAATACTTGGCTGATATTTTCATAAAATGAAATTAAGTAAATTTATCAATACCAGTTATAATTACCATAGTTTTCTCAGCAAATTACGAAATCCGAGCTTCTAAAAAAAAAATGTGTGTTTTTCTCAACATAAAATTGATAATTAATGATATGTTAATGATAGGTACGGACAAATGTATGAAAACTTCGGCAAATCTTTTTATTCGTATTTTAATCAAATTAAACTCGATTTAATGATTATAAATATTAATTAGCAATAATTTTTAGTCGATGTTTAGCTAATGAGTGGAATAAATAAGATATGTTTTTAAAAAAAGAATTGTGGTTGCTGCGAGAAAAATTCTACATAATGCAACAGAAAATAAAATCAATGGATGGTATAGAATTATTATAATATTATAGTACTGATAAATCAATAATGTAGACACTAAACATCCACTAATACATTGTTGGATATTTTTACCCAGAGTTGTTTTTAGATCAAAATGTCAAGTCAAAAAATATTACAGACAAATTAGAAGTTGGTATAGAAGTTTCGACATCATCAGCGAACATAAACTGTAATCATATTTACATTATTCTAACTGTAAATTCCATCCCTATGAAATGCATACTTGATATAAAATTTAATTTTTTGTTGAATCAGAAGCTATGTACAAGAAAGCAAACAATCGGATAGACAAGCTTGAAAAGATCGAAGACGCATTAAAAACCGAAAAACAGTATTTCGTTCAAGTGAACAGAAAGATGGCTAAGGAAATCGGTAATTTTAATTTTTTATTTTTTATTGATTAATTGCAATCAAACAAAAATCACTCGTTCCACGATAAAAATCACTGTAATATACGTAAACGTTCTGTGAACAAAAAGGTTTTCAAAAAATTCAGGGGTCAAACGAAGAAGAATTTGAACGACGTCAACAGATTTTTAAATTATTATAAAAGTAATACGTCGCATGTATTTATAGAATTATAATCGGAAACATTAAAATTTTTAATGTTTAACTCTATATTGTGCGTTTAAAGACAACTATTATAGATATAAATAAATTGGAGACCGAAATTAACGCTCGTTGTAAATACGACAAACTAAAAATGAGACTGTGTATGATTGAAAGTAAGATTAAATTATCTATAACGGTTATAGTCAAGGCTCGGAACTTTAGGCATTTGTATATTTATCTAGAAAGTGCATATTGAAATTTTGATTCGATACAAATTCGATTCATAATATTTATATTTCAGATATAAAAATTTTTGTTGTATAATTTTGCATATTTTGTTAATTTTTGTACCAATTCGCATATTTTGGGTTTAAGAATATTTATATGCATATTTCATGGATTTAACATTTTTTTTAAAAAAATGTATCGTTTAATAATAAAATATTAGAAATATGACAACCAAAATTCTAAGTTATATATCGTTTGATAAAATAAATTAATTCATCAACGGCCATTATTTGTATTGCTCCGGCTACCAATGCACTTAACAATAATATTATAATCTTTATAGTACCGAGAATTTGTAATAGTAACCACCGCCGGCCCATATTTATTTTTATAAAAAATGACCACTGTATTATATTTTGTAACATGACATAGACAAATTGTATAACCATAGGTAATTCGTAAACAATTATGCTTAACCATTAGGTTATCAGCTTACACACAATGTTATTTCTGTTCGTTATAATACTGCGTACATGTGCATGCAATCGATTTCATTGTACAATGTACACTAGTCAGTAGTCAGTTTATTATTTTTGAAGCAATTATTTTCCAATTTTTTACTGCATATTATACCGCATATTTTTATGTTTTTAACGCATATTTTAGTATTTTTTAGCGCATAAAGTTCCGAGCCTTGGATATAGTGAACATTAAGTTTAAATGTTTTACAAATTTAATTTTCAGAAGCAGAAGTGACAAATCAGATTAACGTACAGCAAATGATGCAGAATATTTATATAATTAATAATAAATAAATAAATAAATAATAAATTATATATATAAATTATTATATAAAATTAAAAAAGTAATTTTTATTTATTTTTTATTTCGACATAAAACGAACAGTGTATTTTAAAATTCCGCGCCAATCCAAATCATGTGATTTTGATGTTTTATAAAAATAATATTACTTAATAGTTGTCATAGGCAATCTCGAAAAATCAATTAACGTTTTTCTTAGTTACCACTGGAGACAGTTGTTGATACCTCGATAATAGAATTATTCTTACATTTTCCGTCGATTTCGTTAATTTTGTCTTCCGTATTACGAATTTGTTTTGTAATTTATTCGTTTCAAATATACCAAGAGTATATTTTATTGTTTTTATATTTAATTTGTTGTGGAAGATAAATTAAAAAACAATGAACAACACAGAAGCAATTTGTATTTGTGATATGGTCGGCCATCTGAAAGTTAAGAAGATGATGTATACGAAGAAGAAATGTTCGCTGTGTGATCAGAGATGTCTCTTTAGAGTTTTGAAAATGGTTGAATGCATCGGTAAGGTAGACATATATGACTAGAGATAAGATTTTGGTACAAAAACAATAGTTTCTAAAAAATACAATTCTATCATCAAAATCCTCATTCTATTTTTGGGGTACTCGCGAGATTAAGTAAAAGTACTGTATTCTATCCAAAACTTGAATATTCCGTTTGACAGCGTGCAATCGTGTGATGCACAAAAGGTGTTTTGAGGTGGCTAAAAGTCAATTAGTGCACGCACCGTCCGGCGGTATAGTGGTGGACCAAAACATCAGTACCCTAGCCACTCTTGGCCATAGACGCCAAATACTCGGTGTTACTGCAGACACTGAAAAACAAAAGGCAGGAAACCGCGGTCCAGAGTTAAAGACTGAAGTGCTATGGCTGCGGAACACTAGAAATTCGGCAGTCTACAGGATGAAAGTAGAATTGAAAATCGGCGAAAAGTGTTACGTGGACTATTACAAGCTAGATGTCAAAAAGTTGTGTTGATGGCAGCGGTGATCATATCGGAAAAGGAAAGAAGCTTATGGAAACAAAGCTTACAATAGTTATTTTACCTAAAGCATTAAGAAGTTGGATGATGTAAAATTAAATTGAACATATAAATACAACGAAATAGTATAGGGTTAGGTATTTTGAAGGCATAGGTAATCTCGTGTTATTATTTGTTGAACGTATAATGTAATTATCATACAACGCGATTGACTTGAAAATTATATTATAAGTTCAACAAATAATACGAAATTGCCTATGCCACAAAAATACCTATACTATTTCGATGTACTAATATGTTCGATTTTTTTTATATCATTCGACTTCTTAATGCACTAGGTAAAATAACTATTATAAGCTTTGTTTCATAAGCTTATTTCCTTTTCTTATTTCACGCTAAGGACAGTTAAAAAAAAAAATAAAGAAGCCAATGGCACGTAGTGTTCCCAAATGGCCATTCTCCCAAGAACCAAAGTACGTTTCAAGGCACCAGTATCTGTGAATAAGAAAAATATATTGACTATTTTTCAAGATGCACACATTTTGGTTTAACCTAAAGCTGCGTCTAAACAGATCGACCGCGTTCGTAATCGTTAATTATTATCACAAAATTTATCGCATAACTACAATATTGTGGACGCATGTAAATTCCACCGATTGCTACCTTTTTAGACCTTTTTTCATGTAAATTCCATAGTTACGTTTTTATTTTACCTGAAAAAAATATAAATTCCACTGATATGTTTTTTTTAGGTAAAAAAAAATTATCGGTGGAATTTCCATGTTATAAATCTAACCTTAAAATTTTTATCTCAAAATATATTTGTTATTCAGTCCAAAATCGTTATTGAAACATTATTAATCATTAATCGTCATAAAATAGTCATGATTAAAAATTAACATATTTTGTAATCGTAATCAATACTACGATTACATTATGAATTTAATCATTTAAAATAATTCTTTATTGTGATTATTGATTACATTAATTTATATTATGATTAACAACTAAAAATTTTAATCATAATCTTTAATCATCAATCAGATTAGGATTTGCCCAACACTGGTGTCATTGTTCAGAGTCAATACAAAATAATACACGACAAACTAAATTAAATATTTTATAAATTATAATTAAAATGGCTTTAAAATTTACAAGTGGTGCTGCGAAACGCAAAATAAAAAAACAAAGAGAAGGATCTATTATACGAATAACGAAAATTGATACATTTTTCAAACAACACCATGAAAAAACAAAAAAAGAGTGAGCTATTGATGAACCAGGTATTTTGTCAAATAAAATGAATGCTGTTAGTAATTCTATGATCCAATATTATTATATGTAATACATGTAATGTATTAAAAGTTCTTCAGTCTCCTAAACAAGAATCGAGCACAGCAGTTTCTTTACTTAACTATGCGTTGATAAATCTTCAAAAATATAGGTCAAAATACAGTGATTTTTTTTACTTCAGCAAAAGAACAATTTAAAATCAATATATTTTATTTAACATTAAATAATCCAACAATACCATTAAAAGAATGTTTTACCAATTTAAATTACAAAAAAAAAAAATTTTAAATTTCTTATTTATCTAATGCTCTTACTGGTCAAATTTTGTTGTTTAGATCTTGTTTTAAATAAGAAATTACAAAACGAACATCGGTAAAAGCAATTATTGAATTACTAGTTATAGAAAACCCTACAATAACATTTTTTGAAATATGTACAGCGTATGATATTTTTAACAGTTCCCGTAACAGTTGCTACAGTGGAACGTTCATTTTTAAAATTAAAATTAATAAAAAAAATATTATTGGAGCACAATGTTTAAAGAAAATTAAGTGGACTTGGAATTCTATCTATTGAAAACGATCGAGCATATAGTTACATTTTTAATTAATTGGTAATTGGATTATAGCAATCGACGTTAAGGTATATGAGACGGCACTTTAAATAGGCAATATAGATACAATAGTGTACACGGACGTAGACAAATTAATAATTGCAATCGTACTTGGTATCACTACGTTATCGTATTATAATATTCGTTCATGTAATTAAAATACATTATTATTTTCAGTATTAAATAATTACCAACATTTTTTCTCCCTTGAAAAAATGAATATTTTAATTTTACATAACTAAAACAAGATTTTTTTAAAATTTTTAATCTAATACGAAAAAAACTGAATATTTCTAATTGTAAACTATTTGATAGATTACAGACAGCCATTGCACCCCCTCCCTCAAGACTGTATTGTAGTATCTACGAACTAAGGTAAACGGTTTTTATCATTTTATTGCGCATTATTTAAACTTCATCAATTTTGAAGAAATTTAATCGCCATCCTTTTCCAAAATGAGCACCTGTTTACGTGACTAGTTTTGAAATTTGATCTCGTTGAACTATTCGATCTTAGGGATAAAACCTACGGAAAATCTGACATTAATTTTGGAAGTAGGTCAAGGTCCTACCTCACTAGATTAAGTCCACTTAACGAGGTAAAAAATGGTTCATCTCGAGGTGAAGAGATCTCTTTTACCTATAAAACTGTTCCAATTCATTTCTTTTACATATTTTACAAATGATCCGATATAACTGTTAATGCAATATCCAGTGATGTGTTGCTGAAAATAAATTACGGCCATAAATCTTTTTCGTGTGAATAGGAGCTAATACACCCTACTATAAAGTGAAAAAAACAAATGCTCTCTTTGTTTGATAACATTTTTTAAATCAATTTTTCTTGCTCATCCATCATAAACATTTTAAGTATCTAATTTTTATTGCTAAAGATTGGCAACTTATTTGGAACTTTTGCTAAAGTTAGTTCAATATTTTTTCCATAGTCCTTTACCAAAATAAAAACCATGAAAACCTAGTAGAAAAAATATAAATTGTACACAATATATTATGAGATATTTATACTAGATACATATAACAAGAACAAGGACTTCAGATTAAAAAAATAGACATAAAATATTGGATATTAGTGGTGATGTAGGTACTTCATACTTAAATATTGACTTTTCTTGATCAGTAATTTCATACTTTTTCAATGCAACAAAATGTATTACAAGATTATCGTAATAATAAATACATATATACGTACAAGTTATGATTGAATAAATTAAATATTTGCTATTTTAAATTATACAAACAATAAAAATAATAATGAATTCACAGAAAATAAAAACATATCAATGGACATTTGATATTAGAATTTTAAAGATTTTTATTAGGCATAATATTACTACGATGATAAACATTAGAATTTATTAAACTTGGCACTCTTTTTACGAATCTTGTCCTTTTTCACAGGTTTCCTACCATTCTTTTGCCTCCGGTGCTCTTTGATTATTCTCTGTTTCAGTATGTGTTTGGTGTCCAATTTCAGACGGTGTTCAGATTCTTTTTCCCGCAATTTAGCATTATGTCTTCCCCAGCGAGTGTCTAATCTGAATCGGAACACTAATGAAAACAGAACAAATATTAACATTAATACTGTAACAGTATATAAAGCTTACAAGTAATGAATTTGTTTAATCTTTCACAGTTTTTTAATTTACTTATTTTTGAACTCAACATAAATACTAAGTTAAAAAAAGTTATCTTACATAAGAAAAAATAAAATAAACTTCATTATAATCTAAACTCATGTAATTAGTATTTTTGGTCACTTTTAAATGTTAAATTAATATTGTTAATAAGTTATTAACATCTGTAATAAATTGAATTATCACTATTAAAATATTGATGACTTACATAATACACTGAATTCTAACAATAATATTGATTTTATAATTTACTAGAAAATTATAACAATACTTACATGGTGCTATTTTCTTTTCTTCCTCTTCATTATTTTCTTCAGATGCAGAATTCTTTAATTTTGTCTTCTCTTGCCATTTCTCATACCTGTCACTTTTGTATGTAATCGGTATCCAATGCCCAGACTCGGATTTTATTTTTTTTACTTGTTTCTTTTCAAGGCTCTGTGCACTCACATATTTATGACTTACTGGATCCCATTTACGTTTATTTGTACGCTGTTGGGCTAGTGACTGTTCTGAGTCACCCATCAAATCTAATATTCCATCAGTTGATTTCAACTCATCAATAGCCAATCTAAAAATTAATTAATTAATTAAAAATCTTACAATACTAAATGAAATGAAATAAGCATAAAAAAGTAATTATATACCCCTCTTCTGTATAAGCATCAGCTGGTTTATATGGTATAAAATGTTCGGATTTAACAGGTGGTTTAGGTTTTTGTTTTTGTTTTAGTTTCTGTTTTTTTTTTTGACCAGTCACTCGTGGTCTTTGAGTTATGATGTCATTAAATGTTTCATTAATTTCAGTTTGATCACTTGATGGTAAATTCACTTTCTTTAACCTTACACCATCTGTATCAGAAAGTTGTTCACGTTTTTTTCTATGATAGTTAACAACACTAGGCATGTTTCTTTCTCGTAGCAATTTCATCTGAATTGATTGAATAGAATTTGTAGACTGACCCATCTCAAAAACAGTCTATAATTGAAGATAGTTAATAATAAATTTAAACATTTATTTAAGGTAAAGTTTTTGCAAATAAAAACTTACAGTATCTGGTCTGAAGTTCTTAATACGACTAACAAAGTCTATTCGTCCCATGTCTGAAGCAATAATTTTATGAAACATTGGATGTTCTGCAATAACTGTTAAATCAATTTTTTTTGCCCTTTGAACGCTATCAACTGATGCTCCAGGCCTTGACTTGATATAGTTTTTATAACCATTAGTACAAGTCTTTAAAGAATTTATCTAACACGACATATAAAATATATTTAATTATATATTAAGTATGATCTTTGTGTTACTAAATACACTTACCACATCAATAGACGATGTATACCAACTGGTCAATTGTCCCAATTCTTCCTCCAGCAATAACTGAGGAACAGTACCAAAAAGGCCATCAGTATCATCATCCTCTTTTAGAGTTTCTAGCACAGGACTAAATGGACGACCCAAAAACAAATGTAAATCCAATAAGTAACACAATTCATCACGTGTCACTAAACTATATGCTTGTCCTGTTTTACCGGCTCGAGCACATCGTCCTAAAGAAATAATGATAGTTTTAATGATGATAGATGAGAAACGCTGATATACTATGACTTAATGGTAAACTAACCAACTCTGTGTACAAATAATTTAGATTTTGCTGGAAATGTATAATTAATAACAACATCTAACTGGGGAATATCAATACCACGTGCAGCTATATCAGTTGTAATAAGCGTGCGGACACTGCCTGTTTGAAATTTACTTGCATTTACTTTTCTGGCTATTGGATCCAAATCAGAGTATATGAACGTATTTGATATTTCTTGAAAATCTAAAAGCTTAAATATACAAATATATTATATAAACATACATACACACAATCATACAAGTAAATTAAAATTTTAAATCAAATAAACATAATTGTATTACTAGTATAAATTTGTTTCTATTTTTTATTATAGTAACAGATAGAAAAATTATTATCTTTGTTTTTAAGAAAAGTTATTAAAGATTTAATTACATAGAAAAAATGTATAAGCTAGTCACCAACAAATTTATTCACTATTACTAAATTTGCTTAAAGCAATTGAAAACGCAACTTTTCTGTGATTATAGTTGACGGCTGAGCTATTTAAATCACCGCTCAATAGTTATTTTATACTCTAGTGAATATAATCGACATGGCTAACAAAATCTTTACAGTAGTTATGACTAGTTGTGTTTTTAAGACTTATTTTTTCCAATTTTAGCTACTTTGTTTCAATAAACTTTTATATTTTTGGTTTGGCTTTTATTTATTTTCAACAATTCCCTCTACCAATCCTTCGTTGTCAAGTTTTGAATAGAACTTTTTAAATATTTCATCTTTTAATTTGATGTTACAATAATCCTTATGATTTTTAATTTATATAAAATATTATATACTTATAATATTTAGATAAATATATCCAAAGAAACAGATAGTGTGTACATTTAAAAAAATATATAAAAATAATAGTTTTAAATATACATTCAAAATTCATATTATGACTATTCCACTTCATTGTTTAAACTTCAAAAAATACTTTAACAATTTAAAAGTTTTCTAGTTGCAGTGTAATCAGACAGGTCAAAATACCCTCACTCATGTGCAACTTAATACATTGACAGGCAGCGAGTTAATTTGCCAATGAAATCGAGACGTAAGGAGTTCAACTATGTATTTCAGGTTAGATTACTTACTAAATGAATAAAATCGACATGATGTTTAGTCGGAGCAAAAATTATAGTCATAGAATCTGGTTTGACAACATATTTTAAAAGACATAATAATGCACCATCTCGTTCTTCAGGACGTACAGTAAGAAATCCTAATCCTAAGGTATCTGGTATTTTTGATTCTACATCCAATCTAAAATTTAAAATAATTGTATTAAATAGTTTTATTAAAAACATTATAATAAAATATTCATATATATCTATTTATATAATATATCTTCTTATTTGTTTTCTATTCAAAGAACATTAGAAAAAACCATTCTAAATTAAACATACAAATTATACATAGAAAATCTTCATAAATTAAAGAAAAATAATATTGAAAACTATTCCTACATCTTTAATTATTTATTAATTTCAAAATCTGAACTTTTGAGTCTTTAAGATTTTACAGTATTCATCAATATTAAAACTGAGATATTAAAAGCTTACCTTATAAGAACTGGATCAGAAAGTCCTGCTCGAGCAAACTGCACTAGAACTTTTGGTAAAGTAGCTGAAAATAATAATGTTTGTCTAGTCTCTGGAAGACGAGCTATAATTTCATTTAACTGTTCACCAAAACCCATTTCAAAAAGCCTAAGAATTACATAAATACAATACAATATTATAGACAAATGACAATTAAATGTAACTTACCTATCTGCTTCATCAAAAACAACATACTGAATGTTGGGTAATTTTAAAGACATTTCTACACATAAATGTAAAAATCGACCAGGAGTTGCTACAATAATATCTGGAGCACTGTGCATAATACTAAACTGGGCTTCCATTGGATCACCTCCTAATATCACAGCAGATTTCAAATTAGTAAATTTTCCAATCTCTTTAACAAACTTCAATGTCTGAAACATAATTAGACGTTTAGATGTTTGATTTTATTTTGTATTCATATTCTTATTTTCATCATTTTTGTTTTGTTTAATTTTAGTTCTTATTATACCGTAAATACTTAAAAATGTAAACCTGATATTGCTAACACAAATCAGTCATTACCCATTTATTGTACATAAATAAATCAAATAAAATATAAAATAATTTAATTTTTTTTTTATTTTCATATGGCTAATAATTTAATAATTATGTGCAAGATAAATTTTTGATGGTATTAAATCAATATAATATAATATATGAAGGTCTAAGCACTTTATGGATGTATGTACACCAGCGTTTCTCAAACTGTGGGTCGCGACCCCCTAGGGGGTCGTGAGTTAATTTTTTGGGGGCCGCGAGAAGTTTTTTTTAATTATACAGATAGTAAGAAACAAGCCTAATTATTAATTAAGTATTATATAATTATTATTATAATTATTATTATTATTATTATTATTATTATAAAGTAGTAAATAAGAAATAAAATAGAATAAATTTGTTTTTAGAAATTATTTGTATTGATTCTGTAAATGTAAAACTATGGGGTCGCGATAGATTTTTGGAAAAAAATTTGGGTCGCGGTCCTAAAAAGATTGAGAACTGCTGATGTACACTGTACATTATATAGTCTATTTTCAAACAGATACATCATGTTTATGAAAAATATAAAGAAAAATAATGAAACCATTATATAAACCCGTCCATAAATATAAACTTAATAAAAATGATAAAAAGTATTTTAGTTACAAGCAATGTACAGTACCCTACATAAATTAAGAGACGGGACAATCAACAATATTTACTTCTAGATTATTATAATTAATGCCTGTTCTTTTGCAACTCATAATATGAAATTATTCCTACTTACTCACAACTTACGATACAATGTATTTACAAACTTCACTCCCTATAGGTACATTGAATTACATATATATTGAAAGAGATACTTAAAAATACGAATACACTATCATCTATCATTTTCATAAAAATATGTCAAAAATAATGAAAGTAAATAGTTACGAGTAAATCCACCTTAAAATAATGCATCTACATTTAAATGAACCATGATAATTATTAAAATAATCTCTTATTTCACAATATAATTTTATAATATTTCTTATTAACAATAAAACTGAAATCAATATATAATTTTCATAGTTTAGATAATCAACGTTCTACTGTACATCAATAGATGAATTAATTATTTAGAATAAATTCATTATTAAGAAACAATTTTTTAATAGTATTCATATATATATTTATTTGGCGAAGTAGATATTTAAAAAACAATTCAAAAACAAAATGTTTAGTATTCTAATTGATTGATTTTAGATTACTTTTGTTTAAAAATATTTTTAAATCCATTATTTTTTTCTATAGTACACATCTGATAAACATAAAAGAAAACTTGAAATGTTATCATCCAAAAATAATATGTTATATTAAAAAAATTAAATGAAACAATACCTGAACAGCAAGCTCGCGAGTTGGTGATAAAATTAAAGCACGAATTCCTCTGTGACCATTTACTGAATGTTGAGTTAACTTTTCAAACATTGGAATCAAAAAACAGGCGGTTTTTCCACTACCAGTCCGAGCCATAGCAACAACATCACGGTTTTCTAAAGCAATTGGAATTGTCTAAAACAATAATAACTCATATTAAATTAGAAATATGCTTAATTAAATCAAAAAAATATATAATTTAATTTATCTGTACTTTTCTTTGTATTGGAGTGGGCACTTTGTATCCTCTTTTAAGTACACCCTTCAATACAGGAAAACTTAATCCCATAGCTTGAAAACCTCCTGATCTTTTCCCATTCTTTTGTTTTACTTCAGGCTTTGATATAGTTGTGTTACTGAAACCAATTATCGTATCGTCGTCCATTTCTATTCATGTAATCAAATGAAAATAAAATAATTAGAAACACGTAAAAGTTATAAATCACTTAAATTAAATGTTATGAATTATAGTTTGACATGTACATTGCAAAACGAAAATATTAAAGAAAAAATTTACTTAAAAAGGACTTCAAAAGTAAATATTATTCTGCACTATAATTTGTTGTTGCCAAAACCACGTGCCAAGTGATAATATTACATCAACATTAATATTATTGATAATGCTGATAATTTATATACTGAACTGAGGTTATTGGTTACGGTGGTACCAAGAAGATAATCTATGATTTGCGGCACGAAGATAGACATACCTATAATATAATAATATATTGTATATGGAAAGATACAAATCGTGGGATTTGTGATATGAATTTAAAATGGTAAACACAGATAAAATAATATTTTTCATCAAATCCTGATTGAAAATTCATAACGTCGAGTAACTTGAGTTGCACGATCTTAAACAATGGAGTTTCAAACTTTTTAAGTATAGATGATTTTAGTAATTCATTGAATCATCCCTAAATTATCATTAATAAAGTGAGTTGAATTTGCTTTTTACTTGTATAGTATTTTCATGGAAAACTCTTAAATAAAATAAATGGTTCATAATATTTTTACATTTATTATACAATAAATAGGCAATATTTAATTTATGTATTAATAAATAAATGCTTATCCCGGATTATTATTGTATTTGTAAAGTACGACCGGTTACAAATTAAAAATTCATTGTTGGATATATACAAAGTAAATTAAATTGTGACTATCATATTAAGTATTAAATACTAAATTGTTCTGTACCATAGTAATATCCATGGTTAAACAATTTCAAAGGAAAAAAGCATACTTATAATATGAAGATACTTAAAATATATTGTTTATTAATAATATCCTAATAATTTATTTATTTTGTTAATGAAGCATTTAAAATAAATAATTAAAAACTTTATGATTCATTGATACTATGAAATCAATTTACGTAGGTATAATATTATTGATTTCTGTTTGTCAAAAATAATTTGTATTAAAATATATGTATAATTTATTATGAAATATTTGTTTGTATATTCTATAATTAGTTACTAATACATTAAAACTTGTAATTTCAGGTTGAATATAAAAATAAAATGTTTTGAATGTGCGTAAGTATTTGTTGAAACATGAAAAGTCCAACTTTATTAACTGTCAGTATATCATTATTAGCTATACGATTATTTAATTTGTACACTGTTCGTTCATGGTATGTTCCAGATGAATACTGGCAGTCTTTAGAAATAGCTCATGGTATTACTTTTGGTTTTGGATATCGTACTTGGGAATGGGTAGTTGGTATTAGAAGTTATGTATCTGTATCATGGATAGTAATAATATACAACATATTAAAATTTTTTTCGTTAGACACTTTAACACTTTTAATATGGAGTCCTCGTTTTGTTCAAACAATTTTTTCCACATACTCCGATTATTGTTTTGTACGCTGGACACAAAAACATTCTAAGTGTTCAAATATATTTTGGCCATGCATATGCTATATGTCATCTCCATTTTTGGCTTATTGTTCAACACGGACATTAGTGAATACAATGGAAACCAATCTTACAACTATTGCTTTATATTATTATCCATGGTCTGTAAAAAATAAAGATGTAAAATACTTATGGATTGTTGCATTTGTTTGTATTATGCGACCCACAGCATTTATAGTGTGGTTTCCATTGGTTATGTTTGATTTTTTTGCTCACAAACGTTATACGGTTTTTAGTTTTGTAAGATATATTTTTATGGGCTTAACTGCAATCATTTTCTCTATTATACTAGATAGTTACTTTCATGGATCTTTTGTTGTTACACAATGGAATTTTTTGTACTATAATATTTTAAAAAAATGTAATGCTCATTATTCAGTAGAACCGTGGTATTGGTATTTTGTCAGTGGTTTACCACCGATACTAGGACCCATATTTTTTGTATTTATCTATACATTGGTGAAAAGGTTAAGACATTTCAATAGAACTGATACAGATTTCAAATTAGTAATTACTGTATTATGGACTTTATTAGTGTTTAGCATGATAGCTCATAAAGAGCAAAGATTTTTATTGCCATTACTTCCAATGATTTTCTTTGTAACTTTTCCAAATATTTCTTTAATCTGTAAACAATTTATAAAGTTAGCAAGTCTAAATGTTGTTATCAATACCATAATATTGATTTACTTAGGATGTTTCCATCAAATTGGATCAACTAATATTATGTCAAAGTTAGCTACAATACCACAGAATTCAACTTTGTTATTTTTAATGCCATGTCATTCAACTCCACTTTACAGTCATCTTCATTTAAATATAACTACAAGAATTTTGACATGTGAGCCAAACCTTCATGATACTTCAAATTATATTGATGAAGCAGATATATTTTATAAAAATCCAAAGATATGGCTGGAAGAGACATATGCATCAAAAATAAATACAAAATGGCCAACACATATAGTTATGTTTGACCAATTATCAAACCAACTTCAAACATTTTTGAAAAAGGAAAATTACAAGAAGACTGTATCAATGTTTCACAGTAATTTTCCATCTGCCAGAACAGGACGGTACATTCATGTATATACTAATACATAATATTCAAATTGAAATAATTAAAAAGTAAATTTCAGTAAAATAAAACCACTTGTTGACCATTTATTTTATAATATACTTTATATTTTACATTAATTGTTTATTATAGGATAATTATTTTATATTATTATATTTGTATTTGTATTTGTCTATTAAATGTTCTATATTTGTTTATTTTTTTAATAAACTTTTTTTATAAATGTTTTATGATATACTGAATATTTATGAATAATATAAGTGTAATTTTGCTTCTAAAATTGTTATTTAATAATTATTTAATTTAATATTATTATGAAATTATGACCATTTATGCTGTATCAATTTTTTGGGAATATAGTTTGATGGTATTAATAATAGTTTCAAAAAATAATGTTCATCCAACATGAAAGATAGTTTTTAGAATCCGAATTCCCGGTAGGCCAACCTGCCCTTGACTATAGCCAAAATATAAAACCACATATCTGGTGTATATCCAATATTGTAGATTAGTTACTTTGACCTCGAAGCATATAAACTTCTGAAATTTTTCCATAATATGATAATCATATACCATTATGTAATCATCACATAAATTATTTAAATAAATGTTATTTTCTTAATAGTTAATAATATTTTTTTTTCACGTTGCTGGGCACGGTGTAGGTAAAACCATTGATTATAGAATAGATTATAGAATATTCTATAATCAATGGTAAAACTAAAAAGTTATCTATATTGTGACCGGGATATTTAGTATTTTTTACAAACTCTTTGAAACCGAACCGGAATCCTCATTTTATTAATTTCTAACATAACCAAAAAATTGTAAATATTGATAAATTCATGAACACTCGAGTGATAAAAATTCTCACCTCTGCGTTTTCAATGAAAATATTGTAAATTTTATAATTGTATATGTCATTCTACAAATAATTTTCACAAACGTAAGTAGAATTAATTAAATTTTATTTTTACTATAAGTATTATACATTATTGTCTCCTCTTACATTTTCGATGAGATTGCCTTTCAGTGATTTATTATTATACGGTGTTAAAATCTGTGATAAATACAAAAACTAAAATCTTAATATTTTAATTAATTAATACTATTATAAATTAATTTATGGTTTTAAGGATTTGTTATATTGATTCATGTATTTAAATGTTGAAAATGAAAATTGTTTTATATTATAGTTGTTGGTACCTACTTCAGCTTTTAAAATGCTTATAATTTTGTTATTGTTGTATATTCTAGTTGATTTTACATTGTATTTATTTACATTTTATAAAATTTAAATATTTATAAAGATGGAAATAAAATAATATTTAAATATTTGCTATTAAAATTATTTTGTAATTGTGGATCTATTTCTGAAATATACCTATTTACTATAACCTATTTCATACAAAACATTTATTAATATAATTCTGCAAGGCCGTAATTGGGGGGGTCCAGGGTTTTCAAGAGTAGAAACATTTTAGCGGTGAATATAGTTTATTAACTATAAATTGTATTAAACAATAATTTTAGACCCCTTCCCCCGAAATTATTTTTCAGTTACGGCCTTGCAACTCTACCAATAATAATGCAATTTAGTGTCTTGTTTACATTCTTATTGAATTTTTGTAAACTGTATTGATTTATGAATATAAGTCCAATTACATAATAAAATGCAATACTTAGGCTTACATAATTTATAACTAAAGCAACAAATTAAATTTAACAAAAAAAAAAGCCTAGTTGTAATATAGGTTATATATATAATAATTACACATTAAATTTTAACTTAATTATGTTACAGAAAAACAAATCTAAATTTACTGAATTGGTATAGGACATTAACGAATTGACAGGAGAAAAATATTATAATTATATATATTTTTTAAAGCTAATAAATTAATAAATATGTTTATTTTTCAACTATCTTAAACAATTTATAATGGCAAGAAAATATGTATTTTTTATGGGAGTTAAAAGAAAAATTGATTTTCTTAAATTTCATCTATTGAGCTGCTTTACATTTATATTTTCATCAAAACCATATACGTGGTATTTGTGAAAAAAAATTTTAAAAGTAATTTCAGTAATATTTTAATCAATATTATGTTTTACGCATCTGCACTTACAATAACAAATTTAAAACAAAATAAAACAATTGAGCTTGCAGAGGATAAATGTATACCAATAGATATTGGTTTTTCACATTTAATCAAAGTAAATTTTGAATACTTTTGTATCACATTATTACCTGTTGGACAATGTGCAGGTTCTATGATGTTTATTATGGAAGTCAATCAATACTATACATTTCCTGCATTCATCCGTTTAATTTTAAGCCATTGAACCCTTTATTTAATGAGAAGATTAGATATAATAACTCATCAAGTGTTTTTATTTGTTTAACATATTTTTAATTCCTTATTAGAAAAGAAAGCAGACCAACTATATAAGAGTAATTGAAGATTGGTTAGGTAAGGATTAAAGTATATTTTAAGTAATTTTCACTGGGTAGCACTTCAATCAAATTGTTTACTAGAGGAACATAGGTGTTAAATCAATTCCTGTCTCAGCAAGTTGTATTTAGGTTTGTTTATTGAACTTCACTGAGACAAATATCAACATTACTGATTTTTCAATAATAAAATCTTAAAAAAAATTATTAGAATAGAGTATATGTCTATCAGTATGTGTATTTAACAAAATTTTATTAAACTAAGTCTAAACTATTTTTAATTTAAATCACAAAATAATACATTGAACAATTTTCAAGTAGTGTGTTATGGAAATTAATAATTCAATAAATATCAATAAACCATCCGATCACCTACCACTGGGTAGCATTTAATTATCATTGGGGTACCAGTGGCGCTGAGCTCTAAAAAAAGTACTATTATCAATTATATTTTTCAGAAGGTATCATCCTTTAAAAGTATTTCAATCAAATCAGCGAGGGCTGTTTCCCTTCACCTCTATACACTTAAAAATTTGTATTTTATTTGAAATATTAAAAAATATGAATGTTATTATTATACATTCTTTTTGGTTTTTAGCTGTAATAGTATTGATTGCCGGAATTAATATTCTTAGCCATTGTAGGTTCCTAGATGGTCCTAATGACCATTAGGGGCTGACCCCTAGGGGTACTTGTGCCACATACTTCGTATGTTGAAATGTGCACTGGCAAGGATCCAAATTACAATATTTGTTTGTGAATGTCTGGATATATGAACATAGAGTATGGTATAATGGAAGTTACCAAATATTTCAAAAAATCTATTCTTGATCATAAAAAAAAGTATTATTAATTGTACAGTTCAATAGTAGATTTAAACCACTATATACCTCCAATTTTAATTTATAACTGAATACATGCATGTTTTATGTGTGAAAGTGAGACTCATAGTATTAATTGTTTAAAATTAAGTAAAACTGTTAAATTTATTCAGCTTAATGCTCTAACATTTATTACTGATATGATATAAATTGTTCTTAAAAGCAACATCACCGAAGTGTGCTACTCCAATTATGCTGTAATGCTATATATTACATGCTCATTACATAGCTATAATGAATTAAAAAAAAGCTAACTAAATTATGTATTCAAGACCTAAAAAATTATATTTTAATGTATTAATAAAATAAACTTAAAAATAAAATGTTAACTAAAAATAAATAAACACTTGTTACATTAAAATGAGATTATAAAGATAGATCAAATACAAACCCCTTGATTAAAATCATGTCCACTAATCATATACCTAGCAAACCACCTCGAAGACTAAAACTAAATTGGTATTGTGACTTATTTTGACAAAAAAATAAATAAATAAAATAAAAGATAAACATATTAGTACTCTTAATCCTATACCACTGAACCTTAGAACTATGTGAGGTATTACCAATGATTAAATTCAGTGACGCAACTAGTGATGGGGTTTGAGGGGTTGTTCCTCCTTGAAATTTTTCTAAGGTTTTTACAAATTCTATGTAGAAAAAAAAAATTGTTTATCTTAAATACATGAAACGGTTGATTGATATGAAACACGAATATTATTCATATTATAATTGATAATAATAACATGACAATATGGAACGTTCCATTCAACTTAAAAACATCAATAATCTTGCTACTACGATTTCTCGATAATCGATTGTATAATACTTTTTTTATGCGGTATCACAATATTAAATAGAAATTAAACAGTTTAATTTGTAATTTAAATATTTTACTCTTAAACCTAACTTAATCTTACTTCCTTATCCTCACCAAACACCTGCAGAAAATGCTTATTTTTTCCAAATTCACAACCTTCCCCGAAAACCAATCCTGATTGCTACACTGATTAAATTCCTCAATTATGATGTTCATGTTATGAATCAAAATACTTTATACGTATCCAATGGATACTATCCATCCTATTGACTTATTCTACTAATTAATGTGTATAGATAGTCTAGTCTTCAAAATAAATAAAAAAAAACTGGCTCTAATGTAGTTTTATAGTTATCTGACAATTATAAATTCAATCTTCTTATGAAAAAAAAAAAAAAAAAATGAAGAAGTATTCAAAAAATCATGAATTAAATTTCACAATTCTAGTGATAACTAAAGTACAAATTTTAAAGCAATAAAAAACTTAAGAAAAAACACTTAAAAAAAAAGCAATAAAGCTGTATAAATCTTACGATAAGCTTTAATAAAGCATTAAAAATATGTTAAAAAAAAATAAAATAATTTTCGACATTTTGTAAATGACTATATGGTGTTACAACGAAAACTAAACTGTAGTTCTGAGTACATAATTTCCAGAGCTAGAGCATATTTTTGTGTTATTGTTGTTTCAAGAGAAACTAATTTACTATGTGCCATACAGTATGTAACAAACTGAACACATGGGGAAAGGTTGTCAAAAAACGATTGAACAAGATTTGGAACTCATTATGTAATATAAAAATATGTTATTTCAAAAAATATGTTTATTTAGAACACATTTTGAAAATATTTAACTTGAAAGCCAAAAAATGTATTCAAAATTTCCCAAAAATCATAAATATTTGAAAAAATGTAACTTAAAAGCAAAAAAAGCAAAATAAAATGTGCATTTGATTCTAAGAAGTATAAATGACTGCTTTATTTTAGAGTAATAGAAAAAAACAAATTTCTTCAAAATCTGTACTATAGTAATAACTATTTATTTGAAACAATAATATTCAGTTGGTGAATTTTATATTCTTATATAATTAAGAAAATATTTTTTAATTTATTAAATTTAGTGCTATATTTAGTTTGTTAAAATTCAACATTCCAAGTAAACAAAGCATAATAATATTTAAATTACGTTAATATTGTGTATGTTTCAGGTTATTAAAAAAGATTAAAAAAAAAAATGGAAGAATTTGGAAGAGAACCATGTCCAACTAGAATATTAGAAGATCTTGGTGGTGCTTTTGCTATGGGCCTTATTGGTGGAGGTATTTTTCAAGGTATTAAAGGTTTTCGTAATGCTCCCACTGGATTTAACAGACGTTTTAATGTAAGTTTAATGTATACTTTACAGTTATTTTATAGAGTGAGAATAATTAAAACACCCTTTTTATACAAATTAATTATGAAGAAATATAAATATATATATTTTTTTAAATAAATATTTAATTATATATTTTTGCAATAATATATTATATAGCTCTAATATGATAACAGGTTCTTGGAAAGTTTTACATAAATATATTATACTTATAGCCAGTGGTGGCTCGTGCTATGTGGCTCACGGGCATATGCCCCACCTATAAAATTGAAAGAAAGAAGAAGAATTTAAAATTGAATAGCTATTGGTATTTCTTCTTACCATCATAATATAGTTGGTAATTGGTATATTATTTGAAAATATTATTGAAAAAAAAAAAAATAACTGGATAGGCCTCGCTCTGCTGTATAGTAGGGGGTGGAGTGCACCTCGTTTATAGTATAGGTCATTACAATGGATTTGTTAAATTTGATTGCAATGATAGGTACCTATCATTATATACAAATAACGATTCTGAACGGAGATGATTTGCTAGATATATATAGAAAAAAATATATATATATATCATTATTATATTATAATAATCTTATATATAGAAAACAGTCTTCCAAAAATGTTCTATTTGTATATAATTTCTTTATAAATATCCTATATAACTATATTCAATTAACAAAAAATGTGTCAAAACAACTTATTATTTTATTAGGAAAAATTGAATATTTCAAATGCCTATAAGTTGCTTAAAAATCAGTATATTTTGAAAAAAATACGCTTAAAGAAAATACCAAATTTAATAACAAGTAAAAGTTTCGAGTTTCTACGACTTTCACTTTTTGAGTAATAACAAATATTTAAAATCGTTTGAAGATAAATCGTTATTTTATGCAATTTCGTAAAAATTTTAACTTTAAACGGTCATAAAAAATTTTCCTTAAAGTCCTGTAGAAATTTTTTTAAAGTTACCTTTTAGATGAATAACTTATGGATAATCTAGTGTTAAAATTTTGAACCTTAAGTATAAACAGAATAAATTTTATGAATTTTTATCTACAAAATAACTTGCAAATTATCATGATTTTGACACATTTTATACAAATTTGAACCTTTATGGGCTTATAAAAAAAATTTGTGTTAAACGATTTCCAATTTTTTTTAGTTGTAGTAAGTATAACATATAATGAACCTTATATTAAATTTTCAAGAGTTTTTGGATAGCAAAATGTTTTTTATAGATATTTCCAAAAAAAAAAACTTAGAAAAATTGAAAATTTAAACTGTATAAAAGTCAAAAAATTTCAAAATACTTCGAAAGCGTAACCGTGTATATAAAACGCTAATTTAAATATTTGGTGAAAATTTCAAGTGTTTGCGTTTTTTGGTTTTAAGTTAGAGCATTTTAAACGCCAAAACGTGGTTTTGCGTAAAAATTCCCGTTTTTTTCGTAATTTTTTTATGGTTTTTTTCGATGCTTTTCAAAAGTATTGAAAACGTTTTATTTTTGACTTGTCCAAGTACCATCTACATTCACTTTCCTTTCAGAAAAGTTGCTGTTTAAGAAAATTGAAGCATTTTTACTGCCCTAAAACGTGATGACACGAAAAAAAAAAACGCATCATTGTAAAACCAATAGATTCCATCTCTCCGTCCAGAATTTAAAATTGTATCAAATATGGATGCTTCTACGTACAATATGCACATACTGATATATTATATTTTTTGTACAACATAAATCATAAGCGTAAATTAAAAGGTTTTTAAATATACACCAACAATTTTATTATGTTTAAAAAATCAACAGGAATTGTTGGTATATTCAGAGTTGAGATTGTGATAAAGGAAAAAAATTGTTGTGCCCTACCTTCAATGAACCCCACGAGCCGCCACTGCTTATTGCACTTGAGTATTTCCATATTAAATATGCTTAAGAACTATGTTCTTAATTTTTTCCATTAATTAATATGATGTATGTATATATGAACAAAGATTTCAATTCAATATTTGTCATCATGTGTAAAAATTATTTTTGTATAATTTTATTTTTAATAGTGTCTGCGAAAAACTAATCAAACTATTTATAATAAATAATTTTCAAAAAAGTCAATTGGTAGATGAATTTTGTTTAATGTATAATAAATTACTGAATTAATTTAAATGAATTGTATTTTCTAGGGAGCTTTTCATTCCATTGCTACCAAAGCACCCAACATTGGTGGCAGTTTTGCTGTGTGGGGAGGTCTATTTTCAACCATTGATTGTTCCTTAGTAGCAATTAGAAAAAAAGAAGATCCTTGGAATTCTATCGCCAGTGGCGCTTTGACTGGTGGTATATTAGCAGCACGTAATGGAATACCAGCTATGACAGCCAGTGCGGTTTTTGGTGGATTACTTTTAGCTATGATAGAAGGGTTTGGTTTATTTTTCATGCACATGTCAGCTGAACAGTTCAGACCACAACCACCAGTATTTGAAGATCCGACTAATAATGCTAATAATACCAATATGTTTTAGATAAGAATACAGCTAAGAGAAAGTTTATTATTCATTTTTTAATTTGTAAATAGTTCTAAAAAAAATATATTAGGTAAACTGAGTATAAATAATTTGATTATTCTTTTATTCAAAAAATTAATTCATATTTTTTAGAGTTGTTTTAATTATACATTTGCATTGTACCACCATATACTCTGTACATACTGTTCTTTGTTTTGTTATTATTATACTTATAGAATAATATTTTATAATAAAATTATATTATAGAAATAAATAATAACAGTAGAACCTCAATTATTCGAATCTCCGTTATATGAACCCTATATTATCTGAATGTTATTTTGTTTCAATTCATTTGTCCGAACGTCAAAGCGTAATTTATTGTTTGAAATTGTTAACCGTTTCTTCTTAGAAAAATCAAAGTGAAAACGAAGAAAGTGATGACAGCGGTTGAGACAATCACCTACAGAGGCATTTGTTGCATTTGAGACTGGTCTTAAATAGTGAGAGATATAGGATGAATATTGTCCTTGTATTAACATTTTTTTTAAATTTAATTGCGCAAAAGCGCGTAGCAGCAATTTGTCTAACAAAAAATGATCAAACTGTCAAAAAATAAATACATTATATTAAATCTATTATATTTAATAATATTCGTAATAAGTAATAATATAATATTTAATGTGTAATAATATTTATTTTTAATTTCTATTAACCGAACTCTGCGTGGTCCCAATTAATTTGGATAATCAAGGTTCTACTGTATATAGAAACAAATAAAATGATTGGAGAATTTAAAAAATCTTTCAAATACTTAGCGATATCTAGTTTTGACACTCGCCGTGTGACAGACCTATGAAACAAAGATACCCAATCCTTGGCTGAAGTTAGAGCCTAAATTTATGTGCATTTGCATATTTATTCTGATTGACCGTTTGATATGCTAAATCAGCTCAACATTTATTTCAAGACAACAATTTAAATTATTTTACTTTTTAGTGCATATTTTTGCATACTTCTATTTTTAGCTATTTTTTTTATATTTCAAAGCAGGATTCGACCAGTAATTTCTATTTAAGTCCAGAACATTTAAATAATAAATAATCGAGTTCCAGAGAAAACACATATTCTGTTATGAGACAACTATAATCAAATCAAATAATAATAAGCTCAAATAAAATATTTCTTTTTTTCATTAAATCATTTAAAAAATGTAATTAGATATAACTTGCTTAATTTGAACCTGATTTTAAGAAACTACCTATGTAGCTCTGAAATAAGATCAAGGGTTCCACTATATTTTTATATTACAATTTTTATATTCAAGTAGAATAGTTCATTTATTTTTTGTGTCTTATTACAAAATACATATACATTATTAAATTAATTATTTTATTGTTATTTTTAATTTAAACATTTTTGGAGTAGTTATGTGAAAAATTGATACGGGATATCCTTAGTAGGTAATTCAATTGGGATTTCAAGAGAACTTGCTATTGAAGAATAACTTGAATATAGAAGTATCATGAGGATAATACCTGACCAATTTGAATTTTTGTGTGTCCTATTATGCACAAAAAATCGTCGTTTCCAAATTCCATTTATCTGTCATTTTAAACTGAAATTTAAATATTTAATTATTAAATTAAATATAGGTGGTTTAGGTAAGACCAAAAGGAGGCCAACAATTATAAGATAGAGCCACAAAAAATGAAATTTCAGCAAAAATAATAATCAAAATGAATAAATTACTATCTATAAAAAACCATATTATATTATTATATTAAAAATATAATATATTATATGTTTTAAAATTTTAGATTATTAAAAATGTCGTATACGCCGATTCATAAGCGTCACTATGGGTATCGAGAGGTATCTTTGCTATCCTAGAAATTTTTGTGGGGTAGCCAGGGTTAGGTTAGGTTATAAAGATTTTAATATCTTTTCGCTACCCCAAAAAAAGTTATAGATTTTAAAAATATATACGAAGTTTATTATTTAAGTGTGTACGAACATAGAACATCTATTATTGTGATTGTATCCAAAATATATTTTGTGATAAGTTCAATACAGACAATATGGCAGTGTATGCGCTATGCGTTATACCAAGATTTATGAAGAAGAGTTAGCCAGTTATCATGTTAAACCTTTAAAACTTTATTTTTTAACTTTCTAAAAATAAACTTTGCTTCCCCAGTATGTGGACTTTAGTGACGCCCATGCGCCTATCAAATCATGCGTATAGCCACCAACAAACATCTCGAATCAAGATAACACGCATATGTTAAATAAATAATTTTGTGAAACTGTTTTTAGAGTTTTACTTGAAACGCGAACCATTTCTGTCAAGAGTAAAAATTATTGAAAATTAAGTGACATATGATACACATACATATTCGTTCATTTATTAGTTTTCTCACATACACACAATCATATAATCAGATAGGAACAAAAAAATAAAAAATAAAATGAATAAAACAATCGAATCCGGACATTTCGCCGTAGACCTATTCGTCGCGACCGTTTCGCCACCGGACTATTCACCATCGAGCTATTTGCTGCGAAGAGAACTTCCTCACAAAATATTGTTATTACCAATCACTATTGGTACTAAGTGTACTTTAGGGTTGCCATTTATACGAAAATACAATTCGGGACACTATAATACCCTCCTCCCCCAACAACACATTCTTTGGAATTTTTAATAATACTTTTTTTAGTCCAACGTTATTTAATATTTTTATTATATTATAATTTATAATAAATAAAAAAGTTAAAAATTAGAAATAGCACAAAATGTAATAATAGTATTATTATTATCTTATTCATAAATATAATTTTAAATTATCTAAAAAAATTAATTAAGTACACAATTTTTAATTTAAAACAGAGTGGTCTTACTTATTTACTAATATGTGTATTGTTTAAATATGCATCATTATTCATCATCGATTTCATCTAACTTCATTTTTCGATTTTTTTCATGTTTGAGATCCAGAAGCTTCCGTTTCTGATTTTTGATTTGTTGTTGAATATTTTGTAGTTTTATGAACTCGAATGAGCAAATCTTTATTTTTCAAAATGTCTTCATAAAATTGTTGGCATGGTTTATTTTCCAAATTAGTCTTAATGACTAAAGTAGCTTCTACTGTATTGATGCATAAATTACCTCGTGACTTTGTCCAACAACTGTTCATCAATGAAAATATTCTCTCCACTGCAGCGTTAGATCCAGGCAATGCAAATGCAAATTCTACAATTTTTAATAACATAGAATAATCAATATTATTCTCTTTAAATGATTTAAAAATTGACAGCCATTTTTCTTCAGATGTTTTGCATTGCCATTCATCGGTTTGAAATTGTTCAAAGATTTTAAATTGTTCATACAGTTTTTCCTCGTTTAAAGTAATATTAAAATTTAATTTTAGAAAAGAAATAGATGGCTTTATGTTGGACCAATTTATTTCATCTTTGTTTGACAAACAAACCCATGTTAATGAATTTAATTCTTGTATATGTTGGTTTGAAGCAGTCCAATCTGTAATATAATGTATGCATAAGTCATAAAATTTAGTACACGTTTCTTTAAATTCTGATTTAATTATTTCACCACTTTCTTCTAGATGAACAAGTAATGCTTCGATATCACTTGGTAAAAAAAAGTCATCTTTTTTATTTTTTAATTTTGTAGTTAATTTTTCCATAATTAGTATAAGTTCCACCGCGCAAAGCTTTTGATTTTCAATTATTTTAATGTATATATTTATAGTTTTCATTTGACTTTGTAAGAAGTTAAGCCACAAAATAGAAGTTTAATTTTTAAAAAATGTTTTCAAAATGTTTGGACAGTTATTTTGAGATAAAAAATACGATTTGAGAGCACTAAACATTTCTATTATTCTTTCAATTGCCGGATATAAAGATAACCATCTTGTTTTGGAGTGTGATAATATTTCTTTATACTGAACATCAACAAACGAACAGAATTCTTTTAATGTTTCAACACGTACGGTATAAATATGGAAATATTCAAATATTTTACAAGCTATTATTTCAATATCAATAGGAAGACTATTTGTAGCATACTGAATACTGTTATGTATTACGTGTGCGCAGCAACCTAATCCCAAAATATTATGCTTTAATATATTTTTTAATTTTAAAAATACATTATTTTTGCCTTTTCTATCAATACCGGCAAAGTTTGTGTTAGCGTTATCTCCAGAGAAGCTTATTATTTTTTCTTCGAGTTCAAATTTTTTCAAAACACAATTTTATTGTGAATTAACTCGGCAGTTTCTCCGGGTAAGCTCGAAAAGTCCAAAATATCATTTTTAATCCCATTCTCTGGATTAAAGTATCTAACAATTACAGGAACTAATTTTACGGAATTATGATTTGAGGCATCAACAAGCACAGAAATATAATTAGCTTTTTTTAAACCTTCAATAGTATTCTCCATTGCGAAAGGAGCTAAAATATTTACTATTAGGTCACGGGTTTTTGTTTTAGCACAAGTAAATTTTTTTTCATCAAATAAAAGACGAATAAGATCTGCTGTACAAGTCATTGAGTTAAAGCTATGATTATGCATAACAGTATGAAAAGCTAAGGTTATTTCTTTGGCCGCTAATTTCAATGATTTGTCATTAGCTTTTAATGATGTAAAAAAATTATTTACTTTTCCCAGATGTCAATGCAGCCTTTTGAGCTATTTTATGTTTATTGGATTTCATATGATATGTTATATCAGTTTTCCCTCCATGGCTAATTGAAAATGTACTCAAACATACAGTACATTGCACATCAAAATTATTGTCGGTTTTTACCTTTTTAATGAATGGAAATTCATTTTGGAGTTTTTCAGTGAAGCTGCATAATCGTTTTGGAGCCATGATGTTTAAAATAATAATACGTAGAATAGCATAAAAATAAAAATTAGTAACTACAACACAGAACACAGCAAAGTAATTTAATACTAAATACGTATGACTGAAGAATGAAGACTAATATATGACTATAATATATGATTAATCGTTATTTCTATAAATTGTATACGCTATGTCGCTATGAAACTTTATCGGTAAAATTATCGGTCCTCAGCTATTTCGGAAATTTCCGACAATTATTTATTGTTTGTTATTCACACGTGAACAATTCGGGACTTATTTTAAGAAACCGGTACTTATCCACGTCCCGGCCGGGAAATGAAAAACATTGGTACTCTGTAGTAAAAATCGGTAGTGTACCGGTGAAATCGGGACGAATGGCAACCCTAGTGTACTTATAATTAAAGATTGGTAATTTATAAATGATAAACAACAATAGTAAGGTTATGATATTTTTTTAAACCTCACCCGAAATTTTGCATGCGTTCATCCCTGATTGACACTCATTGAGTGACGCAAATATTCCACGAAAAGAAAAACGAACCTTGTAAATGGATAGCTCGCATTTTTAAAACCATCGACGTTAGTAGTAGTGTTGGGAAAAATCCGGATTTACCGAAGTTCGAAAATCCGGATTCATGAAATTCGAAATCCGTAATCCGGATTCGGATAAAAATTCGGATTTCGGAATTCAAATTCGGATTTTAACCGAAATCCGAATTTCGGATTTTGAAACATTAAATTAATATTTTTTTATGGATTCCTTATATTAAAGCCTTGATAAATACAGATTTTTTTTTTTTGTAAAAAATTAATATATTTATAGGAAAACTTTTAAAGCAAAAATATAACAATAACAATCATCAATATTGCAATAACGTGTAGATATTACAACCTTAACTCAGTTTATACATGAAATTAGTAACAACATTTATAAGTAGCAGAATAATTTATCCAAAAATACACAATAAATAATACCTAAATAGGGTTAGGTTAGATTACAAATATAATAATTTATATTTGTAACGAACGATGAATGTTTTTTATTTAAAATAGAAAATGTTCATTTTTTTATATTAGAATTTATAACGACAAATTTTTATTTTCTGCTTTAGAATACAGAAATCTACAATGTGAAACCCAAATATTCGGATTTTCAAATCCGAAAATTCGAAATTTGGATTTGAAAATCCGAAATCTGGATTTTACAGCTTAAAATCCGAAATCCGAAATCCGGATTTTTCGGATTTTCGGAGAATCCGGATTTATTTCACACCACTAGTTTGTAGTAGTACAAACATTTATACATTTTATTTTAGTTTTATGATTTTCTACCGAAACAAATATCTGAATAATAATACATTACTTTATTTAATCTTAATCGTTTTCTAGAAAAGGTTAAATTAATTAAAATCCACATGGTGCACACGGGCCTGAACAATTTAACCTGGTATCCTTAAAGGGTAAAACATTTTTAGGAAGAACTAAATGGCGAAGTTTTATAGGTACACTCAGTCCGAAAGAATAACATTTTATTTATTATTATTTAACTGATAAATTTGATATCAAGTTCCGTATTTGTTCTGCACTGGCCATTTACGATATGGATTACGTAACCTACTTTAAACGTTACCCGGCAAATATATTGCAACTTAATTATAATTGTTGAATAAATGATTTCGATAACATTTCGACTTTGCCTTTCGTAACAGCACAACGATTTCTTGTCTTGATTTTGCGTCAAGGTATCTCAAATGTGAACTTATCAATAACATCATCAACTCATTTCAACAAAATGGGATTGACTATCAGGTAAACGGATCTATACAACAGTATCGTAACACGTCGTACGGTACGACAATAACGCGCCGCGAACGGATAACAACGACGTTTCTGCTTCGTCGAAAAGTGTTCGCGCCCGACGTTCGATCAATGAGCCTCCGTGCTTAAGATGCATAATATTTATGTGTTTTTTCAGTTCCGATCGCCGTAGTGCTCCTGCTCAGGAAATAGACATGGACGACGAGCGATTGCAATTGATTGCGTTTTGTTTCACCTGCGGATGGCCACGGTTCCTGGTCTGGTTGACAAACGACCAAGGTACGTACGGTTGTGGTTCTATTTGCGCTACGACAACTTTCGATCTCCGTTCACGTTTTCTTAACGTATCTCGCTCGTGTTTTTCCCGCTTTAGCTCGTCGAGGTTTCGCGCATCACGGTTGCTGCGCCGGACCGGAAAAACCGCGAAACGGCCCAATGGTTTACGATGACGTCGGTGGTCGAACGGGTCCCAGACCCGCAGCCTTTACGGATTGCGGTTCGCAAACGGACCCCGTCTCCGTCACCGTTCCAGTGGCCAACCGCGACTTTGGGTGTGGCAACTCCTGCGTAACGTTCGTTGACGTGTGCACGCAAATTTACCCGTCCGCCAGGGAAGTCGCGTCCGACGTCAACGAATCTAACGAGGAGACGCATTCCGCATCGTTTTGCGAAACGGTTGACTCGGTGACGAGTGACCGCGTGATGGTAGAACAAGTCAGTCCGTTCGATGACGACGAAGACGAAATCGTCCCCTACGTTCTACCTAAAATGGATGAAAATCGCGCAAAAGTGAGTGCAAAACTACATTACCATTAATTATTTACGGTCATGTTCGATGCGAACCTGCCCCCTTTCGGATTCTGCATATTTTCACGTACGCGATACGACTCGATTTTAGTGCGCAGTGTAGTTACAGATAATTAATATTTACGCTTCTCATTTGTCGGGACCTAAGTTTGTTTCCCACAATCGTACACATAAATATTTGAGTGGAATTGAAAAAAAAAACGTTATCATTTCAATACCTTGTAAACTTGAGGGCAGTAAAAAAATTTGCCGCTGACCGTTTGCAACAGTCGATCACAGTAAAACGGTCGCTAATGGTGTAACACCAAACGAACAAGTACATATAAAACGATACTAATCAACAGGATATTATCTAATATATACATAATTATCTGCATGAACTATCCAATGTTTACTAATTACGACGTATTATGCCCAGGAATTGAACGTCACCTACAAACTGTGGGAAAATCGGTTTTCACAATTTTCAAAATTCAACGACGGCATCATGGCAGACCCATGTATGTTAGACAGACGGACGTCTTTAATTATAGTATCGACTCCATTTGTGTTTTCATCATTTTACAATTTTTACAGCGACCCTTTACTCCGGGCCTCCAGAAGTTTTGGCAAAACTGATGGCTTCCCGGTGTAAGTCGCTGGGTACTGTGATAGACCCGTTTTGCGGTTCCGGTGCGATCGCGATCCAACTGGCCATGGTCTGCCACAAAGGTATATTGCTGACAATATGAAAATACAATTATCGTCATATTATTTAACACGTTAATTGTGTATTAAATCGTAATGTATACTAACATTGGACTCGTAACGGTTCGCGTTTTTTTGTGCAGTCATTGCGATGGACAGTGACCCGGTCAAAATCGCGTTCGCCCGAAACAATGCTCGTGTGTACGGGGTCGAAGAGCGAATCGTCTTCCTGGTGGGTGACTTCTTTGTCGATGCCCATTCGCTGCAGAGGGCAGACGGCATCGTCATGTCACCACCAGTGAACATGACTAAAGAAGAAATGGCAAAGTTAACCAAATTGGCAAATAGGGTAGCGCCGAAAGTTTTAATGAGGTTAACGAAGGACCATGAATTGTCAGATGTAAGTCCACAGATCGTGTTATGAGATCATTAATACCCGTATAATGTTTTTTTTTTACAGCTGTACCAATTGGGGAATAAAATATTTAATAAAATTAATACAGAAAAAATATGTATTGACAGGGAGCCAAATTAATTTTGGCTTTCCTAGGTCCTGGAGTACGTATTTTTTTATATTATTAAACGTTTACAATAATTAGGCATAACTATAATCATTGGTCCATTATCAAATTCACACTTGCAAGTTAATTGTGTATGTTAATAATGTGTTTTAGATGAATACAAATAATTATAACAGAAACTTAGACAGGATACAAAAGAAAGTGCTTTTGTTTTCTGATGGTAAGTTGTAAAAAGTGTACGATGTATATGGATAAAATAGTGTTTTTTGGAAGATTTTTATACCAATGATAACATTATTTTTAATTTACATAGGAGTAGCTGTTAATCGTCGTGTGCATTGGATAAGAGGAAATAATTTTTTTGCATACGACGATTACCTCAAAAACGTTGAAGGATTCCTGAAGAGCCAAAATCTCAACTGACAGACGATTCCTCAACACAACCGGAAGAATATAATGCAATTGATATCTGATAGTAAATACTATTTATAAATTATAATCAATTATAAATTGTATAGATAAGGATATATTTCAGATAAGGAACATTTTAAATGTTCACGAATCATTTATAAAAACTAATACATTATAAGTAGTCTTAATTTCATGAAAAAAACGTTTTAAAGATATAAAAGTATTAAATAGATAATCGTTTAACATTTTTATATTTATACATGAAATATACAATGAATAATTTTTGTAAGAGCATCGTTCGGTAGTTTTATAAGTACCCGATATGAGCTTATAATCAAAATAATGACTTAAAATAATTTACCAAAAAATAAAAATATTATTTAGGAAAATTGTATAAATATATTATATAGGTGTAATAATAGAAATCTAACTATTTTTTAAAAAAATAACGGATACCTCCAAGTACTTCATTTTGTGTCTTATTTTATTTAGCTCTGAGTTCTAAAGGGATAATTTTATCAACCCCGCTGTCCCTTAAAATAGAGCAGTTTCAATAAGTGAAGTATGAATATTTTTAAGATTATTATGTTTTAATTTTTTCAATGACCCGTTTATTTGAATATAAATATTAAATTTTCAACGAACACCCGTACCGATGAACAATTAGATACCACAATAAGAAATCAATAAAATCATTATTGTTAAATCCAACTGACAAATAAATTATATTTTATTTCAGATACGCATACCATGTAATATATTTTGAATTAGAATTTTTTATTTATTCTACATCCATTGGGAAATTAAAAACATTGTTAGGTTGATAACGGATGTGTTAAAATAAAATGGAAATCTACAAGTTAACTGTTTGTGTAAAATATTACAAATGACTGGTTCGAAATTATCAAAAGTAACATTTTAAATATTATTAATGAAACATTTTAATAGCTCTCCTAATAACGTGATTTATTATTTCTAGTCGTATTTCTAGTCTAATATAGCATGGTCAAAGCTTTTACGCATCTATTAATACTAGAACCTGATTCGTTTAGAGAAAGTTATGTCAACAACGTTAAGACCGTTAAAATACATGATATGACATTTACTTCGACAAATGGATTCATGCAGGTAACTATATAATATTATTCTAAACCGAGTTTCAAATATTGCACAGACTTTTATCGATTATTCAAAATCAATGCGAGTTGATTTAAGGTATTGAGGTATAAAACGATTGAACAACTGAAATCGATGAAGCTGAGCCATCGGCTTAAATATTAATATAATTTAAGTAGTATTGATGTTTGTGAATTCGTTGAACAGAAAATTAGAGTAGTGATTTTAATATCTTTGGAAAATTGGAGTTTGCGACAACAACAGGTTGTGAGTTAGGATGAATTGATTTTGTTGGTTTTAGTTTCAGATCCAGATCAGTCGATTACGAAGGGATCTCGTTTTAAATATAGACAAAAATCACTTACCATTCAACTAATGACTAAATTAATTCAAAGTGATTGTTATGATTTACTATATGATTTCGTAGAAGAAACGGTTTTGATGCAGCAATGTAATTATACTATTAACAATATTATACATATAATATATACTCTTATCTTATATGGAGGATGTCGATCGACAACACACTTGATCAAAATATTTTAACTTATAATTTCAAAATATTTAATCGCGATAGAATTATAAATGTTATTTAATTTTATCATATACAGCTAATTAATAAGATAATTAAATAATTAATTAAGAAGTAGTAAACGAATTTGTTTTCTCTAATTTTGTTTCACATTTTAAATTCCAACATACAATAAATCTAATTTAATCTTAATATTTACAGGATAATATTCAACAGTTATCCCTTATGTCTATTGAAAAACGATCAAACTAATTTTGTTTTATCGATAATTCGTACAGCATTGTTCGAAAACATTCAAATCAGATAAAACGCTTCTTTTGAAAGCAAACCACTTGTCAAAGATAATGGTGTTTTTAGGGTAAATATTAATATTTTTGAATTCATAATATAAAATAAAATTAATCTGTTTTAATAATTTATAGATTCGATAAAATACATCATGATGAATAAGTAAACGCCAGCTCACCGAACACGAAAAACATAATCAACGATATTGAAGATGACTTTAAATATCATAAAAATGTTTAATTTCTTACACTTTTTTTTTCTATATTTATTTCATTACTTTTATAACAATTTACGCTTTGTTTACATAATAGTGTAATTTATTTTTTCTTGTAATATATAATACTATTGTATATTTCTATTTTTTTGGTTCCTTATTTATATCATCGCATACATGATAAAATGCTTAATTAATAATGTAACATATTTAAGATTAAGAAAAACTGATATGAAAAAAAATGTACATATTAACATATAAAATAAAATAACTAAAATTGGTATAATTTTTTTTACATGGAAGAAAATTTGCATAATATTCAAGACAAAGTGCAACTAAATAAGTTCCTAAATCTTTGTTTTCAATTGAATATAAATATATTTCAAAAATATAAATATTTATTAGATGCAATTAAAATACAGTGGATCCTGCCTAATGTAGACACCGGTTAATGTGAGAAACAGGATTCTCATAATGCTTCTATGATATAAAAACAGTATCTTAAAAGTTAAACAAATGAAAGTTTCGTTATATTATCAATTTTAAATACACTGAAATGCATTAATAGAATTATATTTAAATGTGATCGAAGATTATTAAACAATGACTAGATTGACAACGTTTTTACATTACACTTTTTTTTTAACTGACGTATAATTATATATAATATATTATATATGGATATTGATAAAATTGTGTTTTTTGGAATATCTTGATACCAAAGATAACATTATTTTTAATTTACTGTGTATCTATTAATCGTAGTGTGCATTAGATAATCTCTTCGCGTACGATGATTACATTAAAAACGTCCAAGAATATCTGAAGAGCTACAATATTAACTAAGAGATGGGACAAACATAATTTTACTGCCTTAATCTGTTTGTAAATTTGTACATTGGTTTTAAGTTCAACTATCGACTTAAAATTAATATTGAAAAGTATATCAAGAAATGCGTATAATTCCGTTAAAAAAAAAAAAAAGAATATCGCAGACTCTTGTTATTATAAATTCCAAAATCGAAGACATAAACTGTTTCTGGTGTGTTCCGCCATTATATTTTGGACCGGAAAATAAGTTCGTTATATATTCCCTTATTACTATAATTAAATAATTTATACCACCCTCATTTAATTGTTTTGTTGTGTTTATGGACATTATCTAAAAACACATTAAACATTTTTACAATATGAACTGTATACTGTCCATTATCTTATGCAGTGGCGTAGCTACACAGGAAAGGGCCCGGTGCGTATGGTTCCCAAACTGATATTATACTTACATGAAAATCAAGATATACACATTATATTGTTTTTTTTTTTTTATATGAATATTTATTTATTATGAAATGATGAATAAAATGAATTGCCAGATAATTAACAGATGTGCAGAGTAAAAAGAAAATGCCGTTTATTAGGAAGTATCTATTTAAAAAAAAAAAACAAATATTGCGTGTATTATTATTATTATTCTGCTTCAATACTGATTGTTACTGGAACCACCACGTACGATTAGGAAAGTTAAATATCATCAACATTGTTAATTATTTTAGGGAAGTATAGTTTCAGAAATGTTCAAGGTGCCCCCTGTGCTCCGAGACCCCAGGGCACTGCCCCGCTTCGCCCTATGATAGCTACGCCACTGATCTTATGCAGATCCTACAATTTTTGCAGAATGTATGTGTTCTTTTGTAGTTTAAATTATTTTAATGGATTCAGTTAGTACCACACATAGATAATATTATCTTATTATCTATGGTGCCACAGCTTGAATTTCAAGTCGAGTGATAGTTGAAGAAATAAATAAAGGGGGGGGGGAGAGGTCGAGACCCGACACTCCTCAAAAATAAACCACTGTGTTATTGTAATTTATGTAAGAAGTGTTTGTTTTTTGCTGTTCTAGTAGAGTAAATTCTTAATTTTAACCATAATTTCTAACACTATTTATGAGTATCAATCCCAAAGTTGTTCAGTTTCATCACTAATTATTATTTACGTATTTAAAAATAAAATTACGTCACCCAAGTTAACAATAAAAATATGCATATATAAAAATGCAGATATGTATAAAAACTTATTTTAACACATCTTACATAAGAAATAAAAAGAAACATTTCATGACATGAAACATAAACATAATGGTTGATATTTTAACAGTTTCGAAAGCTGTTGTATTATAGTTATGGAATTGAACCTGTAGCTACTATTCTGGGTCAACTACTTAATACATTATATAAAAAATAGAAAACATGGGTCAAACTCATTAATTAATTTTAAATTAGATATTTGTATCTATTGAAAAATAATAGCACAATCACTGGTAATACTGTTATATCATAAATTTTCTTATTTATATTCTTATGGCTTCTTAATTAAATTACCTTGAAATAAATATTTCATCATCACCATGATGTTTCTAATGCAGATGTTTCAAGGTTTTTTCGATATACTTAAATAATATTTGTTCGAATAGAAGATTTATCAAAACGTTATTATTATCAATACAAGTCCTGAGAACAATGCTTGAAAACATTTAAACGATCAAGTTAAGTTTAAAAGCTTAGTTCAAAAAGCGAAAAGTATTAATAATCAAGCTTTACAAAATATTACTGCATGCCTTAAAGTTTTTGACTTTCTATTAATCAAATATTTAAATAATGAATATTGTTTCCGATGACAAATATTAAATAAACTAGAAATGTTTCACAATCATATGGACAACAATACTTTTTTTAAACTTTTATTTTATTCCATAATTTATGTTTATAATAAATATTTGTACCTACTAAGAAATTATTCACACTGCTTAATAATTTAAATAAAAAAACCACCGAGTGTTTAATCTTAAAATTTGTTTATTTCATTGTTATTTTTCTAGATTCTGAGTAATACGAGGTTTAACCATGCGCATATTTTTTTTAAAAATGTTTTGTGAGTACACAATTTCGACCATGAATAATTTTTCCAATCATCAACAAATAAGAAGTAATAGAGAAGTAAGTAGTATTGAAAAATGAAGTAATCGATAATATAATAAAAAAAATACCTATATTTAATCCATTTCAAAATTCAATGCCTAAAATAAATGTTGGTATTTACTAGTTTTGCGGTATATAGTAAAATGACGATAATGTACGATACTTAAAATTAAGAAAATGAACTAGAAAAATTAGGTTGAATAGTGTTAACAGAGTTTTGATTAACATACTTAGATCAAGTGTTATAGACCTCGTTTCATCAACATATATTATCTGAATTAAGAGAAAGTGATACTCAAAAGTGCTCCGACATAGTTTCGACCTACAAACTGACGCATACATACGAGTATGTGCCGAATGATCGTAATCATTTCCATTGAGATATAAATTAATTTATTTATTAACTTATTTCAATATTAACATTTAACTTATGACTAACAACTGAACATTTTATAAATGTTTATGTATAACTCATACACGTGAAATGGTTTAAACCCCAATGGACTCTGTGGCAAGATTTTTCTAGGATTCCATGCTATTAAAATTTCCATACATAAAAAATAAAAATCGAAAGCTTTGTATTTTTATTTCGTAAAAATAATCCCAAAATATCTGAAATAGATCAAATTAAATAAATTTGTTTTCGACATTTTAATACAATATTTTAATCTTAATAATATTTTTTAAGTTTTATGTGTTTTTATTAAAAAAAATGTATGGTTGGCGTGGGGTTTACCTCCATCTGCGATTAACCAGCTGTGTAATCGCGCTGTTATCATCACGCGTAAATGTTCGTCATTCCGTGTTTTCAATTTCAATCGGTCATGCTGTATGTGAATGTCTTATAGGTTATGATCTGGGTGCCACAAGTTTTCTTAGGTTTCTTTTTTTTCAGTTTTGATGAGCAGTGGCGTGTTTACAATGTTCTTAAGAAGTGGCCGCTCCATAAATGATTTGAGGATGGGTGGTTAATAATTAGGTGGTCACTATTTTGCTTATACTAAGAATAAAATTGTTATTTTGTAATCGTCAGACATAAATAGACTACATAATATCTAATGTTAATAGGTGATTTATTATTGATAATGTTATTTATGTATTACCAAAAAAAAGTGGACATCAAATAAATATTATGGGAATGAAGGAGTTAGACTTTGAGTCTATAAGAGTAAATATTTTTTTGCGTGATCCCCAGTGATATTATTACAGTCGATTTTTTAACAATTTTTTCGTTTATCAAAATAATTCATAACATAGGAATACTATGTAGAAGCTCTTGAAATATTGGATGTTTGATCGGAAGTCGATTTGTCTATAATTGCATATTTTTAATAAATACACCATCAATATAATATATTATATCATATTACATAATATTATAATGTATATTTTAATCAACAAATTTTTGTTATTTTATGCCAAGCTGTGTAAATATCAGCTCGGGCAGGTTTAGGCTGTAAAATGTTGCGGTGTGGTACAGTTGCGTGTTAGGTAAACCTTTGCATCGTTATTTATTTTCTAAATGCTAATAAATGCTAAAAAAAAAGTTATTCGACATATAACGGAAAATAAATTATTTCATTCATTTCGGTTATCTATTGTCGTCTAGTGTAGTTTAACGTGCATGGAAAATATTTCAAAACCGTAACTGTTTTGACATTGTCTAGGCTGTGTTTACTGTAATCGGTTTTAAATTATTCAAGCGTGCAGTGCTCCTCGTGATTATCTACAATTAATTTTTGTCCTCGTTGGGAATGTGAATTGTCAAGTCCTTACTCTACGCTCTACAGTGTTTTTATATTGAGATATTATAACGATGTCTTTTGATACAAAAATAATACATAAATTATATGGTTTTCCCCCACGCATTCAACAGCGTGTCCTTGATGCGAATATAATAATACAAAAAAAATAATGTCAAATAATTTTCAATGAAATAAATTCACCCGACTATTATTTAGTCGTAACACTTTCATTATACATGCTCAGCATTCAGTAGTATTTTCCTTATTAAATTAAATGCTTCCTGGCTATGACGAAGTATTATTCAAATAATATTTTCCTATGCAATAATATTCAATAAACTAATGTGTTGCACATTTCGATTTTATCAAAATTTTATATTATACCATGTTTTGACCCAAGCATAATATGTTGACCGTTAATCAATTATTTTTAGCTTGATATCCGTTGGCTGTAATTCAAAATAGTAAGTGTTTAAATATTTTTTTTCATAGTTATTAATGCTAATTATGTACGTAAATACATTTAAATTTATTAATTTAGTTTAATATTAAGATGATTATCACTTAAATATTTGATATTTAATTGGAATACGTATACAATGTTATTATATCAATTTTATACGTCTATACAAAAAATGGGCGACTGTAAATCCACCAGTTTTTTTTTCTTACTTGTACTGGGTATATGTAAACTCCGCCAGTTTTTTTGTTTTGCCTGCGAATTCTTTTATAGTCATCTAAGAAATTCATTTTATAAAAGTCAACCGAATGTTCATATTTTTAGTAAAGTTCTTACCGAATTTCAAACCCATACTTATATAAAACTAAATGGCATATCTCAAGTAAATAAGCTAAAAAATTCGAAATAAAAAATAAATTACAGGATGCTATAAATAGGTACACTAATGGAGTAATACAAGACTTAGAATATTTACAAATTGTATCATATCATTTTAGTTTATATACATGACTTATCTCTATATTTCTGGATTAAACTATATAAGTATAACGATTATTTATTATATATATTTTTTTTACTGTGAATAAAATATTTAATGTCGACGATTTTTAATTATTACTATGAAAAATATGATTTAATATTATTAGGTATAACGATTATTTATTATGATTTTTTTACTATGATTTAAATATTTAATGTGAACGATATTATATTATATTATAATTTTTTTTAATAATTTATCATATTAATTTAATACTACTACTTGATTTTCTTCACTGGCGGAGTTTACATAAACCAAATTTTACCTGTTTTTTTTCTCTGGTGGAGTTTACATGCACCCAGAAAAAATACCTATTCATTTGTTTACGACAGACTTAAGATGACAGCACCGAAAAATGTAAATGCACTACAAAAATCAGAAACGAATAAAGATCCAATTTTGATTAAGCCAGATTTAAAAGGAGATTGGTTAAATTTCTTTTTACTTATATTACTTTACACGATGCAAGGCATGCCCTTAGGCTTATCGTCAGCTGTACCGATACTTTTGCAAAGTAACAAAAATGTAACATACAGAGATCAGGTAAATATATTCGACTGTCACGTTTCGCTATTGTTGATTTTTATTATTATCAAATGGTAACGTTCACATTTTAAATGTACATAATTTAATAAGTTCATACAATTTTCTATTGTTTTACAGGCTTTATTCAGTTTAGTAGGTTGGCCGTTTAGTTTGAAAATCTTATGGGCTCCTTTGGTAGACGCGCTCTATATACAAAAAATCGGGAGGCGAAAATCTTGGCTTATACCAGTCCAATTCTTAATGGGTACGTATATAAAATAATAATAACCATCAATATAGTAATTGCCTGTGGTGAATGTTTAGAATAAAACTTATGTCCGCGAGTTTGTCAGTACTATAAGCATTGTATTGAAATACATTACGAATGTAAATGGCTCGATAAGTATCTAATACAACAGTATAAGTTTTATCTTAAACGGTTAGCTTAAGAATGAATTTGCTTCGCAAAAACGCGAAGTAAATTCAAATAAATAAAAATGTGATTTATTTTATGTTTTTACTAAATCATCGTACTTTCACTGAACAGGGGCATGTTTTCTCTATATGTCTAAAAATATCGACGATTGGCTGCCCGAAACGGGGAAGCCGAATATTGTGAAACTAGTGTACGTATTTTTTATTGCCAAAATACTGGCTGCCACACAAGACATAGCTGTCGACGGTTGGGCACTGACTATGCTGAAAAAGTTGGTGTTGTTTGATTTGATTCGATTACAAATAATGAGCCAATGTGGTCATTCTGTACGCGTATTATCTTAATGATTATGTAATGAATAATATTCCGATTTTGTACAGGAATAACGTTGGCTATGCGTCCACATGCCAATCGTCGGGTCAAACGATAGGTATAATGATAAGTTCTGTGATGTCCGTGCTTTTTACTTCAGAAAATTTTAGCAATAAATACCTACGTTTAACACCTTCTACTGGAGGAATAGTAAGCATGAGAAGTGAGTAGAATAATTTTTATATACTCGTATATCTTTACTGTATTTGATAAAAATCATATTTGTTTTCAATGTATGTATACAACATAGGCGTAGCGAGATTTCGTGTTCGGGGTATACAAGAAAGCTATAGCTATATATGTAAAAAGTAGACTTACAAAAAGAAATAGCTACCTCCAAAAATAATAGAATATAATTTGCAGTTGCATACCCTGTGGTCCCCTGGCAAAGACCGTACCTGGGAAAGGGGTCCAGGATGTCTGGACCTCCTCTCCTGAAATTTCTTTAATATTTTAAGAATGTTTTTAATACTTATTTATTATTAATACTAACATAAATATTTTCTGTCAAAAATGACTTAAACTCCAATTAATCATTGACAGCTTTTAATTTTAATCCTAATATCATATGAAAATATGATATTAATTTTAATAAAAGAAGATTAAATCTTTTTTTGTCTTATTTTTAACCAAATATCAAAAGTTAAAATCTAAATTCAATAAAATTACAATACACATGTTTTAGACCCCTCTCGAAAAAAATTTCCAGATACGGCCTTTCCCCTGGCTACCCCTATAGTATACAATGTATACATATATGTATGTTTGCTTTGATTAGCTGATCGAATCGAAATAGAGAGCATTCGAATGATTAAATAGATTTATTTGATGAATTAGTTCACGAATATCACTAGAAAATAAATATATAGCTTATTTTTCTTTCGACATAATTAATAGTTATGGTAATTATTGCACTTATAGTGTGCATTCTTAAGACTCATTATAAATGTTGTCTGCTTTCGTCCTTCAGTAATTATTCTATGATAAGTACCAAATAATTCAAAATAAGTTAAAAATCTTATTCATTATATATTTTCCAATACTGTCATTGCTAATAAGTTTGTATCGTAACTATATGTCTATAATAATAAAAATACCTTATAAAAAGTTACACCAATATAATTTATTTAATATAACAGATGAAAACTATTTTAAATATTAATTTATAAATATAATTGATTAATTGTTATTTAATTAAAAAGTTATAATATTAAACAAAATTAGTGAATAATTGTATTTATCAGGGCTTAAAACCGTTTCTAATAAAGTTGGTAATCGGCTCCGGTAGGAGCCGAAAATTTTTTAAAACTGGTTTACGGTTATTTTTTAATTTTGATATTGTGGTAATCAGTAACCGTTAATCTTTAAGATTATTTTAAAAACTATAATAACTGTTAATTGTTTAAAAGCCGATGATAAGGGTTTTTGGTATTCGGTTACCGGTTAAAACCGGTTTTTAAAAAGCATATTTTTCAATTTTTTAATCATATTTTTAAAATCGTTTATTTAGGCGATTCGTGGGTTGATAATATAACTCTTATTATTACAAAATAAAAAACTTAATATGCTTTAATTTGATCGATTTCATTCAATTTCAATATTTATTTTTTCAAACTGCTTTAAAGTTTAAAACATTTTATGATCAAGATAATGATAATCAAAAACTAAATTGCATAAACAATTTTTATTGTTATAATTTTATAATTTATAACAGTAAAAAACCGAAATTAAATATAATAATTTTCTAAGATGACACTAAGGTTGATACATTGCCACAGAACTTTTTGATTATATTGTATATAATACAGAACCCCAAAAAATGGATGAGCAGATATTAAAACAACAATATTAAAATATCATAAATACTTAATGGACTAAGCCTCTGTTCCACAGACTATTACGTAATAGGAATTAGCACACCACGACGACGACGTTTATGACGGTATTTATAATGTATAGTTATACCTATATTTATATATATGATATTCACAACAGATAAGCAATACTCGACGGTCATTAATTGCTATTTGGGACTAATTAATTATAAAAAATATTTAAAAATAGCTAGAAAATTAAATTCTATAAACTATAATAGTATAATGTAATCATCACATAATTCAAGTATTAATACCGCGAAAAAACCGTTAATTATTTTGGTCGGAAATAGGTTTTGGTTATAAAACCAAATTGATGTTAATACTTAGATATTTACCTTGATTACCGATAACCAATAACTGCTTCCAGCATTCCAAAACTAAAAGAGGTTTTCGGTTCTTAAATTTACGGTTTTTTACAGGATTTCGTTACAAACCGGTTACCGGTTTTAAGCCCTGGTATTTATTATAATTAAAATAAAAATCACTGATTAATTATTAATTATTAAATTATTTATAAGATATAAAAAATATTATATTAGAACCCCACTGTATTTTGACCATGATTCGTGGGGACATAGCCCCGGCCTAAATACATGCTACTAGTTACGAAACTGTAAATAATAATTAATGTAGTATCTTTATGAAATAATAACAATTTTGTTCATTCATGCAAATCATTCATCGTTCCCACAACTCAGTATTCAAAGTAACAGATTTTGCTATTCCTAAAATATCGATCTTTTCAAGTTTTCTAGTAGTTTGTTGACACTAAGAAAAAATATATACATATTGCATACAATAATGTTCCAAAAAAAATATGCGGGTTTGTGATTATGTACTAAAAACAATTAACAAATAGAATCCAATATTTTTTGACAGTTGATTAAAAAAAAAAAAAAGGTTATACGAAATACATGTAGTGAACATTAAAATAGGGAAAAGTAGTTAAAATATAATCTTCAAATTGCAAAATATTTATAATATAAAAAATTTGAAATGAGTGTAAATATTTTTTTTATTTAAATTATCTACATTATTATTTAATTTAACTACGGTTATATGTTTTAATAATATGCAAATATTTAAAATATCCACACTTTAATAATAAATAATAAATTTATAATCGAATGTTCTAATATATATATATATATATATATATATATATATTATTCTATTGTAATTTATGTTAATATGAGTTAAATTTTAATAGCATAATCAAAATTAAATACAAAATAATCAATTAAAAAAATTATTATAATATCATTATAATAATTGTCAATACAATTGTACAAATTTCATTTTGAACAGGCTTATTTTTCGTTTGGGGTATTCTTTTTATGTTGATAACAACATTAATTGCTTTATTCAAAAAAGAAAAAGATAATAGATTAGAAGATGATCACGTAAAGCTCAACATTTTTCATAACTATTTACTATTATGGGACATTTTGAAGCTGCCTAGTGTCCGAATAATGGCATTAATTCTATTAACAGCAAAGGTAAATAATCAATAAATAATAAATAATTTATAATTTAAAAATAAATTTAAATGTCTTTTCATATTCCATCATAAATAAGTATACGTATCATAGGCGTAGATACTTTGGATGACTTGCATAATCAGGACTACATTATGCTCTCGAATCATTAGAATTGAATTCATTATACAGTATAAACAAAACTTATGTTAATGTTATACCCCTTCCAATATATTTTATCATGCTATGATCTATACCTATGATAATTGTACTTCATAAACACTATTTTAATCGTTTAATGTTAACATAGATAAATTACAAAAATTAGTCGATAAGCCTTAATAAATTTAATTTAGTACTTCGAAAAATAGATTTTTCAAAGTTGTATCTACTCCATAATAGGTATGCAAATTTATATTTATACATTAATAATGATGATTATTGTTTCGATTATTGAATTATTTGGAATTTTAGTATAATTATCATAAAACATTATATTTTATAAAATCGTCAAACTAATTTAGTTATAACTTTTTTAATTATAATATTATACGATTTTTGATAAATAAAAATGTTTATTTAAGATTGGATTTGCTGCAACCGACAGTGTATCGATTTTAAAACTCATTGACGCAGGTGTGTCTAAAGACAGCATAATGGTAATACACACAGCCATGTTTGCTATAAAAATTATTTTACCACTTGTTGTAGCGAAATACACTTCAGGTCCAAAACCATTGAGTATATACCTAAATGCGACTCCCATCAGGTAGATAAATTTAAATTCAAATATAGAACAAAAATATTTTATCATACCTACGCAAAAAAATAAGTCTTTTGTCATCTATATAATATTATACTTGATTAATTATATATTATACTTGATTAATATTATACATTCAGTTTACAAACTAAAAATTCACTTTTATTTGAACGGATAAACTTTTAAACGGTGAAGTTCTCATCTTTCATATTTATTGCTTCATTTACTTATTTTTGAAACGAATAAAAATGTCTCTACAAATTTTACTCAATCCGTAACTTTTCTTTGAATCGATGTAAGTTGCGGGTTATTAAACAAACAAATCGTGAATTCTTGGTACAATATATTCTTCTTGAACCTTGAATTTTTTGACCTCATGTACTTCTTTTTGTTTCTTATGAGATTCGATACAGCAAAAATCTACTGTACTTTTATTTAATTTTCGTTTGATCTATATAAGCTATACACTCTTGAATAAAGACCAAAATATGAGGAACTATATATTGTTTATCCTTAACGTAAGTCAAAATCCTTATTAGTTTCTATTTATTCTGATTTGTTTGGTTAAAATAATCACTTTGAATTTTAACACGTTCACGGCCAACCCATAATTTGGAAAGTTGTATTTAAAAACTACAACACAAAATTCATGAAATTCCATAGATTGTATATAATTCTAAAGATATTATATAATTCCATAGATATTATATAATCCCATAGATTTTAAATAATCCATAGATTGTATATAATTTCAAAGATAATACATAATTTCATAGATATTATATAATCGATAGATTGTATATAATTTCAAAAATAATACAAAATTCCATAAGTAATTTATAATCCATAGAATATAATATAATACAATTTATGGATTATATTATATCTATGGTATTATATACAACCTATGGAACTATATACATTCTATGGATTATATAATATCTATGGAATTTTATACAATCTATGGAATTATATACATTCTATAGAGTTTTGTGTTGTCTTTGAAATTATATACAATCTATGGATTATATTATATCTATGGAATTATATGCAATCTATGGATTATATAATATCTATGGGATTATGTATTATCTTTGGAAATATAAACAATATATGAAATTATATACCAAGTAAATACACCTAACATCAACTAAAGTAACATTTCTTTTAAAATCTAAATGTAGCATACTTGTTTTTTACTTGTTGTACAAATAATTAACATTCCATAAACATATGTTCATAGTGTAAGAAATAACTTTAATATACCAACGTAATAATTTATTTGGAGTCTGGTAGTATCTTATCATCTGGTCTGCTCGGTCTATACCTGACATATTATTATTATAGTCAAAAACTACGGAGGGCTTGAATTTACTCCATCCAATTACAAATTGTCAAAAATCAAACTGTAAACATATGCAAGAATCATACAGTGTCACTCTTAAAAAACAAAAATAGTATACCTACAACAAACATTTCTAATATCGCTACTATCTAGCTGTTTGATTTTAAAACCAAGTACACCAATCGATACACAGAAAACTGTTTAAAAATACCATGTTATCGTAATATTTATTGGAATAAATCAGAGTCAAATATTTATGTATACAAATGAATGGACACCATGTCAACTATACTTGACATGGATTTATCTAAAGAGAACCCTATATCAACTATAGTTGACATGTGGCCGTGAACACGTTAAATTTATTGGTTTATCACTCTGTTTTTTTTTTAATTTTTAGTTTTTAATTTTAATAAATACTTCAAATATTTCCCATTTTTGCTCTTTATCTTTATGGTATTAATTATTATTCATTACGTATTTTAGATTACTTTGGAACGTGACGTTTGTTATTTTAATATATTATACACCAACATTGATAAAACGCCATGGAGTTATAGATGTTCCAATTTATTACTATATAATTTTAGTATTTATACTAGCAATACATGACGTAAGTTGATAACATTTTTGGATAAAATTGAAGAAAAATATGATTTTATGGATTCAAAATTTAATAGTATAGTAGTTTATGTTGTTATTTTTTTAAATATTGATAACGATTATTAATTATTTAATGATATAATATAGATAAAAATAGATAATATTACAGATTTTATTAATAAACATTTTTATTTCAATTGACATGTTATAAATAACGGTTTATAGATTTTATCTAACATTATGGCTGTAGCTACATCAGCATTTTTCTCCCGGATTTGTGATTATCGTTTTGGTGGCACCTACATGACATTATTGAATACTTTAACCAACATAGGAGGAGCATGGTCATTTTCAGTTGCAATTGCAATGATTGATTTATTAACATTCAAGGAGTGTTCACTTGATTCCAAGAATAATTGTTCAACATCAAATCTTCAAAACGTAAGACTGATAAATAATATTAAATTATATTTATTGGTGTTATGAAAAAAAAGTTATAAATTATAATACTCTATATGCATTGTACCAATGATTTTATGATAATATAGTATATTATAAAATCAGTTATTGTATCCAATATAGAACAATTTACTATACTATACTCGTTTCCGCAAAAGTGTAACGCTACAGAATGATATCATGTGAATAGTGTATATTGTTATTGTTTTATGATTATCGGTAAATATTATATTATGGTTTGTGTTGCTTCCCCAGTGACGACTCATTATCGTTCCAATTAAAACTAAAATTATATTAAATTAACAAAAAAACGAGCGTGACCGACGAGGAGGACACTGCTGATTTGTTGTTGTAGGGCTATGTGCGGGAAAGCATCTTATTTTTCTCGAGAGAATATATTTTTTAAAAATGTAAATGTTAATTAATTGGGGTAGGCGGAGCCGGTCCCCAAGTTGTTTTTGGCCTTACGGGGTTTGTAACGTGTTTTGTTATTTAGATATGCGAGCCCGAACTTATTATTATTATTTCTATTATTGTTCTTTTATAAACAAAATCCTATAGTGGTCCAACCTGATGGTCTTGCCATGTAGGTTGGCGATCCTCCGGAAAAGGGGAAGTCATGTAAGGTTTTAACGATTCGGGACCTTACAAAAGAAAACCGAAATCGGTCATTGTTGGGCATAGCCCACCACATTTTTGTAAAGTGTCATATGGGTTGAGCCGCCGACACAAACCGTTGAACGATGATTATGTGAAAAGGACCAATTTACTTGCGTGAAGTGGTACCTTTTTCTCGTGGAAACGGGTATATATTATAATCAATTACGATAAAATATAATTTAATTGAAAAATTAAAATTATCACCCTCAAATATTTTGAATTTAGTATTAAATTATATTTACTTTTTTGCTGAAGCTAGTGAATATATATTTTGATATTAAAATTAAAATGTTCTCATTCGGTTGTATTTTTCGTGCTTTAAGCAGAAAAAAAAAATCTATCCAAGGATTGAGTCTTTTTTACAAAGATTGATCTTATTTAAGTTTTAATAATTTTTTTTAAAGTATAAATGTTATTTAATACATTTTTTTTTTCATTAGACGTGTACAGCTAATGGAGGTGATTGTAATGTATTAATGAATGGCTATTATATAGAAGTTGCACTGTGTACCATTATTGGAATCCTCTGGTACAATATTTTTAGAGGTGTGCTTCAAAATCTTCAAACAAAAGATTATACTCATTGGCTTGTCAACATTAAGAAACCAGTTAAAAAAAAACGACAAAAATATTTATTCAATTTCTGTAAATTAATAGTAAATTTAATTGATTTTTACATTAATTGTGCTATTATGTTGTATGATAATATATAGTATTATTAGTTACTACAATTTAATAATCGCAATTCAAACATATCTGTGTAATTAAAATTATTATTGTCGAATTTAAGTTTGATATTTATTTGTTTATGTTTTTGTTACGTATTCTTAAATATATAACTATTTATTTTTTAAATGTTTTATTATTATTAATACCTAAATTAAGTGCATAATAGCCTTAACAGGTTTAACAACTGTCACTATCTTATCTTGGTTCGTCCTTGAGCCATTAGCAGATTATGAAAAATCAATAAAAAGAAGAAAAAACCAGAAAATAAATTGGAACTAAAAAAAAAAAAAAAAAACGAAATATTAAAATGAATTAATAGCACAAGCAAATTAATTATAAATAATAAAGGTATTATACTTGTATATTTGTATCCTCCCTACAAAATTCTGGTAAAAAATGTATATTATTTTTAAAAATATTCGCCTTTATTGCCAACACGAAAGCGGAATTCCTCTTAAATGGCGCGATATTTGTAGTACCTACTATGTTATCTCGTCAACGGACGAAGGAGATTCTTTTAAATTAATTTTATTCAAATAACTATTTATAGTAATAAATATATGTCTTGATAATTGTTGTATAATATGGTACATCCGACACCGTTGCTCGTCAGTACATCGGTTGGTCAATCGTCGAATGTAGCGCGTGTTCCGTTTCAGACGTGGTTATTGCTTGATTTATGGTAATAATTGTGCATCACTAATTTCTAAATATGCAAATGAACAAACATTAAAAAGCACTCATTCCTCTTATTTGACACAAAAAAAAATAAAGGTTGAAACTCCATGGTCGGGTGAGACTCGATGGTTGGATGAGATACAGAAACGGGTGAATTATGATTGATATTTCTGTATTTGTATTTCAACTTGAAATTAATCAAATATTAATCTCGAAAAATGTATTCCGAGTAAGAGGTCGACTATGTCAGTTTATATTTATATAAATATAATCGATATAGAATCGTTTAATGTTTTTTTTTTGTTTTCTGTAAGAAAAAAAGAAATTTAGATAGGTAAGTATTAAAATGTTATAAAACCATAACCTTTTAGAATTAAAAAAAATCAAAAATTTCAAGTGATAATAACTACCACAAATTTCTTTAAAATATTTCAAAGATTATGAAATAACTTTAAAATACTAATAAAAGTACTTAATTAATGTTTGGAATCGCTGTATTTAATATTTAAAGATAAACAACAAAATAACTAATATTATATAATCAAAATTCATTAATCAAAATACTCGATTTCGTTAAAATTTCATTTCAAACGTATATAAAACATTTTTTATTTTTGGCTACAAAGAAAATCTTATAAAAATTTTGTTCATTTTATACCTAATGACACTGTTTTATTTAGTTTTTTTTTTAACAATACAATTGTACGTGAATATTTTTAATTTATCTTAATTTCTTTTTCTTTTTTTATCTTTACCTCGCATGTAATAATTAATCATTATAAAATAAAATAAAAATTTTAAACGTGAAAAAATTTAAAAATACGCTTAATAAATAACACTAAACATATTTTAATAATTGGTGCCTCCTCCCCATGATGAAATTTCTAGCTACACTCTTGTATACGGAACACGATGCTCGAGCGAAACTATTGCGTTAAAATTGAAAATTGTCTATTCAATTAAAAAATAATCTATCAAATTAAAAAAGTGACTGCTATAACGAGTAATTAATATAATTTGGTCGATATTAAAACTTTTGATAACAAAAAATGATTCCTGTTGTAACTACTGAGTAGCTGTTGTGCGTATGTATCTTATATGTATCAACAAATTATAATACATAATATAATAAAAATCATCTATATTACATATGGTGTGCAAAAATCAATATGTAGTTTATTTTAAACTTTTCATATTTCTCATGGTTTTTACATTCTATATAACTTCCAAATGTGAATCATAAAATAGTATTATACAAAATTTAAATATTTTTTATTTTGTTTTTTTTCCTCTAGATGATTTTTTTTTCGGCATGGTCATGCCACCCATCTATTCATCCACTAACTTGACTCCAGGGACTCAAAAATCTGCCGTTACGCCCTCACTGGTCAATATTATTTTGGCGGAAACAGAAAACTCCTATAAATTCGATTATTTTAATAAACAATTTATAAATAGTAAATAATATACATTTTCATACCAATTAATATTATTCACGTGATTAACGAATTCACGTATTCATCTTCGGATACTTGTCCATATTATTTAGCATTTATTAACTAACGTATATTAATCATATATGTTCTATTTTGCTATATTAACATTTTCGCGATATCTGTGAACATGTAAATTGGTATTCACTTAAAAAAAAAAACTCCTAATTATAATATGTTGGAGTCCACAAACCACTAATTCAATCACTAAATTTTATATTAATATATTTTCCCTTTACTCTCATCTATGTAAAAATAAACAAGAGTCTATACTTCAGAGTCTAGGTTATATATATTTTGTAGATAAATTCTTATTCAAGATTATTTACCTAAAATTTATGAAAAAATTGTTTTAAAAAACTAGGTTCCCTAAGCATCATTATTGGAACCTGTTTTCCAGTACATTTTGTGCTTTAAAGTATTTTGTAATTTATTCTATACACCCATTTTAATTATTTTTATTAATTTTTATTTTTTGCAACAAGTTTATTTTTTCTCCATACCAATAGGCTATAGTATAGTATTCTTATTTCAATTAAAAAAGTAGTTAGGCATAAAAAGTGGAGCATATTTGAAATGTCTTGTTCAGGTTTGAAAAAAATGGACATAATTATATATCTTGATATTCTCGATGGTCTAAACGGCATCTTTCTTACACGATCCTCTATACGTTCCTAGTTGGAGGGAGGGGATTAAGATGAAGTATCTTGACCCTATAATTATAAACACGTTGCATAATATGTACTCTTCACTCTTCGTAAAATATATTTCTAAGTCGAACCCCATCGTCTTCGAGTGAAACACGTTGAGCTCAATTTTTAATATCGATTTCGGTAAGTGCATTCTGAGTAAATTCAAAATTATATTCATTAATCTAACTTAAGTAAAAAAATGTTTAAAGTCTATTAAAATTAAAGAGATTTACATTCCAGTGTTACATGTTTATTTCCGTTGTTATATTTTACACCGGTCAAGGAAGGCAATACTCGTTTAAAAGGTATTCAATTAAACCCTTTTATTTCCGTAATATTATCGAGTACTTATAATATTTCTTTTCGATACTATGGCATCATTGGCATATTTATTTATTTTTACAAACTTTATGAAGCTAAATTATAAAGTTCCTATCTCACACGTGGTACATTATTATATTGGAAATAAGTTAAAAAATAGTATGTTTTAAATTGTTTTCTTTTTCTTTTAAATGTACAATATGTTATTGATGTATTAAGATAATGAGATATATTATAAAAAAATGATTTGAATGGCTTGCCAGAAGAAGTCACTCATTATAACGAAAAGACAAGAATAATAATAATATAATTGTAAATTAATATTATCACGAGTTACAGATACAAAGTTAATCACCCAATATTTTAAAGGCTAACAAATATTAAATATAATTTAATTTAGCCATTGTTTAGTGTGATATTCGAGTTATAGGTAAATTCAAATTTTACTTATATAAGGAATTAAATAAATTATAATTTTAATCGTTTGAAATTGACAACCAATTAAAAACAACCAAAATTAAACAATATGATATAATATTGTTTATTTCAACAACTACGTTTTTTTATAAATGTATAATAGTAATTTGATACAACGATAGATTTTTTTTTTTGAACATTACTTAAATATTTAAATGATGTTATAGAGCAAAATGACTAATACTAACTTTTGATTCATTAAATATAAACACATACATTAAAAAATTATTGTATTGAAACTGCAAAAATTCTTTTTTTTTGTTATAACTGCATAATAATATTGAAAAAAAATTAATATTAATATTTCGATATAAAAATATTATATTTGCTTACTATGAACAATTTAAAATAATTTCATAGAAATCCTATGCATTTTTTTGTTGATATTTTTTAATTTAAAAATATAATTTCTAGAGATTTTATATCTAATAGTTTAATAATCATTGTGTAATTTATAAATTAATGTAAATTTCAGTTTTCAAATGGACTCAGATATTAAAAAGAAGCGACCCCCACATCCTAGAGCTAATGCGAATATTTTTGAAATCTTAACATTTGGGTACGTACAATAATAATTTATATATATAATAATGCAGAGAAAATTTTTTATTCGCATTTCAAAATTCATTAAACACATTTTGTTTGTAATAATTCTTATGTAATGTATAAGATAGATTATAAGTAATTATAGATATGATGAGGTATTTAAAGAAAATATTAATATTATATCACATATTTCATGATTTGTGCAAATAAGTGAAATTCAAACAACGATTATGAGTTTGTTGGTTAATTATTGATCGATGAACATTATTTGATTTTTAATGATATTTCAATATATTAATACATATATATATATAAATATTTCATAGCACTTCACCATTTCACAAATATAAAAACATATTTTTCAAAATTTGAAGTAAATGACCACATTGAGAAAAAAAATACATAATGTCGAATTATAAGTGATAATTTCATAAAAAAGAGGCCGTTTTGTACCCGACGTCATTAAAAATACAATAATACTCGAAACTAAGCGTTTATTTATTTATTTTTATATATAAACTATTTATTTATATATTTACTTACGAGTATTGACGAATAACTATTATTTTATACTAAACTTGTAGTGTTAAATTTTTTCATTTATATGATGTTACATTTAGGTGGACTTTTAAGCTCTTCAATACAGGACGAAAAAGAGATTTAGAAATAAATGACCTATATACAACATTAAGTTCACATTCTTCATCATTATTAGGCATAGCATTAGAAAAGTAAATATATGAATTAATATTCGTTAATCATTTTTAATAAATTAACTTAACATTTTGGATTAAAGGAAATGGAAAGAAGAGTTATATCATTCGAAAAAAAGAGATCGACAACCAAGCCTCTTAAGAGCTTTATTTCAAATGTTTGGAACAAAAATTATGTTTTATGGAATTCTTATGTCATTGCTTGAAATTATACCGGGGTAAAAACGAAATCCTTTCGAAAAGGAATGTTAAACGTTTAATATTTTTCAACTTGATAAACACCTCCGTGACCTCTTCATTCAGAGAGACAATCCAAACTTATATTGTATATACTGGGGATTAGCATTAAATCCGAATATCTGTATTTTCGGATAACCAGGTTTTCTATTTTCCAGATTATGAAATCTGGATTTGAATAAAATTCTTATGCGGATTTGACGAGTTATCCGGATTATTCGAATTTACGAATTTGCTTTTTATGTGATTTAAACTATTTTATTTAATTAATATCAACATTTAACAATAAATTATTATGATTTTTTATGAATCACAGAATACTTATCATGACTTCAACAGTTTTTATAATTTATTTATTATTAGTTACCAAAACAAGTTATTAGTTATAATTAATAATAACAATAGTTGAGTTTATTTTAAACCTCCATGACTTACAACGATCTGACTATATACCGGATTACCGTATCTTTACTACATACCTTAATTAAATTTATGTAAATATACGAATTAGTCATTGAACAGTAATACTGAATAATCCAGATAATCTATGAAATTACAAAGCTATTTTTCACCACTAGTATATAATGCTTGGTCGTAAAATAAAATAGTATTACTAAAGCGGTGATGGAGATTATTTTAACACTATATAATCAATATGTACTGTTATATTTTAGAAATGTTTACAAATCATGAATGATGTCGAATGTTTAGATATGATTTTCTCAATTTCAACTTTTCAATATGTTTTGGTATAAATGATGTATTTAATATTTATGTTGTTTACTCATTAGAGCATACCAGCCATTTTTCTTGGGTTGTGTAATTGCTCATTTTGATCCAGATACACAAACAAATAAGAGTTCCAATCTCGGTATTTACTATGGATTGTGCTTGTTCGGAACCGTTATGATAAAGAATTTCAATTTCGTAGTCTACGATACGATTTCCATGCATTTGGGTATGAAGATGCGAGTGTCTACGTCTCGCCTTATTTATAATAAGGTACAATGTACACTATTCTCCATAATTAAATATCATTATTAAGATTTAATTATTATTAAGATTAACTAATGATATGCTTAAAAGGGAGAAACTTACGTCTCACTATATTATTGAATTCTATACTTGTTTTAAATTTATGTAATATTAATATTAATAATAATAATAATAATAATAATAACATTAATAATTATATCATTTATCTCTTTATGTTTTTCCTAACTGAAATTTATCCATAGCCCATGTAAATGAAATAAAAATATATTAAGCTTTGTTTAGTTCTTGGTCAAATTTTACCTGTTCATGGAAATACAAAATTAAATTTTTTTTTCTCGTAAATCAAGTATAAACTGAAAAAAAAGAATAATAAAATCTTTCTTATTTTTAGGCATTACGATTAAGTAAAACAGCTTTAGGTGAAACCACGGCTGGCCAAGTAGTGAATTTATTATCAAATGATGTAAACCGTTTTGATACTTCAATATACTTCTTGCCATACATATGGACAGGACCTATGCAAACATTAGTGGTATCATTCTTTTTGTGGCGAGAAATAGGCGTTTCATCAATATTTGGAATAGTTCTAATAATTATTTTCATTCCATTACAAGGTATGTTATAGCAAGAAGAAGACAAAGTGCATCCAGTATTAAAAATATAGTTTTTTTTCTTATTTGTCCTTGGCAATTTAAGTTTAATTAAATTTTTTATTTGTTTAAGTTCAAGTGTATTTTACTAAAAAAAAAAAAAAAAAATGTTAATATTATAATTCATAATAAACAAATAATAAATAACAAATAACTTCATTTTAGGTTGGCTGGGAAAAATAACTTCAGAATTTCGATTAAAAATAGCTATTCTAACAGACAAAAGGGTACGTTTGATGAATGAAATCATATCGGGTCTAAAAGTCATTAAAATGTATACTTGGGAAAAGCCATTTGAATATCTTGTAAAAAACGTGAGAAAGTACGTATATCTTAACAGGATTTCTTACGAAGATTTGATAATTATGATCCAAATGTATTCCATTAAAATGAAGTGAAATATTTTAGTTAAAAATTCAACAAATATATTCTTATAAAAGAATTTTTAAGAATTTTAAAATTTAAAATTCATAATTTGTTGAGTGAGCTATACAGCTAACACCACAAAATAGCTGAAATCATATTTTACAAAAAGCTAGCTAAAGAACATATTCCTAATTTTTTAACAAAACATAAAGGATTTAAAAAAAAATGATAAATTAGACTTAAATTGTAAAAATATGAAAAAAAACACAATTTGTCACTGTCATTTTTGTAACAAATCTTCGTAAAAATTTTTACATTTTGTGATAACATTGAATAATTGGATGATTTTTCACATATTATTTTTTTATAGAAATGAAATTAGAAGTATTAAAAAATCCAAATATATCGGTACTTTTTTAATATCGTCTTGGCTATTCCATACTAGAGTCGCATTATTTTTTAGTATTTTTTCGTACGTGTTTTTCGGGAACTTTATCACTGCTCAAAAAGTAAAGGGAATTTTGAATATTTGTTAGTGGAATAAATATTTACAAACTTTAAAAAAAGATTTTAATGCCTTTAGGTTTTTGTCGTAACTTTGTACTATAATATGTTACAAGTATCAATGACATTCTTTTTCCCTAAGTCCATAACGCAAATAGCTGAGTTATTGATATCCATTAAACGTCTACAGGTATGTATACATTTATCTTTAAATATTTGAAATTACCTATAAAATTTAACAATATACATATGAGCAATTTTGATATATACTTATTTTTAGAGTTTTTTACTGTATGAAGAGAAAGAAAACCAATTAATGGATCGTATAGAAGATAATGAATCGGCAACTATTGCAAATTATAATGCTAATTATAAGATTAAAAGTAATGGAGTAGACACATCAATTGGTTTAAACCACAACATTGTCTTAGAAAACGGTGATATTCAAAATAATTCGCAGGAATCGATAGAGTTAGGCATAATCATTTCTAACGCAACAGCTAAATGGGCAAATACTCAATCTAATTTTTCTATACAAAATATCAATCTAAATGTCAAACCTAGTAAATTAGTTGCAGTTATTGGTCCTGTAGGAGCAGGAAAGGTGTGTATAAGCTCGAGAATTAATAAAAAAAAAAAAAACATTGTTATCTTTTGATTGTAGAGTTCATTAATACAAGCTATATTAAAAGAATTGCCATTATGCGGAGGACATATTTCGGTACACGGTGTAGTGTCCTATGCGTCACAGGAACCGTGGCTGTTCGCAAGCTCTGTACGTCAAAATATCATTTTTGGTTCGCCAATGGATGAAAAGCGTTATTCAAAAGTGAACCAAATTTATTATTATTTTGAAAAATGTTATATAAATGATCAATACATTTAATTTCTTAATTTGGATCAGGTAATTCAAGTATGTGCCTTAAAAATAGACTTTGAACAATTGCCTTATGGTGATAAAACGATTGTTGGGGAAAGAGGAGTCTTACTGAGTGGTGGACAAAAAGCAAGAATAAATTTAGCAAGGTAATCAAATGTAAAATGCCAAATAAAATACAGTATTATTTAGGTATTGTAATATATTAAAATATTAATATATTCCAAAAATATGAAAAACTGATTTTATAAATAAACAATTTATTTTACAGAGCAGTTTATAAACAAGCGGACATTTATTTATTGGATGATCCATTGTCTGCTGTTGATACTCATGTAGGCAAACATTTATTTGAAAAATGCATAAAAAGTAAAAATTATTTAAAAAAAATGTATTATTTATATATTAAATATTTATAATACCATTCAATATTATAATTTTAGGTTATCTAAAAGAAAAAACTTGTATTCTTATAACACACCAGTTGCAATATTTGTCCAATGTCGATCATATTATTCTAATGGAAAATGTACGTATCAAAAGTTGAAAAATTTGTATTTTGTTGTGACTTGTAATAATTAATGTACATTATTTAATAATATAAAATACTTATATAACTTGTTATCTTCTTTTTTAGGCAAAAATATTAGCTGAAGGAACATACCTAAGTCTTCAAACCAGTGGTTTTGATTTTACAAAAATACTGGAATCTTTCTTGGAAACAACTATTTCGGATAATGAATCCAAATATAAACATGTAGATACAAAACGTACTAATCCACATACCATATTACAGAGTAGAAATTCCTGTCATAGTACTGAATCATCCACTGATGAACTTAACTTTGAACACGATCAAAACAATCAAATTGAAATACCTGAAACTTGTTCAAATGGAGATATTTCGATTTCTATATACTCATCATATTTTTCTGCCGGTGGAAGTTCAAAAACACTATATTTTTTATTGTTTATATGTATTTTCACTCAAGTCTTGGCATCAGGTGGAGATTTTTGGATATCATTTTGGTACGGTAGTATCATAATTTTGATTCAAATGTTAAAAAACCAAAATTATGAGATTTAATTTTAAATCATCATTATATGATTTAGGGTGAACTTAGAGGAAAGTGTTTTTCGTAAATCGAATAAAATGGATTATAACATTTTATCAGCCACTTATATTGTCTCATCGATGGCTCACGAAATATCTAATCCGCCGTTAATTTCGAGGCAAAGTTGTATCATAATATTTGCTATTTTGACGTTTTCTTTAATTGTAGTTATCTTAATGAGGACTGCTACGCTAGTATCTGTATGTTTAAAAGCGTCATTTAACTTGCATAACGCTATGTTCAACGCTATAATTAAAGCTACAATGTACTTTTTCAATACAAATTCAACTGGTAAAAAAGTCTAAAAATAAATTAATAAATACTTCTTTATGGTTTTATTTTTGTTAATAGGACGAATTCTAAACCGATTTTCAAAAGACATAGGCGCGATTGATGAGCTTTTGCCACTAGCTTTATTGGATTGCATACAAGTAATGTAGAACATAACATCTTATATATTAAAAAAATTTATGAAAACTAAAGTCAGTCCGTTTGGCCATTTTATCCGGCTGATTTCCTTCATTTTTTTTTTAAATAAAAGGTATTTAGACACAGATATGTCATCAATAATTGAAATTTACTCACTCCCACTAACGTGATTCTTCCCTGTAAATTTTTTATGGGACACATTCACTCAAGCAATTCGAATTCTCATATCTCCTCATTTAATGAATGGATCTTGATCGTTTCACTCTCAGAACACTCAGTGGATGAAACTCTATCTTTTGAACTACTTAAATTCGTTGAGTTTGAGGAAAGTTATGTGTGCACAATCAACTTTACTTTCAATTTTTTCCAAATATTGCATTCTCATTGATTCTTACCTAGTGATATAACAACCAGTGGCGTATTTATGGGGGGTTCCCCCCCCCCCCAAATATTTGAAAACTTGAAATTTTAAACATATCAGTAATGTAATAATTTTAGTTTGTTTATTCAATAAAGTATTAAAGTATATTGAAAAAAAAATATATATATATAAAAAATATTAATATCGCTAATTATTAAATTGTAATCGGATTATAATAATAACAATCGACCGCACGGCACTCACACACACATGGTATATAAATAATCTGATGCGGGGAAATTATCGCTCGATAAGAATATCAATATCTTATTCCGTGACTGTCACGTCTTGTTAGTTTGGGGAATAATAAGTTCCTACACGAGAGTGATAGGTAAACAATTACATACGTTAGTTCCTACATGGACGTATGTTGGTTCTTACACGGCGGAAAAAATTTAATATGTATATACGAATTTTTAAAAAATCTTCAAAAAAAAACAATGCATAGAAGTACCACAGCACCAACAGGCATATCGTTATGTTGAGTTATTTGTTATTAAAACTTTGAAACATTCAAATACTATATGTATATAGAGTATAGTATATTAGAGTATCTGAAAAACGTATACGAAATTACGGGAAAATATAACAAGCTACAAGCTGATAATAGTATCCCGACTAGACGTAGGAAAGATAAAATATCTTATTATTATGACTTTTCATTACGAATAAAAATGATACAGAACTTGATTTTGGTTTGATAATTTTGTAATTTCTTATAACCATAAAACGTAAAATGTACTTCTAGCTTAAAATTATTGTTAGTATTGTTCGAATCATCCGTGTGTCCTTACATATCCATATATATCAATCACAATGAGCGAGACTGTATCATTCGTGTTGAATGAAAAAGGCAAACAACTGCTAGTTTTAAATGATTTTACATATGTTCCTTTTTCTATCATGTAGGAAATAACGTACATATATTTTGTATCTGTTACTCTCGTGTAGGAATTTACATATTCCCGTTAGTTGTCAGTATGCACTATAAATTTATGCCCAACATAAAGTAATATAAAATATGATTAATACGATCATAAAATTATTTCACTATTAGGTATGACCCCCCCCCCCCAAAAAAAAAAAAAGTTTTAAATACGCCACCGATAACAAAAAACAACTCACAAACAATACTAATATTATTACTTATATTAGCTAATATTGTCTAGAAGGAAGCACTGTAAAATTATTTTCGTCAAACGTCAGAATAATCAAGAACAGAGAGAACAGTTTATATTTTATTTTTCAGAAAAATCCCTTAAAATATCCATAAAATCCTTATAGTCTTGAAAGTGAAGTTTTATTTTGTTTTAATTTTTTTTTTTGAATTTAATAGTTTATTTTTTTTTTTTTTTATAAAAATATTTTAGTTTAATTTAAAATTTTTTAAATGCTTATTTTAGTACTCATAATGATATTTTTAAGCGCTTATTTTTATGATTTTAAGTGCTATAAGTTCCGAGCCCTGCTAATGACTGATATAATATATATATTAATGTAATATGTTTACATTTACAACAGACAGGATTTTTAGTGTTGGGTATTATTATTGTTCTTGTATTTTTGAACATTTATTTAATGTTGCCGCTCATCATAGTGTTGATAACCGTTTTCAAACTTAGAATTTTATACTTGTCAACTTCACGAAGTGTCAAACGTCTAGAAGGAGTTAGTATGTATAAAATATTTTTTCATACTGAAAATGATTTCAAAATTAAATTTGTTCTAATTTCATATTACAGCTCGTAGTCCTGTATTTGCTCATTTGAATGCGACCATACAAGGTTTAACTACAATTAGAGCATTTAATGCAGAAGACATATTATTAAAAGAATATGATAACCATCAAGTCAGTAAAATTCATTACTTTAAAAATATTTATGTCATGTCACCTATGTTTTAGGACTTACATTCTTCAGCATGGTATTTATTCATATCATTGAGTAGAGCGTTCGGATTTTGGTTGGATTTGGTTTTTATTATGTTCGTTGGTGTCGTAATATTTAGCTATTTTTGTACTGATGGTAAGTTAATAAAAATTACCTTGCGATCGAATAAAAATGAATGTATTAAATCTACATTGGGGCATTTTATTTAAGACGCAAATGGAAGTCATGTTGGTCTAGCAATTACTCAAGCACTGGGGTTAGTTGGTTTTTGTCAATATGGAATGAGGCAATCGGCAGAATTACAAGACCAAATGACTTCTGTAGAGAGAGTACTCGAATATACAAATCTTCCCCAGGAATCAGCATTTGAAACACCTCCAGGTCTTATTAAATCATGAAATTAAACATATCAATTTATCGAAATATAATTTTATTTTAACTATGCTTTGTAAAACTAATTTTATATAGATGACAAGCCACCAAGGGAATGGCCTCAAAAAGGACAAATTGAATTTAAAAATTTTTATATAAGATATTGTCTTAATGAGCCACACGTATTAAAAAATCTTAATCTTAAAATAAAATCAACTGAAAAAGTACTATAAAATGTTTAGATTTTTAAATGTATATTTAAACCATTATATTTTATTTAGATTGGAATTGTTGGTAGAACTGGTGCTGGAAAGTCATCTTTGATAAGTGCGTTATTTAGATTAGCCCACAACGAAGGTTCTATCTTGATTGATGACATAGATATTAATAAATTGGGATTACACGATCTGCGGTCTAAAATTTCAATTATTCCACAAGAACCTGTATTGTTTTCTGGAACAATACGAACAAACTTAGATCCTTTTAATGATTACAAGGATGATACTCTGTGGAATGCATTAAAAGAAGTAAATGAGTAATATATAATTTTATATGAATCAATAAAAATTGTTGTTTCAGGTAGAACTTAAAGATATTGTCAAAGAATTGCCTCTTTGTCTTGATTCTAAAATGTCTGAAGGTGGTTCTAATTTTAGTGTAGGCCAGAGACAATTAATATGTTTGGCTAGAGCTATAGTGCGAAATAATAAAATTCTTGTGTTGGATGAAGCCACTGCAAATGTTGATGCGAAGTAATTTAATATTTTGACACTAAACAAATATAATGTATTAATTTTATTTTTTTTTTCAGGACTGATACGTTGATACAAAGAACTATAAGGAATAAATTCCGATCTTGTACAGTACTAACAATCGCTCACCGTTTAAACACTGTTATGGATTCGGACAAAGTACTCGTAATGAATTCCGGCGAAATAGTTGAATTTGATCATCCTTACAATTTGTTGCAAAAGAAGAGAGGATTTTTGTACCAAATGGTGAAGGAAACGGGGCAAGACACATCTTATATGCTTCACAGTGTAGCTGCTGAGGTAATAATAAAAATAAAATTATGTTTCCCCGTAATAAATAAACGTTAATTAAATTATATACATTTATTGAATTTTTTGTAGAATTATAAGATTATACATTTGAGCAGATGATGAATGGAAAATATAATTAGTCTGGTGCTGAAAACGATAATAAATGAAAAATTTTAATTTATTTATAAAAAGTATTAGATAATTATACTTTCATACTACAGCTCATATTAATCATATTAATAAAAATGTATTATGGTTATTCTTTTTCTAATAATTACTTACAACTATTTTGAATTATGAAGGATTATAGAAATTATAATCTGAAGCATGAATGATAACTTAAACATATGTTTATAATAAGACAAAATAAACAGTAAAAAGTAAAATAGGCCATAATCGTTTTAAAATTAGTATTATTGTTATAATTTATTTCATTATGTATTAATTAATATATCATGTTTAAATTTACTTTACCCGTTTATTAAATGTGAATCATTCGTGTTTTTTATACCAACTAAAGAAATTCATTTTATTTAACTACACAGAAATTTGATAAGCTAAACTTACCATTGTAATTATAACTTTATAAAACAATTATATAAATCTTGTAACCTGCCACGCGTCAATGTTAAAATACGAGTTAGTTAGTTAGAGTTAGAGTTAGTTGGTAATGATAGAAAGAAATCTCAGAGAATCTCTCAGTGGTGTGAATAATTATACTTAACGTTGAAAATGTCAAGTTTTATGTTAATTTAAATATCTTGTTGGCGCAGCAACTGCCCTAAGACTTGTTTGTTTGTTTAATGTTTTATTTTTTATAGTAATTAATATTAATATTTAAATATGTAATATTTTTTTTAATGGAGTAATAATATTAATTGATTAATAAATTAGAGTTGATAATTCTTAGTACTTAATTAATAAATTACTTTTTGTAAATTATATTTTAATAATGTAAATGATTTTCATATTTTTTTTTTATCGAACAAGAAAGTTTAAATTTTAGGTGTACAAACGTTCGTTATACATTTATTAAATCTACACATAACATATTTAGTTGATTGATTGTATTTTTTACTTCTGTGATTAATACTTCTACTGACGTCAGATTAAAATTTAAAACCATAATAAATTATTATCTCACATCGACATGCGAATGAAGACAATGTGTTCATTAATATTGGATTTGTCTGGCAACCCTTTACGTAATAATTCATATAATTGTCATTGGTAGAACGACACGTTTTCCTGAAAGAACGAAAACGTTTTTTTCCAAAACTACTGTGAAGATGTCGTTTTATTCTTATCATACGTGCATGTACTGTAGTCATGCGTGTCTCGTATAGTAAGTACTTCTTACTATACGGAGTGTGCCTAAAACGCATAGAATTTTGCAAATCGCATTTCTCACGTCGTCCACACGAAACAGAGGCGTGAAATAACAACAAATTCGATTGACGAGATAAAAAAAAAAATAAAGATCACATGTTTATTAATTGTTAAAAAACATAGGTTTGTAAGAATAAGCTTAATCGTAAATTTTCGGAAGGTGGAGAATCATTTCCGGGAGGATGGTGATCAGTAGTGGTATGCGGCGGCCGGGTAAACTGCTGGGATGTATTTCTTTTCGTATTTGCCGGGCCAGTATGAACCGTCGTCTTCAGCGTAGCTCGGGTAAGCGGCGTATGCTGCTGCCGGGTAAGCGGCGTATGCTGCTGCTGCCGGGTACGCGCGGACTGCCGGGTATGTGGACGCCGGATATGTGGCTGCCGAGTACGCGGCTGCCGGGTATGCGGCTGCGTATGCCGGGGCCGAGTAACCGTACGAGAAGCTACCCGAACGAGCAGCAGAGTACGCGTACGGGTACGCAACCGGGGCTACGGCGGAGTATGATAAAACCGCTGGAGAAAAAAATAAAATATAAATAATTATTACACGCTCGCCGGTTCGCAATCAAATCGAATCAAATATTTGAAACCGGTTGAGAACGTTAAAAAAAATATATAAAAACTGTTTTGTCGTCACACTTACGGGCTGGAGCGGCGGCGATGTAGGCACCTCTCTTTTCCCTGGTTTCCTCTACGGCGGCAACGGAGTACACGGCCAAGGCGATGAATATCTGTCGGCGAAAAGAAAAACATGCTGTCAAAAATCCATACGGTTCGCCGCGCACAACTTAAGTGCGGCAGATCGGTAATCGGTTCAACTCTCAAGTCGTCTAACGCGTGTACGGATCGACCACCGCGACCGATTCGAAAGACGGAAAGGTATCGTGTGCGCGATATTCGCGGTCGTAGTCCACAAAACCGATACGGTAAACGATTGCTGTACGTACCTAACTGCACACCCTTGAATATATATTTTTGCGCACGGAAAGCCGATTTCAAATCTATGCGATGAAGTTACGAGTATGTAAATATCGTCAAACAGCGTCGGACGGTGACTGCGTTCGTACACACGTGTTCGACGAGATTGTAACATTGGCCTCCACGACGCGATGTCAATATTATGATCATTTAATTCGTTAAATAAGTTTAACTGTTACGGGCGGTACGCGTTCAAAGATTTCTTCAAGGATTCGGCCGACGCACGCGTATGAAAACAATATTTGTCTTTCGAAATATACGTAAGTATAAGTGAACATTAGTACCATTGGTGTGAAAATATTTCGGATCGTAAGCCGAGCGAAAAAAAAATATAATTATAACCATGATATCGTGTAAGTTTGCTTACCAGACACTTGAAAGAAGCCATTGCGAGTTTGGTGGTTTCTTCTTAAGTTTTCTACGAAACTGATCTGCAAACTTCAACCTGTGGTCGGTACGAGTACTTGGGACGTGTGATGGTTGATACCTGGTACTGCGGTCCTTATATACGATTTGATCTATGAGCTCCGGCATTGGTACTGGTCCGGTAGTTGTGTGCTCGCGTCCCCTGCCCGACAACAAGGGCGTTGCCTGCTCAAAAGGTCGAAGTCCGGATCACGGATACGGAATGTGTGTGCATACAACGAGATACGGGTAACAGCAACATCGTCCGTGACGGCGCGACACTGGGGTGACCTTGGACTTCCGCCGTGAGGGAAGGAGTTTGCCAACTGAAAAAAATATAATTAATGTAACATGGACATGTAGAGTATTGTAACTAAAAATTACTTAAAAAAAAAAAAAAAAAAAATTATATGTATCATTGAAAACGCGATCGATGTATGAATACGTACAACCACGCACCGCACGGTTAGGCGTTGCCGGACATACGATTCGTACGGATTGTAATTGACCGCACGAGGAACCCACACGTTTCAATTCCGCCGGTCGTCCGAATTCGGCCGCGATTACGGTTTGGGTGTAGTAAAATCGCGCCGCAGGTTCACGGCTAGTCTTGGAATCGACGCTGCCCTTGGACGAAGACTTTGGATCGACGACTTCCATGCGCGTCATTCCTTGCACCACTTCGATATTAATACAATAATAAAATTTGATGGTTTTTATTTTATCATTTATTGTTTCCCCTCGTACAGAATATTTAATGTTACGATTTCGTACAGTATTATTTTAAATCAACAGCGAATAATGTGACCGAATGCCCACCGCGACGTCCTCCACGCATTGTACGTAAAATTATACATTCCTAACCGTTTAACGTTGACGAATTATTCGTGAGGTAAAACATCGAACTCTAAAAACGGTTTTTCGTTATTCGTCAATTACGTTATATTTATCGATTAACATGTGTTAAATTGTAACACGTCCGAAGTAGATAATTTTAAATAATAGGCATGATTGTTCTAGAACGTAAATCATTTTTTTTTTATACGAATACGACCGGTGATATTGTATGGATCGAAAATCTAGTTAGTAAAGAAATCAAATGAAAATAAATTCTAAGTACTAAAAAAAAAAATTTTAGAGGTTTTAGAATCAATAAAATATAATGTTACAGGAAAGTGAAGAAGAAGAAAAAACAGAGAGCTACAGTAAATATATAATAAAAATAACGTATTAGCGACTGTCAAGAAAGTAAGACTGCTCTGGGCAGGACATATAATAAAGAGTAAGAACATTTTATTAAGAGCGAGACAGGATCCGGTAGGAAAAATACTTTTGGGAAGATCAGAATTAAGAGTAAACTAGGATTTGACAATGTATATAAATGGTTGGAGGGTTGGTTGCGAGATGGGATATTTCTAGCGGCCGGATAACTCATAAAAAAAAATCTCCGCTCCATTTGAGTGAAATATTATATTCTTTGTTTGCCATTTTATCTAACCCGCAATAAATATGAATATACTGTTTTCAACATTGAATCTTTGAGAAGGATTGGAATTGATTTATTTTTGGTATAGATTTAAAGAAAAAAGTAGATTTACTACCGATGGTCGGACACTTGTTTTGTAATTAAAACAATTCACTGATGCCTAAGGAAAAATTTAAAACTAATTAATTATATAATTAAGGTTAGAATGAAATTTAAATAGTATATTTTCAATAGTATAATGTGTTAATAATATGTTAGTTAATTAGATTAGTTTGGAGGTTATTGTGCTGAACCATAGGTATAATGGTAATATAAAACGTTGATACAAATACGAAGCTTATACTTCAAGGAAAATTTTCATTCGTAAGTCAAAGTTGAACATTTACTAATGATTTTAAAATAATCCAACCACAACTATAATTATGGTTAAGCAGCGTAACCTCTATGAAAGGGAATTATACATTTCCCGGAAACAATACATTTGCAGTACAAATATCAGAAATATATATAACCTCTGAACAGTGAACACTTTTAATAGGTGATGTGGAAAATAAAAAATGAAAATAATTACAAACTTTGCATATATTAATGTCTTTTTGGAAGACTCATGCGAAAAACGGGGGATCCCAAACGGCTCCCATCGAAAAAGGTTTTACGAACAAGTAATTTCCTAACCTATTTTGAGTCATTTTCATTTATAAAAGATTATAGTTTTTAATTTAATTTGTATAATTCAAAAAGAATACATTTTTCAATTATATATTTTAAATAAAAAATTATTAGCTTAAGTAAATTCAAACAAATTATAGATATAACTAAATTTTATTAAATTATGTTATTCAAATTATATTCAAAGAGCTTCAAGTTACATTAGAAGTTAAAAATTATTAGTATCATAACGTGTGTAAGGTTTATATACATTGTTATGATAAATTAGGCACTTATGTCAATGGTTTTGGTTTTGTTTGAGGAGCAATTTCACTATTTTTTGTTCGATCTATTTACTGTAAGTTGTTAATTAATAACAATTAGGAACATATTTTTCGTTTTTATTTTTATAGAATTTTCTGAAATAAACAAGAAATACAAGCATAAAAATATGCCATTTATGGTCTGCTCAAAAAAAATTTATATTTACTACTAAGATACTTACTAGACATTGTTTATCTTGTGTACATTATTATTTGACAATTTTTAGCAGTCTTATAATTCTTACTGAAGAGCACCCATCATCATAATTTTCCCTGCTCATAGTGGTTTTCCTCCAACAAATTGCGACATAATGCCCAACTGCTTTGAGGTTTTTTGATATGGGAGAAATGAAATTAAATAGACCTCCAAGATAATATAATTTATCATGAACTGAAAGTATATTGGGAATATCATTTAAGACTATAAAAAGATCCAGGTCCTGAGTTGTTTTTTGTTGTTTTGTTATGGCGAAATACGGCTCAATAAATAGAAGGATCCCAAGCTTATAAGTATATTATATATTATATATTTTACAAACATCACACGTTTTTGATTGTTTTTATAAAATTGAAGATGGAACATCGTTTAAAAAATCTAAACCGTCTGTCAGTAAGTTAACAGAAATCGTAATATTGTTTCTCTTCTTCTCATATGCACAATGGTTACATTGGTTTCTTTTGATACCAGACTTGAATTTTTGGAAATATTTTACGTATTATATATTCAACTGTGCTTAAACAGTTTATATTTTTAAGTCCACTAGCAAATTCAGTCCATGGTTGCAATTCATTTATTATTTTTTTCAGTAAAATACCTCCTTTTTTTATAAGTTTGGGCGTTAATGTCATCTCGTATAGCACAATAAATTAATTCATAAAAGTAATTTTTTTTTTCTTACTCAATATACATTTAATATTGCAAACTATCAATATATGAAGTGCAGTATTGGCTTCAAGTTTGCATTATTGCTATTTTTTAAGATTCCAATAGTTCGACTTTTAGCCTTACTGTTATCGTTGTAGATAAGATGTTTGTGTCAAGTCAATAATATCAAGCAGTTGATTTCATACAAGAATTTTCTTTGGATGTTCTTATTAAATTTTAAGTATAAACCAACTTAAAATAAAATAATAATAAAATAAAAATAATATATAAATAATAAAAAAGATTCAACACAATATTTGACTTAATTATAGTTAATGTGTTCATTTTAAACTGTTATAAAAAGATATTTCAGATCAAAGTTATAATCCGAACTAAAAATTACGTGTACCTAAATAATTAACAAATAATTTAATTAATAAATAATAATTAAATAATCTTAATAAATAGGCATATTTAATTATTACACAAACTACACGATAAAATATTAGAATTCTAATAACAAAATAAATACCACTGGATAAATTTGAATAAGATACATTTTATTAAGAAATATAATGAATATATATTTTAAATAGTGAATTTAAAAAAATTACGTATATAATTTATTAAAACAAAATTAAAAAAAAAGTTTATTAGTTTAACTTTCGTAACAATTTACATACACATATTTATATTCAATCGTTTGTATTTTAATTTATTTTTTATTAAAAACGCATTGCAAATTTGAATATGACGTACGCTTACACTAACACTAGTCATGGAAATACATCTGATGCAGAAAATGCGAAATTCCGCAAAATTCTAAATCATTTCAAGCAAATGGAATTTAAAATTGTTGAAAATTTACTTAATAGAAAGAATAGTATTACTTGATATACGTTGACATACGTATCATAGAAAAAATTTAACTTTCAATACACTGTTTTTCATTTCCCAGGGTGAAAGGGTGATTTCCTCGTCACCCCTGTAAATAAAACTGGAATAAATTAAGCCCGTTGAGGTTCAATCGAAGGTAATAAAGAATAAATCAGGTAAGAACGAGGTACAATCGATGGACACCGGTTTCGACTCGAAATTTGGAGGTGGAACTGGGTTCAAGTATCTCTCCAGCACCCTCAAAACTAAAACAGGGTTAACTTAAAAACTGTTGAGGTACAAACGAATGGATTAGAAGTACAATCAGGTACAAATGAGGTACAAACGATTAGGACCGGATTGGACCCAAAATTTGAAAGTGTGGGTGCTGGGGAAATGGACCTCTATAATTATTCTGTAGATATAATAAAAATAAATAAATATTTTAAGTTCATTACATTTTAAATACATGTATACTGTGTAGTCTATACTTTTCAATACCCCTTGTTTTCATTAAATATTAAGATTATATAATTAACCAGATTGTTATTAAATTTGATTGATAAAAAAAGTATCTACATTGTAGGTTTTCACTAATTAAAAAAAGTTATCTTTTAAATTATTTAGATGAATATGAGTTTTGTTATTTTTTATCTCTATCTAGATACATTTGAGTTGCATAATCTTTATCTTTATCTAGATAAAAAAATTACTCGTCTAATCCAAGCACTGCTATTACACATATAACATATAGTAAAATCAGTTAATTCGCTCGACACGTGCAGTACGTAAAGGTCGGTCGCAGTATACAACATATATGATACATCACTGCACCAATATCCGTGAATACGTGAATAATTCTAAAATACGCGAATAAGGATTGAAAATCCACATATATTAAGGATACGTAAATACAGATATTTCATTATGGTGTTTACGAACTTCGTGTTCACGTACGTATTAGTTCTCGTTTTTAACAGAGACTTCTAGTATAAACATGATACATTTTTAATTCGAGACCGGTTGTACGTTACAAATATACTACCGTTCCAGGCTAAGTATTTATTTATTTATTTCTATGTATAAACTATTTATTTATGTATTTAAATGTATTTATTGTAACATAAGTTTATTCACCTCCTGTGACGAATGTTGATTTAACAAATATCTCTGAATAATTGGAATTCTATTGCTCTAATAATAAACTAATCGTGTAAATTATGTAATGACAATAATCATAAATTATATAAGTTGAAAATTATTATAATAACACTAAATAATAGATAACATAGATTTTATTTTATCTGAACGGGGTACGTATCAAAAGGGTAACCGAATTTGAAGTAAATGTGTCAACACTAAAATTATTTTGTTTATTTACTGAATGTATAAATAAGAATACAATACATAAAAGATTTAATTAATGTTCATAAAATATGAATCATATCCAACACTTCACGTCATTATTTGTAATAATTAGATTATAGCTTAGACAATACACAAATTGGTCCATAATATAATGAAAATCGATGAGTGAAATTAAGATTGTAGCATAGGTCAGCAAATTATGATAAGACCGTACAAAGACATAAATTCATTATTTCTTTAGTGTTTAAACTATAGTGATTTGATCGACTACATGTTAAATAGTATATGGTTATATTTTCAAACTACTCGTTTATTGGTGAATAAATATGTCGTCACCAATAAATGAAAACGAAACAGAAAAATGTCCAGATGTACAAGTATACAACACGACTGATATTAAGCGAAACTTTAAAGGAGATCGGATGAACTTTATACTGTTACTGTTACTGTACACGATGCAAGGATTTCCTATAGGCTTGACATCAGCTATACCGATTCTTTTGCAAAGCATGAAAGATGTGTCCTACCAAGATCAAGTAAGCTTCCTAATCAGTTGGTTTTGGAATTATCGTCAGCCGCCCATGTGTAATTTTATTATATTTCTGTGCTGCGCTATTGACGAGTTATTATGTTTTGTTTCAGGCTTTGTTTAGCTTGGTAATATGGCCTTTTAGCTTAAAACTCTTATGGGCTCCATTAGTAGACGCGCTTTACGTACGAAAAATAGGAAGGCGAAAGTCTTGGCTCTTACCAGTTCAATACTTATTGGGTATATAAAATACAATATTCTCCGTAACATTTTTGCGTTGAATAGTTCCAGTTCATCAAGGTTTTTCTTATAATAGCTAAAGAAAATAAAACTAAAGAAACATTTGATAACGTTAATTTTTAATTTTAAAATTTCAATTAATTTTTGTTATTTCAATAAACCTGTCTACAATAGATCCTTAAAATGTTTTGATTGCGATCAAAGATATCTATAAGATTTGTGTCAATGGATTTGTAATTTTTTTCAAACACATTTTAGTAGGGCCGTCGCAAGAGGGGTGGGCAATGGGAAAATTTTACTCCAGGCCTAGTCTCTCCCAGTCTAGAGAAATATAAAAGGGGCCCTCATAAAGTATTTTTTTTTATGAAATATTAATAAATTTAATTGAATAAAATTAACTTGAATTTATATTTAATCGTTATTATGCAGGCTACATTTTCAGTTATTCTAATTTCTAAATAGTTTTAACTGTAAATTATTATGGTTATTGCCGGAGTGTGAAGAATGACATAATTTTATTCAAATGTATGTAAAAATTTGTTATCACAAGTATCGACACAACAATATCGAAGTTCTTATTTTCTATTACTGTTAAAAAATGATCTAGTCATAAATTTAATTTTTATTAAATATGGTAACTGTTAATACATTATTGAGAAGTTGATAAAAATGTAATTAATTGCATTTAAATGACCTTGATTGGTTGAGGTTTGAAAAAATATATTTATCAACATTTTGCAAACTTGAAGTATATTTTTTTATCATACTCGTAAATTATTATGATAATTGAAGAACCCCAGAATGAATTTTCCTCAGACTCTAATAATCCTCAAGACGGCTCTGCTTTTTGGTACTTAAAAATATTCGATTAGTATAAATTTTCTTTAACTGAAAATATGTAAAAATAATGAGAATATTTTAATTGGAAATTGTTGAATAGAATAATAACCAATTTTAAAATATCAAAACATTTCCCATTCAATTTTTTTTTTTTCGAAAAGCGTTTCAATTAAAATTCTCCAATAATAATTTCTTTTATTTTTAATACAATTAGTGATACATGATAATATTTACTATGTCATTTAATTCTATGAAATTATTTTTATCACTCCCTGACCTTGTACGAATAAAATTTTTAATTTTAAATAAACATTGTATAATGTACATTATTTATATTTAATAGGGTCATGTTTACTTTATATGTCTAATGACATAGATACTTTGTTTCCTAAAACGGATAAACCAAATATCATGACATGGACATACATGTTCTTCATAACTAACATTCTAGCTGCCACACAAGATATTGTCATCGATGGTTGGGCCCTGACAATTTTAAACAAGTGGGTTTCAAATAATCAATTGCAATCATTATAAATATGTGATTCTTTAATTTTATAATCTGTTTTGTACAGAAAAAATTTAGATCATACATCCACGTGTAATACAACAGGCCAAACAATTGGTGTAATGTTAGGCTCCATGGTACCAATTTTGCTTACGTCTGAAGACTTCTGCAATAAATACTTATGGGTTGAGCCAGAAACGGGAGGAGTAGTCTCAATAGAAAGTAGGTGGTTACATTTTATAATTTTAATATTTTCATTAATGTTATAGAAGTTGTAGAGGTAAATGAATGCGAATGAGATTAGATTATATCAAAAATGACCATATCTTCATGAACGCCATATGTATGTCAATATTCAAAATTTATTTTTATCGAATGACCAAATGTCATTCGATAAAAATAATTCAGTCATCAAAAAAATACTACTATATATATTACGTGACGACAAAGATTTAATTATATTTTTATTTTCTCTTAGAACTTAAAACATCTGAGCATAGATTGCACGGAATTAATTTTATATATTTGTTCATTTAATTCAATATAATTAGCACTACTTTGAGTTCGTACATACAAAATGCTTAGACAATTTATAATATTAAGCATATAGTGGGAATCATGAATAATAATACAACAATTAAAGATTAATTGTTTTAATTTTTATTTTAATTGAATACATGATGTTCAGTTAGTTAGTTTTTATCATTTTATATTCCAATCATAGTATCATAAACTCATATGTGATTTCCACAACTTATTTAGAGTTTTTCAAGCACTCTGTATATTATTTGTATAGCATAGTGTAAATCTATGGTGTGAAAACAAATATATCATAAGACACTTCATATATTTTTGATCCTAAACAATAGTTTGATTTGAAGTACATATTATTCATGCAATTTTATCAACCAAAATTCTATTAATTATTAAGCATGATAATTAGATCTGGTATAATATAGAATAAACCCGGAGTATAATTAAAAATTTAAATTAGATAACCAATTATAAGATATAAAAGAAATTATAAAACATTCAACTAAAAAAAGAGAGGATCGAATGTTAAGGAGAAGATTGGTATTAGTTGTGCGGTAACCAAAAAAACCGAAGATGGAAAAATAAGGATAATCTGGAAAGAAAACGAGGATAATTATTCAACGCTACATGATACTTATTTTATTATTTTCGATAACTATAACTATTTTGAAATAGCAAATTATTAAAATATTAATAATAAATAACAATTAATCTATATATTTGGCTCAATTTGGTTTATTGTCTACATACAACACATATTATTAGTAAATTATTCATACAGGTTTTTTTTTCGTTTGGGGCATTATATTTATGTCAGCAACAACATTAATTGCCATTTTTAAAAAAGAAAAAGATCACTTATTGGAAGAAAATCAGATAAAACTCAATGTTGCACAAAACTATGGGCTAATATGGGATATTTTAAAGCTACCTGGTATTCGGAAATTGACATTGGCATTATTAACAGCAAGGGTAAATATAAATTAAGTGTATGATAAATAGTGAATTCATTGATCACACTCTCAATTTATTTTACGATTCATTAAAGTACAATTATATTTAACTCTTAGTAAAATAATGAACTATTTATTTTTGTTTAATTTGATATTCCATACCTAAATATAATATCTAACATACTTTATTTTAACAATCTTAACTTTGAGAACCATTAACTCTCTAAACCAAGGGTTCTCAACCTTTTAAGATAAATACCCACTTTCATGCTATTTTATACTGCCACGCCCCCATCATCATAATAAAATTTAATTATTTTTAATATATATATATAAATCTTCTTGTAATTCAACCCTATGATTGATTTTGTAATCGGATACGTGCTCTCCACTCTTCACTGTTTCCAGCTAACCTCTTTAGCTCCGTGCAGCTTAACAGTCCAGCATCGGAGATCATTTGATTAACAAATGAGGTTCTCGGACATCCTTGTTCTCTTTACCTTCAATTGTCCAATCTATTATTCTATAAACTAGTTTGTGTTTGGCCTCAATCAGAGTAAAGCGTTATTCTAATAAAATTTTATTTAGATGATTATTTAGATAAAATTTTATTCGAATAATTTTCGTTAATATTGTTTGGTTAAATATAGTGTTCATAATTTAAAACAGGCACATATTATAATTTATAAACAATAGATAGCATTTTATTTTAAGGTACATGATATATATCTTATTTTATTCGAGAAAATATAAAAAATATTATAAATAAAATATATAATATATATATACTGTCCAGATAAAATGTTGCCCAACTCTGGCCTTAATATGTATCCAATTATGTTCCATCCTTTTTAATGGTTTTAAGTTCTTTGAATTGATTTATTTCGCTAATTATGCTTTTGTTTACTCAATCCAACTCACTTGTAGCATTATTCTCAAATACCACATTTCAAAACTTTCGAGGATTTATTGTGCTTTATTTATCGTAATCATTTTCGTGGTATTTAGGTTATGAAGTCGTATAGCACCATATTCCATACATATAATTTTACGAAGCGTTTCCTTGCCCGAAAACTCATACTATTGGAACATAAAAATTTGTTCTTATTCATGAAAATTAACTTTACCTGTGTGATTCTATATCTTATTTCCATGATTGAGTTGCCTAAGTATTTAAACTATTCTACTTTTTCAAGCAGCCGATTTCCGGCTTGAATATCAATTCCACAGATTTAGTCTAATTTTAGCAATTTAAATCATTATTGGTTATTGGATAAATATGATAACATAAAAATCAATGAAGTTGTTTTGAATACTATAGAACGGGGTGATTAAGATCAATTGCAGAGGTTTTATGGTTATATCTCTGTACATTTTTAAAAAAAAGATCAACTTATTTTTTTCCAAATTAAGGGTAACATATATCTAGATGGTATTCATTGTAAAAAATCATATTAACCAAAGTAGTTTTTATATATATTTTTTTTAAGGTGACCCTATTAATATTATTTTGGGGTGAATAGAGTCACCTGTTTATTTTGCCTAATGAACCTATCCATACCACAGCTAGGTTGAATAGGGCCATCATATATATTTTTAAAAATGTTATTCTATTCTTCAACAGAATATAAAAAAAAGTGTAAAAATAGTATTATTTTAGTATTAATAGAGAATAATAAAATAAATACCTATGTACATAATTAATATTAAGAATATATAACTTTATTACTGGTTCTAATAAAAAAAGTAAACTCATTAAAATAAACTTTTTGCATCATATAGTTATAATTATAAAAAAAGAACAGATTGGTAGGTAACAAAAATACTTAATGAATTTATTTATAAGGCAAAAAATATTAATATTATTTTAAATTATTAAAACAAATTAAATTATATTCACTTTCTTAAATATTAAATTTTAAATTTATTATTATGAAGTAGATATAAATTAATGTGAGGGTTGGCACTGCTTAATTCCGCTTAATAAGGTTTCGATTATATATAAATATTTTCGAGTTTCGTTGCTTTTTAAGAATGTTCACGTCGTCCCACAGGTTGAGAATCGTTGCTCTTAACTATGAAATTAAAACTCCAAGTTTTCAAAAAATTGTAATTAGGTACAGTTAATATATCACCATTGTATAATTTATGCATTCATTTTCTTTTATGTAAAAGGTTGGATTTTCTGTAACAGATAGCGTTACATATTTGAAACTTATTGACGCTGGAATATCAAAAGATGACATTGCAATCATTAACACTGCATTATGCTTGATAAAAATATGTTTACCATTACTGTCAGCAAAATACACTTCAGGTCCAAAGCCAATGAGCATATATTTAAAATCAACAATTATGAAGTAAAGTCATTTGAATATTATTAAAATTACTGAATTAGTTCACGCTAATAATAGAATTCTTAAATTAATAATTTAATTTATTATGAACTTTTATTTTATATCTTATTTAAATAATAACATAAGTGTAAACAATTTTTGATATGGTAATCATATTAATATGTAAATATCTATAGATTTATATATGTATATATTAAAACATTGAAATATTTTGACAAATTTCAGATTAACGTGGAGCATTGCGTTTCTTGCACTAATTTATATTACTCCACGATTCGTAATTAATAATGGTTTCGTAGATATTCCAGTAACCTATTACGTGGTTTTAATATTTGTATTATTTGTAGATGAGGTGAGTTTATAATAATATTTATAGCTTACATCTAGATACTTATATAATTTAATGACAAATTTAAGTCTTAGGAGGCCAGAGTGCAAATACCAATTGAAGGCCCCTTAAAAAATAAATGTACACAATATATATATAATTAATTTAATTTTAAAGCAACAACATAAAATTAAAAAAATATTCAAAGCACGAAAAGACAATTAATAAAATAATAACACAACAGACAATTTTCAATTTACAATTTTGGTTTTGGAGGTCTTTTAGAGCTTGAGGCCTCTGTGAATTGCGCCAACTGCACTTCTCCACAAATATAAATACATTAAAGATTAAAATAGTGATAGTTATTAAAAACTGAGTAAAAAATTATATCAATATTGAAATATTCGATATTCATATAGAAACTAATAGTTGTTGATAATTAGTGTACTATTATTTATTACCTAAATTTTAACAATATTTAAACTGCAATTTAAATTCTATTTACTTGATTCATATAAATTAGTATGTTGTATTTTTACAGTATTTAAAACAATTTAAATTGTATTACTACGCTAATTTATTTTTTATCATTCACGGTATATACTATTATTGTATATTACTATACTATTTTTCACTGATACTTATTTTTTGGATTTTCGTGTATGACAAAAATATCATTGATTTTTTTTATTTTTAAAGCCTAACTCCTTCATTTTTTCAATTACTTATGACTAGGGCGCGAATTTCAAGGAAAAATCAATTTTTATTCTAAATCCTTATGCAATGCTCAATTTAGCAAAAATATGTTTCAAGTGGTGTAGATTCTTATAATTCAATTTTTAGTTTGCATTTTATGTCGTATTTACTTCTTTAATGCATTTTTGTTATTTTCACTACTTTTAAAGATATTATTTTCATATTTTTTAAAAATTTAAAAAAACTTCAATTATTCAAAATGTTCTTTAATCAAATTATTGACAACTACACTTTATCGTCTTATGTTATCGTTATGTCATTAAATTATGGTATAATAGTCGATGACGATATCAATAATACGGACTACGTGAGTGGAAAACATTGATCAAATAAAATATAAAAATTGTAGTGCTTTTTTGATAGTCATTTTTCACATTTTTAATGCATTTATTACGTCATTAATTAAATTTTTCAAATTTTTAACACATTTTTTACGTAATTTATGAAATTTTTAGGTTATAATTGCATTTTTTCTAAGGTATTTTTTAGGGCATTAAAAGTCGTGCCCTTCTTAAAATGTATGAGTTATTACATAACTTATTAATGTTTTTTTTATACATTTATCAATTTTACAATACTTATTTATTTTATATTTAAACTTAATTCTATAATAATAATTAATAATATTTTATATTTTTTTTTATAGATTGTATCTTACATTATGTTTGTTGCTATGTTATCTTTTTTTTCTCGAATATGTGACCCTCGTTTTGGTGGTACTTATTTAACATTATTAAACACAGTTTCAAATTTGGGATTTACGTGGACGTCTACAGTAGCACTTGGAATGATTGATTTACTTACGATTAAAGTATGTTCCAAGAATTCCAAAAATTATTGCTCCACAATGGATCAACAAAACGTAAAGTATTTTATTAAAAAAATATTAAAACTAGCTTAACATTATATTTAAGACGAATCATGGCTTACAGTAATTCTAAAAATGAATAATTTTACTTTTTTAAACATTACTATAACTAATTATAAGGAAAAAGTATTCACATTAAAAATTTGACCAGTTAAATAATGTATTTATTTACAGTTTTTATCAACTTTAAATAAAATGGGTCTCATAATTTGGTGAGGCTTATTCCTAAAAATATTATTTTTAAACCGAAAAAAACAAATAATATAGATGGAATATTTTAATAGATTTTATTTTACTTTTTTAGACATGCGAAACAATTGGCGGTGATTGTGATACTCTAGTAAACGGCTACTATATAGGAACCTTTATATGTATGATCGTTGGATTGCTTTGGATTTGTGTTTTTAAAAATGTTCTTAAAAGTCTTCAAACTAAAAGTTCTTGTTATTGGTTGGTGAAAATATGACTCAAATATTATGAAAAATATGGAGGATTGAGTGTATTGAGATAATTAATTCGATTGTTTACATCATAAAAGAACTGAAACTAAAATAATTAGATTTCATTATTTAAGTTAGAGTTCAATAATATTGAATTCTAATAGTTATAATATTGAAATTATTATTTTTGAAAGATATTATGATTGTTTGTTATAAAAATGGTTTTTCAAGGAAAACAAACCAAGTAAAATTATATTTATTAAAAATTATTAATTATTGTAATCATTAATTAATTTTGAATACAGTAAAAATATTGATCTCATGTTTTATAAATTAGAAATGTATTTATTATGATTTATATATTTTAATAGTGTATTATATAGTTATATTTTTATATCAATATATTTAAACTGAAAATGTGACAAGACAAGACCTGATACAACAATTTCATACATTGTAATTTGTATTATTCAAACTCTATATCACGATTCCGAAGAAAATCGTGAATTTTGTTCAGAATGGAAGAAAAATATAAAAAAAAAAAATTAATTTAACAATATTGTTATAATATATTTTTTATTAAATAATGTTTTATGAAGTAATATTCCTAAAAATTATTTTCATCATTAATATTTGTGTATAGGATAGGGTGAATTTACGCTCTTTCAAGTCTATCCTGCATTGGCATACATACATGGGTATCAGGAGGGGCGGTCAACACCCCAAAACTCTAAATTGGTACCCCTGTACGCCTATGCTGTTCCGTATTAATCCTATTTTTTCCCTTACTCTTAATGTATAACTTATAATTTATAAAATCTGAACTTTATAATGGAATTTTTAAGGTAAAATTTAACCATTTTAGTGGTTTGGTACATCGTATTATTATGAAAAATATATATTGTGTATAAAAATTTTATTTGTATTCAAAAACCTTTATACATCATATATTTATTTTGTTGTTAGAGCTAGCAAAAAAAAAAAAAAAATTATCAATATTTCACTCAAGAGTGAGAGGATGCAAGTAAAAAAAATGTACCCAAACACTGATTAAGTCCAGGACTGCAATTTAAAGGGGCAAGGTGTGCGCTCACACACACTGACATATTTTTTATCTAAAATTAGTCTGAACGTTTATAGTTAATTATTTCTATGGCCTTGACCTTCAGCTTTAAATATTTAATTTCTGAAACAATAAAACATCTTTACATGCAATTTTTATTCATCTCGAATAAAACTAATAATATTATTGCTTAATGATAAATAATTCTTTCCATGATGGAGACAACATTTTTTTTTTTTTTTGCGGTAGATAATATATATTCCAAGTTCTATGCAAAGTTAATATGTTTCAAATAGAATAACTTTTTAGTGATAACACAAGAAACGTTTTTTTAACGATAAATAACTGGTGATGAGAAAAAATTGTTTGGACACCCTTAAAAAAGGCTACACATGAATTACATCTCGAAATAAAAAAAAATTGATAAGTAAGCACATGAATTGTGCCCAACTTTATCTAAACAATTGCACAATAAATATGAAAATAGCCAATTAACTTATCTGGATTTTATTAAAAAGATATCATACAAGTTTTCATCAGTCTTATAATTGTTAAAATCTAAATTTAATCTTATAATTTTTAATATAATTATACATTTAATTTAGATACTTCTAATTGCATAACAATGACAAAAACAATATTTTTAACATAACGTTAGTAATAATTTTCTATTGATAGAACTTAGTCTGTATAAAATAGGAAGGAAAACAATGTTTTTACTTTGGGACGCAATTCGTGTAACTCGTGCAATTCGCTAACCTGAAATACCGACCCTGATAGAATCTTAATGTTAGAGCACATTGAAAATATATTTTCGTTAATTAAATATTAATAATAATAACCATGCGGAGGCATACAACCTAGTCAGTTGTACAGGTAGTGAACAGATCCATCTCCACACAAACCACTTTCGACAAATCAAGGAAAATTATTAAATAAAAGCACAAAATCTATAAGTTATTTTTATTATATACTATCTGAATTACCTGTCTTTTTTCGTATATAGTTTTTGCTTTCTCTAAATGAAATGCTTAAATCAGTAAATAATGTAGTGTTTTAAAGAAGAAAAAAAAATATTTTATTTAATTCAATAAAGTACTAAATAGTAGTAATAATAGTAGCTGAATTATAAATAATAAAAAAAAATTAATAATAATAATAATATTTACAAATGATTCTAATAATTCTATACATATATTATTATTAAAAATGATTCTATAATCCTTATCCTTATATATTATATAAAAGAACAGAACATATTTTTTTACACTATTTAACATTTTTCCAATTATTTTATATATTATATAAGGATTAATACCGATGTGCATATATGAAAAAAGCTTAAATATTTTAAAATATACATGTATAAAATATAATAAATTATATTCTACCACCGTCATTCATCATTGTATTGTCATTATTAACGTTATAACTTATAACCGATGCTTATATTTAAATACTATTTTCCAAAGCATAATTGGGCTACATTAATAATTATTCACTTTAGTTATTTATTTTCTAGCACATCGTTATTTGGCGAGTTTATTTACAAAACGTAGTCACTATATTAGACATAATTTTTAAAATTTTCATTGTTGCCAGTATACGTACGATATGACTAAGATCTACAAATGACATTAAACAAATTTGAAAAAACATACATTTGCCCACACTGCTATGACGTATCATAGAATTTTTCCTGTGTGTGTGATGTGTATACTTTCCATGTACTATCAAATTATTTCTAAGACCTTTTTTCAAACGCCTGATTTTCTAAACATTATACTATGCCCCGGTATACCGTAACGTAATACTATACCTATAATACTATTAAATTTAGTGAATAATTCAAATTAGTTGTGCAATTCCTACGGATTATTACCGATGGATTGACTATAATAATTGACTGTGTTTGCGTCATGTGGAAGTTTCGTGTACGACCAGTGGTTCTCAATCTTTTTGAGGCCCCGATCCCATGAAATGTTACCAAGATTTTGTGCGACTTTTATTTTGATAATATTAAAAAGTAGTAATAAAGTAATATGAATTATTTAACGCTTTTTTTTTTGACAACCCAAAACTTTTTTCAATTGTAATTCTCAACAATGATAATGATATTTACAAAAACACCTTACTATTTATTTTATATATTGGCGACCCTAAAAAGATTATTAGGGACCCCTTAGTATGAGAATGACTGATATGGACTATACGAGTAACTATTAAATGATAACAAAAGCCGTTGACTCACAAGTGAGTCAGAGCGAGTAAAACATGTGACTGGATACGGATCGCATGTAAAAAACTTAATGCATTTATTAAATATAGTTATACGAAGTCCGATAAATCTTATGCGATTATTGTACTTTTAATTAAACAATTATACTCTAATATATACATATATAATAATCAGTAGTTATAATAAAAAATAATAATAATAATAATAATTGCTAATGGTGATATAAAAATCATATCAATAATTATGTATCATACTGAGCGTGTAAGTACTCGTACACATGTGTCGAGAATGAAATTTATAAACGCCGCTCGTTAATGTTTTATACTAAACGAAGTACAATGTAATCTATTGAGATATAGTTGAAAAAGTACAATGCGACGAGTTCTATTCATTGTTATTTTCACAAAAATGAGTAAATGCTCTGTTTGACCAAAAATTAATTATTATCATATTACATTTTCATTCGAACATTTCAAATTACATTAGTTGTATTATTATAATGGTTGTACAGTTTTCGATCGATATTCAAAGTGTTTCGTTTTCATATTAAATACGAGTAATGATGGACGATAACATTGCGAAAACCGAAACTTTAAGCCGCGTTGTACCTATTCACAATGCGGATAAATGCAACGGCGGTGACCCGATCACCAGGGCACCTAACATAAACGGCGACAAAATGAATTTATTAAAGCTCATGTTTCTATATACACTGCAAGGTGTGCCGTGTGGCTTCGCCGATGCTTTTCCGATAATATTAAAAACCAAACAGTTTTCGTACAATGATCAGGTAAAAACCGACCAAATATATTAAAAAATAAATACAGATTGATTTTAATACTGGGTGTGTGTGTTGTTAAATTGTTCAGGCGTTATTTAGTATAAGCACGTGGCCGTACACTTTCAAAATTTTATGGGCCCCATTAGTCGACTCTATATTTTGTCTTTCAATAGGAAGACGAAAAATGTGGCTTATTCCTGTATACTTACAACTAGGTACGTTTAAAGTAAACAAAATAATATTATAGTGATTTATCGCATATAATTATAAACTAAATGGACATAGTTATAAATCATTCTTTTTTTCTATATTCGATAATATAATATAGTTATGTGTTGAGAATATGAATGTCAATTATCGTACATACAAATGTATGTTTTTTATAATTGTCTACATTTAAATCCATGATCAGTTTACGTGACTATGGAAAATATATATAAACATACCTTAATATTTAAGTATACATATTTAATAATATTATTTTTGTATGATTATAGAATGAATTAATATATTTTATACAGTTATAAAAAATTATTTTAATAATAATTTTCGAATGCGATGGTTTATTGACAAATTAAAATATACACAAATAATACAAAGATACGATTTATCAACCTTTATTTTGTGTTTTTTTTTTTTACTACTTTAATTTATTAAGCTAGGTCTAGATAAAAGTAACATTTGAACATATTTGAACATAGTCCGTGGTATTTACTGACCAAAACAAAATATTTCCGAGTATATATAATTATCAGTTGATGGTAAAATATTGACAAAGGGTGTTATTTTTTTCCGGGCTCTATTATATGCGTACAAACGTCACAGAAAATCGTGAAAACTGTAAAGATGGGGGTTCGTCCAAATTAATAAAACCAGAAATTAGTTAATACTACGAATTTGAACATAACAATGAAAATTATTTTTGAAATTTGAAGATCATTCTATAATTATTTAAATTTAAAAAATTTTTGATTTTACCAGACCCGATAATTGGAAAAGAAGATATAAATAATATTTTAATAATATAAGTTTAATTTTCTGTGTTTTTAATTTACCATTGACCCTTGAATTAATTCCACATTAAATATATTCTTGATATTTCAGGTACTTGTTTGCTGTTCTGTAGTCTATACGTCGACGAGTGGCTAAATGATACCGAAAACCTTTCAAACATCATTCTACTCACGACACTTTGGTTGATAATTAACTGTCTAGCAGCTACTCAGGATATTGTGGTTGATGGATGGGCATGCTCGATGTTACAAAAGTAATTATTTACTATATTAGTTTATTAATTTCAGTTTTTTCAATAGCACAAACCGCTATTGGAAATAATCGAAAACTAATTGATATTATAAATAATGTTTAGACATAATATACATTATGCATCAATGTGTAACGCTACCGGCAATTCGTTAGGATCATTTATGGGATACATAATTATGTTGCTTCTCGGATCTGAAGAGTTTTGCAACAAATGGTTGCGTTCTCAACCCAAATCAGGAAGTATTATCACTGTAGACGGTAATTTTCAACTCTTCGCTTACAATATTAATTATTACAAAAATTATATAATAACTTTAAATTATCCGAATAGAATATTTGTATTATTGGGGGATCGTGTACATTGTAGCAGCAGCCTTTGTTTTTATGTTCAAAAGTGAAACTGAACCATCATCAAGGCAAAAAAACGTTGGTGTATGGAACACATACAAGTTACTTTGGGATATTATGAAATTGCGAAATGTACAAATATTGGGATCAATATGGGTCACTGCAAAAGTAAGCAAAACAAATAAAAATATTGGTATACATACGTTTTAAGTGTACCTATAATTGTTGCGATTTACCTTACTGCAATTTAATTTTAAATTTTTTTTTAACTATCTTCCATAAATAAAGAATATATTTATAACTTTTTATAAATATACATCATGTTACTTTTCAAGTATTAGAAATTTGAAAGGTGTGTGTAAAAATTCTCATCTGAATTTAAATTAAATGGTAAGCTCTTTCGAATAAATTTTATAACTAGTCATTAAATAATCTTAGAAACTCGAATGTTTGATCTCTTTTACTCCTTTGTCTAATTTGAGATATAACTTGATGGGTATACATACAGAGGTGAAACTAGAAGTCTTAACGCCGTGGGATGTATATAATACCATAGATATAATATAATCCATAGATTGTATTATATTATATTCTATGGATTATATATTATCTATGAAATTATGTATTATCATTGATTAAATATACATAGATAGCCCACACAATGATAAATATTGAAAACGCTTAAAATGTCTCAAATTGAGCCAGAATTGTAGTAGTAATGAATTCCTGATAACAGAATGCACTGGCGTTCCATATAAACATTTATAATCTCAAATTTATTGTTATCCGTGATCATTGTTGATATATTGCTGATAAACTATAATCAATTTTAACCATTGTCATTTATTCCTTTTTATTATGTATAGGCTCTGTTAAAGTTAATTGTATATATTTTATATGTTTTGTAGTTATCTATTTGACTATTACATGATTATGCTTTTATTTTACAATTATATTTATATTTTTTGCCTTTAAAATCGGGTAATTATTGAGTTTTCTATAGAAGCTGTAAATACTTAGATAAATCAAGAAATAATATGGGATAAAATGAATACACATTTTTTTTTTTATATATTAAAGTTTACACTTGTGAACATGAGATCCAGAAAAGACTTGAATACTCGCGAGCGAAGCGATTGTCCTTTTGGGTGATAAAATCTGATAAGTTTTGATACTAATAAATACACAATAGTCATTGTCATAAATCCTTAAATACGCGTATACCCTATAGTTTTTTTGCCAAAACACCATTGCATACAACTATACTTATTGAATTTCAGACACATTATCAGTAACAAAGTTAAAAGTTTTAAACTAATAGGTAGTTAATAATAGATTATATACTACAAAAATTACACTCTCTAAAATGTTACACGCGGTAATGAATCCCCGTCTTCCTTCCCCTAGTTCCGCCACTTCACACATTTATTACCAAATAGACGTGAACGTGTGTAAGTATTAAATTCTAATTTAAATATAACTGATATTAAACTAATCGGGTTCTCAAAAAAATATAACTAATTATTAATGAAATTATATTTAAATTCATTATATATTTAATATTTAACTAATAACAATGAAGTTTAGTTAGGATTCGCTACTGTCGATTCAGCAACTAATATGGAGTTCATGGGTGCTGGAGTATCTGAAAATAGTATAGCCATAATTGGTATACTTTTATACTTGGTCAAAATTATAGTCCCCGTAGCTGTTTCTAAGATGACAAATCCAACAAACACGTTGATGGTTTACTTGAAATACATTCCATATAGGTTATATTATTATAATCTCTTTAACAACACATACGAATATTTTTGTTTTAAAAGCTAATCTTATGTTCCAGATTGCTACATAATGTGATATTCGCTGTATTGCTATATTACACTCCATTACTTATAAACAGCAATGCCATACTCCAGACATTTTACTATATATCGTTGGGATTAACCTACATAACTTACCAGGTAAATTTTTATTTGTTTATACATTGTACTATAGTCAGGGTTGGGCAAGATACTTAAAAAAAAGTATCATGATACATGATACATGCATTTAGTGTATCTAGATACAAGATAAAGACATACAGTAAATGTAGAAAAGATACAAGATACAAGATACTTGTATACTTCCAATTAAATTTTATTAACTTTTAAACGTAAAAGGTTTATGCAATACACTATACAGTCCATACTCTATAATACTATATAAAGTGGGGGTACTTATAAATTCATAAATATTAAATAATACAATAAGTCAATGCACATTATAAAATATATCACTATAAATTATAGTCCATAATACATAAATACACCAAAATTACATAAAAATTACATCTTCATTTTTACTTATATATAGTTAGTTTATATTATATTATAGTTATACATGTGTTTGATTGATTATGGATTCATGATTAAGAATAAATATATACGAGTAGATAAGATTGGTTGTGGTCTTATGGATTAAAATTTTAAATTAAATGTTATATTTATCAATAAAATCTTGATTTCCTTTAAGAAAAATTAATTTTTCAAACATTTTGTCTGATAGATTAGATCTACTGGGTGAGTGCACAAAACCAAATTGTTGACCAAATATCTGCTGTTATAGTTATAATTGCTAGTGGTTCAGTTGTAAACAAATTTTTAATTTTTTCAACAACTTTTATAAAATCATAGTCTGTGCCTAAGTATATTAAACTAGTAGTATTAACGGAAATTATTTTAACATTTTTTATATTCGTAATAGAATAATAGTTTACTTTTATAATTTTTATAAAATTCTCATCCTCAATGGTAGACAAAGGCCTCATACCCAAAACAATATAACGCATTATATTTTTATCTAGTTCCTTCTGTTTATCTAGTTAATTAAAAAAACTTATTTTTGGTTGTTTAAGTGGACATAAATCTACGATCGATGACTGGTCAAATGGTCTCTTATGGTCAGGATTCTTATTTGAATTTTATTTAATGTGTTCGTCGTATAATGTTAATTTTTTCAAAATAAACTCTCTAAAAATTATTTTATAATAAAATAAATAATAATTTATTTACGAGCTGTTTCACAGTAAACTGACAATTGCAATAACTTTAATTCTATTTTGCATTTTCAAAATTTGTATTATGAATTATTTTATATTATTTCTAATCAATTTTCTAAATCAAAACCTACTGGCGGTCGTTACCGTCACCAATAACACGGCGGCGCCGACGTCTGTTCGTGTGTATCCAAGAAAATCGATTTGAAATGATATAAAATTATATAATTATATAAAATGTAAAACATTTAAATATGATTTAAAAATAATATCATTAAAATAGCTATTTTGATTATTTTAAATATCAAATAGAATTTTTTTTAAATGTAGCGTAAACGACAAATGATAATTTAAAAAAAGAATTTGAAAATATTCAATAGAACTAAAGTTATTACAATTATTAGTTCACCATGAAACACTTTATAATATACAGTATAATAAATAATAATAGGTACATTACTTTTATATGCATTCGAAAATTTGTAATGAATTTAAGAGATCCAGGAAGTATTTTATTTTATTTTTTAACATATTGGCATGTCATACACAATACTTTTACAGCATAATCAGAACCATTTTGTTCAGAAAAATAATCCATCAAAAAAAAAAAAAAAAATTAAAATATAAAGGAATCAGATATGAAAAAATGTTGAACAGTCTTATAATTATTTTACTCACAATGCAACAGTCATACAGAAGACCGAACGAATAAAATGATACACCAGTAATAGTACATTACAATTACTTATCTGTATTTTATTTTCTATTTTATGTGGAAAGATCTACTAAAATTACAGCCATATCTATAAAAAAAAATATATGTATTTGATTCATATTTTATGAGAACGAAAATTTGAGTTTACTGCTTATCTGTATGACTGTAATTTTCAAATTATCTTACAAGGTATCACATTGTGTAGTTAATGTTTTCATTATTCATTTCGGCTCGATCGCATCTAGACAATTATTTTTTGTAAAAATACAATCCACGACGAAAATTTTTTTATTTCTTGGTATTATTCAGTACAAATTTTTACAATAATAATATCTTGTATCTTTTGGGAAAGAAAGATACATGATACTTACATAAAATGTTTCATGATACAAGATACAATATACATTGTATCTTTGATACTGACCAACCCTGGCTATAGTGCTATCTTTAAGCCAGGATTCATATAAATTAAATATTTGACACAATAATATAATACCTATTCTAATGTTTTTTACCAAATATTTAAGTTTAAGATTGTACATATTTTTAATTTTCCAATCATTCTGATTGGTGCAAATAGTAAGAACTTCCTGAGAGGAAGCTTGAGTCTTCCTCTCATATTCCCCATTTGATTCAAATAAATAATTTCTAATGTAACTGCATATACAAATATCGATAAGTCTGGACTATACCACCGGAGAAAACTTTGAAAATATTTAAAGTCAAGATTAGTTGCTATAATTAAATTACAAAATCGTAATATTAACGTATTGATCATCAATTTCAATTAAATTAGTGTATTACATTCAATAGAAAAACTATTGATTTGGAATTATTTTTACAGTAATTTACATTCTTATTCATTATTATTTATTATATAGGCTATTAGTCATTGGTTAAACCAAAATCACTCTAATAATCTGTATATTATTGTTTTCAACATAAAAAGCATTCACAAAAATAAAAATAATTCGAAATTATCTTCTTTATTTAAACATAAATTTCTTTAATTTGAAATCAATTAAAGCTAAAAAAATTATATACAATTCATTAAAACTAAATTAATCTACGTATGTTTCATCATTTTTAATTATTAAATTATTATAAACTTTTAATTTTTAATTGTGTGATTTATTTTATTTAATAGACGTGTATGTTCATAATGTACGTGCTGTATCTATCATTTTTATCCCAAGTAAGTGATCCGAATTATGGTGGTGTTTATATGACATTGCTGGGCACTTTTGCTAACCTTAGCTACGCGATAACCAGAACCGGTTCACTTTGGTTGATTGACGTACTAACATTCAAACAGTGTTCAACTATCCCTCACAACTATTGTGAGACTTCTATATCTACAGAAGTAAATAATATTAAAACTTATTATTATTTTAATTTTAAAACGATCTGTATTAGGTGAATTTTTTTTTTCTTAGTACAATTTATTATTTTTATTCTTTAGTTAAAAAATAATTTTTAGTTTATAATTTTATTGCCATAATTATTTTTATTTATATTTTATCATCAACAATTTTGCTAAAGTAAGCGTCGTAGCCGAGCGCGATATGGCGGCTGTATCTAATCGCCCAGTTGCCTAACTAGAGCCCTAACTCGACTCCTCAATTTCACATTCCAGGCGGAACCACCGTCCCAAGGAATGAAAAAATTACTATCATTCCAACCTTCTTTTAACAACTTCATGCAATTTATATTTTAGGTTTCTCGGGATCTAAAACTAATGAATATTATTATACCTTAATTAATAGTTACTAATATTAGAATTTAAAATTTATATTATTTTGAATAATTCTTAATTACATTCAATTTTAGTCTTGTCAAGTATCAAATGGAACGTGCAATACTATAATAGGAGGATACTATGCAGAGATAGTCTTATCTTCTATTTTGGGAATTTTATGGTACTATATAATTAAAAAACCAATGATCAGATTACAGTCAAGTGATAGAACAAATTGGATAGTTTACAAAAATTATGATTCAAAAACAGATCGAACTACGGAGACTAAACACTAAGCAACAATAAAACAGTATTTCTAAAATAATTTATGTAAAATATTAATATCTATATAAAATTTTAGACATTTTATATAATAGTTTACAAAATATTAATTTTACAATTGTATATTGAATCGTATTTAATAAATTATTTTTATAAATTAATTTTTATTTTTTGTATGAATATAATGACTAAAATATAAATAATTTTACCTATATTTAAATTATAATTATTTGTCATTTATTTATTATAATACATAAAATAAATATATGTATTATTTGACAAAAAAAAAATGCCAAGAACTTAGTAACTAAAATGTTGAATGTATTGTTCTACTGGTTGTAGTTTAAGTTTATATATTTACACTATATTTTATCGTTAATAAGTTGATCTTACTTAATATTATGATAAAATACCTTCTCTATACCCTTATAAAATAAACACTAATTATATGAATGAGTATATTAATCTCAATAATAAAATTTTATTATTAATTTTCATATAATATTATTTACATCATTCAAGTTCCATAAAATCGTAAAAGTAGTATAATAAATATATTATCACATTTTTTTTTTTAGCTCGAAAAAATTATATATTGTCCGGTCAAGCTTAAATTCTTTGTCACTTTTGTTGAAAAAAAAATCACTTGAATAAATTAATAGCCACAAAAATGTATGCAGATACAATTTATTTTATAAACTAAATACATAACAAAACCGTTAAATGATTAACTAAACAAATATATACCTTAATTTTTCAATCTTAGCTATCAAATTAAATGCCTTTTAATATATTTAAACAGAATAATATAATAAATATAAGAATATAATAAATTTAATTTAAATTTAACTTAAAAACAAAAACTCGAAGAATCAAATTTTTATAGAATTATTTAGAGTTAAAAATAGTTAAAAAGATTTGTTTAACACTTCGTATTCTTGAACAGTGTCGCTAATTAATATTAATTTAAACGTATTTTCAACATAAGTATTAGAGTGAAAAAAATCTGAGAATCATTGTGCCATATCATGTTTTTGTCAAAACATAAAATAAACTATAAAATAAAATAAACTTAAAATTAAATTTATTAATATGCTTAAAACTAAAGTCGACTTTCTTCAGAATATATTTGTTTTTCAATCCACTTGATATAAAAGCTCACATCTATGTAGACGCCGGGTATTGATGCCGTTCCACAACCGATTCCCCAAGACACTAAACCAATCAAATATGAAACAGAATCTTGTTCACATACTAAAGGAGAACCACCGTCGCCCTGCACAAAAAATGTAACAATAATAAGATTTACTAACGAAATTATCTGTAGTCGATAACGGAGTAATATGTAGGCAAATTTATATCCATCGATGTTTTGCAATGTATCTGTTGGTAAACTACTTATGTTTATAGCCGGTAATAATAATTTTGTTGACAAAACTATCAATATTCTATAAACGCATATTAAGATAATCATTCTCAATTCTATGAATAGAAAAAAGAAATAAAAATTGGAAAATTATATATATTAAGGTACGTAAATAATATTGTTTTTCAGGCACAAATATTTTATCGCTGCATTAAAACCTTGATTCAGCCGCTATTTGTATATAATAAGTCATTCGACCAAAATAATGGAAGAAAAGCGATAAAATTATATTTTAAACAATATTAAATGTCTATTTAATAATATCGAATAATTATAATTATTATTAAATATAATTTAATTTTGATAAGTATATAATCCGAAATAATGTAAAAAAAAAAAAAAAAAATGAATAGGTATATATATATTATCTTATAATAAATCTTATAAAAGTCAAACTGTTTAAAATGCATTGCTTATAATTTAATTGTTAAAAAGTGCTTAATAAATATAAGTGTTAGATGATTTCGAAATATTAGATTTTAACTTTTAACTTTTAAACCGATGGTGGAAATTACCAGAGTACAATTATTGTAAAATAATATAGTATTATACTATACTATATATACTACCACATTTTTCATGCGAGTTAAAATTTTATTTTTTTCGCTATTCCGTTTTCGATTATTCTGTCTATCGATAATTCTGAGCTATTTTGTACGCCACACGAACGACTTCTGTGTAAAGAAATCTCTTATTGCCAACTAAATAATATAACTATAGTAAAAATCATTTATAATAATATTCAAGGGCCCATTAAAAATTCGTCATAATAACCGATAGTCTTAACAACGAAAATTTAAAAACTCGATAGTATAATATATGAACAGAACAATATCGGGGGATGTTATGTTTTTGTTACTAAATCGTGATTCAAATGCGGCAAAAAGTAAAATAAAAAGTATTTGCATTAAAATGATTACGTACTAGTCTAATGCTGCGTAATTCAAGTTTGAAACTTAATATTCTCATATGTGTCCAAATGCAACAGACGTAAACAGCCGTTAAAAATAAAATACTTATCTAAAAATATTTATAAACAAAAAACACTGACACAACACCCGCCGTACGATAATATATAAAACGTTATACTGGTGCAGCGCGAACACAAAACAGACCCTTAATGTTGTTGTAACAATCAGTGCCGAGTTTAACGGGGATGCAGGGGGTGCAATACATTGAGGCTTAAATCTATAAGAGACCTCTAAAACCAAAATCTACAATTCAAAAATGGTCCGCTTCGTAAATGTAATTTTTTTTTTTTTCGTACTCTTTTTCTTACATTCGTCCGTTTTATTTCGTTTAACAGTTTTTAAAATCGAATTTATAAATCGATATGTTTAAACGTAAATTTGTAAGCGGTACACAACAATTATAAAAGAAGATACTTTTAAAAAAAAAACTAATTAATCTTTTCTAATGGCCTCCAATTGGTATGCGCAGTCCGGCCGTCCAAAGACTTGGACCCGGCACGGGTATAACATGACCGATGTTAACATTGTACTCGCCTTGCACGCGTCCTCGTGCTCCTCGCCGCCAGCGCACAAGAATCCCTCGTGTAGCTTGAACTTGCCGCCTAGCCTCGTGGTCCGCAGACTCCTGACGCACCCGTCCCGGTCCCACAGCGGGACGCCGACCTTTTTCAGCACGCCGGGGTAACGCGGCCTGTCGAAGCTCTCCGTGCCCCACCCGGATACGCGACACCCAGTCCAGTGCGGTCGACCCGACGACGCCGTGCCGTCGGGCTGCGGTCCGGGCGGTAAGCACGCGGCGCTTATGTGCTTCGACCAGGTCACCGCCTCGGACATGGTGATCACGGCAACGTCGTTGTTCATTGTCGACGACGAGTATCCCGGATGGATCGTTACGCTCGCCACGGCCCGTTCCACGTACGGCAGCGGCTCCACGTTCTTGTAAATGTCCCAGTCACCTAGTCGCACTTTCAGCGCGCTAACGTTCCTGCGAAAAACGCGCACCACAGTGATCATCGGGCAATCATCGATGGGTCAACGTGAAGGGATCGGAACGGGAGAAGCGGCGGCGGTGGCAAGGGCTGTTCCGGGCGTAGGCTAATGGGCTCGGCCCACCCCCGCGTCGCGCAACGCGTACGAATCGTCATGACTACGTACGTCTCCGTCGCTGTTTTTACCGACCGTGGTGAATGGCACACTTACTCGTACGGCACGTATCGAAACGGTAATTAAACTCCGGCGGTGAAAATTTTTCGATTTAAAAGTCGAAAAAATGATCTTTTTTTTACAATTCACTTAATAATTCTAAACGGAACTCAAAAGAACCATGGCCATGTATGGGCGGTCCACTAACAATTAATAATACTTTAATACGTTATTGTTTTTGGTAACATAAATAGATTCAAAACGTTTCGTGGTTCAATAATTATTATATACTTTTGCCCGCTGCCTAAGTTGAAATTGGTCGAATTATAGATAATCTAAACCTAAAACAACAAACGACTATTAAAATTAATTTTTTTATAAATTTACTTTGAAAAACTAGTGAGAAAGTGAGCCGTTGACAGTATATGTTTATTATCTATCAAAGCTCCGTTCGAGACGAATGAATTTCCATTGGTTAGTATCAAAGCTTGCCAAGGAAATTCGCCAAATTTGGCCTATAATAACAAAAAAAAAAAAAAATAATGAATTTAAAATATAAAATAATTATTAAAACACTAACGAAATTTATTCATTGGATCAGTTAGGATGTAAAAATGTATTTCTCATATCAGATGGATTTAGTTTTATTTTTAAGTTGTTTAAAGTGTATTGAAATGATCAAGTTAAAAAAAGAATAAAACAGATATTACAGTTGGAAATAAAATAAAAAAATAAATAAATAGTTGAAATTTATTTCATACAGTTTTACCTGATCCAGGTGGATTTTGATTCCTTCGATGTCCTGTGGCGCCGCCTTCCCACACATCAACAATGGGTTTTCTACAAATGGGTCTGAACAACAGTACACTTTTCCAGAAGGACATTTATCCGGTTTCTCAAAATTATATGAAATAATAAATTATTAATAAAACATTTAAAATAAATGTTTACTTTAGTATTCGTACTGTAATTATTCTTATGTCGATTGATGCATCATTTTCATCGGGCAAACATTCGTTTGGTAAAACACATTTACAATCTTCAATCCATTCTGTTTCATGTGATGGCTCTGGAATATTCCATTATAATTAAAATGTGTAATACAAGATAACTTTAGTTGGCATGATTTATAATCTTATAAAAATAATTTTAATCTTAAATTTTATCTTGTTTCTTGGTTTATTAATTTTTAACTCTACTCTTCCTGGAAATCCTCCTCACCGTGGTATCATAAAAGAGGCTGGTATCGTGACCTTTTATCTTAAAATCACTGTGTGTTCACCTAGCGAAACTCGAGAAATGAGACGAAACGAGAGTGACTTCAACGCAACACACCTCCAATGGGGGTGTCGTGTCGCAAATACTCGGAGGGACGCATGTTCCAAAATGTCATAGAAAACAAAAGAACATACATCATTCATATCTCCATCGAGACCTACATATTGGCCATCACATTTTAATAGACATCTAAGTACACTAAACCTTAGTTTTATTAGTCTACTCTACAAACTAAAACTTTTTTTTTCCATCGCCAAATTATTTACTCATTCGCTCTTATCTATGTAATAGGTCATTTGCTGTCAAACAAAGATACTCGATATCCTTATACTGCCATATGCAAGTCGGAATCCTCCAAGGGAGTGACCTCATGGTGGTAGAATAAAGAGTAAATACTCCCCATCACTGAAACTACAAGGAGTGAACATCCCCATAACCTCACAGGTAGAATACCTAGGACTTATACTCATTCAACGCCTAACCTGAGGCCCTCACTTAAAATCAAAACGCAAAACACTAAATAACCGTCTACATATGCTTCGCCCCATATTTAAATACAAATTATCAATTCACGCTAAAACAATTTTATACAAATCCCTATTAAAGCCAATCTAGACTTACGGTATGCAAATTTAGGACTGCGCTAAGCCATTCCAAACCCAAAGTATTTAATCTTTTTAAACAATCTCTCTCCGGCTTATTGCCTCAGCTCCATAGTATATAACAAACAAAGCGCTACATAAAGACTTAAAAATAAACTCAGTCGATCAGTTAACAAAAAAGTACTATATCAAATTTCATATAAAACTACCACACCATCAAAACCCACTCATCTCATACGTATCCTCACGCACACTACTCAAAAACTCTCATTGCCGTCTGAAAAAAAACGATAATGCCGAAACCCTAATTAATATTTATATCACGCTCTAAAGGATTCTATCAATAGATAGCCTCCCTCATTAAGTTATTCTGTTTATAAAATATTTATTGTAAACATTTTTCATTTACTTATTGAGTATTTTTTTTTCAAATACAGATTATACATTTTTTTAATAAAAAAAAAAAACTTAGTTATTACCACATTTGCTTATTGTATTTATTTTAATATAGATTGGAAATTTATTCATTAAAAAAAAAACAAGAACTATACTCTAAATCAGGGGTCGGCAACCTTTTGAACTACGCGGACCATATTTTTTTTCAAATGTTTATCTAGGGCTACATTAAAAAAAATTTTATATATGATATATACTAATAATTGTATTTTTATTATATTTGATTATTTTACATAGAAATATGAGTGTAAAAAATACGAATGTTACTGGAAAAAATTGGTTTTAAGAAAAAATTTAATTTTTTGACAAATTAAACATAATGGCTTACCTTTGTTTTCGACGAAAAAGTATAAATCAACCCAAGAATTATTAAAAAAAAAATGATGTTCATTACAAATTTTTCTTTTTTTAGTCGCCATAATGTTTGGATTTACTTGTAAAATGAAACTATTACAAGCGCAAACATTCACACGTACGAGCGTAATCATGGTGTAATACTAATTGTTACAAACGCAAAGTAACTATGACCATAGATTTAATATATTAGATACATATGTATTAAATACATAGATTAAATATATTTAAAATTTTAATTTTTAAATATATATAAGTATATTTAATTTATCCTATGACTGAGTAGTGCAGCCATCATTATCTTCGACTCTGATTATATAAAAATAATTTTTTATAGATTAAAATGACTATACAACTATATAGAATAAACATCAACTATCAACAATTATATTAGATCTTATTAATAAAGAAAAAATAATTGAATAGTATTGAAAATTATATGAAAAATTTTATTGAACAAAAATAAAACACAAAAATTAACCTCCTTTGTGCGAACCACATGCGGCCTGTGAGCCGCAGGTTGCCGACCCCTGCTCTAAATAAATATTTAAATAATATTTCATAAATTAATTATATTAAATTTCATAAAATCGTACTTACTAATTTTTTCAATTTGCAGTTCCAATCTGTCAAATGACACTGAACCTGTATCATTTGATACAGATTCATGTATTTTAGAAACAGTAAAAAACGCTACTACAGCAAATGTTTTGAAAATCATTTTTTCATCAGTTTCTTCTAAACACAGCATATACGTTATGGAGAAAATGATATTAATGCTATTAATATATCTAAATATTTCAAATACTGCTATAATTTATATTCAAAAAACCAATGGAATAGGATTATAATGACATGTATTGTATAAATAATTATTATTGTCCCTTACAAAAGAATGTCTCTATATTATACGTACAAATATAATTAACTAATAACTGCACTGTATAATAAAATATTGTACTTCATTTATATTTAGTAAAACATAATTTAATAGGTATAATTATTTAACAACTATTTATTTTAATTGAACAAATTATTTTACAAAAAATAATAAAAAAAAAAACATTGTCACACAAGAGTAATTTTGCTGCTATTAAACTACACAACATTTGTAATAACATCAACTTCCCATCCAATTCCTGGAAAAAAAGAATTATAATATTTTATTATTACGTATTATTAAATATTTTAATATTTTAATTGGAAACCAAAAATATGTTGTACAATTTTGTATTTCTAATTTCTATAATGAGGCATGAAGATTTGCAAATTAAGTAGCTCTATATTTTTCCTAAAACTAAACATGTTTCAAATTAACACTCGTCAAGCATGCAACGAAATTTCAGTTTTTTTTAATTATTATTACAGTAATATTAACGCTGGTAAAATATTTAGTAATAAATTATTAGTAATAAAAACAAAAAAAAATTATTTTTACACAGCTGTTAATACAATACAGTTAACTCTCAAAAGATAAGATATTTAAAATTGATCAAAAGTATTAAGAACCTACTTAATTTTGAAAATTTTAAAAATTAAATAAATAAAAGATTATAACCTGAAAAATTACAATTAAAAAAAAAAAATTTAAATCCTCAATAGAAATTCTCAGGTATGATTTTTATATTAAGAACATTAAAATATATCATAGTTTTCTAAAAGTCTACTCGCTCAATTTTTTTTAAAATAACAACTAACGTTCAACATATTTAAATTAATATTTTAAAATTATGAAAATTAAGTATATTATACGAAAATAATATACAAAAATGCACAAAAAGTAAACTTGCCGCATTCGTTATTTCCAATTGCCACATATACATATCCATCATTTCCAAAGTTTGTACCCCAAGAATTTTTCAAAATGTAGTATGGATTTACACCAAGTTGATATCCTACTATCTCTGCTGCATGATTCAATGATTCTATACTATTATCACATTGACTGATTATACCACCGACATAATACTGCCATGGCAATGCGTTAAGTGCAACGGAAACTGGACTTTTCGATAAATAAGTTACCAATAGATCTTCGCGGTTCATTAAGCTAAAACAATTGTTACACGTAAGACTTCTTCATTAGGTATTATATTATATTGTAAATTGCAATGGTCATGTACTTAATGAAGTTACAATAATTTGTTTGTGTATATTATGAATAAATAACTTACTTTAGAGTTAAAAATGATTTTATTTTGACTCCTTCGTCGGGTGTTCTGGAAACAAATATAGATTATTATAATTTTAATACATAATCCTATCTAATTAAATTTACGGACTGACTGAGAGTACATATTTGATCTGCATAAATGGTTGGATAATTTTCTTCTTTCAATACAGTAATGTTATTTTCCACTAACCACAACAGTAAATATGCAACACTTCCACCAAGACATCCTTGATTTATTCCTCCTGAACAATCTATCATCTATTCATAATCGTATAATACAAATTATATTATTTTGACTGACATTTATTTTCAATTAATTATTAAATACAGAATTAATTTAAATAAATTATTTTACTATAGACCGAAAGAGTACACATACAATTAAATGATGTACTTACTTCTTGTACACTAAATGTTTGCAACACTCCTGTCTTAATAGCGTAAACAGATTCGATCATTTCTACCGCACTCACTGCCCAGCATGCTCCACAATTTTTTTGATTTCGCACAGAAGTTACCACTCCTTTATCTCTCCTTAAAAAATATCATATACAAATGGTGCTTTTTTCTGGCAATAAGAAATAGGATAATGGAACATAATGTCCATTTTTAAAAATATAAACCGTAAACAGTTGATAGAAATATTTTGGGCACCTATAAAATGTACCATCTACAAATATTTTGTCATTAAAGCACAGCGATTTTAAATTAGAATTTGTAGTGTAGAATAAAATATTATTTACTGTGTCAGAATTAAAACATAAAAACTATATTGTAATAAACAATTTTTTTATTAGTGTCACTAAAAATTCACCACATATTTTATTTAAGAATAAACATATTTTATAAATATAAAATTTTAAATTATCACATAAGCAAAATTCTCAGTTTCTGTCTATGTATCTTGAATCAATGAAATTATATACAATCTATGGAATTATATCATTTCTTTGGAATTATATAATATCTATGGAATTTTATGGATTTTATGTTGTGGTTTATTTATACAACTTTTCAAATTATGGGGTGGCCGTGAACGTGTTAAATGGATCCTTAATATGTAATGAATATTACCAATCAATGTTTGATAACATAGCTGTTGTAGTTGATCTTTTAGACTTGCCCATGTTAAAAGTTTCTGTGCGTGATATCCTCGGAGAGATCGGAGTCAGATGCGTTTTAGTAAATTCTTCTGGAGATAAATCTGAAAATTTTGTAATTCCATAACTGGAACAGCCATTACAACTATGTCTTAGTAGCCTAATATTATTTAATGATGCCTGCAAAAAAAAATAAAAAATATGAAATAATTTTTAGCTCGAGGAGCGTGCATCTAATTCAAATATATAATAGAAACATGAATATATTATTGTGCATACTAACAAATGAAACAAATGATTATATGTAGGTATTTTTAAAAAATAATTATTTAATAAACAATTTTTTTGTGCGTACATTCAATATTTTACTAATTAAATAAACCCTAAAGTAATACCTAAACTTTTTAATTTGTTCAATATATTACGTAACACATGTTATATGTCTCACCTGAAATCGTTTGAATCTTATATTGCGTTCCGTACTATTTACGTAACTCTTATTAAACATACGTATGAACTGTTCAAACTCCCTTTGTTCCTGATTATTTTTTGTTATCGCCATAAGAAAAAATAAAATTAATACTACACCTCCAACAACTACTGAAGTTCTTAATATATTAGAAACGACCATTGTTTTTAATTGTTTTTTAAACAATAGAGTTTAAGTAAAGTTCCTCGGTTTAACGATTTCAAATAAACTATTGCTTAGAATGTCAAAATCACCATGAATAAAGAAACCACATGATTTCAATGGCTTCGTAAGTAAAAAGATATCTTTGGTTTTTAAACGCTATCTATCTACAAATGTAGTTTTAGTGAAAATTGAATAGGAATAAAACTGATAGAACTTATAAGTGTTTATTCTTCGTTGTTTCGTTCTACAGACAGGATACTCGCTGAGGGCGTATAAATGGCATATAATTAATAGTTTGGAATATTCTCTAAATCTTGTACAGGGGCATCATTGGAAATCAAGGTTACAATCACTACTTTAAATATAGACACAATCTTACTACTGAAATAATTCACAATATTTTGTACAGACAAAATTAAACTAAATTTTAATATTAAATGGTTACTGCAAATATTTTTTTTTTCATTGAGAACAAAAAAAAAAATAGTTTATTTGAAAGGAACATACTTATATTTGTGATTTAAACTTTAAACTTTAAATACCTAATAAAAACAAATTAAAATGAGTTCCCTAGCTCCCACAAGCTATTTGACTTAGATAAGAACAAAAAAATATTTGAAAACAAAAAAAAAAAAGAAATAAAATTTAAACAAAGATACTTATGGTATACTTATGGATGTTAATTTAAATTTAAATTTTAAAATATAAAGAAAAAAAATCGACAAGCTATTTGATGAAAACTAAAAACTGTATTAACTATCAATTAGAAACATATATACTATTGAAATTAAAATATTGTTATTATTTTAAGTCTGAAATTTAAAATTATTGACATGGAAATATATAGAAAATACCTAATAAAAAATTGAGTATTAGTTATTATTAAAAGACTAGCCACCTAAAATTACTTACAAATCTTAATATTAAAAATAATAAACTGAACGAATATGAGATGATTTTAACATGTATTATTTAGAAAAAAATAATTATAATGTAAGTAAAACTCTATATTATTAATTCATAAATGAGCAATAAAATGAAAATGGAAAGAATATTCTATGATAAAACTAACAAAATATTTTTTCACACATAAAATACACCGAACGATAATTAACTAGAAACGCTTACAATAAGTTCAAATATCTAAAATCTGCAGTCCCTTGGGATATTTTATTTAAATTAGACATATTCATACTCGGTACACTTTCCAAGATAACACCATGTACTTTTTGAATGAAACAAATATCATTATACTACATGCGCGCTCAAAGGGGGGCAAAAGGGGCCATTGCCCCTACTGGGAAGTTTTGTTTCAAAACTATTGTTAATTTAATACCACGCATATTAATTATAACATAATTTTATGGAGATCCATTTATGAATTTTAGTAAAATTTATTATATTTTTAGATAATCTAAAATATTTAATCTTGAACGTATTTATTAGTATACAATGTTTACACATGATTGCATATCGCTCAAAACTATAAATTCTCCCGAGTACTGATTTCTATGGTATTTGATTTTGTTCTCATTTATTTTTAGATACACGTTGCTTTGGCCCTTAGAATTTTAATCTTGCCCCGGGTGGAATTTTAATCTGCGGGCGCGCTTGTTATACTATACTCGTGATATTTATTGGTAACACGAATTTCAAAATTTTTAATTATTCAGATTTATCAAATTTGGATTTAGGAAATCTAGACAAACATAACTTTACGAGTTCATAATTTATCATTTATCTAGCTGTTAATTTAAATTATTTTTAAAAAAGTTCGATAGAAAAGATACAAAAATGTACTGAAATAGGATTTTATATTCTTAAAACCCCAGAAATCTGCATCTAAAATATAAAACCATAAAATATGCAAAACAAAAATAGTATTATTTGATATATTCAGTAGAATTAAATTTGTATTCAGGTCCACATTAAATTGGATCAATAGAAAAAATATGCAATTTCATAAATATCCAAGCCCTCAACATAATAGACTCAATAGCTTTTACGATACTTGCACATATTTAATTTGGTTGCCCTGCAAAAACCGCGCGTTCATTTGATAATATTAAATATCAATATATAAACACTATAAACAGCTGTTTTGATAATGGATATAAGTTTTAAAAATGTAATGATTTATTTTGTGCTGTTATTCTTGTTTAAAAAAATGAAGCTTAGGAATTTAACTAACTATATTAAATCATAGAACGCTATCGTTCTACAAATGCATTTAAGTGTGATGTTTATAGTGAGTCTTACGGTTATGTTTAACTAATTTATTCATAAATTAATTGTTTGTGCCATAATTTTCTTTTTTCTTTTTGTCAATATCTAGTTGTTGACATGGGCTCGATTGCTTCAGTCCTCCAGTGGCATTGTAGTTCATGTTCGTTAATAAACCCCACTGATCGAGTAACATGCATTCGATGTAATGTACATAGAAGTTATGAATGCAGGAAAAAAGTTGATCAACTCAAAACACGGACCATTCATGGATGTCCAACTCCCTATGTCACAGATATTCTTTGTGCGGAGGCAGAAATTGCCGCTGGAGCATTAAGGCTTGATGATGCGTAAATATGATTAACATATTCTATGATTTATCAAATTTATTTAAAATTTACTAAATCATTTGATTTTACAGTGACCCGACCAATATCGACCACAAACCAAGTGTAGTAAAACTTCAATTTAAATCTGTTATTTTACAACGTCGTAAATCATGGAATGGTTTTGAAGATCAATTTCGTACTTCTTTAAGACCATCAAAAAGTTCAACATTACTCACAACTGAAAATGATTCTTGGTTATGTAATGCGTGTAGAACTAGAAATTTTTCAACTCAACAATGTCAAAACTGTAATTCGTTTAGAGAAACTAAAGAACAAAAAAATAAATTTATTCCTATTACAATTAATATTCCAAAGGGTAAATACATGAAATCATAGTATCTTTATACTTATAATTAATTAATTTTTGTTTTTTTTATTGTTATTATATTAGACTCGGACAAAAAATCCACAAGTAATTGGTCATGTGAAAAATGTTCCTTTTCATTAAATCAGTTTTGGTCTGACTCTTGTGAATCATGTGGTTGGAATGCTATAACAATGATGCGTGATTGTGTTCGTTATACTCCTCCCAAGAAAAAATGGACGTGTAAACGGTGTACTCTACTTAATGATCCTAATACAACAGTTTGCAATGCTTGTGGCGGATCAAAAGCCAAAAGCCTTTGCCCGGATGATGGAACATTACGTGAGTTTTGGACATGTGATAAATGTACATTGAAAAATAGATTATCCACATTAGTATGTAAAGCCTGCAAAACAGAAAAAAGAGCAAATAAAAAAAGACGATCAGACAGTCAATGTCCAACTTGTACATTTGAAAATGAACTAAATGCTAAACAATGTGCTATGTGTCATAAACATCTTGAATCTGAATACTATTCATCGATATTAATATCAAATCATCCAAAGAAACAAAGTGAATTAATGGAAAACTTGAGAAGAATTGAAGAGCAAGAAGCACGAGAAAAATGGAATGAAATAGTTCTGTTTTGTATTCAAGTAAATAAATATTTTTTTGTCTAAATATTATAAGATTTTTGAATGCAATTATCTTACTCATTAAAATTTGCAGTATAAATATTCACTTTTAATTTTTAGACTCATTTTAATCCATATTAAAAGATGATAACTAAAACTATTAATGATTAAAAATATTATTTCCTAAGTTATAGACTAATTTCATTCATTTGAATATATTTATAATTTTAGTTGTAAATTAATTTAACCTAAATAAAGTTAAACTAGCTTGCTTTATCTAACAGTAATTTACCTCGAAATAGATATTTTCAATACTTCAATTAGTCAAACACTAGCTCATTTGTTTGATAGTCATTTTTATAATATAATTATAACTGTTGTGTCATTCCAAGAATGGATTTTTTTTTTTTTTTGTATGATAGTTATACTAAAATGTTAACTTATTTTCGATTTGGATATAATAATAATATTTCAAAATATTCCACTTTATTTACCACAACATATACTACTTATAAATTTTGAAAATATAATTGTACTATAAGTTTATAATTTAAAAATTTGCATGATTTATATACTAAATAACTATAAATATTATAGAACAGTCAAGAATTTGTTGATGATTCTTTTCCTCCAGCTTCAAAGTCTTTATATTATACTGAAAAACATGAGAGTTGTCGAGTAACTCAATGGTTAAGACCTGAATCTATTATTTGTTCGGAATTGGATAAAGAGTTATGTTGGACTGTTTTTAGAAAACCAAAACCATCAGATATAATTCAAGGTATTTAAAAAATTACATAAATATATAATATGTCAAATATTGGGTTTTATTTTAAATAATAATTGAATTAAAAAACTAAGCTATGAAAAATCAATTAGTACGGTATTTTTAAGCTTTAATACCTAGTTTTCAGTAAGTATTTAACATTCAAAAGTAACATATATTAACTTTCACTATAAAAATTAACAATATATCATTCATCATTCAATATTATTTTTTTTTATCCTTAACATTTTTTTTTCTAAAATTACCTATTTTAGATTTCCAATTTAATATTTTTTCATAAAACCCCAAATTATATATTTTTTCAAAATAGTAATATGACTTATTGACTTTATTATTAATCTAGGCATGACTTATTATTACAAAACGTTTTATTATTTATATTTACCTATTTTTATGTATTAATAACCTAAATATTATCCATAAGATATATAATATTAATTTTAGTATAAAATTCATATTTTAAAAAATGTATATTTACTTTATGCACATTTTATAATTTAATAAACAGCAAATCGCATTAATATATTTAAGTTATGATTATTACAAACAATAATTTGAAAATGTTATTAATATAATTTAAAAAAAAAAATTAAAATTATATATCTCATTTAATCTTAAGAAACTTAAGTTAGTCATAAATTAAATAAAAATAATTGATTAATCTACAGTTTATTATCACTCATAATCAATTTAGGTATTTTGGGCAATTGTTGGTTATTGAGTGCTTTAACAGTCTTAGCAGAACGTGAAGATTTAGTTAGACATGTTATGGTTACCAAAGATTATTGTGAACAAGGTGCATACCAAGTTCGACTTTGTAAAGATGGTAAATGGACTACAGTTCTTGTTGATGATTTATTACCTTGTGATAATCGAGGAAATCAAGTTTATAGTCAGGTTTGTACTATACCTTATTACATTTTAGGAGTATTATAAATAATAATTCATTATTCTGTAGGCTAAACGCAAACAATTATGGGTTCCCTTAATTGAAAAAGCAATAGCTAAACTTCATGGTTGCTATGAAGCACTTGTTTCGGGTAGAGCAATAGAAGGACTTGCTACTTTAACAGGTGCTCCTTGTGAAAGTGTCCCATTACAACCATCATCAGTACCAACTGAAGATGAACTAGATCGTGATTTAATATGGGCTCAACTATTAAGTTCACGCCTTGCTGGTTTCTTAATGGGTGCATCTTGCGGTGGTGGCAACATGAAAGTTGATGAAGATGCTTATCAAAGTAAAGGACTAAGACCAAGGCATGCTTATTCTGTATTGGATGTCCGAGATATTGATAGTTATCGATTATTGAAATTAAGAAATCCCTGGGGTCATTTTTCTTGGAATGGTGATTGGTCTGATGATTCAGATATGTGGACAGATAATTTAAAAACTATGTTGATGCCAGATGGATGTTGTGAAGGAGTATTTTGGATATCATATGATGACGTATTAAAGTAATACCTTAAAAATTTAAATTAGTGTTACATTTTTTTTTTTTTTATAACATATTAATTTTAGGTACTTTGATTGTATTGATATTTGTAAAGTAAGGAATAATATGTGGAATGAAGTAAGGCTTAAAGGATATCTGCCACCATTATCTTCAACTGATCACTTGTCATGTGTTGTCCTTACGGTCTCAGAACCAACTGAAGCAGAATTTACACTTTTTCAAGAGGGACAAAGGTTAATTTAAATATTAATATTTGATTTAATTTAAAAATACTAACTTTTTATTATATCATATTAGGAAATCAGAAAAATGCAATAGAAGTCAACTTGATTTATGTGTAGCAGTGATGAGAAGCAGAGAAGTTACATCTGAAAAACCTATCTACATTGGTCGTTTAGTTGAACACAGTAAACGACAAGTCCGTGGATTTGTTAGCTCCCATAAAATGTTAGAACCAGATGTTTATGTTGTTGTTTGTTTAGCATTTAATCATTGGCATACAGGTTTGTTTTTTATTGTTTGACATTTAAAATTATTCATACTCAAATATATTAATAAAACATTTATAGATTTGGTAGACCCTTCAGTTTATCCTGAATTTGTGTTGGCGATTCATAGCTCTAAACGTTTACTAGTAGAACAAGTATCTCCACCTTCCTTTGTTTTGGCTGATACAATTATAAACTTGACTTTAGCAAAAGGGCAAAGACATGAAGTGAGTTTGTCTAATCAACATCATTAATACAATTACTAATTACCAAAAAAATAAATAATAGGGAAGAGAAGGTATGACGGCTTACTATTTAACTAAAGGATGGGCTGGACTTGTTGTAGTAGTAGAGAACCGTCATGCTAACCGTTGGATACATGTAAAATGTGATTGTCAAGAAAGTTATAATGTGATGTCCACTAGAGGATTGCTGAAAACTATTGATTCTGTTCCACCTCTACATCGGTAAATAGTTAATAATATACACGTCAATGCCTTGAAATAATTTTTAATATAATTTTTTTCTTTTTTAGACAAGTTATAATTGTATTGACTCAATTGGAAGGAAGTGGAGGGTTTTCAATTGCTCACAAATTAACCCATAGATTAGCTAATCAAGCTGGCCTTCATGATTGGGGACCATCAGGTTGTTCTCATTTACCACAAATACAAAAATCTATTGAAGGATTACATTCTCCTAGACTGATTACTTAATTTTGTAAGGCAAAATGTATGGTTTATATACGTTTCTGTGATTTTTGTTTACTTTTTTTTTTATTATTATTACTTTATTTAGTGTGAGTACAAATAATTAAATTAGGAAGCCCAAAACTATTGTAAATACATTGCAAATAAATTATATGATTTAAATTCTATGTCTTTACTAAGTACATTGAGAAAAAAAACCTATTCGTTTAAAAATGTTATATGATTTATACTATTTTATTTAGTAATAAAAGTAGTATAAAAATTTAAGTTAAGTACACCTGATATAAGACTTGTAATTTTAAATAAATTTATTAAGTTCATCTTTTATAAATATTTTTTAATTAACTATAAAGTTAAAAATAATTAAATATAAAGTGGCCTTTACTACTTGACAACTTGAAATAATTATTAACTGGAGTTTCAGTCAATACTTTTTGTGTAACAAAATGTTAAATTAGATTTGAAGGATCATGTATATAAGAATTTTAGTAACACATATTTCGTGACTGGTTTGTATTATATAATAATTATAAATTTCTTGATAAACCATTCTCAAAATCAAATATTTACAACATTTATCAATAGTCAGTAATTGAAACTCAGGACTTGGCCCGTGTTATTCTTATAGGAATAAGATAAGTACAAGGCCTTGAAGCTTTTTAAATAGGATTGCCAGACGTTTCATTTTTTTTAATTTTATGTCCCGTCGTCCCGACAACTTTGGGACACCAAAATGTCCCATTTTTCATAAAATTACGCATACAATAAAATATAATATTACTTTTTTGTATTGAGATAATAAAAAGGCACATTTTATTATTTACCTATAATTATTTTTTTATTTTAATGAACAGTGATTTATGTTATCATCAATCAATGTGTTATTTTCCACTAAAAACCATATTGTATGAGGTATGACTGCGCTATAGCTGTCGCGGTGACAGTGACCAATGGAATGATAAAACCGTCGGTTGTGGTGCTATCCATCTAAATATACTATTTTGGTATGAATGTAAAAGACGTTCAAACCACAGCGAAAATATCACTGTTGAATTTATTACTCGTAATTGTTAGTTATTAGTAGGTTCATTAAGACCACCCGTAATTGTAAAATTTTGTTTAAATTTAGATATTAAGTTATCACAATATGCAATGGTAATCAGTTGGGCTCGGATTTATATCTATTAAAAAAACAAACATATGTAAATATATATTTAATAACAAATCGCTTTATATGTGATAATAAAATGAAAAAATAGAATATAAAAAAAATTAAGGCACTTAAATTAAAATTATTATGAAATTGAACCTTATTCATCTTAATAGCAATAAGATACCATTTACATGCTCAAATTGTTAAAGTTAAATAATCTACGGTTTATTTGTAACACAGATTTGTACCGACTAAAGAAGCGCTCGGCTTCAACAGTGGTGATGGATGCAAATTTCATATTTCCAATGTTCAAAGGAGTGAGCTCTTTCTGCAATATTACCTCATTCATTCCGCATTTTACCTATATGTATAATTAATATTAGGCAGTTTAAATCAGGATTTTTGTTTAATACACTGTACATTTTTTCTTTTATTGCAACTCCTAATGGTCTTTGTACTTGTTCTATGCATTGTACAGCTTCTACGAACAACTTTGAACTTAAGTTATTTTTCATGTCGAAAGATGTTTCAATGTACCAAAATATATGATATTTAAAATAAATGGTACATTAAAATATTGAACATATATCGACCGTAAATTAAATTTAATTGTAAGATGTATATTATATTTATCATCACGGGTTTTCTATCGATTGATAAGATCGAGTACGACCGGTATTCGCCCCTGCCCAGCGAGTTGTACGCAGTACGCTTTTCCGACGAGGCGACTTCCGTTGCGGTGTACTCGCGGTGACGTTGAAAGGAAGAAGTTAATAAAAGTGTTGTATTTTTAAATGATCTTGTTTTTATTTTTTTTGGCCATCGACACCGATCAAAGTACCCCTTACATAATAATTTATATTATTTTGTTTAAGTACTTTTGGAAACATGGGAAATTATCTGTATTAAATTATTAATAAATAGTAAATGGGCAAAATATATAAGAAAAATAGAATTGTTGAGAAATATGTAAAAATATTTCAAATAAAATATAGTTAATTTCATTGGAAATTGCTTGAAACGAATTTATCACTTACCTAAATTAATTTATCAAATCACAGTCAGGGCCGTCCCGAAGGAGGGTCTTAGGAGGAGTATCTCACCTCCCAACGAAAACACCAGTCGGGGTAGTCGGACTTGTTTCATTATACAGTAAACTAAACTAACTGTATAAAGCGGACCCTGAATAAAACGGAAAACTATCCAATACGGAATTTTTCTATGGTCACGGTACGTTCCTATAGTTTTATATAGACGCTGAACCTCAATGAAACGGAACCTTTTTAACGAGGAAACGGGACGATTTTGTAAGTCACACGCAAGTAAAAACCTTGCATAAATCGGAAAAATGACACGCGCGTGTGTACTATAAACCAAAAATAAGGTATAAAATATAGATATGCACATCGTTGTATGTACATCGTTAAATAGTGATAGATAAAAAAGACAAAATTGTTCTATACATATTCGTACAATATATGTACATACAATGCATATTATCGAATAAACGATAAGAACTTTCTTCTTTATAACTGTGAAACAGTCATACACCAATAGTCGTACGTACACTTTTAATTTTATCTTCCGTTCATCGTATTAACATGTTCACGACCACGTGTCAACTATAGTAAACATAGGGTTCTTTTTAGGTAAATCCATGTCAAGTATAGTTGACATGGTATCCATTCATAATTATTTGACTCTGGTTTATTCTAATGAATATTATGATAACATGGTTTTTTTTTAAACAGTTTTCTATATATCGATTGGCGAACTTGGTTTTAATTTCTAACAGCTGGTTAGCGATATTAGTAGTGTTCATTGTAGACATACTATTTTTGTTTTTTAGAGTGATACTGTATGATTCTAGCATATGTTTACAGTTTGATTTTTGATAATTTGTAATTGGGTGGAGTAAATTCAAAACCTCCATAGTTTTTGACTATAATAATATGTTAGGTATAGACCGAGCAGACCAGATGATAAGATACTACCAGACTCTAAATAAATGGTTACGTTGGTATATTAAAGTTTTTTTTACACTATGGAATGCTAATTATTTGTACAACAAGTAAAAAACAAGTATGCCACATTAGATTTTTAAAGAAATGTTATTTTAGTTGGTGTCATGTGTATAATTATATAATTGCATATATTGTATTTAATCCATAGATTGTTTATATTAAACGTCTTATGGGGGTGTTACACGAAAACTTAATGAATAATTTTCGTTAGATGGTGTATTGTAGTATCGAATAATGATATTCGAATATTAGGATAGTCCCCATCGCTAGTATAGAGTCATATGTTATATAATAAAACATAAACAGAGGGCTCAGCATGTTTTTCGGATGGAAATAATTCTGTAAATATACAATTTTTGTTTCCAATTTTTTGTCTTATTAAAAAAGAAAACAATTAGAAATAATTTATATTTATGAAGACATTTCAATTGGAAAAACATAGTAGACAACCACCATGTATATAAAATTATATTAAACGAACTTTTGATCCATAAAGTAATAATGTACTTGTATTTATACAAGAAATCTGCGCATTTACCGTATAATAACTGTATAATATTTGATTTTTAATCGGTTGACCAATAATTTTACATCTTATTTGCAAAAATGGTTTTACCCTTAGTAACTTAGTACATTTGTCACTATCGAATGAAATGTACGAGATAGATGCAGTTAATAAATTTACACTCTAGTTAGTAAATCTTAGGAATATACGAATTAAGTAACAGTCGATCTGTAGATGGTAGGATACTATGATGCGATAGAGCAATTCGCTCTACTTACTTTAGTAAAGTAAGGTAAATAGCTAATAATTAATACCTACCTAATTTATAATTATTATTTTCAATCTAAGTGGTTATAAGGCATTTTATTTGATCATAATTTATATTATTATTATTATGTGCTGTTTTAAGTCTGTTAGTGTCTTCTATTAAATCAAGTTCATACATCAATATTAATAATTATGTCGGGATAAATTGTATTATACTCTTAAAGGTATAAATGAAACACAATTCAACTAAGAAAAATTAGATTTAACATTTTACAATATAGGTATGTACAATAATGAGGTTTTGATTTAAAAATCAAAAATTTAAGCTATTTAAATTCTTAAGGTAGTGGATAAGAACCATTTTAAGTACTTAACTAAAATATAAAAGCACATCACTTATTCCAAGAAAAATATTGTTATTTAATATTTCAATAACAATAAGCGTGGTTATCAATGACTATACTTTTGAGAAAGTTAAAGAGTTCAAGTACCTTGGAATGACGATTACCAATAACAATGATTGGAGTACCGAAATCATAAGTCGTATACGCAAGCAGAGAGGGCTTATTTCGCGTTACATAAATTTTTCAAATCAAAATTATTTTCCAGAAGGACTAAGATCAGATTATACATGACCATAATAAGACCAATGGTTACCTATAGTTGTGAAATATGGCCCACTACCGTACAGTTAGAAAAAAGGCTGCTAGTTTTTGAAAATAAAATATTGAGGAAGATTTGTGGTCCAGTGTTTGATAGTGAGCTAAATAATTGGCGTAGAAGAAAAAATACTGAACTAAGAGATATCACTGAAGTTCCACTATTAACAAGCCACATTAAGTGTCAAAGACTCAAATGGTTTGGTCATACCATGCGGAAAACAGAAACCACTAATTCGAGAGCAGTGATGGAGTGGCAACCGACAGGGAAAAGACCAAGAGGGAGGCCTAGAAAGCGATGGATGGATGGAATAAGGAAGGACTTAGAAACATTGGAAGTGACAAATTGGGAAGATGGAGTTCAGGATCGTGATTATTGGAGAACGGTGACGGTGGCGGCCAAAATTCTTAAAGAATTGTAAAGCCAAGAGAAGAAGAGAAGAATTTAATATTTCAAAATATTAACAAAGTATCTTTAATAATTATATTAGTAGTTATTTCAAATAGGATATATTACCATACAGTGCATAACCCACAGATAACAAAGTTTAATATGTGTTTTAGAATAAGTATTAAAGATTCTTAATCAGTAATTTGGGTGTCAGATCAATACTATATACTACTATATTATTTGATTTCAAATGTCAAATCATTTATTTTATGAATATTTCTTAAAAGTTAGGTTTTAAGTAAATGTAATGTAGTTTTTACTAAAAATAGTATTTGTTTATAATAATTTAAAACTTTGAATAAAGCAATTACACTTCAGTAAATTTAAATTTAAGATGGATTTACCTATAGATAGAATACCTTAATAACCTCTTCCCTTCGAGCGAGTAATATAACCGGCCACTGAAATTATATACCTACCAAGATAATTATTAATAACATGTTGCCTTACCTTGTAAGTTACTGTGATTCTCCCTAATATAATTAAAGTTAGTTTTCATAGATTCATCATTTTTTGCCTCAACATAACTGTCAATACAGTCAAAATTATTTTTTTGGCTACATGGCTCAAACTGACTGTTGTATTCAACATCTACATCAATTTTTGGCTATATTTTGAATATTATAAAAAATGTAGATGTTTGTAAATCATGTTTAAATTTTGAATAGTAAAAATAGAGCTTAACTTACATATATAATCAGAACTAGAAGGTGATAATTTATCATGAAAATGTTTATCTAAAGTTAACCCAGAACAAGATTGTTCTTTACTGTACTGTATTGTATTGTACTGTATAGTATGTGTTGTTAAAACAGAAACATCTATAACATCCATACCTGAAGAAGTATAATTTAGTACTTGCATTGCATCTAATAAATGTACAGTTACAAATTTTAAAAATTTAAGATAATATATATTACAAAATCAAATATATTAAATAATATTATTCATATTTACCAGAAATAATATGGTTTGATGGCGAATCCTGCATGAAGAGTACACTTATATTTTTTAGGTTTGTTGTATTCATAACAACTTTTATTGGTGTCTGTACTGCACTACTATCTATATAATACATAATACATTATATAATTACAATTTATAATATATAATACATACAATTTAAAAAAAAAATTGAATCCAATTGATTTTAATAAATAACAATATTTATGACTAAGAAACAAATTATGCGAGCCTATTCCCTGAAGATATATTGGGTGAAATGTTATTCATAATACATTTTGAATTTTAACCAAAATTTTTTTTAATAATTTTTTTAAAAACCCATCATATTACATCATACATTTAGAACTATAAAATCATAGGGAAAAATAAAGAATTTAGTTTTTATTTTACCACTTTCATAAAGGTCATCATTAAAATTGTCATTCCTTTTAAATTTTATCTTTCGTTTCCCTTTTCCTCGTCCTAAGCTTCTGTCAGACTCTGATGCTTGTAGAAATATTTTTTTTCCTGTATAATAGCTTGTTCATAAGTAACTAACCAATGATAATAATAATAATAATAACAATCATAATAATGGTAACAGTAAATAACCAGTATAAATAATTGTACAAATTCGAAATTCTTAACAATAATATCTTAAAAAAGAAATTATAGTACTGTTGTATTACTTTAATAATAAACTGCAGCAATATAATTAATCCATTTTAGAAATGGAATGATAAAAATATTAAGTAGATTTATACCTAAGTATACCTACCTACTATGCATGTTGAAAAGTTTACAAATTACTAAATTAAGTACCTATATTTATATACAGTGTATTTCCTTTTAAAGGTAACACTAAATAATTCTGTCCAGTGACATCCCATTAATATGCGGTTTTCATAGGGAATATATAAATACACATTTTTTAATGATTTTTACATTTTTAGATCATTCCGTGTGCGCATGCGCAATACAACTTGCATTTTTTTAAATGGCAACAGGTGTTTTGAATACCAAATTCGGATAGACCGAATTTTTTTAAGTCGATTTGGTCCTTTTTACCATAGCTGTAAAATCAAATCTGACTAAATAGCAACCAGTCAAAGTTTCGATTAAAATTATTGAATTTTTCATCAATCATACTAGAATATTATGAATTATTATGAAATTTTATTTATTATTTTTGTATCCGTAGGTTTGTAGATATTATTAAATCATTTAAATTTAATTTTGAGGAATTAATGAACCTCAATTAGACGTAAATGTTAGTTCATGTAAACTCCAAGTATCTTCTCCCGGTAAGTGTACCATCGTAAAAATACGGGCCGAGAAGTCTCCTGTCTAGTAACCCACACCAAACGTTAGTTCCCCAAACTGTTTGGTGATTTGTATCAGTCGTCCAATATGGATTGTGATCAGCCCAATACCGGTTATTTTGTTTATTAATTATACCGTTGTTGGTAAACTTTGATTCGTCGGTCCAACAGATAAATCGTAGAAAATCGGGTTCGTCGTGTAATTGAATCATAAACCATGCAATAAATGTAAGTTTACGATTAGAATCACCTGGTACCAACTTTTGTACTAAATCAGGCCTACACGGGTGTAATTCATTTTTTTTCAAAATTGTTTGAACTTTTTTACAAGAAATTCAAATTTCGTTGCTTAAATGCCTAATCGAAGATCGAGGATTTAATTGAACATAAGCTAATACCTGCAATTCATCCTGTTCGTTTACCTGTCCAATCAACTGTCTTTGATTACGCCGATTATCACCTCGTCTTGCAGGTAGTGGTATATATATATATAATTAAATTGTCAATTTTAAGAACGTGCGACACTTGACACATATATACAATGTATATTATACATGTTAAAAAGTAAAAATGCGACTACATATAGTTAATTATACTACATACATTGGGTAAAAAAAATTATAGTCGGCATTTTTTTTATTATTCACCCCCCCCCCCTTGATTTTCATCTTCGGGACGGCCCTGGTCATAGTAAAAATATGTATTTACATACAAATTCGAGCCCTAGTAATCTCAATCAGTTTACCTATAACATTACGACCTACAAACATCAATCTACAAGATTAGTTGTTTTTTCATTTTTTTTTTTTTTTTGAGGGGGGCAGACATTATCCTTTTTTTGTCCCCTATTTTAAATTTTTAAATCTGGCAACCCTATTTTTAAGTTCATTCAACTTTTAATGTGTCACATTTAAAATTAATCCACTCATTTACTCATAGTTCTTAATTTACAGAATACTTAACATCCTTTATTTATTATTATTAATGTAATAATATTCAAAATATTAAATATAACATTTATAATTTATCAACATTATATGTATAAAATATTACCTTTTCTTAAATCTTAACTAAGAGTATTTTAATAGCAAGTTCGCAATTTTGATGGGTATGAATATTCAATGAATACCTAAGCTTGTAATTTGTATCTTGTCAAATTGTTTTGTACTATTTAGATACATAAATATACATTTACATATTTATATTTATTTGAATAAAAAATACAAGACAAATGTTTACAAATATAAAAGAGTCAATCTATAAGGGGCTGAGCTAGGGGAACGCTATAATACATCTTATACATGTGTAAGACGTTATATTATTATATAATAGCATAAAATATAATTATTTATTGTATTCAATTTATTGTATATTTATTTATTGTATTCATTTTATTGTATTCAATACGTTCGACCTAAGATTAAAATATTATCCATGTATTATCAGAGTAATACGACGACACTAATGTTCGCCACTATTTTAAATATACTCTATTGTGTATAGATTTTTCTAATTTCAACCTCAGATGTATAAAACAACATATCAGATAATAAATAGTATACGATTAACAATATTATAATAATAAATTTACTAATTAATTATAGTTAGTTTTATTCATATCAATTCTCAGGATATACAACATCTTAACGCTATTCTATCACAGAATAGATTAAATTAGAATAATCTATTCTGTGATTCTATGGTCATAGAATATAATTATATTATAATTGGATTATAGTTTATACTCACAGACTTCTATACTACAGTATACTTAGTATAAAAGTCTGTGTTTATACTATTAGACCGTATCAAAGAACTGATAACGTTATCGGCAATGGGAAAACCGTTATATCCTTTAACGGTTTTCTTATATTTTCATTGTTCTCGTTTTATCCCTCACGACGGTGCGATCGTAGCCTATAAAACTAACCCCTGCACGTAGTCACCCTATTTCCGTTTTCACATTTGCCGCTCAATCGTCTTTCCGTCGTTTGTCCGTTCGCTGCATTACGTTGCTCTGCTCTTTTCTTACTGCTTAGTTGCAGCCGTCTTGTTACGGTTAATTTGTTACTTATTTATTTTAATTTCTTATCCATTCGTTTGCCCGCGGACAGTGTGCGGTACATATTTTATTTCGTATCCGTTGAAAACGTATTCTTATTTTTTTTTTGTATAATTATTCCCAAACGTGAAATTGATCCCTATACATTTTAATTTCCGTAACATACTGCTGTAGACCAGACATAAAATGTCGTTCGTGAAAAGCAAAATCAAGCGGTTCAACGAGGTCTCAAGTAAGATTGCTTGTACTGAATTATTTAGTGTTCACCTAACATGTCTACTCAAATAACCATTACTCATTAATATAAATGTACTCGTATATTTGAAAATTGATTTTAGTTAGTAGCTTAATTATTGAATATGAGCATTAAATGTATTTGAAACCCGATTTCTAAGTAATATTTTATTTCTAAAAATTCAAAATGTTAAACAAACTCATTCATATTGATATATAAATAATTAAATGCTTTACCTGGGGTATTATTATGTTTATAAAGTACGAATGGTTTTGAATTAAAATTTTATCATCAGGTAAAAACAAAGTCAATAAAATTGTGACTGAATATGAAAAAATAATAAAAGGAATATATTGGAAATATATTATGTATAACTTTATATATTCCTAGGTAAAATTTAAGAGGCGTCAATTTTTTGAAAAAAAAAAATGGAAAATTCAATATTTTAAATTGATGATAAACGATGTAATGTTTACTTAATCGTCCAAACAATGTTTTTAATGATGATGGCTCATAAAATTATTGTAAGTTTTCGTTGAAATTTGCTCATTCATTGATGTTGTGCCATAGTAGGCTAAAAAACTAAAATCAAGAAAATAAATTATTGGAAAATTCAAATGGTTTAAGGTACTATTATATTTAATGATTAGAATGTCAGTGCCTATAGCCATAAAAAAAAAGTTAAATCTTTTGATTTTGGGTATTTATTATTTCCAAGTTTGTAATGATATCAAAATGTATGTTACAGTTATTTTCTAAAACAAAATTTGAATTAGGGACAGTCTTATAATTTTATTTCAGAAATGTGTTCTTTATATCTTATTTTAAAATTTCTATTTGTCTCATGTGTATACAATTAATTTCAATTACATTTAACTTTATATATACCAACATTTTCAAAAGAAAGGAGACTTTTGTAAGGTTTTTAGTTCTATTATTTATAATGTTCGATTAAATTATTATTAATTTTAAAAGTGATTTTTACATTAATATATTCATTCCTTTATGTAATTTTAGGTTGTGCTCCTGCTCCTGGAACATATGATCCAAAAAGTCCTGGTCCAAAAACAATTAAAGGAACTAAATTTAATAAAGCAGAAAGATTCAAAGAACCTTCTGTTCCTCAAGTAAATTAAATTTATTCATTTTTAGAATTTAAAAATCATTACTTAATGATTAAAAAAAAAATTAATTTTTAAATAAAATATATATTCATTATGTTTTTAATCTTTGTATTTTAGACTATCCAAAAAACAGTTAAAGTTCACTCTACTTTCAAAATCCCATCAAATTTTAGGTAAAGTATATATTATTTTTATAATATTTATTCTATTATTAAATTATTATAAAACATTAATTTATTTAAATTTTATTATAATTATAGTTCACAAAGTTCAATTCATACAGAATGTTCCAAAAGGTCCAACAAAACCATAGATTCTACTTCAACAAGAAATAGCCCCAAAAAAATAAATGCCAAACGCCTTAAAGAATTAAAAAAGTTGGATTCTGATCTTACCAAAGCTCTTACAGATATTGAAAAACTAAATACTGATTCTAAAAACACAACTGATACCTGTAAGGATTATATAAATTCATGCCGCAGTGCTTGCCCAGAGGCATTAAATAATCGTGTGTGCAGAATGGTTATTGAAAACTCACAAGCCGCTTTATATGCAGTTTGCAATCGTTTACGTGATACACACAAACATAATGATGAGTTACTAAATGAAATTGCACAACTTAAAGAAGAAATCGGTGAAAAAAAAAGCTTTGAACAATTAGCTGCTGATCAAATTGCTGTAGTTGAACGTAATCTTACTGAAAAAGTTAATGATTACATGAAGATTTCCGAGACTGTTAAAGATAATTGGTTGATGAAAATGAGATTTATAATGGTATCCTTGGATGAACTAGAAACTATGGTAGATGATAAAGTGAAAGAAATTATTCAAAAACTTAAATTGGATATTGAAGAAACTGATCCCGAAGGACAAAACTATAGGCAACTGTTAGAGAAATATAAAAAGTAAAATTTAAATTAAATTTTATACTGATATAAATAATTTATTTTAAAATATTATATTATATTTTTTTATTAGGACTGTTGAGAGAAATATTCAACTTGAAGAAATTGCTGTTAAACATGATAATTTAGAAAAGAAAATTATTGATTTGACTAATGTAAGTTTAAATAATATATTCACATTAATTAAATTATCCTGTTTCATTTGAAGCATATTTAGACTGTTAAATTTATTTCATTTTAGAAAATTAGATGTGGAGCTTATACATTTTTGTTATCATATGTAATTAATATGGTTTCTATGAATTATTTTTTTGTTTTTAATTTTATCTAAAATATTAAAGGACATCTTTATATCTCAGGGTTGTGTAAAAAAAAAACTACTAAGTTCTGAAAAACCATCCCTCTTGATTCACGAAAAGCCCATAGTAATATAAGATGGGCCTCATTCACCAATAGGTAATTGAAATCAATTTAGTATATAATAAATAATAGATATAAAAATAATGAACAATATGGATCTATGAATAATAATTATATAAATAAAATTCAAACAGACAAGGAGTGAACAATCCCTGAAATAATATATTGTCTAATATTTTATTTCTTAACAAAATATTTTTTTGATGTATTTAATTTTTTATATATTAATCAATTTATAATATTAATTTTATAAATGAAATTTTATTTAATAAATTAAGAAAATAGCATATGTTTAATTTAATTTATAATCTTTTCAACTTATAAAATGTTTATAGGAGAAAAATGCACTGATTGCCAAATTACGAAATAACAAGTCATCTGGCTTATCAAAGAATCGTCTGGATGCTTTGGCTACACCTCGCAGGCGTGTTGATGCTGAGAATATTGCCCCCATAAATAAAACTTATGTGCTCAAAAATACTAATACTGTAAAAACTATTAAACCTGTAGCTCAATCTTCTCCATTGAGGGAAATGAATTGGTAATAATTAATTTAGTATATTTTTCTGTGAAATGTTTAGACCATTTTAGTTTTGTATTCTTCTTTTTTTTTTTTTTTTTATCAATGTGTCCACTTAGTTATTTATGACTTAATTTATGATTTGTATTTATTATATATTATTTTACATTAATAAAGAAATATTTGATTATACAGTTGAATTAAAAAACCAACATTTTCTAGGAAAATAATACCTCATAAACTTAACTGTGAATTCGCTGAACAAAAATATTAACAATTAAAAATTATTTTAAATTTGGTTAATAAACAGGCTTAAATGCATTATTTATACAATCATGGTTTTACCGCTACTTGCAGATTGCATTTGATTATCGCTGTCGTATCGTTCAGATTAAAATCATTTTGTTTTGATAATATTGTGTTAAAAGTATAATATAACATTGATATTTTATCGAATAAATTAAGTAATCGCATATTTGTTTTTCTGCACTTAAGAGAATAAAAACTTGGCTATGGTGCAACCAGTGACGTAGCCAGGATTTTTAAATGGGGGGGGGTCTTACCACTTTTTTTGGATAAGTAAGGTAAGAGAGGATATGAGAATTCACCCTTAACCCCCCACCATCTACCATCAAGTTTCTAAACGTAATTCAAGCATTTTGGTATAGTTTTAAAAATATTTATTAATATATAATTTATAATAATAATAATAATTTTGGTTTCAGTGTTCAGTCACTTGCTCCACTCTGATAGCTGCATTCTCTTAGGCGAATTTCTAGCAAATTCAGTTATTATTTCACTTTCATGGAATTGCTCTTTTTTATTTATATTAGCCATAGCTAACCCATTCAGTCTGTTTTCCGACACGGTGCTTCTGATGCTTCTTAAAAAAATTTTAAGCGATTAAGTGCTGAAAACGTTCTTTCCGGAGTGAAAGAGGTAACTGGTAACGTAACGAATAATTGTAAAAGTATTTTAATGTTAGGTCGAAGATTGGTGCGATGAGAGAGTGAATCAAGAGCAGAATTCGGTTTTGGAATAATATTTTGACTCCATATGAACAGGTCAGCTCTGATTGTAGATGAGGTATCATCATGGAGAACTTGGACATATATTTTATCAGCTTTTATAATATTTTTATCGTCATACATATTTAAATTGACCGGAATAAGTCCTTCAAGTGGCATAACATCAATAAGCCTTCGATTAAAACGAGCATCCATTGATTCTATTAAATAGTCAATATACATTATACATATAAACACGGCCCATGGGGGGGGGGGCTATAGCCCCTTTAGCCTCCCCCTTGGCTACGCCACTGTGCTGCACTATATGATAACGCTAATGTTGCTGTCCGTAGTGTTTTAGCGTTAGCGCCCCATTCCGACCTGCGAGTTTTTAGATTAGATTGACTCGGGATCGTACTTTCTTTCCAGTTTTGTCAAGATGTTCTTTAAATGTGAGCGTACGGTCCAGCGTAATTCCCAGGTATTTTGGTGGGAAGTTGTGCTTTAATTATACTCCTTAGAATGTCATTTTCAGCTCTTCTCTAGCTTTTTTGTTGTTAAGATGAAAAGCACACACTTCAGTCTTAGCAGGTAGAGGCGTGTCCAGCGGGTAGGCCCGGGCCTACCCTGATTTTTAACCTTTAAGTATACCCAAAATATGCATTTTAAAATTATATTTATTTAAGCACACTGAATGCTGAATGTAAAATGTAAGTATCAATATACTACGTAGGCAATTGTGTGACCATATTTTTTATCGATCATATATTTTGCTATAAACAATATAAATATTTGTCTATAAATAAAATTAATAATCGTAAAATTTATCGGCAATTCTCAAGGGCTTTTTGAAAATACCCCATATTTCTTATATAGATATTACACGACCCGACGACCATCGTCGTTTGGTCGGCGATCACTATCGTAGTGTTGAGCGTCAAAAACTATAACATTGCTATTAGGTAACGACTATTTTATTTACTACTGACTTTTAATTTATTGTCACGGTTGACAACCGAGTCCGTGAGTGAGAGTCTTCGTTTTGTATTTTTTGTGCGTATATTTTAAAACTATTATAAATTGTTTTTTTTTTTTTTTTTGTATTTTGTTAAAATTGATAATTTATAATAAAATGATTAGTCAATTTTTTAAACCTGTTTCTAAATCAACAAGAACAGTAAATGATAATGATGATATAGTAGATCAACCACAAAAAAAAAATTGTAAAATTAAACGACAATTCAATTTCTAACGATTCATTTAATGCAAAAGCTCGATATTAGTTTAATATAGGTATGTACTTTACCATTTGAAATGATAGATGATATTGCTTTTGCTTACTATTGCATTGATTTAGAAGATGGTGGAAATGCACTTACTGAAGACTTCATTACTATGAACAAATACTTCTCTAAATATCGTTTAAAACCAAATCCTGTCAAAAGAGGCGTGTCTAGAACCAAAATTCAGGAAAGGCCTTGTTATAAAAATAATTTGTATAGTTAACACATTTTTAAATTTAAGAACAATTTTATTATACTTTTTAAGTCATAAGTATGACGTGTAATATGACGTACTAGTATTAAGAACTATTTATAATATGAGTATTTATTTAATAAATTGAATTCGCCTGTTTTTCATTTTGGCGAACTTGTCAACTTATCGAATTACTTTAATGAATTTATTTTTTATTTCAAAAGACAATACCAAACAATGCAAAAGAAAACGGGAATGCGGACGCTAAGTCGCAGACCCGAAACTGCCACAGTTGCCTCAAACATCCTCCAATAGACGTAGATCGATGTAGATGCTATCGCGATGGTTTCGTGTAAAACACAGCCACATAAACCGAAGACTGTGAATTCTCGCATGAATGTCAGCCCATACACATTAAACCGTATCTTGTACCGTGGTACCGTTCACCACTTTGAATCTTAATTTTGTTAAGTAATTATTTTGTATTTTATACGATTCTTAGATTGTACTCGTTAAAAAATAAAATAATAAAAGTATAAATATTTTTCTAAATCATGCATGTGCGCACTAAACGATTTAAATTTAAAATCCAGCGCTTGCTAGACCCGATAATAAAATACGTGTTGTTTGTGCGGAGTGGAGACAATAATTGAATTGATAGTGATTTGTAAATGTAAAAATAAATCGACGGCGCGTGAACGAAACGGTACAACTTTCCATCGCCCCATGACCGGATTAAAGGGAGGGGTCTAGCTGGGGCGGAAACCCCGAGGTCTCTCGAGCACCAATGTGGTACGGGCTCATACAGTCTTAGGCTGATACACATTTTTCTGCGATTTTGAATAATAGTCTTTCTACATTTTTATGATAACCATTTTTTCTTGTCGACAAAAGCAACTAAAATTTAAATACATACAAAAACCCTATGGTTGAAAATACGCATTTTACTGTTATTTTCTTTGATATCATCAATGAACATCATTCAGTATCTAATGTTATTTATATACCGTAATAAAGCCAGTAAGTGGAATACAAACGTTATACGGAAAATCGTTCGCGTTCTCTATATCCTATCTCGATGTATTATATTATCTATAGCCAGGACCGTGTTAAGGGGGGGGGGGGGGGGTCAAATGGGACAATTGTCCCCGGGCGCCATAGTTTTTTAAAAGTAAGAGTTTAAATGGCTAAAGAGTTCATATTATTATAAGTTCAATGACTTCAGGGCTGTTTTTAGAGGGGAGCTACAGGATGCTGTTGTTCCAGGCAGCTAAATACGAGAGGGCGGCTAATTTTTTTATATTTTCAATATTTAATGATCTAATATTTTTGAAGCGAAACTTCTTTACAAAATAAAGTTTTATCTCAAAAAAAAATTATACATATTACCAATCAAGGCGTCATGACACACACACACACACACACATACTTGGTAACGGTCGAGTACTGTCGATAGATCTAAAGATTTACAATCTATCCCTATGTTAATATTGCACTTAAAATGTTTTTGTGTACACCAGCAACGAACTGTTCTTCAGAAAGATCTATTTCAACTCTCAGAAATGTGTGTTTGGTATAATGAGGTGTTTTTTATTGTTGCCTACTGGTGTTAAATTCTTAAATACAGCCCTGAAAGGCTTTATTATGGACCAACGGTGTTCAGCATAACAATGTATTACTTTTTGTAAGCGACATCGCACCATATCTGTCAGTGATGTCTAAACCCTTTTTTCCTCAGCAGACCACTTTGGTAAATAATTATCTTAGAGCGGGCCACCAAATATATAAGTACAAACAATATCAATTAGTTAGTAAATTAATTAATTAATCAAACTTCCACATAGATCACCATTTAACATTAAATTATTTAAAATTAAAACTAATATTCTTAAAATAATTTTCCATGTTCAGAGTAATTATAATTTTCATTTCTGCCAAATTGTTTTGACATTGATCAAATGCATTTGTTTATTTTAGCATAAACTGAACCAAATTCTTTTTTGGTCGGTCATAGTCAGTACATAATATGTAAACATTTTTCAATAAAAATTTTTATTTGAAATATGTTTGGGAATGTTGTTTTTCTTACTTGATAGATAAAAACATAATTTTTAGCTTTAAACACGGTATTATTATATTAATAATAAATGTTTAATAAATAATTTTACAGTTTTTTTATGTACATTTCATAATATAATACAAAAAATTGCAAACGCTTCATATTGGTTGAAGTGATGCAAAATAGTTATTGTACATCAGTCGCATTGATTTTAATAAAAATCGCGTAAGATTTTTAAAGAATAGTTATCAAACATAATGTCCAATATTTAAAATGTATTAATAATAAAGATTCTGCTACTAGTTGAGCGTTCCACGACAACAATGTGTACCACACAAACATGGTATTTTGTTTTCTTCGAGTGGGAATTTATAATCATAAGTTATTTCTTCATTTACACCAATTGGTTGTTTGCTATATATGACTATTTTCTTTTGCCCTTCAATTTGAATGATTTTGGCATAACAATTAGGCTGAAATTGAAAATATTTATATTAATAAAATGTGACTTATGTTTGGATCATATTTTATACTTTAATCTAAGTAATAATTAATTAATCATTGGGAAAATATTTTAAATTATAAATTAATAAAGTTTAAAATTTAAATTATTTTTATATATAGGAATAATAATTATAAACAAAAATATGATTCTATTAATATTAAACAGACTGATAAAGATGTACGTACAAATTTAATGTAATGTACATAATTTTTTTTCTCTTTTTCATCAAATATGCTTATAACAAGGACACATGCAAAAATTTAGCTCGGGGAAGGAGGCAAAAAAATTTGTAAATAAATGAATAAATAAATATTAGCCATGAGAAGATTTACTACTTTCATCTACCCATATTTCATAATAATCATCAATAATATTATAAAAATTAAGACTAATTTAAGTTAATAATTATATAATTTTACAATTAATTCAAAAATTTAAATTCATTTAAGAAAAACATAATGAAATATAAACATTTAATAACTTCATTTGATCAAATATACCTAATATGATATAACCAGGACCGGCATTATATAAAAAATATTTCTAATTTTGTAACTGACATGAAAAATAAAAGGGGGCAATGATTCCCACTACTCTCCCTCTGGGCATCCCTAGCTTATATCATAATAGCTAGGTTAGGTTAATTCAACAATTAGAAATAGTTGATCACCCTTATATAAATGTAATAATTAATCAACTAGAAAATTACTTTTACTATAATAAATCAAAAAGATATATAGTAATAGTTTTTACTGATATTTTGAAAATATTACTTTTTCATAATTTGATAAATTATTTATTAGTTATTATTATAATTATTATAATTTATTTATTATTTGTTCTCCCTTGAAAGATAATGCCCAATTTTACTTTTAGACACCTTATGTTAAATCCTAGAAACATAGTAAATCTATATTTAATATGGTTCTTAAAAAAATCTAATTATTTCACACCTGAACAATGTGGATTAAAAAAAAATAACGGCACAAAACTGTTTATCCAAAATATAAACAGAAATACAAAATAAACTCTCCAAAAATTAATACCTAGATATGATAAATCTAGACATAACAAAAGCTTATGACTAGGCTTAGGGACTTCTAGCATTTGCATACTTTTGATAATTATTGTTAAAAATAGAAGAATGTGAAATTCTCGGTGGCATGATATCAGATCTAAAATTTGAATGTGCATATTTTTGCATATTTGATAGATTTTGCAGGAATGTGCTTATTTTAAAATTATTATGTTTATTTTGCATATTTTGACAATTTTTTCAATTTTTAAAATAAAAACTATAGATACATATATGGTATAACTTGATAAGTTATACTATATGTACACACTTGAATCGATCGAAAAAAAAATAAAAAAAAATATATATGCTATCTACAAGCTACCAATTATAATTTTTGTGAAGATATAAATAATCCAATAAACTATAAATAATCCCTATATCGGAACCCAATAATTTTGATAACTTGTTCAGTGTTTATTATAAATAAATTCTAATAAAATAAATATTTAATTTTACTACATATTTATTATATTTAATTTTTTTTGGGCATATTTTAGCGCATATACAGTTATTTTTAGGTGCATATTTGAGTATTTTTTAGAGTTACAAGTTCCTAATCCTAAGTTAGGACACAACATGAAAACTGCATATATTACACAATCTCTCCAAAGTCATTAGCTTAAATCAAATGTTTAATTATATTAATAATTTTCTGAAAACAAGAACATTTCACGTAAAAGTAGATCACTATCAAAATGTTTTTCACAGGCTAACGTACAAATCTCTGATACTTTTAAAATTTGATAATAGATCATTCATGTGGGCAACTGCAAACAAATCTTTAAGTAAAAATCTTGATATTATACACAACTTGGGACTTTTGATGTCAATGGGCATATACTGACCAAGTATTTACAACCTAGCTGGTACACCTCTACTTAACATAAGACTGAAATTGACGTTAAACCACAAATTAAAATAATAAATTACCTTACACACCCTAAATTTCCATTCATTTATAGGCACCAAAATTCCTTATGTTTCTCGGCGCACGTTAAGAACATAACCAGACGGACCGTTAAGCATCCGTTACACGCAGAAAATTTTTCATTGGTTTTCCCCAAACATCTGTTCACAGTTATACAACGCTATTCCAAAAGTTGTTAACAGCATGGTGTAGTGAGTTCTATTGTTTCGAATCAATTGTAAGACTGTAATTGCGTGAAGCTTTACATATACAAATGTCGAAACGTCCTACCATTGATTATAAATACTATATATAGTATACTATGGCGAGGTTAGGTTATTGAAAGGTTGAAGGTTATCAAAGTTGTTTTGAATGCGCGACTGGTCATGATCTTAACGTGCGCCGAGTATACAAAAATTATTACAAAAAAAGAATCTCGAAATCATGCCAAATTTGGCACCCCCATAGAAAGAACCCTACAAAACCAACATTAAAAAAAAAACAATACATCTTTTCCTTATAATAAACAAGAATATTTTTACCTAATATAAAATTCCACAAATAAAAAAATGTACACAGATAAGTTCAAAAATAAAAATGAAGTCAGAGCTACAGTTATATGGAATAACATGGAATCTATGTACAAACTTCCACATTTCTGCTCAATTTTAACATAAAATCCATCAAAATATTTAAAACACTTACGTTAATAACTGAACATTACCTTAAAAAAACCATCAAATTCACTGAATCTCTAAGCACAATTAATAATATCGAAAATACAAAAAAACCGATCAGATATAAGTATAGATATATAAAACAAAATTCATATTCTATAAAATAATAACAATTACAAAATAAAATTGTTTTGGATATCCAGAAACTCGAACATAAAAGAAAACGATTATGTTGGCCTCACCATCAAAACCACAATCAACTTTCAACGTTTATCACATATAAAATCACCTTGTATAAATAATAATCTTAAGCAAATGCCAACCAAAAAGATACCAAAAATGGACTTCACCCCACACTAAATTAAATCAACTAAAATATAACATAAACAATTGGATATTTCCTATCGAAATATCTAGAGAATATAAAATTATAATAATAAAACTTCTGACACAGAAAATCTCACACAGTCATCTAATATCCAAGATCTTTTCCAAGTTCTTACCCTCGCTTTATTCAACATGCGGAGTATAAGTCACCATAAAACACATATTAATAGAATACCGAATAAACCACATCACCAGAACAAAACATAAATTCTCCAAAACAACTGCTGAAATTCTCAACAACCAGGATCATCAGTCATTAATGCTGCCAATCTACAATCAAAAATCTCAAAATAAATTTAAAATCATATAAAATACTAATATTAACTTCACTTATTGTCATTAATTACGTAAAATTAATCTATGTTGCTGAGGGTTTTATCTTAATAAAAAAATAATAAAAAATATTTCAAGCTGAATAAGAATGCATATCAGAGTAAGTAAGCAGTTAGTATATAACAATTTGAGTACAATATTATATTAATTTTAATGTAATCAACAAAAAAAATATTTCTGGTATATCATGATAAATTAATTGAAAATTGGAAATTTACAAGTGAATTATTATCCATAGCAGTTGATACTATTTATTTTTTAATCAAAATAAAAGTTGAATTCTATACTTTGAATAATAAGAGAAGAATTTATAAAAATATTGGGCGTCGTTAAAATTAACAATGCAGAATATTTATGATTTTAAAAGTAATATTTGAGTATTTGAAAAGTAATAAGTTAATAATTTAAAAGTGATATATTTAATATAATAAAAAACTTACATTACAACTGTGGTTAATAAATCTTGCCAGGTTACCACACTTGGTGGCATCAATAATAGTATCTAAATCTATTCTGAACAGATATGAGCTACCTATGCCTGTAGCTTCATATTGTCGTTCACGTAAATCAGCCACTACAGGACGAACCATTTGACCAACATATTCAATAACCATTTCATCAGCTGCAATTGACTCCATTGCAAACAATCCCCAATCATGTATAGCTGATTTTCCAAATTTGAGTTGCTTCTTACGAAATTTTAAAACATTAAATTTGAGCAAATCACTATCTGATGTAGACCCAAAAGCAGTTAATAATCGTCGTTGGTTACTACGTGCTTCACGAGAAAGAGCCAACATCTTGCCAGTAGATTCTTTAACACGTTTGAGCTCGGTAATACGATTTAATTGGGCTATTGTATGTCCAAAGTGATACTAAAATGAAAATATTCATGTTAATATAATTATAAGACTATAAATCTAATTATTATTTAAAATGAGTATTTATATTGGATATACATTGAATGATTTTAATTAATTTAAATTATTTCTATTGTATCAATATCAATTTGATTTTCCTCATATCAAAATACTAATATTGAAAATAATTATGGTTGAAATTCATAGTATTATAAAGTTTAATATATATAAAATATAAAATTGTTTATATACCTTAATTTAAAATCCTTGTTAATTAAAAAATAAAAATAAATGCAATAATACAGTGTGTAAACACTAACTGAGAACACTCAATATCTTTGCATAGAGACCTGCAATTTGAATTCTAATTTTTTGTTGGTTTTTATGACATAAAAGTGTGTATTTTTACGAGTTTTTAATTTTTTTAACTTAAATAGACTCAAAAGATATTTGATATTTTCCGCCCATGGGCAGTACAACTATTTTTTCTTAAATGGCAACCACCTATTTTAACCACTTTTTAATCAATTTTGGTAGTTAAACCAACTTTCTAAGTCCAAAATTGACCAAGTTACAGCAATTTAACCAAACAACTGTAAAATGGACGCGATTTTAAATTTTTTTGACTGTAACTTTGAAATTAATTATTCTAGAATTGTTAAGGCTTGATATTTTCACTCTTATTTATTAAAGTGATGTTTCGTGACATTTAATGGACCTATTGGAATTTATCAATAATCAACAATAAGTTTAATTTTTACTCAAGTTACAAATTTATTTATTTATTGATTAATTTAACGTAAAAACTGTTCAAATTGTTGTCTTTCGTGAACAAAAAACATGATTCAGCGCGTCGCATGAATTCTTAATTTGTTACAGCAGTAATTTCTTCATTAGTCAGTTGATTGCATGCTCCTGTTATTTTGTCTTTTAAATGTTGAAGATTTATAGGAGGGTCGGCATACACTACTGTTTTTAAGTGACCCCATAAAAAGAAATCTAGTGGCGTAAGATCAGGTGATCGTGGTGGCCACTCAATGAGCCCGTAAATTCCTATTCATCGATTTTGAAACTTTTCATTTAAATAGTCATAAACTATGTGAGCATCGTGAGCTGGAACACCGTCATGTTGAAAAATAATATTTTCTCTTATAGCTAAAGAAATATCATCAAACATCATCGGTAATTAATTTAATATAAAATTATGATATAGTCTACCATTGAGAGTTCCATCATAAAAAAATGGACAAAGCAATTTACTACAAATTAAACTACACCAAACATTAGTTCCCCAAACACTTTGGTTATTGGTTTCAAATGTCCAGTGTGGATTTTGATTATCCTAGTAACGGTTATTTTGTTTAATAATAACACTGTTATTAGTAAACTTAGATTCATCGGTCCATAATATTGAATTTAAAATAAATTGATTTTCATCTATAGCGGTCATAAACCACGCAATAAAAGTAAGTACGATCTGCATCACCCTAACGTAAATGCTGAAGGTCGATATGGATGCATTTTATATATTTTTACTTACAAACTGCGGTATGAGATATTCCTAACTCTCTGCCAACATGCCGTGTAAAAGCTCTGGGATTTACTCTAACATAGACTAATAGTTGTTCCTCAACCTCTTCACCTAAAGTATCACTTCGTCTTCGTTGTTGATTGTCTACCCTTTTAGAAAATGAACCATAGGTTTTAAGATTCCTTTCTAAGTTATGAATAAAATTATGGGCAGAAAGTTCTCTATCTAAAATAATTACCAAAAACAACAAAAACTAACTTAGAAAATTATCTAAAGTAACATAAAGAAAATTAATAAACATAAATGGGAAACGATGAGCATAAGTTTGTGCTGCACGACGTGCATTTTTTTGACACTCCCAATAAATAAATAACATATCAACTTTTTCGGAATGATTCATATTAATCACAGAGTAACACACGTGTTTGGACGATGAAAAATATGAAATGATCAGTTTGTATAAATAAACATTTTATATTTATTTCATCGTATTTAATTTTGTATCAAATTGTCATAAAGATAAACATTTACTTTAAGGGAGGTACCTAATGTTTAGTTTTATAGTGCTTGATAAAATACGATAAGTATTAGATTACGGTTCTATTCCAATTTAAAATATCATAAATATCATTGCAATCAACTGGCTGATGAAGAAATTACTGCTGCAACAAATAAAGAATTCATGCGGCGCGCTGAATAATGTTATGTTCACGGAGAACAACAATTTGAACAATTTATAAGTTAAATTAATCAATGAATAAACTTGTAACTTGAGTAAAATTAAACTTATTGTTAATTATTGATAAATTCCAATAGATCCATTAAATGTCACAAAATAAACAACATAGGTACCTGTTTATTTACGTTTTTTCTGCTATAAGTTATAATACATACCCAAATTAAAGTGAAAATTATGCAGTGGATAAAATTATAAAAACGTGTAAATATCACTTTAATAAATAAGAGTGAAAATATCAATCCTTAACAATTCTAGAATAATTATTTTCAAAGTTACAGTCAAAAAAATTTTAAATCGCGCCCATTTTACAGTTTTTTTGGTTAAATTGCTGTAACTTGATCAATTTTGGACTTAGAAAGTTGGTTTAACTACCAGAGTTCATAAAAAAAAAAATAGGCAAAAAATAATTAGTGGTTGTCATTTAAGAAAAAAAAGTTGTACTGCGCTTGAGCGTGTCTAAGTTAAAAACTCGTAAAAATACACATTTTTATGTCATAAAAACCAACAAAAAATCAGAATTCAAATTTTTAGGTCTCTACGCAAAGATATTGAGTGTTCTCAGTAAGCGTTTACATACTGTATACTTTTGTTCATTTTTTTTATTTGGTAGAAATTACTTGTGTTTTTAATTTTTGTTCAATATTGGAAATTAAAATACCTAGTGGAAATATTATTTTGATATAATCATAACATTATAATGTTAAGTTGTTATATCACCGAGGGCACACATATTTTGCCGCCTCATCATAAATATGAATGTATTATATTAAGGATAACTGTAAACTATTTATAATTAATATAGGGTTGATACATATTATTATTTATATTTACTATTTACAACAACTGTATGTACGTACAAGCGTACAACAATATCCTTGTTCGTCGAATCTCGACTGTGTTTATAATATTTAACTTTAACAGTCAACCTTAAGATATAATGTAAGGTTAATCAATTTCTATCTAAAAGGATTATAGTCTCTTGAAAGTTGAAACTTAAATTTTCTTATACTAAAATAATAACAGCAAAATTCTTTTAGTGGTATAATAGTAAAATGTATGGTTAAGAATATAGATGGACTTAACTAAACTATTCAACATCTATATTTTATACATATTATTCATAGTACAAATAATAAAAATAAAGTATATACAGTAAAAAGTTACCTTATGGTTAGCTTTTTGTTTACTGTCTACTTTATAATATCCTTCCGTTCTAGCACATCCTGTATCATGCACTTTCCATTCATCTTTCTTCTTTTTTCGAGGAAGCTGATTTGGTACTGCAGTCAGTGTTTATAAATTAAGGAAAATCTTAATTCTACATAATCATTAAGAAGTATTCATAACTTCTATAACTTATCATTATCATTAATAAATATAATATAAATTATAAAAATATAAGCTCATTAAAAATATTATTAATGCATGGAAGTGCATTTTTTAAAATTGAGTCAAATCGAGTACTTAGATTATAAAACTGAATTTTTTAAATAATTTTATTGGATTCTATGAGTTAGTTTCTATGGTTTCTATTAGGAAAGATATTTTTTTATATTTGAATAAATTATGCAAATAAAGGGTTACCATAATAATAATAAATTAGATTATGTATAGCTATGTTTACTTATTTTATATACAAGTACTAAACTGTTAAAAAAAAACTATTCATTCTGGAATACAAATAATTTTTATTTTACTTATTTCAAAATGGTATCAAAATTAGTTTAACCTAAAGTCAAAACAAGTCTTAATGAGAGATTAAAGAAAACTAGTTAAGAAAGATTCTAAGTTTTAAACTTAACATTTAAACTCAACTGTTCTAAATTATATTAAGTTGTTCTTAAATTTTAACTACTGAGAACTAATTATAAATCCTATTTCATATTATACTTTACTTGTATAATAGTATTATTTTTTTATATGTTAAAAATAGTTTTTATACAACTCAATTTTTTGTACTCATTAAAAAACCTGGATCAATATGTTTTAAGTAAAAATTAATGTAATTAAAAGGATATCTGTATGGTTGACCCAATGTGTTTCATTTAACCAGTAGTGCACAGTATCATTGGATAACAATGATTCATAACTTTGTTTCAAATAGTTAAGATCTTCCACATCTATACCCTTAGTAAGAAACTCAAATAGAACAGTTGCCTCTTGTACTATATCTCGTCTATTGAAATATTTGGTTTTAACTTGATTATCACGATGCTTCTGTAGAGTTAATTGATCAATATTTTCAATTTTGTTACTGTCCCTGACAGCTAAAGGCAGTTTTGATTTCTTTGGCGAAACTTCTTGTACTTTTAGTTCACCAACTGGTTGAATTGTCATAGTTCTATCAGCTATATTCACCTCAGTCTCCCAATCAGATATAGGAGGTGGACTATACACCTGTTCAGGCATACAGTATGAGTGATCTGAAAATACTGTACTTTGATTTTCTTCAGGAGGTACCTTTGCTCCATTCAATAAACGTTTTTTGGATTCAATGAGTTCATCTAAATTGTTATCTTCAATCTTTCGTTTCACAGCTTTATCATCACGTTTATACTTCACAAATGATCCTTCTTCATCAGAGCTTGATAATGCATCTATTTCCATAGGAGTTTCATTTCCAGTAGGTGTCAACTCCCTGAAAAATTACCTTATACTCAAAAACCATCATTTAATTTAATATGTTTTTAATTATACATATTATATAAAATAATCATTAATTTGAGAATGCATTATTTTATTTTCTTACCTGACCCTATCAAAATCTTCCATTGTCATTGATTTACATAATTTTTTAAGTTTATTTTTCCATACAAATCCATCACATGAGTCTTCATTACTAGAGCTATCATCACTAGATTCTTCAGAAGAAGAACTATGGGCTGATAATTCAGAAGTAGAAGAATTACTATCACTATCAAACAGCTCCCTTCCTAAACGTTTGCGTTCCGCAAAAGTAGGTCTAGTCACTTCATCATCATCAATCTTCAGATAAATAAATAATAAATGTTTAAATTACAAATAAATTAAAGAATATATATATATATATATATATATATATATTAAACATACATCTTTCCCTTCATTGTCTGAAGTTATCACCATTTCTTCTTGATCACTTCCATTATCTTCTTGTTCATTAGTTTTCTTTGGTGATGGTTCCTTCTTTTTTCTCTGGTTAGTTTAATTAAATAATATTTTATTAATACAAAAATACATACCTATTACCAGTATACAACAGAATCAATATTTTGATTTTATAATGATAAATCATAACATTTTTTTATACTGATTAAAATATAATGAAATTTTAATTAAAAACTTTAATATTTGAAAGCCATCACAGGATAACATTAAATAATTTAATTTAAAGCGGAGAATATTTTGGAGTTAAAGTCATATCTTATCTTATCTTATAGTCTAACAAAGAAGTTATAGCATTTTTTTTTTTAGTAATTCATAATCTTATAATAAAGTAATTTCTTAGTAAAGAAAAAATTTTATAAAAAAAAAAATTACTTAAAAAATATACTCTTTTTTTAAATTTAGTTTTGGGTATTATTATTAGGTTTTACAATCAACCAAGATGCCATTTTTGACTTTTCATAGTAAAATACTGTTATACTCTCCACCACACAAATGCAGAATATATGAGTGTCTCTTTCTCTTAAGTAGTTTAGATTATTATTATATTGGATTCAGTCATTAAATTATTTTTAATTATTAAGACCCCACTTTTTATATACAATATAATGCATGCCTACACATACCCCTATCAATGTAATTAGCTACAGTAAAAATTTAAAAAAATTTCTTTTAATATTTCAATGATTTAAAGTAATATCGATAAATAAAAAACTATAATCACATTAATATAAACATTACATATAGAAATATACATATACAAGAAATATATATATATGTATATTATCATATTAATAATATATTATTATATAATAATAATATATATATATATAATATATTATTATTAATATATTATTATATCATATTAATATTAATCATATTATCATATTAGCTTACACGGAAAGATGGCATTTTCGGAATAGCAGCTCGGAATCCTAGACCTAAACCACTTAGAGCCAAAGTTTCTAAGCCTTCTGTTCCAGCTTCCAATATACTATTGAGGTTAGGAGCTGGTTGAGCAGATTTAGACTCTTCATTAGAAACATTCGATGACTAAAAATTTTAAAAATAAATAAAATATATCGAATATATTCAGGTATATAAAATATTACTTTTGACTGTCTTTCAGCTTCTTCCCACCACTGATCCAAAGCATTAAAAGCAACAGTAGTTCCCATTTTCTTCATTATATCACGTTTAATTATAATTCTTAATTCCATCAACACGGCTTTCATTAAATTTCTAAAATAAAAATGCACAGTATTTTAATTGAAAAAAATTATATATATATATATAGAATTTAAATTTATTACTTTTTAAGTTCTTCTGGAAAATTTCTATTTTCATGTCTATCGCGTGGAGGTTCTGATTCATAAAAATTTGGTCTTGGCAATGGTGGACCATAAGGATAATTAGGCGGATATGGGAAATATTGATAGCCATAATGATTATTAAACGTTTGTGGATAGTAATATCCATGAGGATGATAATTTGGTAATGGAGGATATTGAGGTAATAAAATATTAGGATCATTTTCAACAATTTTTTCATCACGAGATGATAAACTAGACAAACTCATTGCATCATCAGGAGTATTTCCTTTGGGACTTTTTCCTAACATAATTTCATCATCACTTGAACTGATATCACTATGCAGAGAATCATGCATAGTCTTACTTATAACTAAAACAAACAAATATACAAATTTATTTGAAATAAAAGAGATTTAGTATAGTTTTTATTAATTATTATTACCATTTCTTATTGACTTATTTAAAAAACTTTTTGCTTCTAATTTTTCTTTTTCTCTTGTAATTTTTAATTGTTCAGCAGCTTTTTTAAAACAATTTAAATAAATATCATTTGACAAAAATGGTGATGGGGGATAAGAAAGTGGAGGTAATATCTCTTCTTCATTGCTATTTTTTTCTTCGTCTAAATCAGAATGATTGTCGTTAATCCCTGGGGGTGGAGGTAAATTTAAACTCAGATCATCAATGGTATCTTCTATAGTCTCTGATACATCAGAATCTTTCTTTACAATTGATAAAAATGCAGGTTCTACACTAGCACCTTGAGAAGACATGCCACTAAGAAGCATTTCAATTCTTGTATCTAAATCCAACTTTGATTGTGCTTCAGAATCTAACTTAGATGCTGATACTGGTGCTGGTGCTGGTACTGGAGCTGGAGTTGGTGTTGGCGCTGGTGTGGAAGGTAGTGGAGGTGCTACAGGACTAGATTCTCCCCACCAATGATTACTTGGTACAGGGGGAACAGGATATCTTAAAAAAAAAAAATAATAATGAAAACCAATAACGAAGAACTTCATAAAATAAATAATGTATTACCTAATTAATTTATAAACAATAAAAAACTTATACCTGTTATAGGGATAGGGGAAGGTTCCATTATATCCAGGAGTACCATTCATACTATTATATCCACTACTATAACTTTGTTCTGATGGAAGATCACTGGTAGCTGGCGAAGGAGTAGTATAGTCATAATTATAATTTTTATAGTTTTCTATTTTAGGAGGGACTGTTTTTTCTTCTGGTTGTGGTTTCACAGTAGGAGGTTCTTCTTTGGATTTTACTGATTTAACAGACCTTCGATCTCGATTAGATGAAGGAAGTGGTTTTATTTTAAGTACTTCTGGTGGAGGTTTTAATTTTTCTTCGGTCATCTTATCAAACATTAGTTTACATTCTGTAGCTACAATTTAAAAAAAAATTAGTTTTAAATATTTACTTTACTAAAAGAAAACATTTACAAAAATGAGTACTGTTTTTAACTTTAAACTTACCAAAAGGATCTAAAAAAACATTAACAACTTTTCCCATAACAGATGTTTCATTTAACCTTTGAACACATAACTTGGCCGATGCTGCTTCTTCAAAAATTATTTTAGCTAAGCCCAAATGTTTCTTGGTGATAGGATGGTAAAATATTTGTAATAAATCTATTTTCCCAAATTTGACCACCTATGAATTATATTAAAATTAAGTATTAATATATATTAACATACGGCTATTAATAATAATAATAAATATTAAATAATATTATTACTAATTTTCTTTAATAAAATTATTTTTTCTTAAACTAAAATAAAATTGAAGCATATAATGTACTTACTACTAGTACAAAAATTACTAAAATTATATTTAACCATCCAAAAACATATTCAGGATGAACATCAATTAATAATTAATTTATAATATTGACTACTTATACTTAGTCTTAATTTAAATTAATTTACTTACCAAATCAGTTAAAAAAACTTTATCAATGTTATCATTTAAATTAGAAAAAGTTATTTCAACTTCAGGTCGTTGGCCAGTGTAGTTTTTATCAAGCTGAAAATTATTTTAAATTTAATATAAAACAATAGTTTTGAAATGCATGTATTTACATAGTCAAGTCAATTTTGACAGTTGCAAATTATTTTAATTGTATGTACATAGAAATAAAAATCATATTCTAAGATATTATTTTATAATTAAAACAACATTTTTTATTCTATGTATGTAAAAACTTAACGTATTCCATAGTATAATTTTGTTTTGTAATTTATTGTTTTCTTAGTTATATCCATGCAATTTTCAGATTATTCAAATTTTCGACAAAATTTTTATGTTTTTCCAATTCATTTTAGTAGAAACATATAACCATGTAGGTATGAATGAAGAAATATTTAATTTATTGCCAGAAAATCCCAAGTTATTTTAAATCATAAAACAAGATTCCTTAGGTCACAAGATTTTACTAAATATTATACTTTTAAAAATGAAAATATTTTTCGTAAAAAGACAATGCATATAATAATTTAACAGTGGCTCTAGAATTATGAACTCAATTGGTAGTAGATTATAAAATTTGAAGACAAATACATAGCATCCATAAGGATAACAACAATATTAAAATTAATTACACCGGGAAAGAAAAATATTCACTAATCCAAATCATGAAAAAACCAAAACTTGTCATGACAAGTAGAATTAAATAAAATAAATATAAACACAAGGAATATTTATCAATAATTTAGGCATGATACCAATGAAAAAAAAATGTATCTATCATTGTTAAATAGTGTATTGTTGATGAAAACAATTGCATAAACATTTTGCAATAAATAAATATACTGCAAACAAAATAATATTTACTCATATTGGAAATAGATTTACTACATAAAAAAAATTACTTGAAAGTTATAAATAAAAAAATTTATACAAGAAATACTTATTTTTATTATACTCTTCTCTAAGTTATACATTTACTTTATGATATGTATTAGGTATATATAATATATAATTATAACTATACATCTACAATGTTTTAAATAATAGTCAGACATCAATCTAAATATGAACATCTGAATTTCAATAAATTATATTTTATAACAGTATGTATAATCATAAGTTAATCAAATCTATGATTAAATTATGATACACAAAAATAAAGACTAGAAATTAATTGATAATATTTATGCATAATTTTTAAAACCATTACTTATATTATTATGGTTATCCCTGTGGTTATCTATTTTAATCTTTATCATAGTACAAATAGTTTCTATCCAATTTCATTAATTAAAAATAAAACATGTGTTTGATAATAAAAATATTGTAGAATGAAAATTTTAATTTAACAAGATTATGTTTCATCAAATTGTCTTTAATTCTTTACATTAACTTTAATTAAATGCAGAGCTTATAAGACTTATTATTTTAATAATATTAATATATTCAGTCTCTTCGTTGATGACCTCATGCAATTTTTCAAATACTTCTAGGTAATTCATAACAAAATTAATTAAAATAATCTTTAAATATAAACATTTAATCTTTTTCAAAATGTAATAGACAATTTTACACAGGTATATATTTAGATGGATAACTGAGGAAATTAAATATTTTTGGTTTTTATTTTAGAATTATATAGATAGGAAGGTATTTTTTTTAATTTAATTTAAAAGAAATCTACTTTTATATAAGTTTTAATAATATAGTTTATATTTAAGTATTTATTGCCTATGAATTAATGCAAAATAAGTATAAAATATTGTTGGCTAATTTATAATTGATAATATGATAGTTTTCAAGAATTATATTATATACATACCTTAAACTTAGGTACGGTCAATTCAATGGGCAATGTTATAGTTTTATTTTTTGATTTGAATGTCCGTGGATCTTGAACAATCAATTCAGGATAAGAGGAATCATTAGGTACGACACCATCATATCGATAAATTTTTGTGGTCGCTTTGCCAAGAAATGGATCAGCCATAAGTTTCCAATTACGTTCCCTTGGCTTTTCAACAACTTGTACAGCTGGTGGTGGCGGTGGAGGGGGTGGTGGTGGAGTAGTTGGTCTTCGAATCGGTTGAAGGTGCATTGGTGAAGGAGGTTTTTCAACTCTTGATGATGGAATCCTGTGATGATCATAATCACTATCTTCATCACTGCTTCTACGGTTATGATGTCGCTGATGACCACGATGCGTTTCATAATTTTCTTCATCGTATCTATAGTGATGATGACGATGTTTATGTTTGTGATGCTTGTGATGACGTGAGTCATGATGTCTTGAATTATATTTGCGGTACGATTCCATTTCATTTTGTTAATCTAAATAAAAAAAATTATCAATGAACTATTTGTAAAAAATTTTATACACAAAACGAAAATAAAACCAACTTTGTTTTCATGATAATCAATTTATATATTCTGCATTAAAAAAATTATGAACAAAATAATTTATTTCTTAGATTAAAACTATAATATTAATTCCATCATCATAAATTAACATTATATTGCTTAGATATTTGATAAAAATGTTAACATTTAAATTAAATAGGAAAATAATATTATGTTGTAATGGAATTTGAAAGGTTACAATAGAAAATTGAAGAGTATACACGTTTAACGAAATAATAAGGAAAAAAATCTAATCATAAGAATACACCGAGAGAAACTAGAATTAGATGTTGGAATTAAGTATCGGTCGGACTCCGACAACATACAAGTCTAATCAAAAATCTACAAAGGTATCGAGGAAATATAAACATTAACAGTGCGTCTTTATCGACTGCATTAAACAACATTATTATTGTTTCGTTGTATACACTGCTTCATTCGACGGTGCATAATTGTATCTAAAGCAGGCATGTCAAACAAGCGGCCCGTGGCAACCAAAAATCAATAGACAAAGTAAAATAAATAGAATAAAAAATAATAAAATATTAATGTCATGTCGGAACAACTTTAGATTCTCAATGAATGGTATATTTGGTATACATTATTATGTCTTATCCTCATCGAATAAGTTGTATTGATGGTTTTATACAGTGGCGTGCGCGGGGGGGAGAGATGATGGGCATAAGCGTGCACACGGGGTAGTCAGGGTAGGTACTTGACTATTCTGTGAAACTTCCCACCCTCACCAAAATATTCAATATGATCACAATAATAAATAAACATATTATTTTCAACCACTTCGAAACATTAGTTAACGTTAAAAAAAATGTAAGAATACTGGAGAAATATAGTTATTAAGTTAAATGAAGTTACGAATGCAAATTTTTTGTTAATATTAAATGATAATGTGTTATGTTTGACTACCCTGCCAGTTATGTCTGCACACGCTTATGATGATGGGGATAATCCCTCTATGGGCTTTGATTTTATATTTTTCTGCGCATGTAACCAGACTTGGGTAGAATACTTTTTTTAAAAGTATTCAATAAAGTATTTTGAATACCATCAAATCATCTCTTTTTTAATTGATTTTATTACTTCTCCATCGTATCTTGTATAAGCTAATACCAGGTATTTATTATTATTGTAAACCATAAACTATAACAGTTATGTAATATAAAAATACAATAAAATAATATATATTTAGTCTACAATTTCAAATATTTCTGTTGAATGGACATCTATTATTTTTATATTATGAAAACTAGAAGTACTTTAAAAGTATTCTGAATACTTTTGAAGTATTCTAAATAATGTATTTCGAATACAATTTGTATAAAGTATTTGAATACATATTCGGAATACTATTTTTTGTAAGTATTCGAGTATTTATTCTAAATACTTTTAAAAAGTATTTTACCCAAGTCTGCATATAACGAATTACTTGTCCGTAAACACAAATGTTTCTTTCACAAAACTTTTAGATTCTAAGTGTAGCGAAGAATATTATGGTTTTATAATGATGTTTGTACTTTATTTTTTTAACACTTTTTCTGATAAAAAATACTGGTCCAAAAGTTTTTTCTATGAACTTTTTAGATTTCAAATTGGCATGTGGTGGTAATTTAGATAGGTCATTTTTTTTAAATCTTAATAGTTTTTCTATGCGTGAGGAAAAAACTGTCCTAAAACGGTAAAAATACGCTGTAAATATGACTTTCACTTTTCAGATTTTAGTTATTTAGTCATAATTCCAAAATTAATGTGGCTAGAAACTTGAAACTTTTACCTTATAGCAGATATTTTTTTCGTATTATACAACCTTTTCAAATAGCGATTTTGATTTAAATATAGAACTTTAAAAATACCTAATTTTATGAAAGTCTTTATGTAATAAAATTTTTATTTTTGGATAAGTGAAAATTTAATATCAGCTAACTCATATACGAGTACTTATTTACTATACTGAAAATTTTTTAAAAATTGTTAGTCTGAAATTTATTTCATATGCGTTTAAGTAAATGTTTATACCTAAAAATTTTACGGATTTTACTGTTTTTCCATCAGTTTTCAACATTAAATGATTATTAAAAAAATTTGGTCCATCCAAGCATAATCAAATTTGAATACAGATAAATATTTGGTTAAAAAAAAAAAAATAATATAATTGTGAAAAATAAAATATAAACAGGTTAATGAAAAAAAGGAACCTACCAATAATTAGACTAAAAAGGTTAAAATATACTAATAAATGGTTAATTTTTATACTGAACCTTTACTCAGAGTCATTCAATATGATGATTTAAGTTTAGAGATTTCAAAATCTGGTAACCCTACCTATTACTATTATCCAGTTCAAGAACCGAAAAGAGGAAGGACGAACTTCCACCACCATTATTTAAATAATAAATTTATACAATAAAAACTCTGTTTTTCTATACATAACTCATTATGTATAAAAAACCGAGTTTGTAATAATTATTTAAATTTAAATTAAAATTAACACATTTGAGGGTGCTAAGCACACCCAAACCCCCCAAATTGCGCCTATGGCTCCAACACAAAAAAAACCTTGATCTTCTGTGAACACTTTCATAGACGGGTTCAAAATAAAATCCTACAACTCGAACGTACAAGCCGATGTTCGTTTATGTTATTAATGTTATTCAATTAATTATATCAAGTAACAATAATAATAGAATATAAATGGTATATTATTGGTAATTTATCATCTCCCCGATTTCGGGGCAAATAAATACCAATACTAAAAAGTAAACTATCAACACCGTCGATCAAGACAATGTTAATGATGTCGACTACGCGTCGATACTATGACGTTAAACATGTTAAATATTTTGAGTTAAATAATATAGTTAACTTTCAGTAATATTACTTAAATTATGAAAAAGCTCTTGGCACCCCAGTGTTCATGGCACCCGGTGCACACGCACCTCTCGCACCCCCTAGGCACGGCCCTGCTTACATATCGAGCCCGGATCCATTTGTAGCGGCTGACGAAAAATAAATGTGAAACAACACGTCGAATTCTATTGACTTAATATTTTATTATAGTAATATATTAATAATATATTCTTTACTTTATGAGTAATATACAATAATAAACAAATATAGATAAATATATAAAGCTAACAGCTATTAATATCCACGTGCGTAAAACGCGGCATATTGTCATACTGGTTAGTCATTAATTACAGCGATAATATTATTATGTTAAGCGCGTTACACACTACCTGATTTGTTCGGGCCGACAGGATACCTGACCAAATCAGATGTTGTGTACACACAGTACGACCACCACACGATTTAGTCAGTCTTAACACCGTTTTATTAAACTGGAAGTAGGTACTAGGTACACACACGTGTTATCACGTTAACCTCAATAAATCAACTAAAATCCGCCCGACAGTGCTACATACTATATGATTTGGTCGGTCGGTCGGGCGATCAGATGGTATGGCCACCTGACAAGACCCGACAGGATTAAAGTCAGACGACACGTCCTGTCGGCCCGACCAAATCAGGTAGTGTGTAACGCACTTTATCTTGACCTGGCACTGGTAGAGTGTGGGCTGAAAGACGTTTACAACGATAATAATATACTAAAAATAATTTTTTAGGTAGGTACTGCATTAAATTTAAATTATACTACAATACCCAATATATAAATTAAAACTCAACATAATGTTTTTCATCATACAAATACATATGTGTTGTAATGTACATTGTATCATTAGATTAAAAAATAATATCAATACAAAATTAAAAATATGTAATAATTTTGAATAATATTTTGCTATCAAATATAAGTGGGAATTACAAGGCCCCTACAAGTGCGAGGCCCTAGGCAAATGCCAGCACTGCCTACCCTTAACGACGGCCCTGTGTAATGGTATTTTAATAGGTATGGGTAGATTACGAAAATATATTTAATGAACCATAGTCATAGATTATGAAAAAAATAAATATAACTTAAAATAAAATAGGTAGATATTCATATGTTTATGAATGTATGATTACGTCAATTTGAAGCATGCGTTCTAAATAATGGAAGGACTTCCGAGCAAGTTTTTGAGTAACTTATGTTTGTGATTTTTATAAATTGAATTGTAAATAAGAAAAAGGGGAGTAGAGTATATAGAGTTATACGATAAATACAGAACTGATTGTATCGTAGAACAATGAACAGTTATTATAATCACAGAATAATATAATATAGTAAATTTAAACATACTATAATATTTATAATATAGTAAATTTAATATTGAATGTTTCCTCTTCTTCTTCTCCTTCGCCTTTCTCCGAACTATTAGGGGTTGGCCACCTTTGTCCTAAACCTCCACTCGTCTCGATTTTCTACATCTACGCACTTATCATTCGTATCCAACCATCTCTTTTTTGGTTTTCCTCTTTTTCTTTTCCCTTCAACGTTCATTTTCATAACCATTTTCATTGCTTTTGTTTCCTTCGTCTCATCTTATGCCCAAATACTCTCAGTCTATTTTCTCTCATTTTGTCCACTTAGGACGCTACACTAATACTACCTCTCACATATTCGTTCCTTATTCTATCTTCTTTCGTCACTCCACTCATCCATCTAAGTATTCTCAATTTCGCAACACTCATATTATGTTATATTCTCCTATCAACCACCCAACACTCTGAACCATATACAGTCTATACATACACAGTTACACAGTTGGTCTCACTTCACTTCTGTAAAATGTACATTTCAGTCTCATTGGAATTCTTTCATCATATAAAACGCCCGACGCTTCTCTCCATTTCATCCAAAATATATCCTATGTTTTACATCCATGCCAAAGCCCACTTTCTTTTGTATAAATGATCCTAAATATTTAAAGTTTTCTATTTCACCTATCACATCACCGCTTATTGTCACTGATCTTCTCATATCCTCAACTTCTTAGTATCTTTATCCAGTCATATTCTATATACTCTGTTTTATTTCTACTAATTTTAAATTCCTTTTCTACAAGAACTAATCTTTACTCATCCAATCTATTATTAACTTCTTCCAGATTTTCTCCTACCAAAACTATCATCAGCATACATCATGGTATCTCGTCCAGTATATCTTTCGTAACTTTCATCCATTATCACAGAGAATAAATAAAGGCTTAGAGACGACCCCTGATGCACACAAACTCCTACGTTAAAATCTTCTGTCACTCCACACAGAGATGGAACTAAGAATTTTTACGCCCGGGTAAAATGTTAAAATTACGCCCTATTCATAGACTAATAAACAAATACTCAAATAAATTGTGTTCTTATAATCAATATACAATCGTACTTATTGAGTTTTAACCTAATATCAGTATTTATCGAAGTTAAAAATATCAAATTAGTTGTTAATAATTACGAAAATTACACCCTCTAAAATGTTACGCCCAGGGATGAATCCCCGTCTTCCATCCCGTAGTTCCGGTCCTGATTCCACACAAACTATACACTAGTTCTCGAGTCTTCATACATATCCTGAATCAAATTTATATATATATTTTTGGGACCTTTTTCCTCATTAATGTCCACATTAAAACTTCTGTTGGCACTTTGTCATACGCATTTTCTAAATCTATAGATACTATGCATAATTTTTTTTTCTGTTTCCTTAATTTCTGTACTAGTTGTTTAACACAAAATAATGGCTCCATTGTCGATTTTCCTGGCATATAAATTAAATGTTTCGATTTTAGAATTTAGATGTTCAAAGATAGTATATTTCTGTGTGCATAGATACGTTACACGGTCTTACAGGGTCGTAATCAAGGTTTTTTTTGTTCATATAGTTCATGAACACAGAAGTTGTAAAGGTACCTAATTTTTTTTCATCAGCAATTATTTAAAAACGTAAGTAATTTTTTGTGGAATCGAATAAATGTAATTCGTAAATAAATTAAAGCGGTTTAGAATGATAAGTTGTTATTTACATGTTTTGTTCTACCTATAAAGTTATTTTTTTTTATTTATAAAGCTTTTGAAAATACTATTAAAATCAACAATTATTATCAAATACATCGATTAATTAATAAAAATACAATAAATATAATATATGACATAAAAGTATTAAAATATATTTTAAATATCTTTTATTAAGATTATATACAGAAACCAGCCTCGTGAATAAAGGAAATAATTAGAATGAGAACAGATTTTGAAATTTAGAATTCTGGAAGTATTAAATGGGTTATTAAGAGACTAATAAGGATATTGAATTTGGTAGGTAGGGAAGGACAATCAAAGAGAATATAACATAGAATACAAATTTTTTTCTTCAAAGTGGAGTGTACAGAGAAAGAAACAGTGGTCCAACTTGATGATAAGGGGCTCATGTGAACATTTCCTGACTTATGTTATTATTCATTATCAGTGCTCAACTTGAGGGGTCTCAAGGGGACGGAGTACCCTAACTAATTTTCAGAAATTTTAGGGTCCCCCTATTATTATTACGCTATAATCATAACGCTAAACCAGTTTTGAGGACGTTCTTTTTTTAAAGTAAATAGAGTCCCCCTTCTTTAATTTTGCCAAGTCGAGCACTGTTTATTATTATTATATTAAAACAAATAATATAATATGTGTATATTACAGATTATAATAGAAATATTGTAAAGAACAAAGATGATATCAGAAGATATCTCGAGACTCCACAAAACCGGGGATTTCTGTGAATTGTGCACCCAATACTCCCGATAATTGCATTACTGGTAGGGAATCATTACGATTTAATTTTCAAGCAAGAATTGGAAGTAACAAAAAAGCTCATAATTGTTTTCCTAATATTTCAATTGCTCTCCGAATCATTTTGACGATTCCAGTTACTTCTGCTAGTCCTGAGAGATAATTTTCTAAACCTAAGCTTATAAAAACATTCTTGAGGAAACAATGACGTAAAACAGATTATCTGGATTAGCAATGTTATCCATAGAAAATTAAATGGTTTCAAAACTCAACTTCGACTCAATAATTGATGATTTTGCAGCTAAAAAATCTAGGAAAAAAATGTTTTCATGATCAATCATATTTTGCTCTTAATATATATATTATATAACAATATATAAATTATATATATATATATATAACAAATTTATTGATATAAATATAAATATAGGGGACTGTTCACTTCGTGAGTTGCCTTACGACACAGTCTACTGTTCAATACAATTTTATATTGCTTATATGGTTTAAAATGTATATGGTTATAGATAAAATAAATTAAAGATAATAATTAAATTAGTAGTAGAAAGAAAAAAGAAAATAAAACAAAGATTTCAATCTTGATAATTGTTTGTTATGAATATAGATGGTAATTTATTATATGTAAAGTGTCCTGCAGTATGGACAGACATTTTTTCAGATTACTTCGCTGCAGGCCAGTTCTCGAAGAAGTCCTGCAGGAGATTCGATGCGGTTCCGCGTGCGCCGAACCAAAACCCAATTACTTTCCACTCTCCTACTCCTTAGAGGTGATTCAGGTTGGGTGTGCACGACAGGTATATATATACCTCTATACCTCTCTTCTCTTCGTACACATTGATGTCTAGTTGTTCGTCGTTGGTTTCCTAACGAATCGTGGGGTCTAAGATCATCCCAAGCCTCGTCCGTTCCTTCTGTCTATCACTATGATATCAGCCCTCCTGTTTTGAGTTGCTCCTTCATCGAGTGCTGCACAGCACACTTTTTCGTGTACTTCAAAGTTTTTTGCTCTAAATAGGTTGGTCAGGGTGGTACGGACTTTGTGATGGGCATTGTTGCGAAGAAGTTCAGTCTTGGGACAGGATCCTCGGATGTGGGGCAAGGTTTCAATTATATTATTCTCATTGCAGGCTAAATTCCTGCAATGGGGATTGCCGAAACTCCACCTTCTGTTCCTCGGTTAGACATCGAGTTCATCGACACTTTAATAGCGTTTGTCCACTCACCACTTGAGAGCCCGCCTATTTTTGATACCCAAGCGTTAGTCGTGGTACAACTGCCATACCATAGTACGCCTATTCCCCTTTGTCTCAACTCTTTCCACTTATTGAATTCATCGCAGCTTAACTCAGTGCGAATTGCGCGTGGATTTAGGCCGGTTACGTGACCTAAGCGTGCGCGAGACTGTGTTTCTTCCTGGCGTAGATCGCGAACTACTATCAGGTGTGGGTCTTTGAAGAGCTCTAACTTTTGGGCGATGGCGATATGCGGGATAGAAGCCTCCTACGTCATTCTTAACATACCGAGACCCGATATTTTTTTCCCGTGTAGTAGACCGGAATTGGAGTGTCAGCGGAGAAAAAAAAATTTAACAATATTTAATAATAATAGTTAATAGTTAACCACTTGTAAGTTTAACACTTTAATTACATTTTTTGTTAAAGAAAATTGTTTTTTCTTTTAAATTTATATATAGTATACATAAAAGAAGATGTCCTGACTGATTGACTTAACATAATATACTTTGCATAACCTGTTAGACTTAATTCTATTGAGATATTAGGTATAATTACACATTTTTGGTCAAATAGACACAGGTTTATAGTCAGGGGGCTATGCTCCCTAAATCTTAAATACTATCAGGGGCGGACTGAGGCCCTGAAGGCCTAGGTGGGTGTATATTTTACAAAATAGTAAACAAGCGACTTTTATTATAGTTTTTATTTTAAATAAAATAGCTTTATAACAAAATAAAACTAATGTCTGAGTTAATACCTAACTTAATTAAACATTATAAAATAAAAAAAGTTACTTCAATATTTAAATTTTAAATCTTTTTAAATTCAAATAAAATAAAACAAGCTACTTCAACTTAAACCTTTTTCAACACAAATATAATAATTTAAAAAATAATTATATTTTTAATTTTACAAAAACTATTGTTTTAAAAAATTAATAAATTACTAAATATTCCAGTACTTCTTCCAATAGCAGCTATGATTTCTGGAATTTCTGGAATCATATCTGATTCTATGCTAATTAGCATTAAAGATTCTAATAACTCCTCCTTCATTGCACTCCTCAATATGTTTTCTAATATTTTTAATTTAGAAAATGCACGTTCGCAGTTTACTTGAGTGCAGGAGAGTGTGAGAATATATTTGTATGCCAAGTATAAGTTTGAAAATGCTGATGTGTGTAAATTATATTTATATAAATATTCCAACAAATGTGGTGGACAACTGCAGCAGCCTACTTCTTTTCCAGACTTGCAAGTAATCGTTTTGAAATCATCACTAAATTCTGCTGAACTATTGTTTACACTTTGCGATTTTGTGTTACTTTTATGGACAATTTTGTTAAAAGTCTGATTAAAAAATGATATAAATTGAAGAAACTCTTCTTTTAATGCGATTCCAGATTCGGCATTTGATTTTTGAGCAACATATCTTAAATTATCGTCATTAATTAAATGAGGATTTTTGGCGAATTCTTTAAAACGTTGTGTATTAAATGTACCTAATACTTCATATATTTTTTCATTTTTTTCAAACCTTTTTTCAAACACATTTATTAAAACATCGTAAATTCTTCGATGGGTATTGATCTTGAAATATTCATTTGGTGAAATATTTCTGTTATCATCCGAAGCTTTCTCACCGGGCATTTTTTTAATTTTTGGCCTTCGTTTATTAGTAAATGTTTGTTCTATGAATATATTTTCAAGTTTTTTAATTTTATCAGAATTGTTTTTACTCGAAATACAATTAATAGCTTTTTCCTCAACTTTGTCATAATTCGATGATCCTTTTTTAATATCACTTAGTAAAGACTTAATTAGATGTATAACAGTAATGAAATCCAATCCTTTAAATTGAAGATATTTTGAAACAGCAGTAGTATAATGAAAAATTTCAAGAAATATAAATGGAGTTATGATAGTTTCAAAAGATGTCCATTTTTCTATTAAAAACCTTGCATCAGATGATGTAAATGAATCAATCGATTTATCTGAACTAAAAAAATATAAAGATTCCAATAAAACGTCATATCGATCACTAGTTTCACTAGACTCTGACCAAGGACCAAAAATATTTTTCAATGCAGCGTCCTTACTATTCCACCTAATAGTACCCAATTTTTGAATTTTTCTCAATTTATCATTTCCAGTTTGATCTTTCGAGAGAAAATTTTTCCAAATACCAGTTCTTTTATAAGAATCAGAAAAAAAATACTGCGGTTTTTTGTAATAAATTGAAAAGATTTTGAGCAGATAAACAACACGACGTGACATCAGTTACTATAAGGTTTAATACGTGAGCGTGGCAATGTGTAAATATAGATTCGGGTGCAATTTTTTTTAAATGTGCTTGAAAACCGTTATAACAGCCGCTCATAGCAGCAGCGCCATCAAATGATTCTCCGATTAAATTAGCTAAAGGGATATTTAAGGATTCTAATTCTTTTTTCACGACATTATACAACGCTTCTCCGGTACCAGATTTCGATTCTACTAAGGCTACCATTCTTTCATTGATTTTTCCATTTAAAACATATCTTATACAAATACACAATTGACCCTTAACCGAGGTATCTTGAGTAGAATCGATTTCTAATGAATACTGTTCTGACAGTATTACTTCTTTAGCAATTTTGTTTTTTATTAAATTTCCTGTTATATTCAAAATTTTATTTAAGGTAGTTTTTGATAAAAATGTTACATACGAGCCACGACCAGTTTTTCCTTGTTTAATTACACTTTTTTTTATGGAATTATTTATATGTGTTTGTAACACTGGGTCATACTTTGCCACAAGTTTTACAATTTCCAAAAAGTTCCCTTGATTTAAATTTGAAGTTAAATTTGACAAATTATAAGCCGCTTCATTTCTCTTTCCCCTAAATGCCAAACCTTGTTTAGCAATTAGTAAAGCAATATCTACAATTCTAGTCATGATTTCTCTATTCAGCTCTACCATTTTTTGACGATGACTTAAAAGTGAATTTGTCATTATTTTCCCTGATGAAATATTGAAGTATGTTTAACAGGCACTATCATGAGGTTTAGAATTTTCGTGTTTTTCTAATTGACGATAAAGATATTTTAGATTTATTTCAACTCCTTCAATAAATGGAGTACTATTTGGACGAGTGAAGGGTATACATAAAGAGCAGTATACTTTTTTAATAATTTCATTGTAAGTAATCCATTTTCTATTTACATATTTCCCATCTAGCATTTTTCTAAAATAAACTTTATTAGAAGCAAATGGTACATTGCTTTGAGGTTGACAAGGGTGTGCATCAACAAATGAAACTTTTGTTTGATGATGGCTACTAAAAAGAGGAGGAATAAAAAGACTAATGTTTGTATTAGACTCGATTACTTCATCCATACTATTTTGGTCAGACTTGGATTCGGATGAAAAAACCATATCATTTTTATTAATAGTTACATTTGATTCATCTTGGTAATTTGAAACTTTAATCGGTAAACTTGAACTACGATATATTATGTTGGACATTTTTGTAGGAAATTCCGGGGTTAATTCAGATAGAATTTCATCACTATTATTGAAAGAATTTTCAATAGCACGTGGAAGATTTGAAATTTCAGTTACATTTTCGTGTTTATTTTTTTTAAATGAAGTCACAGTAAAATTTAGCTTTCGTTGTTTACTATCCGACCCAGCTGCAGACAACAATGCCGCCTGCTTTTCTAATTTTTTTTCAAAACCACTTTTTTGTTTTTTATTCTTATTTTTATCTTCCATTTCCATTGTAAAACCAGAAACCACTATTTAAAAAAAATATTATTGTAATTAATGTTGATAGAATATAATATACAGGGTGTAATAGAAAGAACCGAATATTTCCATGTATAGCTAAAAATGCCTAGTATAGTAATAACTACTTTTATTATAATTATAAATTTAAATTTCAAGCTTTTCGCCTTTACTTAAAAAATTACGATTACGAACTTAAAAAGAAATAAAATATAATAAATTTAGTATTTACCTGTATGCTTTTAAGTTTTAACTAGAGTATTAACTATAAACAATAAGCTAATAAACCAAACAATTCGAGGCGTCATGAACAAATGATTGGAATTCGGAATAGTAATAATATGTATATTTTATATTCATTATTTATATTGGTCCGTGGTCGAACTATTATAGAAATGTTGTCAATCAAACATAGATAAGAATAAGATTTCACGATACATATATCGTTACTTAATTTATTTCAAAAATGAATCTAATAATAACTTTCATAGTCACTGCGGCAGCAGTCGGACTATCCTAGTTTTATTATTGTATATTGTATTGTTTTCTTCGTTTTCAGCGTTGATTATATAATATAATAATATATAATATCTATTATATAATCAATGGTTTTCAGCTATCGGTAATGATTACGGCGTGGCGTTAAAATAACAAAATATAGTTTGAGGCCCAAACACAACATTTTTAGAGGGCCTGGGTGGGTATGGCCACCTACCCGCCCTACCAGTCTGCCCCTGAATACTATCTACGCTTTTAATTTTCATAGTCTTATTACTATTAGTGATAGGAAATCTTATTAGTTTAATTCTACAATAAATTATAGGGCCTCGCATTTCGCAATTTAGATATTGCCTTAAGCCTCGCAAATCGTAACGACGGCACTGCCATTACACAGGTATTTTCATATTTAAATACTTACTATGAGATTCATTATCAGAGTCGTGTGTCATTGTGGTCTTAGTAGTTCTACGTTTTCTGTTAGTTATTGTCAATTGGTATTATAAAGTTAAAGTTTGAATCTTATCAAAATAAAAATTCTATCATGAATAATCATGAAAAAGTTCAGTTACTGTTGATTTATGAAAAATGTAAAGTCGCGCCCAGACGGAGCAGCTTTTGCTGCGTGGCAAATACGCGTCCACACGGTCCGGCATTTATTTCCCGATTTGTTTTAAAGCTATAATAATAATAATATATTATTCATAAATACTATAGAGTTGTGTCATTATTAATGGGCAAAGAAGTGCACGAGATCAGCAAGTAATCTATATTTTTGAATCTTAAAAAACATGAAATTAAAGATTTTTGAAAAATCATTATTGATCTTCGTATTTTTAAAAACAGAAAATCTTCAGTATCAACATTTTGAAAGAATAAAAATTGTGTCTTCTGGAGATTACTACAAAAATCAGTTTTACCTCCGTGAAAAATGTTTGTTCTGTTACTAATAACTTAAAAAATAATTTAAATACCTACTTAAAAAATAAGTACTAATGCCACGTGGCATCAAAAAAACCCGCGGAAAATGTATTCATGTATTCACAATCATGCCGCGCGGCAAAAGCTGCTCTGTCTGAACACGCCTTAACAGAAATGCACGTGAAGTAACAATGATGTAGGCCCGCCAATAGCCAGATAGGTACCATCCTCATTATACTTATGTTCAAAAACTTGAAAAAATCATTTAAAGAAAATGGTTCGTTCAATAGAACAAATGCTGTTCAACAACAACCTTGTGCAAACCAAAATTTAAATGAGGATATTAAAAATCAAGTCTTGGCATTTATACATCTTAACCCACGTTCGTTTGTTAAACACGTTGGACGTGAAGTTGGCGTATCCAAAATTTTAGTTCATAAGATTATAAAGAAATACTAACTACACCCTTAAAAACCAGACTTTGTCCAACATTTACGTATAACAGACCCAGAAAAAAGTTTAAATTTTATTTCTTGGTTTATGGTGACGTCTGAGAATTATCCATAATTAATTAATCATATATTATGTACTGATGAAAGTAAATTTACTAATAATGGAGTATTAAATAAACAAAATAATCGTTATTGGTCGAATGAAAATCCCCACTGGTCTGTTCCAATAAACTTTCAAACATGTTGGGGTACAAACGTATGGATTGGTATGATTGGTGGAAAGTTACTAGGGCCTCATTTCTACGATGGAACTTTAATAGGAAGATATTTAAATTTTTTATGTGATGATTTGCCACTTTTTTAAGATGATTTACCCTTAGACACACATAGAAAAATGTATTATCAACAAGATGGGACACCTGCTCATAATTCCCGAATTGTACAATAATTTTTAAAAGTAAGATTTGGTGAAAAATTTATTGCAACACACGGAACAGTAGAGTGGCCTCGAAGGTCACCTAACTTAACACCATTAGATTTTTTTTTTGTAGGGACAATTAAAAAACATTGTGTATACAGATCAACTCAATATTCAAGACTTAAAAATAAAATTATATACTCGTGTAACCTCTTGAATGAAAACCAAATACTGTCAGCAACTAATCGTGAATGTTCACGCCGATTTGAAGCATGCGTTCTAAATAATGGAGGGCCTTTCGAACAATTTATCGAGTAACTTATATTTGTGAGTTTTGTAAATTGAATTGTAAATAAGAAAAAGGGGAGTAGAGCTTAAAATAATAAAATTAAAATTAAAAAATAAATGTAAATTTTAGATAGAATATTTAAAATTCAAAATTCACAGATGTATAATTTATTCAGACTTTTAGTTACTTAAACTGCTACAAGACTAAATGTAAAATTTTAAAATTTTAGAAACTAATTTATTTAAAAATTAGTATTTAAGATGTAAAACAAAATATAATGAATGCAATAAATGATACATAACTACTGGTACTTATTTATAATAGTTAATTAAAAAGTAAATACTAATGTAGGTAGGACTGAAGATTATACCTTCAATACTTACTAAGAAGAACTAAATTTTACAGATATACAGTTTGAATAAATTGATACTCTTAAAATTAGATTTTTGGAGGTAGTCAATTTTTTTTTATCGCAGAAATACAATATTGCAATGTTAATTTGTTTATTTGATAATGATTATATATATTTAACATTTTAATTAGAAACCCAAAAACAATTTTGTTTTGAATATAATTAATTAATTATTATAGTATATATATTATACTTTCACTGTATTATAAATTGATATAAGAAAATAATATTGGTTAATGTAATATTTTTATATTTTGATGAAACGTAACAATGAAATATAACAATAACAATAGACATTTTATTTAAGTTGCTTTAGCAACAAGTATATCTTGTAATTATTCAACATAAAAATAAAATTGTAATTCAGAATTTCTTAGGAATATTATGGTCCATGCAAGAATTTTTACATTTCATATATTAATATATTTTAATTAGATCTTACTATAATTTTTTAAAATACACAAAAAAATGTAACAAACAATTATAATAACAATAATTTAAATAATTTTTGCATTCTCAAATTCTTGAGCGTCTTTACGTTTCTTTAATACATTACCAATAAAAAATTCACCAGCTTTGTATGAACTTCTCACAAGTGGACCACTAGCTGTATATAAGAATCCCAACTTATTGCCAACTTCTTCCCAAAGTTTAAACTTCTCAGGGGTAACATATTCTATAACTTTTAAATGGCGTTTTGTAGGTTGCATATATTGACCCAGTGTAACACAATCCACTAAAGATTCTTTTAAATCTAAAATTAAAATGTTAGATACCAAAAAATAAATAAAAAATAACTGATATACTAAAATATTTTATAAGCAATGGTTACCTATTAATGTTTGTTCAATTTGTTTATCGGTTTCGCCAAGACCAAGCATTATAGAAGATTTTGTTATGAGTCGTGGATTGAATTCTTTGGCTTTACGCAACACTGACATAGTTTGTCTATAATTAAAATTTATTTAAAAAGCTTAATATAATAAAAACAAAATATCAATACAATATCAGTACAATAGATTAATCTAAATCTTATTTTTTTTTTTTAAACTAATCAATCATAAATATAAGATATTTTATTATTTAATTTGAATAACTGATATAATATATACAATTTACCTATAATCTGCTCTTCGATCTCTAACAAATGGTGTTAGCTTTTCAACAGTTTCAACATTATGAGCAAAAACATCTAAACCTGAATCTACTATAGTTTTAACATGATCAGATGATCCACGAAAATCTGGTACCAAACACTCAATCATAATATTAGGATTGCTAAAAAAATTTATAATTATGTGATTAAATAATAATAAATTAATAGTAAAAATGTATTTGTTAGTTATATGATACCGATTTTTAATTTCCACAACAGTTTCAGCAAAATGAGCAGATCCACCATCTTTCAAATCTGAAAAATAAAAAAATTATAAATCAAGTAATGTTATTTTATTCTTAGTTTTTACAAACCATCACGGTCTACTGATGTTAAGACAATATAATCCAGACCCCATGATGCAATAGCTTTCGCTGTATTAACTGGTTCATTGGGATCTGGTGGCGGAGGAGCTCGAGATGTTTTAACAGAACAAAATCGACACCCTCTAGTACAAGTATCACCCAATAACTATAAAAAAAATTTAAAAAAACTGGGTGACAAAAAAAAAAAAAATTTTTTTTGAAATGTAACCATAATTGTTGCTGTAGCTGTTCCGTGTTTACCTCCACCCCAACATTCACCAATATTTGGGCATCTAGCTTCTTCACAAACAGTGTGTAAGTTTAAGTCACGTAGCTGTTCTTTTATTTTAGAAAAATTTTCTCCAGTTGGTATTTTAGTTTTAAGCCAAGGTGGTAAACGTAATCTCTCTTCTTCACCTTTCTCTCTTCGTAATTTACCATTATAGGTTTTTAATGTTTCAGGAGATTCATTAATAAATTCAGCTAAATCAGGTCCACTTTGAATTGTCTCACGAAATTTATCTTTAATTGTTGATTTAGATCTATATGTCTTGGAAACAAAATAAAAAATATCATTATAAGAAATATTTATTTATTTCATGAAAGACCAAAGCAACCCAGAGATAAATCGTCTATCCAAGCATATAAATAAATAAATACACTTTAACAACATATTGCAAACAACATTTAAGATAATTGTTTAAAAAAATTCACTATGAAATAAATTTCTGAGAATGAACTAATTTGCTAACCAATTTCTAAAATAATTTAAAACAATTAAATTATTTTAATGTTTTTACACTTTTTTCCCATTCATATACTTTTACATACTAAATATCCACTTCCAACTGTATATTTTTTATAATGCATTGATTCAGTTTCCAATTTGTTTAATAACTCTGGCTAAAATTATGTAAAAAGTAATAATATAAATACACAATTGGCATTTACAGAACATAGTGTTCCTTACAACACCAAAGTGGGTCACATACAGTTAAAGTATAACTGCAATTAATTAAATTAAATAATTTATACTACATAAAAGTACATTAATTAAATTTACTATTTATTATACTTAACCATAGAAATTGACTTATAAACTAACCAAGTCTTGCTTTAATTTTTTACCCTAAGACTAGCTTTAAATAAAATAATTTATTATGACTTACTTTTAATAAGAGATGGTTAGATTTTAAGTTTGATCCAAGTTTTAAACATGACATTTTATTTTACAAATTTTCTTCCGTAGTAAGAGACAAATTAATTTGGCGTTAAATGATTATTTGAATGTCAAAAGCTTAAAAGACAGTCAGTAATTACAACCCTTATAGTACATTAAGTACCAAATACTAAACAGTAAATGCAAGTCAATAATTACTGTTCATTATGAAATAATTATTATCTATGGTCATCACCACAATTTTAGATTTTAGATAATAAATTATCGAGGTATAAAACTTGGTTATCGCTACGGTCATCGCCGAGATTTTCTTATCATATTCACATTCGCCTATGGTTTCAACCGCGGTATTCTATACCCAAAACCATGGTCTTACTTAGTATTAAATATTAAATTTAATCTATTCTGTGATTCCACCATTGAACTCTATATGAAAAGTGGATGCTCACGATTTCTGACTTGCGATTTAATTGACTTTGTATATACCTAACATGAAAATATGTCTCGTTTTCAGGTTTTATTTCCCGTTATCTCTAAAAAACCTAAAAATGTCCTGCCTTGAGAAAAGGTTACCTGTAGTAGGTAATTATTCATCACAACCGATAGCATTATTCTGATAGAAATATATATGTATACAGTTAATGGCGCCCACGTAGGGTACCAAGTGGTGCAATTGCACTGATTTCTCATGGGTCTGAGGCCTATATACATTTGTAAATACATACATCTCTGGTCTCTGGAGCAAACACTATGAGTGCATAACTATTCATCGGGATCTTTAGACTTTTGACTAAAACGTTAAGAGTCGGTAGTGCCAAATATGCAAACAAATAAAAATATATGTATAATAATTAATAAAGATAACTATAATAATACTAGCTGACCCGACAAACGTTGTTTTATCATATAAATTATTTCTAGAGAATATTTTGCTAGAAAAAAATAACCAATTTAATATAGGAGTGTAAGGATGTGGTATATAAGTGGAAGAGGTATGGAATGCTGTGAACGGTGACGAAATATAAAAATGAAAAAACAACTAGCATTTCTTTTTTTAATAATTTATTAAAATTGATCCATTAAAATTATATATATAGCTAATTATGACAATATTAGTAAAAAAAAACAATATCAATCCCTTAATGCAACAGTGTGTACAATATTTTTTGTTATCCCCTCTTTCACCAACTCAAACAAATTGGATGGTTCGAGAGCACGCCACATATAATTGTCCGTGTGAAAAACGTGATGTGCTCAAATCTAAGCCACAGACAGACATCGTTTGGCCTTGAGACTTATTGATAGTCAATTCAAATGCCAATCTAATTGGAAATGAAAGGAGTTTAAATTGTATTGGCACATCTGTGGGTTTAATAGAGATTCACGGTAATAATATATTTTCACCTAGGAATTTGCCATTTAAAATTATGGCTTCGATAACATTTTTCATTTATTTTTTAATGACTAATCACGTGCCGTTATACAACCGTGGTGGGTTCAAATTACGAAGCAAAATAACCGGAGATCCAACCTTCAGTTGCAAATTATGCGGTGACGTGCCTGATAAATCCAATGAGTATAAAAACCTTGTTAGATAATTTACAGCTTCAGTAGCATCGTAAACTGTATCAGTAGATTTGTATGACACCAAGTTTTCTGATAACAAATGTTGTATCTTGAGATTCAATTTGTTGACGTCCACATTTTTTGCTGCTAAAATTGCTCTTTCTGCTAGACACTCATGATTTGTGCATTGTCTGTCTACATTGAGAAATATCTATTCAATGAGAATATCTTGCGAATCAATGATTGTGCAGAAATCGGTCGGTAATTGTATGCATCCCATTTCATCTGCAGTAACTTTTCCATCACCGATATCTAACAATCGTTTTGAGAATCTTCCACACGCAGCTTTTTTTGATTGAATTGCAAGTATCGCATCGTTCGCTCTCTATCTTTACATACATGTCGACCATGAATAGTTGACCAAGCTCACGACATTGTAGAATAACGTTGTCCTGATCGCATCTAATCATCAACCAATATGCATATTAATCCTTCGAACTAACATTCTTATGTTTTTTGGCACCTGTTGCGGGATCTTGTTGTTTAATATCTATGCAATACCCATCATTTAATACCAAAAATAAAATTAATAGTTTTTAAATAGTTTTTAATAGTTTTTTAATAGTATCATTTAATAATTAATTTTCAATTGCGCAGTTATCGGCCGGGTCAAAAATATTAAATTAAATTACGATTTATTAAACAATAGCACTTAGGAATATAAAAAATAGATAAAAAACTATTCGCAAAACTGCCTAATGTATACACAAAATTTAAAATGATTTTTTCTTTATAATTATGAAATCGACTTTTAAAAGGTTTATTATTATAAGTTTATTTTAATTACATTATTTAAAAAATTTAAGTTATTTTATTCTATTTAAAAAATTTTGATTTTTATACTATTAACTATTTAAAGTATAAAATTCAAAAAACCAAAAATTAAATAGGATCCCTGCCCCCCCGAAGGAAAATTGATTTGGGTCGAAACAAAAAAAAATCCAAGTTCTGAAAAAGTGATATAAAAGAAATTATTTTAAGTTTGATTATTTTAATAATGAGAACCAAAAAGAAATATGAGTACTGGCTAAGCCTTCTTTTGAATTCTTGTTTTTCTATGTCGCACTTAAATACTTTTGATATTTTAAAAAATTGTTGCAAGTGTCAGCATCTGATTATTTAAATATTTTGAAATTATATAAGAACGATCAATATATTTTCAACTTTTGACAGTTGCAAAATAAAACAGTCGTAGCTTTTATATAAGCTCAAGAGGTAGAATGAATTATTAACTTTGTCGATTCTTAATAGAAGAATTTGAACCAGGAAGTGGTCTGTGAAATAGTGATTCATTTTGGCCAGATGAACTCATTGATTATAATTGCATTGCGGTTGGAACCATGTTGCTGGCTGAAATAGGTCTCAATAAAAATATTAATACAGTTTTGAAATCGCTAAACAAGTATACTTATCTTAGTACAGATATTATATTTATAACTATTTGATTACACAAATTTTAATTGTTTGTATGAAAAAATAAATTATCCAACAAAAACTAATAGCCATGACAAAAATATTAAAATCCTACAACAAATTCTCATTAATACTAATGCTAAATTCACAGTTTTGAGTATACTCAACAACAATAAGGATTGTGAAGCTGCATTAAATAAGGCACTTATGTTCAATGCAGCTAAACTTGTAACAAAATATTTTGTACCTGTTATTATTACCGTTCAAAATTTACCAAGGAGTAGAATTTAATACACATTTGAACATAACCAGTATATTCTTCTTCTTTTGGTTTTCGGCAGTATATAACTAGTATATGTAAATATGAAAATATAATAATCATTTTTATATCTTCAAAATAAATATAAATAATTGGTTGTAATTTTAATATAATAAAACATTCATGTTTTGAGCTTTCTTTTTTATATTTTGGATAAAAAAAATGAAATAGTTTTTGTGTCTAAATTATTATCACCATATAGGCAATGAAGATATTGCTTATTTACATTTAGAATGATTGGACCATGGGCGGACGCAGAAAAAAATTACGGGAGGGAGGGAGGTTGAAAAAATAAGAATAATTACCGTCAGCAATATAAGAAACCCTAGACGTCACAGTGCGGGTTTAAAATATGACGCTCTTATTGGTCGATTTCAAATTGCTGCGCTTTTATATATGAATTATTATTGATTATCTATATTTTAATTATATTATTATTATGTTTAATTATGTGATAATCATCACTTAATCATCATGTAAATATCATTGTTAGTATTGATTATCACTTAATAATTATATCGAGAAAAAATTTTACTTACTTTTTTATTTTTTTAAATAATATTTGTACATCAAGTCATCAATTATGAATCTTAAAAATATCATAGATGAAATAAGTAATAGCGAATTGCGTTGCGAATTAGATATTATTAAGAATGATGTCGAAGTGATACGTTGTAATTTAAATACTGAAGATGATGACATATTTTTGCTTTATTCAAAGAAAAAAGTGCCACTAATTGGATTGTTCAGGGACAATTAAATAATCCAGTGAGGTATGTAAAATATATAATTAAGTATATTTATAACTGCTAATATTTATTATTACCATTCTTAATATTTCTTCTTCTTCTTCTTCTTCTTCTTCTTCTTAGGCTTAAAACAGACCATTTAGGTCTAATGCCGCTTCTACAATACCTCTCCAATGCATTCTATCAACTGCCAACTTGATGTTATAAGTAGGGTCAAGACTCGTGTCAAGACTTTCTTCACTGTGTCGAACCATCTTTGCCGTGGTCTCCCTATGGGTCTTTTTCCATTCAGCTTTCCATCGAGCACTTTTCTTATAAGACATCCTTCTGCACGCCAAACATATCCAGCCCATTCTAGTCTTTTGCTGCTAAGAAATTTGCAGATGTTCGGTTTATTATAGAGTTTTTGTAAATCTTCATTTTTCCTTCTTTCGAAAATTCCTAGGTTTGCATTAAACACTGGACCATAGATTCTCCTTAGTATTTTTCTTTCAAAAATGGCTAGGTTTGCCTCATCACCCTTTGTACTCGCCCACGTCTCGCATGCATACGTCGCTATTGGCCGCAAATAGGTTATGTACAATCTTTCCTTTGTTCGTCGCGACATTAACTTCGACGTGAACATCTCTTTCATTGCATAATAGCTTTTGTTTGCCATCATCAGTCTGATATTTATCTCCTCATGCATGCTATTTTCCTCATTAATGTTCACCCCTAGATATTTAAACTCTTTTACTTATTCGAAAGAGTATCCGTGAATCTTGAGATTACTCTTCGGGGTTAATTGTCTTGACATAACCATGTATTTTGTCTTCTCCTCGTTAACTATTAAATCCATGTTTTGACTTGCTTTAAATAATTTTTCCGCACTAGTTTTTATTTCATTTATAGATGATCCTAAAATTACTAAGTCATCTGCATATGCTAGAATATTATTCATCCTAACCAATTCCATTTCTCGTTTTTCATGCATGTCCCTTATTACTTTTTCCAAGGCAAGATTGAATAGTATCGGAGAAAGTGCGTTTCCCTGTTTTAAGCCGGTTTTGCATTCGAATGCTTCAGAGGTCTCCCCCATAAAACGCACTTTGCAGTATGTCTGTTGGTTACAGATCTCAACTAGTCTCACCAATTTCCTTGGTATGCCGAAAGTTCTTGTCCAGAGTATTTCACGGTCAATACTGTCATATGCTTGTTTGAAGTCTACAAAAAGAATATGAAGGTCTTTATTATATTCGTAGAATTTTTCCATGACTTGTCTTATTGTCAATATGTGATCCGTTGTAGATTTTCCTCTTCTGAAACCAGTTTGATACTCTGTTAAGATGTCTTCCACATATATTTCTAATCTTCTTAGCAATGCCATCGAAAAAATTTTGTAAGCTGTATCTAATAAGGAAATTCTGCGGTAGTTTGATACTATACCAGAGTCTCCTTTTTTGAATATTGGACAGATGATCCCGGTTTTCCAATCTGTTGGGATCTGCTCCTTGTGCCATATTTCTCTAATTAATGATTGTAATTCTATAATTATGTCTTTTCCTGCTGTTTTGAGTAATTCGGAGTTTATGTCATCTTCTTCTGGAGCTTTGTTGTTTTTGAGGTTCGTGATGATATACCCTATCTCTGTGAGATCAGGCTCCTTGCATTCTGGTTCGGCCGTTTGATAAGCCAGTTCTTCATACCTGGTCCTATTACTCTTATTTGTTTGATTCGTATTAAGTAGCGTATCAAAATATTTTCTTGTACGATTTCTCTCGGTTCTGAAAGGAGATCATTCTGATCATTTTTTAAGAAAAGTGTTTGTGGTTTAAAATCATGTTTGAGTCGTTTACAGTGTTTGAAAAAATTCATCGGGTTATTCCTCTCTCCCTCAAGTTCTTCGAATACTTTCTTCTCATATAGTCTTTTTTGTCTTCTATTGTTTTGTTTGTTAACTCCTTGAGGTGTTTATATCTCTTTTGGTTCTCTTGTGATGGGTTGTGTATCATTTGCATGCGAGCCTCATTGCGCTTTTTACAGTTTCCATACACTCATTATTGAACCAGTGTTTTTCTTATTGTGATTGGGTTTTTCTTTGAGATTTTTTGCAGCCGAGGTAATAACGTTTTTGATATTTGTCCATTTGGTTTCGTGATAAGGGATTATCTTTTCCCCCTTTTCGTTTATAATACAGAGTTCTTCAGTAATTCTTTTCCTATACTGTACGATTTCCAAAGGGTTTCTAAGCCTGTCTACATTTAACATATTTGTACTCTTCATATGTTTATTCTCTTTCCAAAGAATTGATAGTTTTTCAGTAAGAGTTGCTACTACTAGATAATAGTCGGTATCCGCGTCTGCTCCTCTGTAGCTCCTAACGTAACTGAACCATGACCGGTGTTTATTATCTATCATTACGTGATAGATTTGATTTTTGGTTGTCGCGTCGGGAGATATCCATGTTTGCTTGTGTATGTCCTTTCTCTGGAAATAAGTGCTGCTTATGATAATTCCGTTGGACATCGCAAAATGTATGAGACGAGCTCCATTATCATTGGATATACTATGGAGACTTTCCTTACCGATAGTAGGTCTGTATATATTTTCCCATCCAATTTTTGCATTCATGTCTTCCAATATAATTTTGATAGCGTGTCGGGAGGTATCGTTGTACACCTGCTCAAGTTCATCATAAAATATGTCTTTGGTTTCTACATCTTTTTCTTCAGTCGGTGCGTGACAGCTAAATATTATTACAATTTGCTCCTTTATTTTCAAGCGTATGTAGCATATACGCTCATTTATAGCTTCAAATCCTTTAACATTCTCTAATAGTCTATTATTTATCATAAATCCAACTCCAAATGCATGTTTATTATCCTTACATCCGCTATAGAAGATTGTTGTCTCTTTTTGTTTGAAGGTGTCATTTCCTGGCCATCTTATTTCTTGTAAAGCTACGATGTTTAATATTTAGACATTCTTAATGATATTTTGAATGTCAAATTTTAAGACGTAGAAATTACCACAGTATAATTACTTGTTAATAATATCACTGAATATAATAAATAATGATGATTAAAATAATATAAAATTCATGTTAATACCAAATAGGACAGGTATTTAAATTATTTTACAATAATTGTATCTAAGTTCGAATTAATATATTGAAATTATAAGTTGTACCTAGCAGAGTTGGGCATTAGTGGAATAAAATATTATTCGATTGATTATTTGAATAAAAAATTATTCTTCATTGATTTATTCTTAATTTTATTATTGATTTTTATTTTTATTTATTATTTTAATTTGTATTATTATTCGTTATTCATTATTCAGAGATTTTTATTTACTATATTTTATTCATTATTTAGTTATTCGTTATTCGTTATTCCCTATAATCATATAAATAATACATTTAAATTCAAAATAACGATGTATAGTGATAATATACTTATTATTTAGACTTAAATAATATATATAAAGGTAATACATATTAATATATATAATAATTGACAAAAATAAATAAATTATACTTTTATATTTAATATCATTATTTATTTAATATTATTCATGATTTTAACGAATAAATTTATTCTGAATAATTGTTTTATTAACGAATAAAACTATTCAGAATAATTTTATTCTTTATTCAGTATACCACAATTATTCAGAATAAAAAATCATTCTTTATTCATAAATAAATTAGTTATTCAGGCTTTTATTTTTTATTCATTATTTTGATTTGTTTTTGCCCAACTCTGGTACCTAGTAAGTATTATTAATAGGGATCGGATTTTGCAGCAAATGCTTCTTTTGAGGGAAGTGTGATAGAAAGATAATTCTTTTATATAAATACGTTTTGAATCGTTCTGATTTTAATGAAGTAAACTTTTTTTTGCTTTTTTCCATAAAATCTGCTTTTTATTGCTTTTCCCCTATTTGGTTATTTTTTCTTGATTTTTATATATTTTTCTTGAAAACTTAGCTTATTTCTATGTGTATTATACGTCTTGGACTATATTAGTATTACTAGAAATTATAAAACCAGTGAAAAAACCAGTAATAAATATATGACTGATAAAATAACTGTCGTTATTGTGCCAAAATAGTTTTATCTACAATTATCTATAGTTGTATTTACGACTCAAGGAAAGGGAAAATTATCTGAATTATACCTACGTATTTTTATAGCACGTGCTAATACTTTAGTTGGCCGGTAAATATCAATCGACAATCAGTGAGGTATAAACGTATAGTGTTCTAAATAATTTCTTTAATTGTCAAAATGCCAAAAGTTAAAAATGAAAATTTAAAATTAAAAAAAATCGTAAGAGAATTCGGTGAAAATGTGCTTATGACTGACGGAAATATTATATTTTGTAAATTGTGTGAAGTCAAATTAAATTTGGATAAAAAATATAATGTTCAACAACATATTGGCAGAGAAAAACACAAAGAAGCATTGAAAAAACTTGAAGCTGAAAAACATAATGCAGTTCAGCCATTCATTCAACAATTTTGTAAGTCTGATTTTAATGCTGACCTATGTTCTGCATTTGTAGCGGCGAATACCCCCCTAAACAAATTAAACAACGAACATTTTCGGTCATTTCTTTCAAAATATTGCAATAAAACTATTCCAAATGAATCAACTTTACGAAGAGGATACTTCGATTCTTGCTACACTAATACGATAACTAAAATACGCGATCCTGTGAATGGCCAAAAAATATGGATTTGCATAGATGAAACAATTGACAGTGTGCGACGTAATGTAGCTAATGTCATTATTGGTATTTTGAAACCACAAGATGTCGGTAAAACTTATCTTATTCACACAGAATATTTAGACAAAGTGAACCATAGTACTATTTTTCAATTATTTGACAAATCTATGCATATTTTATGGCCAAATAATGTTAATCATGAGGACATTTTATTATTTGTTTCGGATGCCGCGCCGTATATGAAAAAAGCTGGCCGCTGTATTCAAACACTGTATCCAAAAGCTTTGCATGTGACATGCTCATGCCCTCCATAATGTGTGTGAAGAAGTGCGTGCACATTTCCCAAAAGTTGATCGTCTGATTGCCGAGATGAAAAAAACATTTCTGAAATGTCCAAAACGGATCGCTATTTTAAATGAAAAATGTCCGGATATTCCAAATCCACCTAAACCAATCACTACCCGTTGGGGTACATGGATTACAGCAGTCGAATATTATTGCATATATTTAAATGAAATAAAAAGTGCAGTTGAAGAATTCAACGAGAATGCCCAGTGTGTGAATGTTGTAAAAGAGCTTATAAAAGATCAATCTCTATATTCAAATCTCGTCTACATTACAACAAATTTTGGATTTTTACCACATGCAATTACACAATTAGAAAAAAGAGGTTTTTTTTATTTTTTTATTTTTGTTTCAAGTATTTGCTGTATTTATATATTATTATTTTTTAGGCGAAACCTTGGCAAAAAGTATAGGCTTGTGTTAGAAGCAAAACAAAAGTTAGAGGAAGCTAATGGTGAAGTAGCGAAATTGATTTTAGAAAAGTGCAATCGTGTTTTTTCAAAAAATAATGGATGGGCAGAACTTCAAAAAGTCAATAGTATTCATAATGGCACTGCACTAAACGTAAATGTGGAACAGTATGATTCAAATGATTTAGTTTATATGAAATATGCACCGATTACATCGGTTGACGTGGAAAGGTCTTTTTCTATGTATAAAAATATATTAGCACCCAATAGAATGAGTTTCAATGAAAGTAACTTGACTAAATATATGGTTGTGAATTCCTTTTTTAATATTTAATTTAATGTGTAATTGAAATTTGCTTTTTTAGAATTAAAGTAATAAATGCTTTTTTTGGCTACTTAAAATGCTTTTTTAAGGATTTATTTTGGTACAAAATCCGAGCCCTAATTATTAACTATTAACAAAAATGAACAATATTACAACAGATTAATCAAAACAATTAGGACATTTTTTTAAGAAACCCTAAGTTCACACTACTCTCATTTAAGAGTGTTACAAACATTAATTATTCAGTTATTGAAAATTTAAAATTAAAGTATATCAATGAGCAAATAAATTAATGGGTAGATAATGATAAAACTGTATATTTTTAATACATACTTCTGAAAATTAGATTTATTCTAAAAATTGTAACTGCCACTGGTTTTGATGTCATGATTATGTTTACCAATCAAAGTAAGTCTTGAAGATAATGTAGGTATAATTTTAAGAGGCCATATAAAATAATGCTGATATTATGTAAATCACAAAATAAATATACAATATTCTAGCATTATTCTGGAAATTGTTCTTATTTATTTCATCTATGATATTTTTAAGATGCATATTTGATGGCTTGATTTATAAATATTATTTAATTTAATTTAGTTTTTCTTATTTATTTCATCTATGATGATAGCACAATAATAATAGTTCATATATAAAAGCGCGGCAATTTGAAATCGACCAATAAGAGCGTCATATTTTAAACCCGCACTGTGAAGTCTAGGGTTTCTTATATCGCTTACCGTCAGGCCTGTTCGTCTAAAATTTTTACCTGTCTCATTAGAGTTGGTCTTATGATTATAGGATTTTGATCAGTGAACTGAAAAAAATATTTATTCTTTATGTGAAAGCAAAAATATTATAGGAAAAGAAAATTTTAATTAAAATTTCCTCAATATAGTTTATAAATTGAATAGTTTCACGTGTTGCATCTAATTTTGTTGTACCGAAAACTCGAATTTTCAGTGTAATCTTAATTATAATTATAAATAAAATGGTTGCAAAAATTTAAGATCAAAATTCAACTGATAATTACAATTGAAATATCCTTTTTAATCTAAAATCGATTTTATTCATAATATAAATTACATTTTATTGCAATGAATATCACGGTATAGAATTAAAACGCATTAAAATGACACCATTGGTTGATCAAGTTGTAACGGATTTGCATAGTTATTTTTATTTTTGTTTAATATTACTATTTTTTCTATATTTGTAACATAGACATATTAATATTAATAATTAATATGTCTATAATTTATAGCAATGTTCGTTCATGGTTTTAGATTATGGCTCTTATAGTAATGCGTTATCTTGTTATTGTGCTATTTTATATCGATGAAATTTAAAAGTGGTCTACTGAAGAGTTGCGTAATTTTTGTTCAAAAACACTTGTCTGTAATTTGTTCAATAATTCGAAACGTAATTCTCAACAATTTTTCGTTACATTTCTAAAAATTTTGGGGCAACTATCGGACAACGTATCGATGAATACTATTGGTAAAAAAGCAAAACAAAGTATTTAAAAAAAAAAGGAAAATAGCACAAAGAAATATTTTTAATAGTGATAGGTGGTACATGAAAGTGAATCGATTTAAATTGGAATGAAAAGTTCGTGATAAGAACATATGGTAGTGTCAGCACTGTGAAAATATCGGAAATCTGATCAACAATTAATCATACTTCTATAAGTATAGAATAAACTAAGTCTGTTTTAATAATGAATAGATCAATATAAATATTGTATTAACAATTCGATTTGATTCACTTAAGAAATAGGATTAATGATTTGAATCGATCATTTAATAAATCGAATCACAGAGATCGATTCATCGCATGAAAAAGATTGATTCAAATCACTAATTTATAAGACGTTCACCATAAACATTGAATAAATGCGATGCACTTGCCGCGCGTAGCCGTTGGGGATTTTCAGGTTAGCCATAGGCGGCACACTGTTTCGTCTGTTTATGTGGCACTCCCTCCCTTCCACCCTGCTCAAACCCTTTCTTTACATTGTACGTTTTTTTTTTTTTTTTTACTTCTGGTCCGCACAATTTGCGATATGAACCGTGGACTGAACTTACGACAATACTATTGTCCTATTTTTATTTATCAAAATCACTATACACGCGATACGAAGTCCATCTGCTGCAATAAGTAATCGCTAATATTTTTTATATTTTCATTTATTTTTATTTTTTATCGTTTATTTCTATTATATTCGTTGTTTGTGTATTATCGTTCTCATTTCGACATCGGGTTACCGTCAATCCCCCGTCGTTCGTTGAATGGTCGTCTTTTCAAACCGCGGTCGATTATTGTAACGTCGTCATCCAACACGACCGCGCATTCCGTCAAACTATCGTCATACCCCTCGCCATTCACAAAAAAATTCCATTAGACTCCGTGCGCGCTCCGCACAAGTCGTCACATTATCAGCAGCGACAGCGGGTACGCCTCCCGTCGCATTTGTGCGTTTTCGGGACGCACTGGACACAAGTGTAAGCATTCCGCCGTCCTTTTGAGACGACGCTGCTGTAGACGTCGCTCAACCACCATATCTTGGTAACGGTACGGTCGTCGATTATCAAGAACACAATCGAAATGGCGCAAATTCTACCGATCAAGTTTCAAGAACACTTGCAGGTAAGCAAGGGAGAAAACCGTAATTCTTGTTTTGTGAGGAGGTGTTAGGTTTTGGGGAGGAGGGGTAAGCGATTTTGGTAGCCAACAACTTTTTCAGGATCGTGGTCAGTTAGATCATAATAATTACTGAAATTAATGATATTTTGTCTATCTGTATAATATATATGGTTAAAAATTATGAAATTGTTATTTTTAACAAAATTCTTTACTATTTTTTCATTTAACGGAAAAACCCAAACGGTTAGATAATAATCTTTCTCGATGAATACAAGCCCGTACCTGGTTTTCACCTATAAATAAGTTCTTACGATTTATCGTGTTGATTCGAAAACAATATAATAAAATAATCTCATGGAAAATTAATAGTAATAATTATAACGAACCAACGCGATAATTTGGAAATCGTTTGCGACTCCCTCCTACTCCAATATTCAATCTCTCCCCTCTCAATCTGTAGATTTCATTTATGTTTGCTATCTGTAAAATATTTGGGTGGACTGTCGCCGTGTATACATTATAAGCACGTCTGGTGTCTTGGTAACTGTGACTGTAAGTTGTGCAATTTGCATTTGTGCTTATCATTACCCTGACAGGCGTTGGATCTGTCATACACATTTCTATACAACGAGCATTTGGTCATAAGTGACGTATGCCATCGCTGTCCCTCTTATGACAATATTATATTATGTATATTTTAATCTAATGAAATGGGTCAAGGGGAATATTTTTATACATTTATTATGTTGATATAATAATATATGATTTATTTTACTATTATTATCTATTAGTTTTATTGTACTTTTTTAAATTTGAACTTTGAACTCTTCCATTATTATTTTACCATGGATTTACTTGGAAATGATGTACTTTTTTGTAGCTTACAAATGTTGGCATTAACCAGTCAAACATCAGTTTTAATACACTTACCATGGAATCAGATAAATACATATGTGTACGTGAGAAGACTGGTGATGTTGCTCAAGTTGTTATTGTTGATATGGCTGATCCACAAAATCCGATTAGGCGTCCAATATCTGCAGATTCAGCTATTATGAATCCAGCTAGCAAAGTGATTGCACTTAAAGGAAAAGCTGGTACTGAAGGAACAGCTGCATCTCAGCATTTAAAATACTTGTTTACGTACATAATTTTAAAAATAATTGTTGTTTTCTTTTTAGCTCAAAAAACCTTGCAGATTTTTAATATTGAAATGAAAAGTAAAATGAAGGCTCATATTATGCAAGATGATGTTGTGTTTTGGAAATGGATTTCTCCTAACACTTTGGCTCTTGTCACAGAAACATCTGTATTCCACTGGAGTATGGAAGGTAATATACAATATTTACCTATACATATATCTTTGATTTATGATAATGTATATAAAATATGATTTTATTTAAATGCAATACAATTTTAGGAGACTCTACTCCTGTTAAAATGTTTGATCGACATTCTACTTTGAATGGATGTCAAATAATTAACTACAGAACAGATCATAAACAGCAATGGCTTTTACTAATAGGAATTTCAGCTCAAGTATGTTAATAATTATAAATATTTAAATGAATTAAGGAAAATTATAATTCATTTTCTTCCCTAGCAAAATCGAGTAGTTGGAGCAATGCAATTGTATTCTGTTGAAAAAAGTTGTTCACAACCTATTGAAGGTCATGCTGCATCATTTGCTCGATTCCAAATGGAAGGAAATAGAGAAATGTCTACATTGTTTTGTTTTGCTGCACGTACAGCTGCTGGAGGAAAGGTAAGTAACATTTTTATTTAAATCATTAACTTAAAATATATTTTTAATTTATTAACTTTTTTTAGTTACATATTGTTGAGGTAGTACAAACACCAAGAGGTAATCAGCCATTTCCTAAGAAACAGGTAGAAGTTTTCTTCCCTCCAGAAGCACAAAACGATTTTCCAGTAGCAATGCAAGTCAGCTCTAAATTCGATGTCATTTATCTAATAACTAAATATGGCTATATTCATCTGTATGACATAGAAACAGCTACTTGCATTTACATGAACCGTATTAGTGGTGATACGATTTTTGTGACTGCGCCACATGATGCTACTGGTGGTATAATTGGTGTTAATCGTAAAGGACAAGTATTATCTGTTAGTGTTGAAGAAGACAACATAATACCATACATAAATACTGTACTTCAACACCCAGAACTTGCTTTACGTATGGCTGTTCGTAATAATTTGTCTGGTGCAGAAGAGTTATTTGTACGCAAGTTCAATATGCTTTTTCAAAATGGACAGTATTCAGACGCTGCAAAAGTAGCAGCTAATGCACCTAAAGGTATTCTTAGGACGCCTTCTACCATACAAAAATTCCAACAGGTTCCAACTGCCGCCAATCAATCATCACCTCTTCTTCAGTACTTTGGAATATTATTAGATCAGGTATATAATTGATATTCCCATCAATTATAAATTTCATTAATCTATTTAAATTATTTAGGGCAAGTTAAATAAATATGAATCATTGGAACTTTGTCGTCCAGTTCTTGCACAAGATAAACGTCAACTATTAGAAAAGTGGCTTAAAGAAGATAAATTGGAATGTTCTGAAGAACTGGGAGATCTGGTCAAGACTGCAGACATTTCTTTAGCTTTATCAGTTTATCTCCGCGCAAACATTCCTCCTAAGGTACCTGAACAATTAAATAATTAAGTCACAATTTTATTGACTTAGTATATATTAAATGGTCATAGATCTGTGCAGAATTTTGGTTCTGGGGGTGCACCCTAAAAATTAGAACCCACAATTTTGAAAGCCATAGCTATAGACTTATATTTATAAAATGCATTAAAAATATTTATTTCGTTGTATTCATTATAAGTTATATGATATATTTATTTACAGATATATAATCTTATAATTGTTGATAATTTATGTTAAAAGATATAATAATTTTGAATTTGTCAAAAATTTCATTAAAATCTAATTTATATGCTAGTTTTTTTTTTGTGAACTTTCGTGGTAACAATTCTTCGTCTATCTTGGCTCATAGTACATCTGATTTTATTTTTTATAATACTTTTAATTTGGAAAATATTCTTTCATATGGTACATTTTGTTACTGATATTATAGTAAACATTTTTAATACTAAATACATAAATATCTAACTGCCTACTCTTTTTTAACCAGTAAAACCACACAAATAGATTCATTGGATGTACCACTTGATATATCAGACATATGTTTGAGAAATTAAATTTCAGCTTCCAGTTTATCAATTAGTATATTGAATAATTTACATTAAATCATCGAAAAACTGTTGATTAATTCTGAATTAAATTTATGTATTAAATAACCATTATTATTAATAATCATTATTTATTAATATATTTTTTTTATAGGTTGTTCAATGTTTTGCTGAAACTGGCCAGTATCAGAAAATAATCTTATACTCTCAAAAAATAAGTTATGTACCAGATTATATACATCTCTTTAGGAATGTTGTCTTACGCACTACTCCGGATCATGCGGTTGAATTTGCCCAAATGTTATTATCTGATGATGCTGAACCTCTTGCTAATATTAACCAAGTATATTTAATTTATAATTTAGTATTTATTTAATTTTTTTTATTAATATTTTTATTTATTGGTCTAGATAGTGGATATATTTATTGAACAAAACATGGTTCAACAATGTACAAAATTTCTTCTGGAAGCACTAAAACATAATCGTGAAGCTGAAGGTCCTTTACAAACACGTTTGCTTGAAATGAATTTAGTATCTGCTCCACAAGTTGCTGATGCAATTCTCGGAAATCAAATGTTTACTCATTATGACCGAGCCCATGTTGCCCAACTCTGTGAAAAAGCAGGACTTCTCCAAAGAGCTTTGGAACATTATACAGATTTATATGATATTAAAAGAGCAGTTGTGCATACTCAATTATTGAATCCTGAATGGTTAATTGGTTATTTTGGTTCCTTGAGTGTTGAAGATTCTTTGGAATGTTTAAAGGCTATGTTAACTAACAACATAAGACAAAATCTTCAAATTTGTGTTAAAGTATATTTATTCTTAATATTTTAAAATATGATTTTAAATTATTATTTAATTTAAATTAGATTGCCACAAAGTATCATGAACAATTGACCACAAAAGCTTTGATTGATTTATTCGAGTCTTTTAAAAGTTATGAAGGCTTATTTTATTTTTTGGGGTCTATTGTTAACTTCAGTCAAGATCCAGAAGTTCATTTTAAATACATTTCAGTAAGTAACACTTAAATATAATATCTATTAAGTATTAAAATGTGTGATTAATTTTGTAATGATAAATTTATGTATAAATAAATAAATGCTTAGTTTGAATTATTATATTATATTATTATATTTATAATGTATGATCGGTTTCAAATTATAAATTTATCATCATATATATATAAAAAGTCAATAAAATTACAATTTGTAATACAAATATAGTAATATTCTAGGATAAGCATTTACTTATGATTTATTTTTTATATAAATTATTTATTTCTGAGTATTAACCGTTAATTAATTTTTGTTTTATTTTATTACCTTATTATTGATAAATTCAAATTGTAGGTCTCTACGCAAAGATATTGAGTATTCTTAATTAGCTTTTACAAACTGTATATTTTTTAAAATGAATTAGGGCTATGTTTTTACTCTATTTTTTATATAAAAAAAAAAATTAAAATCATCTTACCCATTAAATAACCTTTCATTTTTTTTTTTTTTTTTTATTTTTAAAATAGTTATTATATTTTTATAGGCTGCTTGTAAAACTGGACAAATCAAAGAAGTTGAGCGAATATGTCGTGAATCCACATGTTATAATGCTGAAAGAGTTAAAAATTTCTTAAAAGAAGCAAAACTTACTGATCAATTGCCATTAATTATTGTTTGTGATCGATTTAATTTTGTGCATGATCTTGTACTGTATCTGTACAGAAACAATTTGCAAAAGTATATTGAGATTTATGTACAAAAGGTGAATCCATCACGACTGCCTGTTGTAGTTGGTGGTCTCCTTGATGTAGATTGTTCAGAAGACATAATTAAAAATCTTATACAAGTTGTGAAAGGAGAATTCTCAACAGATGAATTGGTTGAGGAAGTTGAAAAGCGTAATCGTCTTAAACTGTTATCATCATGGTTGGAATTACGTGTTCATGATGGAAGTGAAGAGCCTGCCACTCATAATGCTCTTGCTAAGATTTATATTGATAGCAATAATAATCCAGAAAGATATTTAAAGTATGAAATTCATATTATAATGTAAATTGTATTAAATAACAAATTTGTTTTTCTATTTTAGAGAAAATAAATTCTATGATAGTCGAGTAGTTGGCAAGTATTGTGAAAAACGTGATCCACATTTAGCATGTGTTGCTTATGAACGAGGGAAATGTGATCTAGAGTTGATTAATGTTTGCAATGAAAATAGCCTTTTTAAATCTGAAGCTAGATATTTAGTGAGACGTCGTAATCCAGAATTGTGGTTGGAAGTTTTGAATGAGAACAATGTTTATCGTCGTCCACTCATTGATCAGGTTGTGCAAACAGCTTTATCTGAAACTCAAGATCCTGAAGATATATCAGTAACTGTAAAAGCTTTCATGACTGCTGATTTACCCAATGAATTAATTGAACTACTTGAAAAAATTGTGTTTGATAACTCATTATTCAGTTCTCATAGGTAAAAACTGCATAAGAATAATATTTGTCCACAGTAAAATATTTGTTTAACTTTATTTTATCTGCTTAGGAATTTGCAAAATCTATTAATATTAACAGCTGTTAAAGCTGATAGAACTCGTGTTATGGATTATATTAATCGTTTGGACAATTATGATGCTCCTGACATTGCATCAATCGCAATCAACAATGAACTATTTGAAGAAGCTTTTGCGATATTTAAGAAATTCAATGTTAATCAATCTGCTATTCAAGTATGATTATTATATATTACTTAATATAAGTAATTTATTTTTATGCATTTTTATTCTAGGTATTAATTGATAATGTGAAAAACCTTGATCGTGCTTATGAATTTGCTGAGCGCTGCAATGAACCAGGAGTTTGGAGCTTATTGGCAAAATCTCAGTTGCAAAATATGTTTGTCAAAGAAGCCATTGATTCGTTTATTAAAGCTGATGATCCAAGTGCATATATGGATGTTGTTCAAACAGCACATAAAACAGGTACTTAATAGATTTTATGTATTTAATATATATTATACACAGAATAGAAACTGATAAGAAAATATATGGGCCCTCATACACAATGGTCTCCATCATCAAAAATCTAAGGACACATCCCTGTTATCAATGCCTTTCGGTAATCATTATTGATAGGATTATAATTAATATGATTCCCAGGACACATTTTCCTGTGGTAAAGTTTTGTGAGATTAGCTAAAAATATTCAATATATATATATTATATAAATAAATTATAATATTTTTTGTATATATGTTTAATAGACACAGAAAAGCCTGTGGAGGAACATGTCCTTCTTTGTCCCCCTTTTCCAATGGACGTCCTCATATATTATATATTATCCTTGTATATTACATTACTAGCTGAATTACCTGTCGTTGCCGGGTTTAAGTATATAAATGTATGTAACCTGCCAAGATTAAATTTTGTTAAATCTATTGAAATTTAAATTAATTAAGATTTTTGAAATAATATTTTATACATATTAATTTAGTTATTATCATAACCTATTCGATAAGTTATAGCTTACAACTACCTGAATCTCTCTACAGTTTGGTATTCTGTTGAATACATATAGTATCTCACTTCTCCGAATATTTTACCTTTTGTCAATAAGTTCATGGTCTTTTTGAATTTTAACCGAAACACTCTTGCAATTATATCATGTCAATCATATGATCTTTGACCGGGAAGGAAGAGCTCTTTTATCTCGTCCCAGCGAGGATTACATGTAAAAGTAATAAAAAGGTCAGGACGACCGTAATATCTAATGTAGGTCATAGCATCTTGTGTTCTTTCGTGCATATGTACCTTGGCCCACCAGTAAAAGTTGACGGGAGTATAACCATTTGGCCTAACTGATTAGCTTCTATGTCTCGTTATCCAATCACATCTTTTAAATGAATATAACTATCTGCACGCAATTTGGCTTGGTTGTTTTTGATGTAATTTAGTCTTTCAGTTTCAATTTTGGCGTATTCATCTACCAAATATTTACTGAAAAGAGAACGATAATTAACTAAATAGTTGTCTTCCCCTTCTCTGACCATTATTCTATATGAGTAAAAACTTATAATGATGAAATTGTAATGATCAATTGTAAATTATGCGGTGGCAAAAAATATTAAACCGATTTCAACCCTTTAAATTCAAAATTTTGAAAAATCCTTTCTTAGGGCACGTCTACATCATAATAGCTATCTGTATGCCAAATTTTAGCCAGATCCATCCAATGGTTTGAGCTGTGCGTTGATAGGAGTCAATCAGCTTACTGTTTTATATATACAGATAAATAATATCATATTATAGAGCTTTAATAACTAGGATTTTATTTTTTAATATTGGCTTAAAAAATCATTTAAAATAGTACAAACTATCAACTTGTTCATTAAAATTATATTAAAACATAAATTTTTTCTTAAAAGTGTCTCGGATAACCCTTGGAAGATGTGAAAATATATTATTATGAGCTTAGAAATATAGATTTATTATGTAGAATTTGAAGTAAATATTCTTAATTTAAAACACCTTTTTTCATATTATTTGTAGGATGATTGAACATTTTTAAGAAATATATTTGTTCAAAGAATGAATGCATTCTATCTTTGTCTACCTAAGACAAAGATAGGCGGTTATCTTACGGTGGGTGAGGTTTGGGATACAACAGCAGCTGGTAAAAGCAAAACAATAATTGTGGCTGCACAAACTTTCCTTTTCACGTCAGTTTCGTACCACCACTGTGCGGCGTGGTCTTGATACCCAACTGATATCGTATACATTGATAATTGAATATTTCTAATGACTAATTAATTAAATGTTTGAACTTTTCTCATTAGATGGCTCATCTGCCCTCAAAGTACTCGCGTTTAAAAAAAAAAAAAATATATACAAATTGGTCCAGTAGAACTTATATATCTGTAAAAAAAAAAATTGCTTCCCCTTTTAATAATCTGATTGGTATCGAGCTTTAATACGAAAAAGGTCATGTTAACTGCCTAAACAGGAAGATCTGAGTGCCATATAAGATCTTTTCACTTTAATAAATATTTGTCGAAAAGTTTACATGGATGACTAAAAGGAACATTACTAAAGTTTCAATTTGAAACTAACACCATATTTTCTATAGAAATAGATGGAAATAATTTAATAAAAATATTTTCTTACTTTTAAATAGAATTATAAAAACATTATAAACCATCATTAAGATCACTTGTAGGATATGCTTTAAGAAAACATAATAGAAAAGCCTGGTCCAATTGTGTTTTTGATGACAAGTATAATTAATACCATCCTAATATACTTGCTATTTTAAATGCTTTCATTGTATAACTATAGACATATGTAAATGTATTCTTCTCAAGTAAATTTAAAATTTTATAATCATGATTTATTGACAAAATCTTGTTAAATAAAAGACAAACACTGTATCTAAATAATACAGCAAACAATTTAAACAATTTTTTTTTCTGAGAACTTACTGTTCTATATAGCCCTTTCAAGATGGAGAACTATAATTTGTATAGCCAAAATTTTCCATTTTAATTTTATCAATTCTGTGATATTATTAAATAATATAATATAAATTAATTATATTAATAAGTCAATATTTTGTATAGATTAAATTCAAAAATAAAAACTGTATCCATTTTTAGGAACTATTGATATAAATCATTTAATTATTTACTAATTTTAGGAAGTTGGGAAGATCTTGTGCGTTATTTACAAATGTCTCGCAAGAAGGCTCGTGAATCTTATATTGAAAGTGAATTAATTTATGCTTATGCTAAAACAAATCGTCTAGCTGATCTTGAGGAATTTATATCTGGACCAAATCATGCCGATATTCAAAAAGTATAATATTATAAATTTTTTTTTTTTTTTTTTGCATATTAATTTAAAAAGATAATTTTGTTTACAGATTGGAGACAGGTGTTTTGAAGACAAAATGTATGAACCTGCTAAACTTTTATACAACAACGTTTCAAATTTTGCTCGATTAGCTATTACTCTTGTACATCTTAAAGAGTATCAAGGTGCAGTTGATAGTGCCCGTAAAGCAAATAGCACAAGAACATGGAAAGAAGTTTGTTTTGCTTGTGTTGATAATAATGAGTTTAGATTAGCTCAAATGTGTGGTCTACATATAGTTGTTCATGCTGATGAGTTAGAAGATCTTATTAACTACTACCAAGTAATAAACAATAACTTTTTATAGTATTACTGGTATTTAAAGTTTTTTTTTATTTTTATTATTATTATGAATTTATAGGATCGTGGTTATTTTGAAGAACTTATTAACCTTCTCGAAGCAGCATTGGGTTTGGAACGTGCTCACATGGGGATGTTCACTGAATTGGCCATTTTATATTCCAAATACAAGCCTGCTAAGATGAAGGAACATTTAGAACTCTTTTGGTCTCGTGTAAATATTCCCAAAGTTTTGAGAGCAGCAGAACAAGCTCACTTGTGGTCAGAATTGGTGTTTTTGTATGACAAGTATGAAGAATATGATAATGCAGTATTAGCAATGATGAATCATCCAACTGAAGCTTGGCGTGAGAGTCATTTTAAAGATATTATTACTAAGGTATAAACCTAAATAGTAAAAATATGTTTTGTGGGTGGGTTTTACTAAATGTATTTCTATTTTATTCTTTTAGGTTGCTAATTTAGAACTGTACTACAAAGCAATACAATTTTATCTCGATTATAAACCACTTCTGCTCAATGATTTATTGCTGGTATTGACACCACGAATGGACCACACTAGAGCTGTTGCCTATTTTACAAAGGTAAAAAGTTTGTTACTACTATTAGTTATGATTTATTACTTCAGATTAGTTAATTTTTCATTGTTTATTTTTTCAGACAAATCATTTGCAATTAGTCAAAACCTATTTGCGTTCCGTGCAATCTTTAAATAATAAAGCCATTAATGAAGCTCTGAATAATTTACTAATTAATGAGGAAGACTATCAAGTAATTATTTAATATATAATTAATGTAAACGACTGTTATCTGATAATTTTTTTTTTTTTTATCTCTAGGGTTTACGAACCTCTATTGATGCTTTTGATAATTTTGACACAATTGCACTTGCCCAAAAACTTGAAAAACATGAACTTACTGAGTTTAGGCGTATTGCTGCTTATTTGTACAAAGGAAATAATCGGTGGAAGCAAAGTGTTGAATTGTGCAAAAAAGACAGATTATACAAAGTATATAACTTCAATTGAAGTTTAATTTTTATTTCTTTTGTTCATATTATCATTATATACTTTGTTGTAGGATGCTATGGAATATGCAGCAGAATCAAAAAATTCAGAAGTGGCTGAAGAATTAGTGACGTGGTTCTTGGAACGTGGAAACTATGATTGTTTTGCTGCCGCATTGTTCCAATGCTATGATCTTGTTCATCCAGATATTGTATTGGAACTTGCATGGAGGCACAACATAATGGATTTTGCCATGCCCTACCTTATTCAAGTCACTAGAGAATATGTTGCCAAGGTAGATAAGCTAGAAGAAGCCGAATCAAAGCGATTAGAAGAGCATAAAGAAGAAGACATCAAACCAATGATGATTCGTAAGTGTTAAATAAAAAGTTATTTAATTGTTTTTTATGTATTTTGTTTATTATTTATACAGCTGAACCTCAACTGATGTTAACAGCTGGTCCATCAGTTATGGGCAACATGTACTCACCGTCCTACCAAGGAGCTGTAGCCCCTTCACAGCAACCCTATGTACAGCCCAATACAACTCCATACGCAACTTCAAGTACTCTACCCTATCAGGGTTATGGCATGTAATGTACCCATTATATACCCCTTTCCTTTATAGCAGTATTTTATAAGAAAACAATGATGGGTTCTGCTATGTTCTGTTAGAAAATTTACTGTCCTGGTATAAAATATTTATATTTTATAATTAATAATAAATTTATTAAAAACCATTCCAAAAAAAAAAAAAAAAAAAAAATAATAATAATAATCACTAAAATAAAAATAGGCTTTCAAAAAACATATTCTCATCATTGTTAGATAATATTAAATAGTTAATGTTAATAATTGTTAAAATATTACTTGTTTAAATTATTCAACCTCACTTCGTAACTTATGAATTATGATTTATTTACGTATACATTTTTAATATTGATTTCACGTTAATTTTTATAATTTATTTTATTTATAATCATATTATTATTATTATTATTATTATTATTATTATAATAATTTTTTTTTGTATATTATTATCAAAAATTTATTTAGAAATATGAAGAAAAAATTATAATGATAAAAATGTGTTTTTTTGTGTTATTATTTGGTGAAACCTAATATCATTAATAATAATCTATATCTGTCTAGTAATATATACCATATTAGATTATATGTGAAAATATATATTACATTGACTGTCAGACATGATAAAGTATTTGAAGTCTATTTTAATCAGTTAGAGCTTAAAATGTTGTTAAATTTTTGAATTGATATAAAGTTTTAAGTATAGTACTGAAGATATTTATGTCTTATTACAGGAATTTGAAAAATTCTAATCCACTTGTTATTGCTTGTATTTGGATGGTTTTGAGAAAATGTTACTATCATAGTCTAGAAAACAAGTTTAATGTAGTTTTACAATTCATCAAACCTATATTAATATGAACAACTTGTCATTCAACTTGATGGAAATTGAATCTGTGCTCATCAGTTATTTTTTCTGAGCTTTGATTGAACTCTCATGTGATAAGACATGCAATTTACAATATATTTAATATTCACATTTGGTTTATTTAGTATTTAATGAAACTACTTTAATATATTACTAGCTTCGATAAATAATGTTATCCAATTTGTTAAATATCATGTTTTTTTTAAACAAAATAATGGATTAAAACTCATTATTCTTTTATTGTTATAGAACTTATTAAAGGTATATATATCTCATTTATAAAATATTGAAGGTATGATTACTTATTAAAATATATTTCAGTACTTGCATTATGAAGCTAATTAAAACATGTAAAATTCAAAGATACAAAATATTTTTATTGAACTATTCGAAATGAAAAGTTATGTGTGTTTATTAATGTAATATAGAAAAAAAAAGTGGAAACAAAAAACATGATTTAGAGTAATTAAATTTATTTTTCTTTGAAACTTAAGTGCTTATTTTAAAAGAACAAAATATTACATGACAGGTTGGTTGTATAGGCTAAGTAGGGTTGGGACAATCATAAATTTCAATTTAAATAATGAAGCTTACTTGAGAAATTATGCTGAAGAAAAAAATACAGAATATGATTGATGGGGTTCATAAGTTCAGAAGGAAACTGGTATTAGTAGTGTGGTACTAAGGGACTGAATATTGCAAGTATGGATAATCTGGAAAAAGATAGGAAAAGGCATTTAAAGAAATGAAATAGTAAAAATCAAGTGTTTTTAACCTATTGAGATATATATCTTCTTTCATATTATTTTATGATGTCATGCTCTCCTCTCTCACCATAATACAATTTAATTATATTTTTATATTTGATATATATATATATATATATATATAAATGTATATCTTTTAATACATTCACCATACCTTTAATGTTGGTTATTGGATTAATATGAAAATCAATGTAGTTTTTTTCTACTTATTTAATGAAAGTTTTATTATAACTTAAAATTATTAATTATAAAAAATTATGTTAAATTTACTTTCTTAAATATTAAATGTATTATTATGAAGTAGGTAGATATAAATTAATGAAAGGGTTGACACTCCTTATTTCCAATCAATTGTGACGAATGTCTCGGATTAAATATCCAAATAATCAAAAATAACATTTTTATGTTTCGTTGCTTTTTAAAAATCTTTATCCCTCCCAGGCTTGAGAACCTGGTTGAAAGTATAATATCAAATGAATGTTAATGATTCTTTTTAAATTTTTATTTCTGTTATTTTATTTAATATTAAGTATTTATTGTGCATATTATTTTTAATATAATTTTAATATAAAAATACAAGTACAATCAAAAATTATAATTATTATTAATTGTATGAAAGTACCAAATAATTAATAATTTAAACACTATAAAATACTATAGGTGAATTTTCTTGTATGTATATCTTTTTCAGCTTCATATTTGTTCAATGTTGGATGTAAAAAACTGATTTCATCTGATGATAATTGAGGTAGAACGAGATCAAGTTTTTTTAGTTGTTTTTTAAACGCTTCTTTTTCTTTAGCCAGTTTAGTTTCTTCCTAAAATTGTAATTTTTTAAGATAAGAATTATAACACGGTTGTTATAAATCATAACTTATTAAATTATTTTAATATAACACTAACCTGGATAACATTTTCTTCGCGTCTAATAACATCTAACAATCGTTTTTGAATGTCGTTTCCCTTTTTATCAAACTTATTTTGAATATCTTTTGCATTTTCCAAAGATTTTAAGCCTTCGTCTTGTTTTGTAACTGCAATCTATATTGAAAAGATAATATCCATTTTAATTTTTGATTTTATAATTGCGTGTGATGGGTAATGATATTAAGCTCATATTATTAAAATAATTACTCAACTATTATAGGTTTTTTAAACTGATCATTGTTTGAACTATATGTCTATTATTTTGATATTTGTCAATTACATTTTATTATTATTATTTTATAAATGTATATAAATTTAAGAGGGAAATAATCTACTATTTTATCAACTTACACTTATATTACATAATAAAGTATAAAACGAGAAGAAACCGATAAATCAACTCAGATTTAATGAACACTCATTGTGTTTATCTTTAGTTATAATTATTTACCTTTAACATTTTTTCAGCACGAATTGATTTCATTTTTATTTCGTCGTCTTGTTCTTGCAACTTTTGTTTTTCTTCGTCTAAACGTTTTTCCAGTTCTTTCACGTTTTCCAATCGTTTTTCTAGTTCTTTTTCTTTTTTCTTCAATTCTCTGAAATTCTCTTTCACTTCCACTTTAGCTTGTATTAAATTGGTTCCTGTACCAGAATCAAGTTTGAGCATAGATTCGAGTTTGTAACGTTCTGAAGCCACTTCGTATCGTTCTTCGGTTAATTTGCGTTGCTCTTCCATTACCGACAAACGGACCGCCTAGTTAAATACAAAATAAAATAAATATAAGTTAAATATGTAATTATAATTTTATCACCTATTACAATTTACCTCTAATTCTTGTTTGCGACTTTCGATGTACTGAGTTTCTGATTTCTTTTCACGTTCCCATGTTTTACGTTCTTCCTCGAACGTTTTTAAAGATCTTTTTAATTCTTTGCTGTCGAGTTCGAGTTCATTTCGTTCCCTTTGATTTCTCAATTGGAACTCTTCGATTTTCATTTGGAGGGCCGACCTTTCTCCTTCTAATACTGTCATCTGCTTATCTATTTCTTTCTGTAAATCTATGCCCGTTAAATTAAGTACAATAATTTTATCGACCTTCCGTATATAAACTTCGGTTATGCTATTAATTATTATAATATTTATATTGTATATATTACGCATTGCATGTGTGCTAAAGATTAATAAGTGACTAGTGTAAATAAAGATTGCGCTATAACCTTTGAGTTTTTGATCTTGTGTGGCAATCGAAATCTCTCGAGCCGTCAGATCATCGCTGGTTAAGTGTTTTGGTTTCGAATCTCGAATACTGAATTCAATTTGCTCCAAGTGAGCCGTTTTAATCTTTTGCAATTCAGCCGTTTGTTTGAGATCTGTTAAATGACTTTCGTGCATCGCACGTAATCTTTCTTCGTATGTTTCTTTCAAACGATTTTCGTTTTCTTTTCGTTCAATCATATCGGCTTTTCGTGCTTCTTCCAATTCGTTGACGTGTTCTTCAAAGCGATCTAGCTTTTCTTGTAGTACGTTCTGTTGTAATCTATTAAATATTTATAGTTTAAACATTAAATATTAATAATTTATGAATGTAATATGCATACATGAGATTTCGAGGTAAATGCAGTACATAAATTTACTCAACAAAATTAAACTATTGAGTAATAATGATACACCAGCTATAGAAACCTACTCATAGAAAAATTTGTTATTTTTTCATAAATAAATATATGATATTAAATCAATATGAACGTTTTTATAAATAAATTTGATAATATTTCCTATGAAATATACGAATACCATAAAAATTATTGATTTAACTATTATTATTGTACTGTATAAACCTTACTTACTCGTATCTAGTCTTTAAAACATCTAATTCTAATTCATGCTTCTTGGCAAAATGATCAATTGTCAATTTAAAATTGTGATTCTCGGACCGTAGACGTTCCAATTCTTGCCTGTCGATCACAGAAGAACAACTATTGTCCATTAACAGCGTCTAAACGAATAGCATCATGGGAATTTTCCAATGCAATTAGGTTAATTAGACGTTAAAAATATATTTTTTTTTATTGGGTATACTTTAATTAAAAGATCACTGTTTTGTTGTTCTTGTATCAATGTCAACGTAGCTTGCTGAATGTCTTGTTTTTTTTTGGTCAAATCTTGAATTAATTCCAGCGTAGAAGTTACAACACTGTCTTTTTGTTTGAGCAAAGTTTCAAACATGAAACTCTTATTCTCTACGTTCTTACTTTCAGTTGCTTCCGATTTTTGAGTACCAGTTACCGCCATCTCATTGGTAATTAAAATAGGAGGAGGAGGAGGAGGCGCAGTTGAGGTTTCGTCTTTATGCTGTATTAATCCACTAAGCCAAGATGGCATCTTATCTAAAAAATCAAAATTGTTGTTACGTTGAGTAGAAAAAAAATAGCCAAGTAATAAGTATAACAAAGAAATTTCAATTCATAATAAGCATCCGTCAGTCGAATTTATAAATAAACGATTGCCCTAAGATATGTGGGGTGGCGCGTGGATTTTTCGCAGGATATCAAGAACATGACAACCGAGGGAAATGTTAAAATTACGCCCTATCATAGACCAATAATCAAATACTTTTCTCGAGAATTTTACCTAATAATTAATATACAATCATACTTATTGAGTTTTAACCTAGAATCAATATTTAACAAAGTTAAAAATATTAAATTAGTTGTTAATAATTACAAAAATTACACCCTCTAAAATTTTACATTCGGGGAGGAATCCCCGTCTTCCATCCAGGCGCGGATTTAGAACTCAAATTGGAGGGGGGTCATTTTTTCGAAAGTACAAAAAGATAATACACAATTACAAAATAATAAAAGTAAATTATTAATTCAAATTAGAACGTTATGAATATATGAAATTGTTAATTTTTAAAATTAAAGTTTAATCTTCTTTGCTTTATTTTTCAAAATTTAGAAATAATATTATCAACATTTATGGGTATATTCTTGTGAATATTGAGCAAAGCGTTCCTTTCCCATGTTTAAACGAAGCCATGTCTTAAGACGCCTGAGAGTAGAGAATGATCGCATTTATAGTATTTTTTAATAAGTTATTAGAACCTAAATTAGCGATTAGCGGTGCCATAGCAAGTATATGGTACCCAGGGACGACGCGAGGGGGTGGGAAATAGGGACAGTTGCCCAGGGCCCCGTACCTTAAATTATAATTAAGGCCCTGCGATTCTGATTTTACTGAACTTAAAATATTTTATTAATATAAATTATAGGACCCAACATTTATTTTGCCCAGGGCCTCGCAAACTCTAGCACCGTCACTGATGGTACCTATAATATTATATAAATATACGGGTAACGGATTGGGAGTAACTGAATTGGTTCTCGTTTGTAAAAGGTATTTTATTAGGTTCAGCCAAATTGGTTCCCGTTTGTGAACAGGTTAGGCGGGCCATTGTATAGAGAGCAAAAAACAAAATCTTAAAAGCTATATGTATAACTTGATTTTTACATCGATAAAATAGAGTACAAAAATATAATAGATGCATATAATATAGATTACTAGAGACTAGCAGATTACTAGCAAACAGGATAAAAATAACAAATACTTGGAAAATTGTATGACTGAGTACATTAATGAGAAGATTACGAGAATTGAATAGTTAAAGAAAGTTAGCTTCAAATTTGCAAATCAGTGGTTTTAAAATGTATTTATTATATTTTATTATTTGTATTTCGTACACCTAAGTGATGACTAGTTGACTTCCAAATCAACGATTTAAAATTTAATATATTTTATCATTTTTTTTTAACATACATTAACGCACATTTACCAAGCCTACTTTAAAGTTGACAGTCATAAACCTGTAAAATTGAGAAGGAAAATGTGCGTAATTAAATGAAAACCAATTGAGCTATACCTAATAAAATACCTTTTTCAAACGGGAACCAATTAATTCGGCTATACCTAATAAAATACCATTTTCAGACGATAACCAATTGGGCACATTGGATTGGAGCTCGGGAATCAATTCGGTACCAGCCAACGGATTGACAGAAGTTATCTTTCCGTCGAAGGTCGAACACTCAAAAATTTCCGCAGATTTACTATTATATTTATGTTTATTCGCCAATAATATTATAGTTTTTCAGTAAGTTTATAATCACTATTAATATTCTTAGAAGTTGGATGGTGAAATTATGATTTTATGAACAAGTGGTGATGTAGTTTAAATGTATATAAATATAATATGTTACATAACATTTTTATCGCAAGAAAAATTCTAACTGAAAAAAAAAATTAAAAACACAATTTATGTGTATTTTAATTTTTAAATAAACTCGAAGGACCTAATTTTGATATTTTTCTGGGGGGTCATGACCCTGTATCCGCACCTGCTTCCACCCCCTAGTTACGCCTCTACCTATCGTTTAATAACACGTCGTATGGCACGGGATCATTGGAGTCGTGACAAGGAATTCGGTGTCGTCGGGTCCAAGGGGAACATAAGTTCTCGTGTACATTAACAAAACAATTGCTCCGCGTCGGGGATGTGTGTGTTCGAGGCATCGGTACGGACAGACAAACAAACATATCGGCAGCGTACACAACCACCTGCGGCAGCGTTGGTCCCGGCGGCCGTGACGATGGACGGAGACGTCTCGCGGCGTTTCGACAACGTCTGTTGGTCCGCCGCCTTGCCACCACCGCCGCCCGGCCCGGCGAACATGTCGTAACCGTGTCTGGTGCCGGCGGCCTTCCTGTCGGCCGTCGCATTTCTGCCGTTGTCGTCGTCGTCGTCGTCGCTGAATAACAGGCCGGCCGAACGGGAGGTGCGCTGCTGCCGGAAGTCCTGACGCCTGGACGGGCCGCGCGACGACACCGACGACGGTTCGTAGTGCGACGGCGGCGCGGTCTCCGTGCTACTGTTCGGCCGCAAGCCCAGCCAATCGTCCGTCGTTTCCCGAACGGCCGACGACGCGGCGGTCGTTCTTCTGCTCCGCGTCTCGTGGTTTCTGCTACTGCTGTGAGGAGGGAGGAAAAAAAATAAAAATTCTCGGGATTAATGCGGTGTCCCGTTTTCTCGTCAATGTTACACTTGTGTTTATGGATTTCTACGTGAATTATAATTGCTTTTTAATTTCTAGTAAAAGATATTTTATTTTATTGTAATTTACATTTAACAACACGTTAATATTGTGTTTTATGAATTACAGTACACTTATTGGTTTTTATTATTTATTATTAGTTACCAAAAACAAGTTTTTAAATTGATGAGTTCATTTTATAACCCCTATGACCTACAGTCAGGCCCGTATTTAGGGGTGGGGGCAAGGGTAGGCACATGCCCGGAGGCGTCAAGTCTCATGGGTGCCAAAATAGTTAAGCAAAATTCATTTTAAAAATGATGTACTTAATGAAAAAAAATAAAATAGTATGTTTTATTATTTAAATTTAATTAAATTAATTTATTTAATTAAATTTTAATTTGTAAATTAAAAAAAAAGAATTGTATTTTTATTATATTATAATTTGTTAGTTAAAAAAAAAAAAAGGAAATTATATTTTATTATGTTTTATTATGTTATAATTTGTTTAATTTGTTAATTAAAAAAAGTATTAAACGATTTTCATTTACAAGTTATATTTTAATATTAAAGAATCTCGAATATGGACGAAATAATAAGTGTTATATTATTATTATTTATTTTTTGGGGGAGGGGGAATAAATTATATCTCTAGGGGCGCCAAATTTTTAAATACGGACCTGCTTACAGTCTGTATATGATGACTGATTATCCAATTTAATTTATTTGCTTCATTAGGGGCGTATTTAGACATACTTCCCGGGGGGGGGGGAACTCCAATTTTTTCTTTAATTCAGGTTCAAAATGTACAAGTAAAATTTTTGGTAGTATTTATATCAAGTAATATTTGTGGTTTTTTTTTAATCTAATGCCGGATCCACTTAGAATGGTCTTTTGTGTAGTTCTTTTTTAACACCTATCTGTGTTTTGAAAGTTTCGCTTTTGTTTTATCTAATTTTTCACTAAGTATGGACTGGGTCTTCAATCAAAATAATATATATTATTTATCGTTATGGGACATATAAACGTTATAAGCAATTGAGCGTTCAATGCAATAAATAATTTAAGCGTTTAAACGCTGTACAAATTTAAATGTTTAAAAAATTTTACGTTTACCGTTATTGACAATTAAAACGTTATGAAAAATTTAGCGTTTTGCGTTATTTAAATTAGTGTAAAATTTGAAACGTTTTCAAATGTAGTAATACTATAAAATAAATCATAATTTTTGTTTCTTAATAAAATACCCATTACTTATATAAAAATTGATTGTCCCATCGGCCCCCCCTCAAATACGCCACTGTGCTTCATAGATAACCTTAATGACATTTATGTGAATATAAAAATGAGTCTTGAAAAAAAAATTTGAATTGAACAGTCCGGATATGCCTATTAGTAATAAGTTCTTTAATAAGCCTAGTATTACGTATTCAGTTTTTTAAAAATGAGCAATTAAACACAAACACATGGGGTAAGGTTTATTTTCACGTTGTAATTTTCCGAAAAACAACTACATAAACTAAATTGATATCAAATAATTAAAATGCATATATCTACAGGTATCACATGGTGTTTGGACTTGTCTTAAATGTTGTTGCGTTAAGAAAAGACTTGGTTAAGATTTCCGCATCGATTATTAAGTCTAAAAACCATGAAACACCGTATAGCTAATGTTGTATATTGCATACATTATACCCTGATCTTTTCGTTCGCCTTCATCTTTAGATATCAAATCATCTAATACGTCCCAGTTGTCAACTGATCCTGTAATAAATATAATATTTCATTAGGTTAATGCCATAGTATGTACGACACGTATTTGTTTCTATCAACACCAGATGCTTATACAAAAAATTATTTTGTAGAGTTGCAATTTATACATTTTCATACTTATATAATCTATAAGCCACGTTTACTCTATAAAAAAATATTTAATAATTATTCTGAATTTTGTGGGAATTGAACCCCCTTGTGTATGCGCCTGATCAATACTGTTAATAGTTGTTAGTAGTACTGTAGTAGACAGTAGTAATTATGTAGTGAGTAAATAACTTTAACGTGTTATTTTATTATACAATTTATTGTATGAATATTTTAGAATTTTTTTATTTTTATTAATTTTTATGACATTATCTATTAATTAGTACTATACTATATAATTTAACTGACCTGTCATAGTTTAGGCATTTTATTATGTTGCGTTCAAATTTTAACTATACTACTAAAATTATAGACTGTTTGAAATTTACCAATCCTGTATTATGTGGTGGTCAACTGTAAATATCTAATGTTAGTTGTTACATAATATTCTAATTTGTGATGTTTGTGTCTATCGTTACCAAGGCAACGTCTTACGTATGTTTTGTGGATTTGTATGTTATATTAATATAATACTAATCTTGGAATTTTGATTAAATCGTAAAAACACTATTATAGTTATGTCTAAATCTATGGCAACTATATATACAGTACTATATAATTTAGATTTATACACTTTACATATCGTTAATGTAATTTAATATTTAGAAATGTTATATATCGGTACTTATACCAAATAAGAAATTTCATTATAATATATATTTATATCTCATTTTATTTTTTTTTAATTTTAAACAGCAGTTGTATTTATAATTAATATAGATATAATAATTAAAATTAAAATTAAATAAAAAGTATAAAATTATGAAATTTGAACAAAGGTCAATCTTTGTTTACAGATCTAAACATTCTGTAAAATGGGTAGTAGTGGTTATAGGAAGTGTAATTAGTGGGAACATAAAAATGTTTTTTGGTGTTGTGGGAAGGAACTTTAAATGAGACATGGATGAGGTCTGAAAATTCAATTAAATCATTGAGGAGATCACATAAAAGCTGAATCAACATAATTTTGATGGCAAACAGTGAGAGTATATTTAAAATGGAATTTTAATATATATTAATATATTTTATTAATTAAATAAAATAAATTATTAATATATTAATATAATATATTTAAAATATAGAAGTAGTCATGTTGTGATGATAGTAGGTTAGGTTTGAAAGTAACAAAAGTATTAACATTAATGGTTGACACGCTTGAGTCATTTTCGATCCTTAGTAAGTTAGAGATGCTAAATGATAGTCTTCTTCTACTCAAGGGTATAGCAAATAGGAGAAAAATATAAAAAAACAAATATGTATATATGATTTACATAACTATATAATTACTTATAAGGCTACAAACCAGTGGTTTAGGTAAGAAGGGAAGAGTTTGGGGTTCAACCCCCCATGACAAATAATAAAAATAATTATTACCTAAATATATCAAATCCCTCTCATAAATAATGTTTAGTTACGCCCTTGAAATAAACTTTAACTTTTAAACAACACTTATACTCCAAGTAAGTCCATATTTTTTAGATGATTTGTGAATTGACTATAAAATAAGAAAGGTGCTTAAAAAAAGGTTGAGTACCATTTTACTTTAAATATATAATTCAACTGAATAATGGAAAACTCTAAATTATATTAAAATTAAAATTACCATTACTATTAATTTAAATCAAAAATTAAGAATAGCTAAAATTATGATATTCAATAAATTTTCAAAATATAATTTTTTGATCATAAGGTAATTAATTTCTATTTACATCCTAATTATTATTATTGACTTCCTATATGTATTCCAATATATCATATTGAGAAGATTGAAAAATTTTTAGTGAAGAACAGGGCTAAGAACCTAGCATTATTCCATATTAAGCCTAAGACTTCAGTAAATAGAAAGGAAAAATTTGAAAACTAAGAAAACAAATAATTTTATTTTTATCAAGACATTTTATTATTTAAATTTTTTTAAAATTCAAAATAAATAAATATTTATAACTTAATGTTTCATATTGTTTAATTATACAAAATTAACGGTTTATTATGTATTTTAACAATAATAAAAATTAACAAAATAAAAAAATATAAAATTTGTAAATTAATGCCAGCGTTTGTCGTACCTACAGTAGAAACTATTCATAACAACTGTAAATATGACAAAATTATATTTCTTACAACAAACATCCTGTCCCAGCAGATAAATATATACTTATTTAATAGAAAATATTGTAAAATAAAATATACTAAAATAATATATTTTTATTGATCCATTTAATATTCATACAAATAGTTTCTACTGTAGTATGTAATATTGTATATTCTATGCTATCATAATAATAAGTATGTAAAAACATAACATCTATGCTAGCATAATAATTAACAATTACAATACTTAATTATAAAATTAAACAAGTACATGCACCATAATACAATTATCTGAAAAACTACCTCATTTTGTCAACTTTAAGATAATACACAAACTATCAAATATAAACTTATAATTTAAGTTAATAATAGTCTTATTTAACATTACACATTATTTTAAATATTTTTATTTAACTTTGTAATTATATGTAAGAAAAACATAATTAAAAATGGCACTTAATTGATTTTTGATTAATAATAATTTAGTATACTCAATATTATATAAAACAATAAACATTTTCATTATTATAAGTTATAAAAGTAATTAATAATAAATATAATAATTAATAGAAAAATCATAAAAAATATAATCAATCAATCACTTGACAGTCAGATCCAAAGTGATATAAATAAAAGCACTAGTTGACATAACTAAATTTATTCACCTAATTACATAAGCAAGATTTAGTAGTTAAATTAAATTATTTATAAAAGTACAGAGTACAAATTTATTGATATGAGTTTATGCACTTGAATATACTTAAATTTGAAAGTAATATTAACATTAATAACTAAGAAAATGTATTATTGTATCATTTCTTCATCATCATCATCTTCATCACCATAATCAGCTTCACTAATTGTTGGCACAACTGCTCCTTTTAATGGACAGTGTTTACATCTAATAATCAAACAAGTTTTAATCTAATTTAAATAATATACATATTGGTGATATTACTTATTAATTTGTCTTAGTGGTTCAGATATTAATGTTAACCTTGCTATATATTGTACCTATGTCTCTATATCAAATGTTAAATAATTCTATCACATCTATTTGATTTTGAATTTTTTCAAATATATTGAAATTGTATTGAATATAAAATAAAAAAATATTTATACAGAGTGTATAAATTGTTTTTACATATATTTAGTAGTCTTAATCACGTTTGTAATATTATTGTTTTTAACAAATTATACTATAAAATTTTTTTAGTTAAAAAGTAATAATACCCTTCCAAAAATATTAAATATACTAATAACCTAACCTAAATTCTCTTGACATTTTAAACACTTAATTTCGCTTTGCTTTTATTTATCTAATTTGAATGAAGTCTTACAAATATTATTTTTTTAAACTATCATTAATAATACAAAATGATAATCATAGTATGGAAAACCAAAAAAAAAAAAAAAAAACAATAAAAATATTCTAATAATTAATTACTTTTTATAATTATGGGTAAATATAACAGATATAGTTATGAATTATAATAAATAATTTAATATAACAATTTTTAACACCACTATTTTAATTTTGAAACTTTAATTATTACTATTAAACTAAGTAAATAATCTTTAAATTTATCATCAATAATTGTTTTGTAAACAATATATGTTTATATGACTTGTGAATTATTTTAACATAAAAGACTATAAATTACAATGAATACAAAATAGGTTTATTTTAAGTATAAAATGTATAAGATTAAAAAAAAATAATAATAATAATTGTTATTTTTAAAATATATAAATTAAAGAATTTTTGTTATTTCATTTTTTTAAAGGAACTACAAGGGACTACTAGGGAATTTGCTACTCAAGGTAGCTAATAAAATAGCCTACTCTACCTATCAAAAAATTTACCTCCAACTATAAAGCTAAGAATGTTTGGAAAAATGTATTGTGGGTATTAGAAATGTTATATGGGAATCATTAAATCATAAACTTTCATAGGTAATAACAAATTTAAAATTGTCTATAAAATAATAAACTATAAAAATGATATAGCTATTTAAAAATATATTACCGGCTCTCGTTTATTCCATAATTCATACAACGATCACCAACACATTCACAACATCCATCATGGAACCATCTGTAGCTTTTAGCACCCATCGACATACAGGATGCCTTACATTTGTTCCATGACAGACAATTGTTCATGTATACTACAGAACAATTGAGAGTTATGACGTCTTTCACTGGTGATACTTCTTGAGCAGAATTTTCTAAATTTAAAATTGAATTAGCAAACATTGCGATTTATAGATAATTTAATGAAATTTACTCTGCAGCAACTTAATTTCTTTCTGAAAATCTGGTTTGAATACATCAATATCAAAATCAATAGGAAACGTCAATGACTCCCAACGTTCTTGTAAATCTGGTTCCGAAACAAGAGCATAAAATAGTGTCATTATAGGTTCTGGTAAATCTTCTACATGACTTTTTCTACTCAATGCATTAGTAGTCACGTTTGGTTTGGGACACATGTCTAAAACACAAAACATTGGTAATTATTAATTAGCATAGTGTAATTATATAATATATGCACTAAAGGTGTTTATAACTTGTTTATTTACTTCAAACGTGATGTAAAAAACAATTGAACAATAATTTTAATATAAGATATAATTTTTTTATGTCAACAATTTAAGAGTTATAACTCTTATAAAGTGTATCATATAATTCACGTTACAATATTCAATTAAAATTAGTTTATAATAATTTTTTGTCTAAATTTTATATTGGTATTAATTTATGCAAAATTTATTATATTGAAACTATTTACAACTAGTAGTTTAATAGTGTTTCAGACAAATTTACACATACTTTAAAATGGTAGTGTATTTTTAAACCAATCGAATGACTGATTTATCAATTAGTTGGGAAACATAAGTTAAATATCATATTGATATTGCAACTGAAACAATTGTTCAATGAAGTATACAGATATATGAAGGTGAAGTATCTACGGTCAATGATACAAAACAATACGACAAGATTAATTGTATTGAAAAATTGTAAGATGTTGCAGACGGCACGGATGATCAAAACAAAGAATGGCCACCAGAACAGAAGTCCTGACATACGCGACATTTACCTACGCACGAACAGCATTCACTGTACAAGTTATTCAGGCAACTGAAGCATTCCTTGCAGCACGAACAGTTGGCCAGGTCGCACTTGCACGACTGTGTAATCATGCACTTAGACACGATGGACGCGCACACAGCCTCGTTGCATGCGTAACTGAGGTAGGCGAACGCCATCAGCGAACCGACAACGGTAATAAGGAACACGTTCTTCATCTCGACGGCTCGCGATTTTCACATGGAACAAGAACGATGTGATGGTCGGAAACGACTTGCTATCGGCACCATTAAACCCAACGGGGCGCGACGATTACAAAAATAACAATGCCTACTGACTGGCCGCTGCGTTCCTTCGTTCGATACAGCAGCAGTAGCAGTTGCTCGTATCACGTACGTGTTGTCTGTTGTTGTTTTTGTCGTACTATTGCGCGCGCCCTCTTATCTTTGTCCGTATCCCTCCTTGCACTACATAAACCGCGATACTGGCGTATTTTGCAAATGCGGGTACATTCAGAACTGCCATTCTACCATTGGTCCATACATTCTTATCACATATTTCATTATTTCGAAATAATTTCCTCGTGATATAATAAACAATTTCTGAACCACAGAAATACATTTTTTTGTTTTTTTTTTAGTATAACATCTATCAGAAAAAATATAGTGCTACCTTTGCCAAATTTCGATGGACTGCCTTGATTTTATTTACAATAATTGTTGATAAGATATTGTAACAAAATGCCTACATTCTGCAGATGTAGCCTTTTTTTTTTCTTTTTGGGCTATAGTTGTCCAAATTCGGTTATCGATATTTTTAATCAAACCACGTACTATCAAACAGGGCGTATTTAGATTTACTTCTAGGGGGGAGAGACTCAATTTTTTCTTTAATTCAGGCTCAAAATGTACAAGTAAAATTTTTGGTAATATTTAAATCAAGTGAATCCTTAATATTTGTGGTTTTTTTTTTTAATTTATTACCGGATCCACTTAGAATCGACTTTTGTGTAGTTTTTTTAACACCTGTTTGTGTTTAGAAAATTACGCTTGTGTTTTATTTGATTTTTCACTAAATATGGACCCGACAAAAATCCCAATTCAGTATTCACAGCTACGTGTAATTATATTTCATTATAAAATGATCCACATTTAAAATTTTTTTAAATGTGTATCTCACATATAATCGATTCATTAAATATGGACTCAGGGGGGATCGCCCTCTTCACCACCCCTAAAATACCCATCTGCTATCAAATATACATATTAGTTAATTAAACGAATACAATATATAATTATGTTTTATTGATTTTGAAGATTTTTATTTATTCTACTTTTTATTTTAACGACTAAAACACTACTACGCAGATAAGTAGTGAAATATTTGTTCACGATTACCTCTAAATAACCTATAAGAGAACTGATGATTTAATTACAAATTTTTATTATTTTATTATTTTATAAATGTTTTTTTTTTATTTATTTAATTATAATGATAATGATGTCCTATAGTGTCCACTATAGATTTCACTGTATTTAAATATATGTGCTATTATAAGCATGAATATAATTATTGTAAATTTCAAAAATGTTCGTATGGAGCTTTTATTTACTTGATTCTTCAAATCAATAAAAATAAAATATCATCAGGTTATTAGAATTTGATCAACTTTGTGCCATTATTACACCAATTTTATTCTTGACTTTAAAGAGAAGTTTTAGTGAACGTAAGTCAATTTACAGTTTATAAAATGTAATGATTGCAATAACCATTTATTTTATCGCTATTTAAATGCCATAGCATGGTTAATCTAACATGCATGAAATTTGTTAAAAAATAAATCAATTGATAATCCCGATAGTTAAAATACATTTATGCAGAGTTTCTCCCCATTATACTTTTAAAGTATGAACATTGGAAATTTAAAACTTTACCTTATTTTTCAATTTCTAGTAACAATAAACCATGAACTAATAAAATTATGATCATATTAAATGTTATTAAATACCTTAATATAAATGTATTAGAATGGTATTATAAAGAATGTTTATTATATAAAATATAACATATTATATACATGGCCTATAAACACACGTCCAAATTAAAATCGAAAGTTTTGAATTTAATAACTTTATATCAGTATCTTAAATATTAAATTATATGGTTAAATACAAACTATATTAATTTATTCATACATTTTTTTTTATAAATAACTATTGTGTGTATCATATTTGTAATTAATGTCCATAGATGTCGGGTTGTCTTTATTTTTAGATCAATAAAAAAAAACATATTAAACGATTTATTCTTTAGATTGAGTAATATGAATAGAGATATAAACTTAGGCTTCACCGTTATACAATTCTGGGTAAACAATGTTTAATAAAACTACATCGATTTACGAAATTAAATTTGCAAATCATGTAGTCATAAATAACATTTTATCACAAAATGAACTAGTGGTTTATCTAACTACAAGTTTATCTAGTCTATCTCGTATAATAAATGACTGTCGTACTATGATGGCATCTTATAGTTTTCAGTTTTTTATCTTAAATGTGAAAATTATGAATTTGTATTTTATTTTTTCCCTTTCTCTTTTGTTTTCCGTATATAATGTTAATTCAAATGTTATTTGTCATAAAATGGTTTTATTTGATCAGTGATTGATTTTCCATGTTTTGATATGTTTATTAAAAAAAATTATATTATTAGACTTGTACATCATTTTGACAATTTGATGTGTATTTGATCGTATACATAAAATAAGCTTTTGTTTAGAAATATGAGCCACATACGAGTATATTAAATTATTGATTTTTTATACTTAAAATCGATTTTTCGTACTGTGAGACGAGAACGCTATAGCCGCACTTATATTTTCAGATTGCGTGGTAATTCGTGAAGTCACAATTTAATAATTACATAAGTATACCAAAATATACCGATACTTAAATTATTTTTGTAGATTTCATTACTACATAAATCTATATAAGTATATATGATATAACAGTAAAAAAAATGATCGCATAAAATAGGTGACCTTGTATGTTATTAATCATTAAATAAATAATACGATACCTGCATGGCTATAAAATTGATATTTTGTTACCGAAAATTCGCAAACCCAATATAAATAAATATATATATAATGTACACAAACACGACTTACCGTCAAACTATATAATTAGCCTTTATGTATAATATATTTATAATAAACCCATTTGTTTGTATATATGTATATAATTCTATAGACTATTCCCATCAACAGATATGGTATAACATTTTTTAAGTCGAAATATACCATCTATATCAGTAGACATCAATGGCGCCGAGTCCTATGATCGGTGCAGGCCACGGCCTGAACACTTTTTATTATGTGTGGCCGTTGACCATTGTGTTAGGCCAGACACTCACACATGCTACATACCAAAGCTGTAGGTACACCGTAAAATTGTCGCATATGCTGTACAACGATAACACTTCTAAAACGCATTGAAAAGAGGTACCTATGACCTATCTATAAATGCGCGTCTCCATTAGATTTAACTTGGCCATTTATGGATATATAAATATATAATTTAAAATTCTAACTATTATTGGATTATCTAAATTTAGTATCTTAATTTATTCATGGTAATTGCAACAAAGACAAAAATAAAAACAGCGACGCGACAACAATAACTATATTTGGTGTATTAAATGTTTTAAAAAAATACTAATAAAATATAAAATTGCGTTTATTAATTAGTTATTAATTATTATACAATAGAAAGGCCAGTAAACCAGTAAAGGACAAAGGTGTCCTATAATGTAGAAATATGAGAATATTTATGGATAAATCATAAATGACTTCCAAATTATTTATAATTTTAGATTCTCAGTTATTTTCTCATGTTTATAGTTTCTATAGAGGAATAGATTACAAAGAATAGCGTACAATTTATTATCTTAAGTTAGATTAATAATCTAATTAATTAAGTTCTATTAATATATTATAAAATAAAATGTCGATAACAAAAAATACACAGCTGAATAGTTCTCATTTAATTCGCATTCAACAATATTATTGTACTTATTTCCCCGTCCTAACGTCTTGTATTTTATATTTGTGTTTATTATTTAATCATCGTTATTATAATTTCGTTCTTCGGAACAGTGACAATTGATTTGTGTGTGAAGTCGTTGCTTACAACTATCGGGTTGTTGATTTTCATTATTCTTTTAATAAAAATGAACAAGAAAAGAAAGCATAGAGGAGGGACTGACAAAAATTTAGAACAAAAAAAAAAAAATGCTATTGATTGTAGCTGGGAAATGCCAAAGAATTACCAACATGTTCAAATTTACAGTAAATTATTTTTTTTATTTTTTTTTTTTTTTTTTAATTAAAGCCGCAACAACTGAGGTTATTGGCATATTGTACAATGTAAACATTAAATTAAATTAGGTGCTAAATAACATTATGAATCTTAAGTACAATGTAGATTGTTTATAAATTTATAATGGTTAGAATATAGAAGTACAGTATTGGAAGTGAAAGAAAGATGAATAGAAAGTAGATGAATAGTAAGTTATTATTTTAATTCTTAGCAAATAGTACTTAATAGTTAAACTGGATTATTAAATAAATACAATATAAAATATCAAATAATTGACTCAATACATCAAACTACGCCTTACGGTAAATAATAAAATAATTGCAATTTAATTTATAATTTATTAAAATACAGACTAAAGCAAATTAAAATTTAAATAGTGCATACTATTTGTAGATTTTCCAGAATAAGTATTTATACTTTTAATTAGTTAATTAATTTTCTAATTAACCTCATAACTTAGAATTCATGTTAAGTATCAACTTGTATCTAAAAATTTACTTAATAGTTAATACAAAACTAGTTAAATCACTACAGCTAGTGAGTAACAAGAAGAAATTAGATGCAAGATAAATAATATATTAATATTGTATCAAAAATATTGAAAGTTGTACTAGCCTAGTACCTAGTACTACTAGGTATTAGAGATGGAAAGTTTATTTAATTTCTGTGAATAGTTCAAATGAACTATTCTTAAGTTCACCTAGTTCACTAATTTCATTGATCATACTGATATTGTTTGGCAATGAACTATTCGTTTTATCACTATCAGTACAGCAGTACACATTTCAGTAGTAGTTCACACTAAGGCACTATAAAAGGTGGGTATGATCGTCCGTCATTTTGCGACAATTGATACATAGTGATAATAGATTCAGCCCATTCAGCTGAACGTCTTATTATATGATTTTAATTTATTGTGTGTGAGACTATAAAATTCTACAAGAAATGGGTGATTGTACAGCGGTAAACTGTTTCAATACACGTAGTGAAGGTTTTCGTCTTTTTCAGTTTTCAAGAGACCCTAAAAGACGAAAAACTTGGTTATAAAATTGTCGTCGTGACAAATGGCAACCTACAAATTTCATCTGAGTTGTGTGAAGTAAGTATTAGATTAAACTTAAAAATTCTTATTTATAATGTATTTATACAATTTAGTCATGTTAATATTTTTTGTCGTTTTCTTTAGAACATAGTTATTATTTATTATTTTATATTTTTTGCATATTCCAATATATCCATTTCGAAGAAGGTCAATTCAAACAAAATCGTTTGGATGGTAAAAAAAAACTAAAACCAAATACTTTACCAACATTATTTGATATACCAAATGCACCTCGCTTGTTGAAAACCAAAAGAAAATCTTTGTATAAGGTATATATCATAATTCGTTATTAAAACCAAATTATTATTACTATTAATAGTAATTTTAAACTATTTTATCTATTTACAAGTTATATTATTATGAAATATACCTAATACAAATACCCTTTTAATATAAACGTAATGGATGTAAAATTGGCCTAAATCGAGCGCAACAAGAGGCAACTTTTTTGAATATAATAAAAACAATTTTAGCTGCTTAAATCTTCTCCACTTAAATACTCCCTGTCTGCCCCTGACATCACGTGTTCCGTCTTCACCACCACCGCACACAGCACCACTACTTACCGTTACTGTTAACAAGCGGGTTTTCCGCTGTTAGAACATCGATTTTCCACCACCACTTTTAGTATTAGATAGAAATATATCATAAAAATAAAAGCAAAACCAAATAGTTTGACTTTTATAAGTGGTTTATTTATAGTATTACGACTAAAGAAAAAATTGAAGAAATGTAGAATGTTTAACAGTTAATTATTATTTGTATTATTATTATTATTATTATTACTATTAGTAATATTATATGTATGAAAAATTGACCTAATTGATAAAGAAAATCAAAAAAAAGCAAACCCAAATATATATAAATCATGTGCAACAAAAGAACAGACTAAAATTCATAAAAAAAAAAATCTATGAAAATATTTAGAAATTTACTGAAAAATGTTGCAGGTAAATTTCTAAAATGACACAGTATTAAAAGTAAAATAAAAATATTTTTGATATTATAATTTAACCACAAAACTGTTCCAAATCTCGAAAATTAAATACTATGACAGTTACAATAAAACAATGAAAACACTAAAAAAAAAAAAAAAAACAATGAAAAAGTTAACAAGGTTTTATTCTTATATTTGTTCGTTCTAAAAATCCGTTGTCAAATATCGTGTGCCCCTTGAAAAAAATGTTGTGCAATATTCGTTGCCATAGCTCTTAGCCAGGTCCAAATAAATAATAAAATATATAATAATAAATGAACTAAAGAAAAAAAAAATTAAAAAGAGGTGAAACTATCTTCTGTTATTTTATATTAAATTATAAAATGTACATAAAAATAAAATATTAATCTTGTTCACTTAAAAGATTAAAACCACATTATAGCGTAGAAAAACGTTATTTCTACTAAATAGATACGTTTCTTGAAGTGAATATCTATTTCGTAAAAAAAGCAAATTCACTTAGTGAACGCGGCATGCATATTAATGTAACAACCGGTGATAATTGACAACCATATGGTATATAGGATAGATCATTGAAAATATGATGAATTATCGGGACGCATTAAGTAATCAATATAATACTCTCGTTTTCACGTGAGATCCAAAATCACTTATCGTTTTAAAATCAATACATTGTAATATTATGCACAATTATACTGCATAATCATCAGTATAGAAAATTAAAAATCATAATAATATTTAAAATACCAACTAGATTCAATATTTTACAAAAATTTAGATAGAATGTGACATTCATGCATTTGTCACTCCGATTTTTATTAATAAATTTATAGTTAAATGTGAGTTGTTAGTTGTCATAAATGACACATTAGTAAAAAATATGTTCGCATGTATACAATGTAGTTTTCTGAGAATTTAAATTGTATACACTTAATATATAACATTATATAAGTTATTAATCTTTTTAATTATGTGAAGCGTTAAAAATACGTTTTCTCATGTACATTATTATTTCTATTAGTAACATATGGCATATTACATATCATCGGAATTTTGGGTGTAACGTTATTGTTTTATATTAACAATACGTGGCATATTACAGTCTATTAAAATTGCAAACATAGGGCAAGCATTTTTGGCTTTATATCAATTGTGCCGAAAGTCGCATTTATAGAAAAAAAAATTATGGGATGGAAAAAAGGTATATATCTATTGCGCCGGTATAAAAAAGATATAATTTATAAGTATACATCTATTGCGCCGATCGATATTTGAGTTAATACATTTTTTATTACCTCATTGATACATATATTGATGAATATACAACTTTTCCCCCATATCTTTGGTCGTGTAACATATCAGGCGAAAGAACAACAAATGCCTGATAGGCATTTCAGTCAGAATTTGGGAAATATTTTTATTCACCTCATACAAATATTTTTGTTTTTTATGAAGTTTTAAAAATGATGTAACGCAACAATCATAATACGTGTTCTCTGAGTTATCATAAACAGATCAAACTCTAAATTTATGACAAAAAAATAAATAGTAAAATAGACATAACTAATTTCAATATTAGACCTAAGAACTTTTCAAAATTTGTAGGATTAGTGTTATAAGTATAAAGTATAATATACTAATACAAAATATGTAGAATGATAAGTTTGATTTTAATTTTAATTTTTGTTTTTAGCCATTATGATTTTTACTTGTACTGTATAGTTGTTATACTGGCGCAATAAATGTATACCTTTTTAATATACCCTTTTTATATCAGCGCAATAGATGTATACAGGTAGTGTCCCATATTCGGCGCAATTGACGAATACCGCATTTTTTTATCGTGATTACTTTAAACTGCATTACTTCAAACCATAAACATTAATTATTAATCATGAATACACATGCATTGTAAATAAAACAAATATCCACGCTATGAATCTTCCAAGGAAACATGTTTTCATAGATCCTATCGACTTCTTTATTGTCCAGTTCCAATTTTATCTCACTTTCCACGTAGGTTTCGGGCTTCGAGCTTATAAGTATTGTGTTCTCTTCTATACAGAATTCGATAAGTTTGGATATGGTTTTGAGTAATGTTCCTAAGTTCCCATTCCACTGGATTGATTACTAGGTATTTTAGCAAATATTAGGTGTATCTACATCGTTAAAAATAAATAATATTATGTAGAAATATTCGCGCCCCAGAATCGTGTTCTTTTGATTGTCAATAATTGTTAATCTAACAATGTGCATGATCGTCTATAACAGCGGTTCTTAACCATAGGGTCGCGACCCAATTTTGGGTCGCCAATAATTTTAAATGGGTCGGATAAAAATTTAAAACGTTAGTATAATATTTTTATTTTTAAGTCTTATAAATAATAAATGAAACCTCATGTACGTTGGTTATCATGGAGAAAAATTTTAACGAGATTTTTTGAATTAAGAACTGAAATAGAAGTATTTTTAAGAGAAAAAATTCACTGTTATCCATCCATTTTCAAGATATAATTTGGTTGACAAAAGTTGCGTATCTATCAGATATTTTTTCGTTATTAAATGAGTTAAATTTGAGTATGCAAAGGCCATTAACTAATATTTTTACATGTTGTAATAAAGATATTAACTACAATCAAAACCAAATCAAGAAACAAGCTTGATGTCGATCCCACGATGCGTATTTCACTAACTCCATAGAAGAACTCTAAATTGATTCATTGGTAAAGCAACATCAAGACCAAGGAAGTCATTAAATTAAAAATTATTTAAAAAACAATACAATATTATTAAATGAAATGTTTATTTTTAAATATAATGTAATTAATATTATGACTTGTTATGAATACAAGTAATATGAGTAAAAAATGTTATTCAATTAAGAGTACCAAATAGTTATTTTTTATTCTGCCATTGAATATTATTTATAAAAAGGTCGCAGGAAAAATTTGGTAAATATCTTGGGTCGCCACTACACAAAGGTTAAGAACCGATGGTCTATAAAATTATAAAGTAAAGTATTTTTTTTTTATTTTTTTTTGTTATTAAAAGTAGACCATGACGAAGGCGTCCGTCTAACGGCTGCGGCCCCGGTGGACTTCTCCCACTCCCCACCCGGGTCAGTCCGCCACTGCACGACGTGTCTGTTGTTGTACGAGTGTGCACGGCACGCGGGTCAGGAGAGGTACGGGTTGACCGCGGTGCAAAGCACACGCACACAGGCCGGGGTTGCCGGGCGCTACGCGGACGTGCGTGCGGACGGCGGCCGCGTGTGTATGCACGATGGCGTGTGGTCAATGTGTTCGTGAGCGGCCGAGGCGGCACCGCGCGCGACGGACGCAATACAGCGCGCAATAGCGTTCCGTTCGTCGCGTGACATGCGGCCATGGGATGCGGACACTCGGATGGCGGCAAGTCGTCCGAACCGCGGGTCGACGAGGCATCGGGAACCGTCACTCATCGTAGGGACGGTATCGGTGGCCGGACGGCGGAGGGCCGAGGCGATGGCGATCACGCGGACGGGGCCGCCGCGCACTACAACAATTACGGGTTCGCGGGATTTCGCACGTGGACCAGCGTCGGGTTCCCGGTTCACCGTATCACCAGAGTAATGCAGGTAAACCCAACCGGTCGACCGCGCGCGTTTTCTCGCCGAATTACCAAATAACCGAACCCCCTCGCCAGACCGCCGACCGCATCGGGAACGTCCGTCCTCTACTACACCCACGTCGGTTCGAATAGTTTCCGTAATTAGGTACCTATCTGCGGCTATTTTGCCGCAACCGAATCCAACTCTCTTGTACGCACTCGAATGGTCAGTGGCGGATCCAAGATTTTCTTTGAGGGGGGGGGGGGGGCTATGAAACATTTTTTCTCTTGGAATATTTTTTATAACATTGCAGTCAGTGATTGATAATAAATTAAAATAATAATAAATAATATAATACATTCATTTAAATTTAAGACTACTAATTTATTGTATGAATAAAAATAAAAATTATATAGTTTCCCTCATACTTTAAAAAAAATAAAAATCTTTTTCTTAATTCGTAAAATTATTGATTTTTAATACATATTTTTCCTAATTTTTGGGGGGGGTTTACCCCCCCCCCCCCTCCCTCGTGGATCCTCCACTGCGAATGGGTTACCAGTACGCGTTCGACGGTAACACGAACAAAATCTAAGCTATCTCTCAATACTATACACGCACACGTTAATCATAAAAATAATTGTAATGTGACAACTGTTATATTTCAAGTGCTAGCATAACATTACAAGTGATCAGCCTCTGATAGTTATAATTTCTAGAATCATAATGTTGTGAACCTATTAGGTTTACAGATCTTGAACGGTTACGACCAGTGGCGCACACTGGAAGGTTCAAGGCTAGTAGCTACTACCCTTGAGTTTTTTTGGTGTTTGAGTGACCCCCTGACCCCAAAATATCTACATTATAATTCTATCACGTATAAAAATATAAAAAATAAACTATAGAATAATATAACCATTAGTCTATTCGCTTATATATATTGTAACTGACAAAACATTAAAGAGTATTCTATCAACCATAACATCACAGACAATTGAAGACATTTATTAATAACAGCAACATATTAGAAATTTCTTTATTATATTAATTTATATTTAATTACAAAAGTTTATAACTGAGTCCCAGTGTTTTTTTGAAAAAAGTGTAAAATTGGATAAAGATATACTTAATAAAAATCTGCCTGGTATCTTTGAATAGATTCCTTACTAAAACACCAGATATCTAGGGTATTCGATAAATGAAAATTTTGTAGCAAAAAAAAAACATAAAAAAAACCAAGGTAATTTTAAAACTTTATTATGATAAACATCATAAAAACATAAAAATATCACTTTGTATTACATTTTAATTATTTAAGGCATCAAATCAATAAGTTGTTTTACCATTTTTTTTTCAAAAGTACAAATTAATTAATTTTTATTTAAGCTATTTTAAAATTCTAAAGTATTTTTAATGTTTTTAAATAGTATAATTTTGTTGTATTATTTAATGAGTATTAAATATATTTTTACTATCCGTAATATTTTTCTCTATTTGCTGTACATTTTTTTAGGAAAATTGTTAACTTGAAGCCCTCAAATAAGTTGGTGTACTTGGCCCTAATTTCATTAAATCAGGCACTTTGTATGTGCTGTGTGTTACTTTATTCACGATATTAACTATTATCATATCTGTAATATATATTTTAATCCTTCGACATGTGTTATTTTATTTTATTATTACCAAATTATCATGTTTGGAATATAACGGGTTAAAGTGATAAACTATAAAAATCGATTGTCGTAAAAAAAAAATATATATTAATTTTCCAACGAATTTATTAGGTAGTTATAATATAACATGGATTTTTATGTATCGTACATTTCTCAACAATTTTCGGTAATATTAAAACACCATGAAATAATTCACTTTTATCGTTGTTTACAAAAATTAAATAAATCAAGATTAAGTAAATTCGATTTTAAAATCGGCAAATTAATTTCTAAGGGAATTGATGTCAAGGGTAGATACATCGTCTGATAATATAAAAAAAAACACTAATACCTATTGCGACGTTTTTTTTTAACGCTTAGCTACTGATTGTAACCTACCAAATAATGTAGTGAATAAAACCCTTTTTGTGTGAAACTAAAGTTTTATTGAATCAAAATATCGTTGTATTAGAACTATCAACATACATATTACATTAAGTAATAATTAACTGTAAATAAATTTACAACTATACACAAGTAAATTTAAATTTAAATTCATACATTCTTAAAGAAAAAAAAATCAACAGTAAATTTCACAAATTTATTGAAGCTAAATTTTATTTGGTGAGAAAATTACAGTCCATTTTAATTATCTACAATCTACATCACTACGTAACTTTATAAAATTATTATTTTGAAATTTAAAAAAAAAAAAAAAATGTAAACGATTTTGAATTAATTTTTTTCTGAAAGATATTATAAATATACTTTATTTAAATACTACATTTAAAAAAACAACATTCAATCAAAATATTAAAATGATAATTTATGAAAATCCTGAAATCTGAGTTTAATAAATTAAATATTATTATTTTTATTTTGAAAATGATTTAAAAAAATGTAATTAATGTATAGATATGATATTAAGATATGTATAATGGCAAAACAAAATAGGTTGTTGTTACTTATTATACAATATAATATTAATAAATAACAACCAGAAATGTTATAACATTATTGAACTATATATTTCACAAGCTCTGAAATCCTAGATGTTTCGATAGTGCCTGCCGCTGAATGACGAACACAAAAGATCACCTGATGATAATAAAAATATGGTATCTAGCGTTTACTCCGTAATATATGCTGATGGTTTAGTTGTTTGCCTTTTGATTGATGATTTTATGTCACACGTGTAACTGAGTAAAATAAGCACACAATCTTAGTGATGCGTTAAATTTAAATATAATTCAAAATTTTTACTTCGTTTGATCTTATACAAAGACAATATTTTTTATAAAATACCTATGCCCTATACGTCTATGATTTTTGATAAGACATTTATTATAATCGTCGACAGACAAGGTAGGATTCTTGTTACACATCAACCGCTTAAATTTACCTGATAAACTATTTTTAATAATTCAAAATGTATCAATAAGTAAAGACCTGTTTGAATACATATTTAATTAATTTTTTAGCGGAAAGTAAAAAACAAAAAAAATCTGTAAAGTTGTTGATACCCAGGGCAAATAAAATCAAACAAAAATGTTATTTAACACATAAATATCAAAAAGTTTGCCATCCATGATCTATGTAAAATCTATAAAACAATTTATACAAATTATAATTTTTGGTTCTTTTGCATTTTTCATATTCTTGTAGAAAAAAAAATACACTATATAAATACATAATTTTAATATACAAATGTATATATTTACTTATAAATTTTAAATAAAATCAATATTATTTAAATATAATTTAAAAATTACATACAATATGAACAATATTTAAAATTTAAAATTTATACTTTAATAGGTTGAACAAGTGGATGTCTGCGAAGAACAAAACAATAAAAAGTTTACTAACATATCAAATGATGATTTTAATAATTCTAAAGTAAGTAAAAATATTTTTTAATTTTACAATAAAGACAGTGCTCGACTTGTCAAAATTAAAGAAGAGGGATTCTGTTTACTTTAAAGAAAAATCGTGTCCCCAAGACTTATTAAAGGTTATAATTATAACGTAATAATAGTAGGGGGACACTAAAATTTCTGAAAATTAGTTGGGGTACTCTGTTTCCCTGCGCCCCCTCAAGTCAAACACTAAATAAAGATAAATTGGGTTTTAAAAAAAAACTAAAAATTTCTTTTTTTTTAATTTCACAGGGGTATCCAGAAGTATTGACAATTCATGGAAGCTGGATATATGGTCTTAATGCAGGAGGGTCAAGGAATAATCTAGATATGTTTGAAACAAACCCTCAATATTTGCTCAAATTTCCTACAGGTAATACTTCTTAAAACATTATACATTTAAATGAATATGTGATACTGTATTATAAAACTAAAAAATAAAAAAAAAAAATGTATTTTAATAAAAGTTGATATTACTCATTTTCACTTTTCAGGACTTGTTGAAGAACATTTATTTATTTCAATTAAAATAATGTTAAAAGTGAAACGACTTAACAAAAAAAATCCATTATACATTGCTTTTTTTTTATATAAAGTAAATTTGGTTTTAAATAATAATAAATAGGTTAACAATTGGTTGTAATTCAAACACATTTTTTTTTGTTTTAGAATGATTTTCACCAAAAAGAAACTTTAGGAGCAGAATATTTTTTATGTACTGAACCAGAAGGTAGTTCTGGACCATTTAAAGCAAAACAAGTGATTTCTGAAATTTTTGTAGTGTCAACATTAGCAAGTTATGTCATAGTACCATCTACCTTTAAACCATTTCAACAAGGCGAGTTTTTGATGAAAGTGATGATCGACCGAAAACTTGGCACTGAATTAAAAAAATTGATACCACCAACAAGGCCATCTGTCGGAAATATAAACATACAATAATAAATCAATTATAAAATTTTTTAATTAATATGTCTTGTTAAATATTTAATTTAATTATTTTATTTAAATGAATAATTATTAAGTTAATAAAAATTAGTGATGGGTCGAACTGTTCGAATCTCGAACTGAACCGAACCAAACCCTTGATGTTCGGTTCGGTTTCGAAATTTAAACTCTGCATGAAAAAAAATTGAACTGAACTATCAAGCATCTTTTACTGTTCGAAAATCGAACTTGATAATATTAATACTCAATAATAATAATAAGCTACAAGACAACGCAAGAGAGCATAATACTGGTTTTGAAAAGTAATAATAATAATAAAAAATTATCTAAAATTTAAATGTATTGTAAATAATACAATTATTTAAGATTTAAAAGTTAATATGTAGAATAGGTAATACGAAAACTTAAAATACAATAGTAATTAATAATTATGGTTGATTTAATTTGTAGGTAGGTACAATGTACATGATAAAAAGTATCGAGTTCGAGTTTGACTTATAATCATAATAGGTTCGGTTCGGTAAAAAATATGAAGGTTTGGTTCAGTTTGAGTTTGAAAAAAAAAATTTAAAGTTCGGTTTGATTTAAAAAATCAGGGTTCGACCCATCACTAATAAAAATGTATAGATATACGTATTTTGCATCATAATAAATAAATATACATACTTGAAATATTAGAACATAATCAATCAGCATACAGCGTTCCAAATATTTAATCGATTAGTAACGTAACATTGTAAGCTACATAATGGAAGACCCGTTCGAGAACATGAATATTTTTTAGGATTTTTACAGCCATCAAGTCCACACATTTGCTGAGCAGGTGGAGGTCTATAAATTCAAAACAATACAATTAAATATTTTATTATATTTATGATACATTGAAATAACCAGTATTTTCATAACAGTTATAAACTAATAATATTTTTACATACAGGTTAGTGTAAAAATGTTTAATGTAAGTGTACGTACATAAGTATATTATGCATTATTTTTAAATGTTAGGTTTAAAATTAAATGCCTTAAATATTAGGCTTTATCGGTTTTAAGCCACATTTTGTATGAGTATAAAATTGAATGCTAACTTAGGATTTTTTGAAGGGTCAATTAATAGTGATCAGCCAATCATGAGCTGATATAAATTTGCTTTTTTGTCACGTCAAACAATTACAATCATTAGTTAATAAGATTCTGTATTTATTGTAATTTTTACTCAAATAAGCAAAATATGAAAAAATCAAAAATTATCCATAAGAATCTATACAATAAAAGACATCAATATTTGTAATCAAAATTATTCTAGATGAATGTAGAAGAATATGCATTTGCATAAAAATCCAGGCCCTAATAATAAGATATTTCTAAAATAAAAAATATTAATTAATAGTTTAAATTCAAAATTAGAAACTGAAAATAATTCACCTAATAAATTTTATATCCATTAATAATTTTTATTAAAATAGCTATATATTTTTTTTTTTAAGTAAATAAATATAATTTTGGTGAGATTAGATCTTTTAATGCTTTATCTTGAAGACCTCTAAAGATTCTAATAAGAGTTTAGGTTATTTACTCCTACAAAAAAAATACCCCTTCTAATATGTTGACTGCAGACTCTCAGTTATGATATTAACTTAAATTACTAATATAATTTCTGTTTCAAATAAATTAAATATATGAATTATATAATAAACATACTTAATTGTAGAACTCTTAAGGGGAAAATCCATTCCTTCAGGAAATAGTAAAGAAACATTATTATCTTTACTGATGTAAACAATATTATTCACATCTTTTTTAGCCATCCGTCCTTTAGAATTAGATTTAGATTTGCTTTCATGTTTTTTTAATAACCTTTCCATAGTACGTTTTTTATCATTTTCTCTTTTTTCATCTGCTTGTTGTTTCCTTTTTTGAGATTTTATAGCTTTTTTTTGCAACATTTCTGGAGTTAATATTTTTTCTCTATATCCTGAAATCATTAATTATTCATAGAACTTAGTTATAATATAACTGATTAAGATTACATACCAGATGGCAATGCAACGAGTTCTTCAGTAAATTCTTTATTATCAGTTTTTCTGTCAAACATAGCTCTTTGTCTAGCAGTCATCATTTTTGGATCTTTTTTAGTAATTTTTTTTAGCTCATCATCTACTTCATCTAATTTTCCTGTTTCAATGGCTTTTAACCATCGTTCTTCATCACTTGAACCTGGATCATCTTTACTACTTTTTACTTTTTTTTTCTTCATTCCTGGACTTTGTAAGGTTGTGCGAGTTGTATGGGGTGGACTTAAATAAAATAAATTATTAGCAATAATTAATACCAAGTAGTCACAATATTAATGGTTAGTTTATTTAAATCAAATTTTTTAGTAAAAAGTACTTACCTGGAAGTCATTACATCAACATACTCATCATTACCAGACATATTTAGTTTATTTTGAAATCAATATTATAAAAAAACTCAGCTAAAAATTGAAATTAGTTTGAAAGACATAAGAAACTTTTATGTTTTAATTAATTAAATAAACAATGGTTAATTTTGATACCTACTATAATTTGATTAACAAATACTATATTTTATCGCAACCATGAAGTAATTACACTATCAAAATCTATCAAAATAAAAAATATACTCCTAAAAAAAGAAGATAAACTTACAAATGAGTAAACTATAAAAATAAGGGTCGCATAATATTGATATTGTTATTAGTTCTTCAACTTATAAATTATAATAAAGAAACTTATCACGGAACTACTGAATATAATATAACAGAATATATAATTTATTTATTGTATGATAGTATTATCTGTTAATCTATCCTGTAGTCACTGTTTAAGATATACAAGATATATAATTATATCTTAAACCTAAACCGTGCCTGTGGTATTAACTTATCATATCATATTTAAACCTTATCGATAATTAATCTTTTTACTCAAAACTGAAAATAAGAACTCTTTAATTATAAAAGTAAAAAGTTTTACTTATAAATTATAATTACATACTTATTTATAAGCATGGAAAAACTTCTACAAATACTTGCTCGTGGTACGGGTCATAAGCGTCTTGACGATGATCTTTTTAAAGCAGTTGATTCCTCATTCAACATTTACAGACGAGAAGGAATTTTTGAAATCGAAGAATTGCCCAAAGAGACAGAGTATGTTTCTGTCGCTCATCGATTTTATATAATTGATTCATTTTATATATATATACGTTTATTTTAGAAAAACTGATAATTTCCGATGCAATGTAAATGGTTGCATGTTGAGTTTTTCATCTATGGCTGCATATGATTTACATTACAATTCAAATCATCGTTATACCTGTCTTTACTGTCGTAAATTATTGCAATCAGCTCATCTATTGGATTTACATTTGAGTGAAAAGCATGATAATTATTTTTTAGCCTCTTCTGCCAAAAAACCGATGGTAGGAATGAAATCATTAAAAAAAAAATTAGTTAATTGTAATACTCATAAATTAATATATAAGTAAATAGTTTATATATAGAAATTAATAAATAAATGCTTAGTCTGGAGTATTATTATATTTGTAATATACAACCAATTTTAAATTAAAAAATCCTCAGGTGTAAAAGCATTTATTATATATATATATATATATATATATATATATATATATATATATATAT